TGGCGCAGCGCGCGCACGAGGGCCTCCTCGACCGCCGAGACGGGCGTCGTCTCCGTCAGCGCCGTGGCCCGGGCGACGGCGTCGTGCGTGCGCTGCGCGGCCGACGCGCGCTCGCCGGCTTCGAACAGCGCCCACGGCTTGTTGTAGTTGGGGCCGAGCGCGTACGCCAGGCCCCAGTAGGCCATGGCACAGCCGGGATCGGCCCGGATCGCCTTGTCAAAGCACTTGGCGGCTTCTTCGTGGTTGAAGCCGTAGGACCACACCAGCCCGCGGTCAAACCACGTCTGCGCCTCGGGGCGGGCGGTGGTGACGGGGCGGGAATGCGAGCCGAGATCGTAATAGTCCATGCTGGGGGCGGCGCGGGGAGATGAGATATACGCTCGGGGCCGTTTTAAGTGCCAGATGAGATGGATTTGAGCAGATTATTTGGAAGGAGCACTCTGTTATACCATGTTAGGAGTCACCCCGCTCTGGGCGGATATAACGCGACAGGAGAAGAACGCTTAGATGCGCGGAAGTTGTTGGACTCGCCCTGGCAAGTCAGAGGTCGCGCAACTCTGAACCCACGGAAAGTGATACTGAAAGGAGCATTTGCCAATTTAAAGCGTTTGTCATTTACCGCAGTACACACTCTAAAGATGGCCTGTTTCCAAAAGCACGAACAAAGGGGAGGCATTCGAGTGCCAGGGTGTTCTACTAACCGCATCGTTTGGTTGAGGAAAAAAAAATCGAGCTTCAGCAGGCTGTATTTCACAATATATCTAGGAAAATGCAATATCCCTAATATGTTGATTGTTTCACGTTGACCGTTGAATACGCGGGTTTCATCTCAGCCGCGATGGCTTACATGGCTGCCTGCTGCAGTCCTTCCAAAAGCGGAAATCCACCGACAAGAGGACCAACCAAAGACGGATTCGAGAAATGGAAAGCTGGTTCTCGATGATTCTAGAGAATTCGGACCATTTCGAGCTCTTTCGAGAAATTCTACAGTTGCCCACTATGGTACTCTACGCCGCAGTCCTGGTCGTAGAGTGACTATTTAGGTAGCTTAGTGCCCAAGGCCGGTGCTGCAAACGAATTCTCCAACACTCCCTCTATCAACCAACCATCCCATCTTACTTGACCCCTCCCATCCATCTTCCATCATGTCTGACTACTCCAAGCTCCCGGCCGCGGCTACGTTGGCCGTCCGTCCATTTACCGCACGCGCGCCCGAGGAAAAGGTACAGCACTTTCAGCAGCTCCTCGCCCTGTCGCCCATCGGTCCCGCCGTCTTCGAAAACACGCACAACGGGCGCGCATATGGCATCACCAGAGACTGGTTGCAAGACGCGAAAGAGGCATGGCTGCGAAATTTCGACTGGCGCCGATGCGAGGCGCGCATAAACTCGTTTCCCAACTTTCAAGCCACGGTCGAGGACACGGACGGCAACACCCTCGACGTGCACTTTATGGGCTTGTTCTCGGAGCGCGCTGATGCGATTCCGATTGCCTTTCTGCACGGGTGGCCAAGCTCGTGCATCTCCTTCATGGACATATTGGATCTGCTCAGGGAAAAGTACACGGCGAGAGACTTGCCGTACCATGTCATTGTGCCGTCGCTGCCGGGCTATGCCTACTCGTCTGGGCCACCCATGGACAAGGAGTTTGGACTCGTCCAAGCCGCGGGCGTTGTTGACAGCCTCATGATTGGCCTGGGCTTCAAAGACGGCTATTTGGTGCAAGGCGGTGACTTGGGAAGCTTCCTTAGTCGCATCTTGGCCCTGACGTCCGACTCCTGCAAAGGCATGCACGTCAATATGATGACTATCCCCGGTGGACAAGAACCAGGGGATGACTTGGAAAAAGCCGCGCTCGAGAAGGCGAAAGAGGCCGTCGATACGGGAATGGCGTTTGCTCTGGAGCAGGGCACACGGCCGGCCACAATCGGCCTTGCTCTAAGTGCCAGCCCTCTCGCACTACTTAGCTGGTAGGCCTTTTGAACAATCCACCAGGATATATTGGTGCTGACTTTTGACATAGGATTGGTGAAAAGATGCTGGCGTGGACCGACCAAGATCCTCCTCTGGAAAAGATTCTCGAGACGGCCACCCTGTACTGGATGACAGACACCATCTCCCGATCCTTTTGGCACAACCGAGCCATGGCCGGCGACGGGGAAGAACCAAAGATGGCTCGCCTCTCCGTTGTGAGTCGTCCCCGCGCAGTGGTCTCTCGCTTCTGTAACTCGATGAATTTCGGCGCTGACAAGCTCATAGGTGACCTCTATGTCGATGATCAAGCTACCATTTGTCCACAAACCCACGGGGTACTCGCTCTTTGCTCACGAGATTGTTCCTGTTCCGCGCAGCTGGGCCGCCAAAACATGCAACCTCGTTTTCTTCAATCATCACGAGGCAGGCGGGCACTTTGCGGCAAGTCAAAAATCACACTCCCACAATCGAATGATAGCTAACAATATACAGGCAATGGAACAGCCTTTGGCATTGCTTGAGGATGTGGAAAGTTTCGCCAAGGTGGCTTGGAGCCGTGTAAGGGAGCCTTGAGTTTATGATTGAAACGCAGAGCAGGTGGCAAGCAAATATTCCAACGAACCCCAATCTTTTTTTACTTACATTGAAAAGTATCGAACAATTTCATCTTCTCTGTTGCTTGTTATTTCCAAGCGACTAAGGGTACAGGTGCGTCCTGCCGAGTATGGCGTCGACGTACAAAAAATTGCCGTATACTTGGAGCGAAGCCACATCGTTGCGCGGCTTTCACAACCACGGCATTACTCCTCACAGCCGACGGGTGTAAGGGTTCTACGGGTCACCAAAAGGCCTATACGTATACCTTAAAGCCCCCACAATGAAACATTGAACGCGCCAGCTGGCCACGTTTCACCTTGTGTTTGCTTGACTCGTCGTCTTCCAAACGCGTCTGTCTATTTAGTTGGGGGGCCTCCTCCCACCATAGCTGTCAAAACTACTTTCTCAGAAAAACATTGACATTTGGACGCAACCAGGAAAAAAAAAACATGCAGGAATCACTCTTGTCCCTCCTTTGCAGCGAGACTTGGCACTGGGATTCTGAGGACGCGAACCAAATCACGTTTCATGAGAACGGGACAGGCAAGGTAAACCTGGCATAGACACAGATCCATCATATAGTCCGTGTTAACAATTTTCACAGTTGATATGTCGCACGGAGCTCAATGTCTGGATTGCCGCCGAATTTGACTGGCAGCCACATGGCCAACAAGTATTCAGCCGAATGGTTGACGCTGCCAAGCATGACAGCTCGCCAGTCAACCTTCAGGCAAAAGTCGATATGACACTTACACAGCGCCGGATCCCGAAAATTGGAAACGCAGACATGAGCAAGTATAACATCAACGAGTCGCTGCTAGTACAAGCCGCCTTTGAGCCAAAGACGTACACGATGACTCTTGAGAAGGGAACCTTTTTGAGCCCCTGCGACGCTCAGTTTCCCGAGTACCTGACGGAGCACACGCCGAGGTTCCAGCTTCGTCTGACGTTTGATACGTCGCCATACCCACCGCGATGTGAGTGGCAGAAGCCGCAGGAGGGCCCGGATGCGATCAGGTTTTGGGAGTGGAAGCAGTTTTGTGGGCGGAATCACGTCTGATGAATGTCCATGGATAGCTTTTAACGAGATCTTTCATTATAAGACTTTCTTTTTCTCTTTGAACAGTCACTTTATCCAAGTTGCACTAGGTCTTGCTCGTGTCCTTGTACCGTCACGGCGAAAAGTTGGCGGATTCAAGAATATTGGCAAGCTGCCATAGTATTCCATAAGTATCCATCAAAATGAAGAAATATGTTGATCTTCCTGGTTTACTTGACATATTCCCCCCTTTTCTCTGGCTTCTCCAACGCGCTCTGACTGTCATTGCCATCGCTCCATCACCATAGCTCCTCCCGCGCGCCTTGTGCAACCCGGAAGTACCATTAACGACTCTACACCATGCACTTCTTGTTAAACTCCAGCAGGTAGGTTTGGTTGAAGAAGCCCTGTCATTCCATGTTAGCGCGGCGCCGTCCCGACGTTCAAGGGAAAGAAACGAAGCGAAGAGTAAAGGGAACTCTTTGCATCGGGGCACACTTACGTCAGGCTCACTTGGCCGATTGGCACAGCAAGTCTTCTTATCCGCGTTACCCTTGCACTTGCTCTATAACACGTAGAAAAAAATTAGTCATTGCCTTTGCGATGTTACGATTGTAGGGGTCCCGAATACGTACAGCTTGCTTACAACCCTAGAGAGGCAAAGGAGATTAGTAAAACCGCAGAATGAAACCAAGAAGAGTCGAAAACGTACAGCAGCTTGCCATGCGCGGAAATTGCAAAAGTACTTGTTCCAACCAGTGCAGTTAATAGGGTCTAGTTTGTCGCAGGGTAGGTCCTTGAACGAGGGCTCATCGGTCTTTTGAAGCGTGTACTGCGGCACAGCGGCCCTCATGTAGCCCGTATAGAAAACACCGGCCTATTATTCATCTCGGATCAGCAGCTGCCAATTTTAGCGCTCCTGGGGAGAGCGAACTTACTCCAAAGGGAAGAATATCTCTGTCATCAGCGCACTTCTTGGCCTCTTGGCCAGTTTTGCCTTTACACTGGGGTGCCTGGGTAAAACGAGCCTTGTTAGCGTGCTGGTTTTGCAAGGCTCTATTGACGTGGGAAAATCATCCAACCTGTTTGCATCCCTAGAAAAATCGCCTCTTGTTAGTTTCTGTTGTTGTAATGGCCAACGTTGACGTTGTTCCTTTCTTGGACGGGGTTTCATGAATACGTACAGCCCATTCCCAAGTGCGGAGCTTGCAGCCCTTGTTATTCAAGCCACTGCAGTCGATGCGATTGCCATTCTTGAGCAGCTCGGCGCAATTAATCTTCTTACCCGCGGGCTTGGCCGGTGTGGCTGGTGCTGCGACGTCTTCGTTTTGGACGTTTTGGCAATTCTCGAGGTACAGTTGATAGTCCTTGTGACCCTATCAAAGATTTAGAAACTCTCGACCATGTGCTATGATATTTTTTGTTGTAGAGTCAACGCACCGTTGTTGGGGGGCTGCCATTACACAGAACTTCATTGTCGGCGGTATTTGCTGCGTTGGCAAGGCCGGCGCCGAGGAGCAGCAAGCCGGAGAATAGAGATGATGGGAAATGCATAGTTTCTCTGCAGAGATGTGTCTGTTTGCTAGGTTCTCTCAACAATCTTGCACCAGTAGAGGCTTAGAAACAAATTGAGTGTGATGGCTGAGGGGAGAAGGACGTATAGTTGAGACGGGCTGCACTCTTAAATCAACAACGCCGAGTACGTCTTTAAAAGAAACTCGGATCTAAATCCAGGAATACAAGTTGCGCTTAGAGAAAGTAAGATAGTCGCATAAGAACGAGTCATTACAGCATTATTTATTAGGAGCAAGGGTTTGGCTGCTTAGGGTTCTGTCATGTAGTGATTTCCAAGAGTCTTAGAGTCTAAGCCTTAGTTGACAAGCATAATGCGAACTTGACAGTTTTATCGTAGGTGTATAAGCATAAGAGAAATGACAAGTCGCAAGGCACAGCCTTGTCTAAAAATTGTAGGCTATGTTCATCGCATAAAGTCATGCGAGATGGACACGTGCCAGCATCAGTACTTAATTTCCAATGTGTTTCCCACTAAAGTTTATGTACCTCAGCTAGTGCAGCACTTCCAACGCCACCATCTCAAGATGCCGCCAACCCTTCAAGCCACGGTGAGCAAATTCCTCCTCCACTATATCCTGGACTTTATAGCTCGTTTACCAAGCGCCATGACTTGTTGCAGAATTTTTGAGCGAGATAGCGCTGCAATTGTCAAGAAGGGAACAATGCTCCTCGGCTAATGAATAGCGTACAAACGTTTGCAATTTATACCCTCTTTTGTGACCGCTGCGGACAGCTGCGCACGAGAAGTTATAACCTTTAAAACACAACTACAATAAAGCTGAACTACCTGTTTAAGAAGTGTCAAAACCACGCAAAATTTAAGTGGCAGGTGGACTTGTACAATGTAACCAACAGCTTACGCAACCCCAGCGCTTCCAATAATCCTGCCCCACGCCCTGCATGTCGAAAGATCCGATGTTTCCCTCTACCCCGTATGTAGTGCATAGAAAATATTACGGATCATCAGTAGCATTACTCGGTGGCATAAACACATCCGGAGCAGAAGGCCAGTGTACTCGGCGAACGAAGTGCCGAACTCAAAGGCAGAAGCGCATGGAACAGCATGCGCAAACAGTATTCCTCGGTGGCATAAAAATGTCAGATTTTTTAGTCAGTTTGGTTAACTCGGCTAATGAAAAGCGCCAAACTTTATGGGAGGAATTGCATAGAAAATTATGCCGTGCGAGCAGTATTACTCGGTGTTCACTCGGCTAACAACAGGCGGTGAATTGGAAGGTGGACGTGTGTAGAAAAGAATATATGGTATTACTCGGTGGTATAAGAATATTAGGAGTAAATTAGGAGTCAAGGCTAGTTTTTTCTTCCGAACGATAAGTGCTGGAAGTATCAAGTATAGTATCATTTCTCCAAAGCCAGGTATTCCTAGACATACGAGATGAACTTATGTGCCCTTTGCTTAGGGAGCAATAAGATCCACCAACTTTAAAAAGAACCGGCAAACAAAGACCCCGTATTATAAACATGCCATAAGCTTGTTCCTGCAAATGCTTCGTCTGGTTTCAGACTATTGCCGGCGTGCAGGGGGCGGTGTACATTGTCATGGGTCGCAACGCAGGCATCAGCCAACATTTGCAATGCTGCCAACGTATTGTAATGCAAAATGTCTTGGATATTGTCAATTGCAACTCCAGATGTAGTGTTCATATAAGTAGACAGATGTGTGCTCGATTTCTACCGGGTCAATAGACTACAGTACAGTCATCCCGGCGAGAAGCAGTCTTTTTCTCGTTCCCTCTTTAAACAGTCATTTGCCAAGTTTATCAAGATGATTTTTCCAAAGCTGGCGCTCGTCGCCTCTGTCCTCGTTTCCAGCATCGCGGCCTCGCCCTACAAGACTAAGTCTGTAGAGAAACGAGGCCAGAATGTCATCATCGGGTACAGAACTGTTGGAAAGGTGCGTCAAACAATGTGATCCGGTTGCCTCTGGACATTAGCTGCATTGCATCTTCTCTTAGCATGGTACTAACGCTGCTCCTCAGGCACAAGCACAAGATTACATGGCCAAAAAGACGCTCACATTTACAAGACCTGCCCAGGGCCAACAAATCGGCGACGGCGTTTACACGTCTCCCGAGCCTGGCGAATGGCCTCTTACAACTGCTGAGCCTTGGTACGTAGTGATACCGAAACAAAAGACATAGAGAAAAAAGACTCCAGGGGCTATTGCAGGACTAACAGCTGGTAGGTATTGCGCCATCCTTGCCGATGCGGAGGCTCTCGCCAGTACGGCCAAGGTGTGGGTGCCAAAGGCGAGTTGGTTCAAGCCCGCGGAGATTGACAGCTTCATCACATCTCAAGGCCTGAACCCGCTCAAGACGATGCGCATGGCACTGGTTGGTAATTTCGAGAACCTGGAGCAGATGTTGATCCCCAAAGGGCTACTCAACAATGCAGGCGGTGGCCTGGGCATTTCGGTTCTGTGCAAGGAGAATCTGGAGGAGCTGCCCAAGGCGCGCGTCAACTACAAGGGCCGAGAATGGAAGAATGCCAAGGGAGAGCCGCAGACGCCGACCAAGGCTGCTGCTGCTGAAGAAGAAGCCGCTGCCGCTGAAGGCGCCGCTGCCGAAGAAGGCGCCGCTGCCGGAGAAGAAGCCGCTGCCGGCGAGGCCGTTGCTGCCGAAGGGAGCGCCGTTGCTGCCGAAGGAGGCGCCGTTGCTGCCGAAGGAGGCGCCGCTGCTGGAGGGGCTGCCGCTGCTGGAGGAGGTGCCGGAGGTGCTGTCGCAGATTTGATTGGCGACGCCGACCTCCAGACGGCGCTCAAGGCAGGCGAGGTTGGCGAGTACAGGTTCTTTGCGGCTCTCGAAGGTGCTGCCGAGGGTGCCGCCGAGGGTGCCGCGGCTGAGGCCGCCGGGGCAGAGGCTGCGATTGTAGAGGCCGACGCAATTGCTGCCGAGGTAGCTGCGGCCGACCTCGTCGCGGATACCGCAATTGCTTCGGCTGGTGAATCGGCTATAATTGGCGAGCTTCTTGAGGTGGTTGTCGTTGCCCTGTGAGAGGTGCGTTGGTAGTTGTCATGCTATGAACTAGGTAGATAGTAGACAAGGCCTTGGTTAGGAATTGGAACCACGTGGGTACGGTTTACCTGTCTTGTTTACTTGCCTAAGCTATAAAAATCGTAAAAAAATGTTACCCGTATCTTGATTATAATAGTAGAGATAATTCTATGCTGTGGTAGGTCGATGATTGTAGCTGGTGGGATGGATATCCGGCTGCAGGGACTCGGCTGTAGCTCCGGCGTAACAAGGTCCTGGAAGAAACCTCGGACACATTTTGACACTTCAGGTCAGTACTATTCGAATGATCAACAGCCTGAGAATGTTGGTTGCGTTACAGCCGCGTTCACAGGTTGCTCGTGTCTTCTAAGACTCTTTGCATGTGGATCCTTCCACACACCTTGGCACACTTCGACAACTGCCTCAAATAAACAGCCAAATAAACCCATGAACCAATGACAAAAATGTCAACTGACCACCACATATTTCAGCTCAGCTCGCGCAACCGCAAACTACCGAGCCCCGCTAGTTAGTGCCCCGCCAATCCCGCGATAGCGTCTGAAATCGTCACAACCCAAAGCCTCCAAGCCTGTGTTCAAGGTTGAAAATGCCTCTTTTCAACACTTGCCCCAAAACACTCTTCTTCCCCTCTTCTCTTTCCCCAGACCCTAGAAACCCCGCCGCCATGTCCGCCAACCAGCTGCCCCTCTCGCAAGGCACGCTCGGCCACCTGCTGCCGCCGAGCTGGAAGACGCAGGTGACGGCGTGGCTCGCCGAGGACACGCCGTCGTGCGACTACGGCGGCTTCGTCGTCGGCGAGCAGCCGCGCACCGCCACGCTCTGGGGCAAGTCGGCCGGCGTCGTCGCGGGGCGTCCCTTTTTCGACGAGGTCTTTGCGCAGTGCGGCTGCGCCGTGACCTGGCACGCCGCCGAAGGCTCCGAGATTGTCCTCAACACCAGCAGCAGCACCGCCGCCGCCGCCGCCGCCGCCGCACCCAAGCAGAAAATCGCCACCGTGACCGGCCCCGTCCGCGGCATCCTGCTCGGCGAGCGCGTCGCCCTCAACGCGCTCGCGCGGTGCTCGGGCATCGCCACGCGCAGCCGGGAGCTCGTCGGCCTCGTGCGCGCCGCCGGCTACGGAGGCGTATTGGCCGGCACGCGCAAGACGACGCCCGGGTTTCGGCTCGTCGAAAAGTACGGCATGCTCGCCGGCGGCGCCGACGCCCACCGCATGGACCTCAGCTCCATGGTCATGCTCAAGGACAACCACGTCTGGAGCCGCGGCAGCATCACCGAGGCCGTCGTCGCCGCCCGCTCCGTCGCCGGCTTCGCCGTCAAGATCGAGGTCGAGGTCCAGACCGAGGCCGAGGCCGACGAGGCCATCGCCGCCGGCGCCGATGTCGTCATGCTAGACAACTTTACCGGCGATGGCGTCAAGGTCGCCGCGCGCAGCCTCAAGGCGCGGTGGGCGGGCAAGAAGCACTTTTTGCTCGAGGTGTCGGGCGGCTTGACGAGGGACAACGTGGCCCCTTATGTGTGCAATGGTATGTGTTATTATGCTTTCCTTTTTCCTTTACTTTCCAACATTGGAATAAGCGACCCGCTAACTATTGCTGCAGATGTCGACATCATCTCCACCAGTTCTATTCACCAGGGTGTCCCGCATGTTGACTTTTCGCTCAAGATTGAGCACTAGCTGACTGTTGCTGGAACATGTACAATAGACTTAGACACGCTACATAGAAAAGACTCAATTGTACTATACAATAATCAATAGAGTTTCAATTTACTGGGTGCAGTTTATGTGACGCGCAGTCGTACGTTGTGTGTTTCCCTCACATGGAGCCTGGCATACATGCCCCCATCAGTGGGCACCAATTACTCCATTTGTTCCATTTGCCTCGGCCGCCTTGTCATCTCCGCCACAGCATGCAGCGAGTACGCTGGTCTCATTCTTCTTCGTAGGCACATCCAACGCTGGGTTCGCGGTGAAGTAGTCAGCCGGACGCAAATGCATCTGGTGGATTTCAACAGGCCTTGGAAGCATTAGCAATGACATTACGGTCCGCGAAGCAGTATGAAACTTACATGACTGGCCAATCCTCAACTCTGGGGTTGTGTGTGAAGCCGAATACACTCCATACGACCGGATCGCTCGTTTGGCCAGCGGGCTGCACTCCATCCACAGCAAAGTCATCACCGCGCTTGACCATGTCGGACACACCGCCCTCTTCGAAAGTGCTTTGATTGGTAAATTCACCCGCAGCCCACAACTCGCCGTCACGGTGACCAGTTATCCAGTAATTGTGCTCGGCGAAGCGCGCGCGCTGGGCGATGCGACTCTCCTTGTCCGCTAGCAGCATCTGAGTGGCGGGCGAGATGAGTTTGTAACCGACGCTCTTGCCCGAGATGGGGTTCTTCTTCGCCGGATTCTCCAGCTTGATGGTGCGGTTAAGGCGCACTTCCGAGTCAATCCAAGTAGCGCGCTCTACTACACTGCGTCGAATTTCGTAGTAATTACCGTATGGGTTGGTCTCTGCGTTCATCTTGTGGGGGTGGCTCTCCTCGACGACGACCTGAGTATGGCCTTTTTTGTCACTGCCAAAAAGATCAATGGCAGGGTCGATGCGCACAGCGAAAATGTGCTGATGATTCTGAGCTAAAATACCGGGCGAGACAACGTTGCCGTACTTGCTAGTCTTGCCGTCTTCGATACCAACGACACTCACCATCCCGGTGGCGCGTGTCTCAACGGTGATACCACCCGCTTGGTCAAATTTAAAGGCAAAAATGTACTCGTAGTTGGCTAGCGTGCCAATAAATTGAACCACAAACTCGCGCATGCGAGCGACAACGCCACGGTCAGTGCGAAAGTTGGTGTGCTTCCACAGAATACCACCGTCTTGTTCGTGAAGACAGACAACTGAGTCTAGCTTGGTCGGCGATCCGTCAGCAGCGGGAAAGCAGGCGTCAACATAGTGAATGGCACCCAGACAGTCACAGCCGAGCTTGAGACTGTTGGCGGCGCGACCGATTCCACCGTCGCCAAAGTCAAACGCCTGCTTCCGATGGAAAGGCGCGCGGGGGTCGCCGTATGGAACTGTGAGTTCGCTATAGCTAAGACGATAGAGAACGGAACGGTTGTCATAGCAAATGTCGTGAAGAACCGCTCCTTCGCGAGGGCTAATGGAAAGGCGGAAGCGCCACTTCTGCCACTCAATGAGGTTGTCGGGGTGGACTTTGAACGACGCACCCTCGGGCTGAACAACATTGAGAGGCTTGAGGTCAGCGCGAGCGGGAATGTCCAGTAGCTCGGGGGCGTATTCCGCAGCGACAGACTTGGCAAAGATGTTCCTTGGCGCCTTGGACGCAACGGAAGGCTCCATGCCATCTTCAGAACCTCCAGTAGGAAGGCGATCAACGCGGATGATTTCCTTGGTCGACCAGTCCATCACTGGGATCAGTGGGATGGGGTACGCATAATGGTTAGTGTCTGCATTGTTCTTGCGAGCATCGCGGACAAAGATGAGACCCTGCATAACTTTGGGGATGCCGTCATCCTCATCTGGACCGCCGTATGGCCATGGATCAATACAATACTCGAAGCCCTCAGGAACAGAGTACTCTTTGAGAGCTTCCTTGACCTTCTCAGACTTCATGCAATATCCTTCAAAAAGTTGGAATTCGTTGCTGGTGAGTGGTTCAGTAAATGAGTCCACAGGAGAGGCCATACCGACTTACACATTGTAGTGCGGGAATCCATTGTTCTTTCGTGGAATCTGATCATTAGAGAGGACCTGGCCGGTCGCAACATTCACCACAGCACGGTGAAAGAGCTGAGAGTTTGCTGTAAGCACGTCGTACTCGACAAAGGCGGTTCTAGTGGGGCGCGGGGTGGCGTCGGTCAGGCGGCCGGCATGCTCGGCTTCGAGGAACGCCAGCAGCACCGTCTTGGCCGGCTCTTGAAGATAGATGGTACGGAAGAAGAGCGGACGGCCTGCGCCATGTATTTCGAGAATAGCATCACGAGCCTTGGCGAATTCGAGCCGGGATAGCTCAGCCAACGGATGCGGGGCCGAAACCACGGGGACGGTCATCTGAAAGTCTTTTTATAGCACACGGGTTTTATAAAACAGGATAAGCTTTGTGGTTGTTTCATGCCCGGAAACACCCCCATCTCCAAGAGACTAGTCAATCTGATGGGCGGTAACCTATGGGTCAGCTGACAGGTACTCCTAGGTGTCTGAGAAGGAAATGAAGACGTTTCGAAAGTTGAAAGTCAAGACGGTGATGCGTCAAGGAGACTAGAGGGTGCCGCAAGGATATAAGAACAAACATTAACTGCCCCTCGTTATCGGCTAAGCCTTGGCGGCGAGTTATCTGGGCGGTTTATGCAGTACTGAGGTGGAGTAGTGTGAACGGCGTCCAGAACTGGCTAATTCATGAGAGCAGTACCCGCATCACAGATCAGAAAACGCGCGGATTCGATGGGATGAAAGATGTCGTGGGGAGGGGACCCCGCGGAATCCGTGAAGGCCGAAACCAGTACTGTAATAAGCAATCGTACATAGTGGTGATGCTGTGGCAAGACATCCTGATGCTCGGAGTCTCGACCGGCGACCATAAGAGCGATACGGTTGTTATCACTAGGGCGGATATAGTATGAGAGGAGGTGCGCCCTCCCATTTACATTGTCTAACATTCCACCAGTTGGGGGAGAGTGTGGGTTGTACATCTGACCAGTAACGACCGAGGTCGAATGGAGGAGGGCAAAATGAAAGTCGGCGCTGCGCTGTCGGGAAAGCATGTTGGCCGGCGCATCATGATCAATGAGCCATTGAGACTGCTCTTTGAAACAAGTGGTTGCAAGCTCTCGTTGTCGAATTGCGGAGCTTCTAATACAATGAATGATAATTAGCCTTGATAGGTGACTTCGATTCCAGGGTCCAGTCAAGGCAATGCTGAAACTCAGCCAGGAACGGCACGGCTTGCTACTTCAGACTGCATGCAACTGCTGCTAGCTTGTCGCACTGCCCTTGCGACGGAGTAACAAGCTTTAGCTTATTATATAGCTAGTCGACGTTGCATTATCGGTTGCGTTGGCTGACCATTTTGCATTGTCGTCTGCACCAATTCGAGGTCCAGTCATTCATTGTTGAGATCTCTTCATTGTTCACTCGCTAGCTGTGCTCAGACGTCTGTTAAATGAAAAACCGAGCGGCGTCCATCCGCGGACTGAGGGTCAGAGACATGTGGTGCAGTGATAGTGGGGGTTTGGCTGAGAGCTGTGAGACATGGTATCCGTAACCGGGGGGCTGCATTCCAGAGCGTCGAAAGGAACAGCGTGAAGCAAACAATCAACCAAAATTTCGAAGCCAAATGACGTAATTATCCAGGGGTCTGCTTCTGGAGTAAAATTGGCGGGATTGAATTTCCACTGTGTGCCTGTGCCGAGAAGTCAGCGTGGCTGTAGCCTGCAATACAGTAGTAGGTACCTACCAACCTACCTACCTACCTACCTAGGCTGTCGCGCGCTTCCCCTATCGAGATTGCAGGGTCACTGCGGAGTACACAGATGCTTGTAGTGTGCGTGTGCTCGAGAACCATGTGTCGACCATTGTCCTATGGCTGTGTCCACGGTAGCATTAAGGAATGAATGAGAGCCGGGCTGCATAATACGCCCAGTTAACATTTGGCCGTGGGATTATTGGAATTGTATTGACAATTGTATTGGCAAAGAAAGGGAGACGACGGCGACGCCCTTGATGGGGGTCGGAGCCAGCGGACGGCATCAGAAACAAGCGGGCGGCTCTTTAGGCATAAAGCATCATGCAGCGCAATGCGAGGCTGGCTTATGGTAGGACCGATGATGAGTAAATGCGATGTGCGATAACTGCCTATGCTAGATGCTCGATGCTAGCGCGGCGGAACCGTTGACCGGATGGAATATTCGACATTCCATTGACGAGGGCCATTGGAAACGGGGTTCATGTAATTCCAGTATTGACAACCGAGATGAGATGACGTTTGTTTGGCCGACTGGTGTCGATCAATGGGCGCACAGCTTGCATGCAAGCGTGTTGCTTGAGACAAGTCGGGCAAGAAAAGGATCACCACGGCTGCTATCCGCGTCGGGGTCGAGTTTCAGGACCAAAACGAATGTCGATTGTGGGACGAGTCAGCACGGAGGCAACGAGAAGATGATCACGAGAAACGGCGAGTACTTGCGTTGATCCGTATCCACTGGGAAGCCACAGGACTCGACAAACGGTTGGCTTTGCAGCTGGCATGCAAATGCAAACAGAGCTCGCAGCTGGCGACAGCAGCTCGCAGCTGGCAAGTTTGACTGGTGTAGAACAGGGACGAGCTACAGGGCCCCTGTACCTAGAATCCACCAAATGCCCTGCCTGTGCCCACTGTCGAACCAGCACTGCCCATCACTGCCAACTTGACCAAAACCCCCTGTTGCCAAAACGTCACAGCCGTCCCTCCCCACCACACATCTCGTTGGCCCCCTATTTTCGCCCTTGGGTCTTGCTTAGCCGTATTGTATCCACATTAAAACACCACTTCGACGGCTTTTTGCCTTTTCCCTTCGTGATCATTTTTTGTCCTTTTCGTCTTCGTTCCCTAAATCTTGTCTTCGCTTCTTCCGTGCTCTTTTAAGCTTCTGTATCTACACCTTGAAAGCATCACTTCTTTCGCTCATCTATTTCTTTTCTCTTGCGCCCCTCTTCGGCAGTCGCTATACCACCGCTGTCGTAGACCCTCCTCGTCGAGAGCTGCGCCTCCAGCTGAGACGAAGCATACGTCGTCATCACCCCCCACCACGCCTTTTCGAATCCGTGGCTGATCCTCGACCTCAATCGGGCTTGCGTGGCTTCTGCAGACTCGAAGCTGTGACTTCACTTCAACTTTCAACTTTATCCATGTTGTTATAGTACATCACCAACTCGATTTCCGCCTTGACCGGCTCGACTACAACCTAATACGCATTACCACCTAAACACCCGAACAACGACGTGAAACCGTCTGCCAACCGCCCCTCGTCGACAGAGCAGACCCGAAAAAATGCTGAACTCGCGTCGCGCCGTTATCGCGGCGGCATTTCTGCTGACCGTCTTCTTCTTCGTATCTCTGTCGCATCGATCGTCAGCCTCGTCGAGCACATTCGCTGCCGCAACAACGGCCACAGCCGCCACCGGCGGAGTCGCCTCGACAGACGCCGCCACACGGCCAGGTAGCCGTACCACCGCTCAGAAACCATTGATTGACATGTCCCACATGTCAACTATCGACAAGCTCTCTTACACCTATCCGTACGATGTCGAGAGAAAATTTCCCGCTTACATCTGGCAAACCTGGAAGCACACGCCTGCCGACGGCGAGTTCCAATTCCGTGATCAAGAGGCTTCATGGACCGTTCTGCATCCCGGATTTGTCCACGAAGTCATCACCGACTCGGTTGCCCTCAGCCTGTTGCGCATGCTCTATGCGTCTGTCCCCGAAGTCCTTGCGGCGTACGAGGCCCTTCCCCTACCTGTTCTCAAGGCAGACTTCTTCCGTTACCTCATCCTTTTTGCCCGCGGTGGCATTTACTCTGACATCGATACATATGCTCTTCAGAGCGCCGACCTGTGGATTCCAAAGGCCATCCCCCGCGAGAGTGTCGGGTTGGTGATTGGCATCGAGGCCGATCCGGATCGCGAGGACTGGGCTGATTGGTACAGCCGCCGCATTCAGTTCTGTCAGTGGACCATTCAGAGTAAACCTGGCCACCCTGTTCTGCGTGAGACTATCACACGCATTACCAATGCTACACTTACCCTCAAGGCAAATGGCAAGCTCAGCAGCATGCACGGCAGCGAAGGCGTCGTCGACCTGACGGGCCCTGCCATCTGGACCGACACTATCATGGACTATTTCAATGATGCTCGATTCTTCGACATGACGGCAACTCAAGGCAAGATCGACTTTCACAACTTTACTGGCATGGAGGCCAGCAAGCGCGTCGGCGACGTAGTCGTACTTCCCATCACTGGCTTTTCTCCAGGTGTCGGTCAGATGGGTGCCAAGGATTACGACGACCCAATGGCGTTTGTTAAGCATGATTTCGAGGGTAAGCTCAAAATAAATAGATTGGCAAATCATGGCTAACAAAATCCTCAGGAACTTGGAAGCCAGAAAGCGAGCGACACATTGGCGAAGTGCAGGACTCATAGCATGCCTTTGCCTCTGCCGTCGGCATTGCTCGCTAGCCGCTGCAAATAGCATATCAAATTTCGCTGCGTGCGACGGATTTGACACGGGGCGTTTTCTTTCCTTTTTTTCGACTATTATATAATTACAATCACAACTAGGCGGCCGGGACTGGTTCCTCCGCTGTTGTTGTACTATTTTCCCTGTCTCTCCCCGATGGAGACGGGATCGTTTGGGCGTTTCTAATTTGCCCCTTTGTTATGAGGGCCGCAAGTGCTGGGATTAGAGAATACGTGAAGGACAAGCTGGACTAGGCGAGGTACTGCGCTGCACTCGAGATGGAAGAGATATCCGCGGGCAATTATCTTTTCTAGACTCTCCGAGAGGGTCTGTTCCATTTTGTACCATATTATCATAGAATCGATTGCAGGCGTTTTTGCCCATGGCGAACGGGTACACGGTTAGTATCCAATGGAAAAATAGACAACAAGACAACAACAATTTACACGCTCCGCAACTTGATTCTTGGGCAGCTTCGATGCTTGGACTCGGACTTGTATTGATTCGGTAGTTATGACGAATACAAACACCACCCAGGACCCCACTCCAATACAGCTTTACTAATGTTCCAACGTCAACTCGTTGTCTGAACGTCTTCGTGTCGTCGACGAAACCAGACTCGGAGGCGTAGACACCACCGATAACTCGGAGCCTTGTTTTTTATTTGTGATTGACTTCATTGTGGAAACATTTCAACGGATGATTTACTAGTTTTCGTCAACATGTAGACAAGCATCATCCTCATTTTATCTCATTTTCAACCTCGACACGATTGCGATGGCCACGTTACCCCAGGTTCCGAGAGCCGCGCTAACGCGGGTTGCCGTTCGATGTTAGCTTTTCCGTTAGGGAGCTCCAAAAATGTTTCCACCCCAACATTTCATTTCCCGGTCCCCTCCCCTCCCTCTTCACCAACCCTGCCCGGTTACCCGTAACGAGGTCTAGCCGATGCGGCAGAGCGGAATAACCAACTACAAGCGGTCTAATACGTTTGGAACGGACAGAAGAGCGGCCCCATCTCACGCATCTCACTTTCTGCCCCCTTCTCCAACCTCTCCACCTATAGCATCACTTTTAGGTTTCCAGGCCTGCCCTGTTCTTCTATTTTGACAAGGTCAGGCTGTTCTCTATTGATATTTATTTTATTTCGTTTTCGCCTTGCGTGTCCGAGGTCCATTAGGATTATTCTTTCGTCCATTTTTTCCCCCGCAGTATAGAGACCTGGGCGCGCCGCGCAAACTCATGATGCTCGCCGCCGGTCGTGTTCTCGTGCGGAGAAGCGTCCTCCGTGGGGCGGCGCAGCGGCGATGTCTGGCAACCGAGGGATTGAGCATACGCACAGGTCCAAGCGAGGTACGTGTATTCGTTCAACTCTCAGATGCATGTTTTCCTCTATCAATGCAACACGAAAAAACAAGCGCACGGCAGCGCAATGGCAGGGCGGATTACCCACCGCCCGCTCTCACAGGCTTGGCTCCAGCGCCTCATCGCGATGCCCTCACCAGGTCTCTCTACTCGCTAACACGCGCGCACAGCCCCCGTTATATAAAGGCACCATCCCGGAGCACTTTGCCGCCACCGTCTCCGCCCACGGCGACCGGCCCGCCATCATCGCCCGCTCGCCCACGCCGTCGGCTTCGCACGAGACGGCCCTGTCCTACTACGAGCTCGACCTGCTCTCCAACCGTCTCGCGTCGTCCCTGCGCTCCCTGGGCGTGTCCAAAGGCGACCGCGTCGCCGTCTCCCTCGGCAACAACGCCGAGTTCGCCGCCCTCACCTACGCCCTCTTCAAGCTCGGCGCCGTGCTCGTCCCGCTCAACCCGAGCTTCAACGCCGGGCAGGTCGTCGCCGCGCTGCGCCACCTCGCCGTCGGCGTCCTCGTCATCGGCGCCGTCACCGACACCGCGTACCGGCCCGGCCGCGGCCGCAGCAACGAGGCCCTGCTCACGCAGCTCGCCGGCGGGGACCTGCGCGGCGGCGCGCTCGCCTGCCCGGACGTGCCCAGCCTGCAGAAAGTGCTCGTCGTCGACAACCGCGCCAGCCACCCGGCCGTCCGGTTTGACCTCGACGCGTGCCGGCGGGTGCTGACCCCGTACCGGCACCTTCTCGATGGCGCGGACCGGCCCGTCACGCCGTCGGCGCCGCTCGCCCCCGACGACACCATCAACATCCAGTTCACGTCGGGCACCACCTCGACACCCAAGGCCGCGCAGCTCACGCACGCCGGCATCCTCAACAACGGCCTGCTCATTGCGCACCGCATGGGCCTCGACGCCGGCGACCGCGTCGTCGTGCCGCCCCCGCTCTTCCACTGCTTCGGCTCCGTGCTCGGCTACATGGCGACCGCCACGACCGGCGCCGCCCTGCTCTTCCCCAGCCCGGCGTTCGACCCCGTCGCGACGCTGCGCATGTGCGTCGACCACGACGCCACCGGCCTCTACGGCGTCAGCACCATGCTCGTCGCCGTGCTCGAGGCGCTCGAGGCCGGCCAGTTTGTCGACGGCCCGCCGCGGCACCTCCGCAAGGGCATCGTCGCCGGCAGCTCCGCGCCCGAGTCGCTCATGCGCACCATCTACGACCGCCTCGGCCTGCAGGACCTCGTTATTTGCTACGGCATGACCGAGACCTCCCCCGTCAGCTGCATGACGCGCCCGTCCGACTCGCTCGCGCTGCGGTGCGCCTCGGTCGGCACCGCCATGCCGCACACGTCGATCAAGATTGTCGATCCGCTCGACCACACCCGCGTCGTGCCAATCGGCGAGCGCGGCGAGCTCGCCGCCGCCGGCTACCTCGTCATGAAGGGGTACTACGGCGACGCCGCCAAGACGGCCGAGGTGCGCGTCGCCGACCCCGACGACGGCACCGTGTGGCTGTATTCCGGCGACGAGGCGGAAATGGACGCCGACGGGTACGTGCGCATCACCGGCCGCATCAAGGACCTCATCATCCGCGGCGGCGAGAACATCCACCCGCTCGAGATTGAGGACTGCCTGTTCCGCATGCCCGGCGTCAAGGAGGCCAGCGTCGTCGGCCTGCCCGACGAGAAGCTCGGTGAGTGTGTTGCCGTGTTTGTCATTGCCAGGCAGGAGTGGACCGTGGAAGGGGCCAACGGTGCGGCGGCCCAGACGGCGAACGCGGAGGCTGCCGGGGAAAATGTGCTGACGAGAGGGGCGGTGCGGGAGTGGGTAAAGACGAGGCTGTCGAGTCACTTGGTACCAAAATACATCTTTTGGGTCGGCGAGTACCCCAAGACGGCGAGCGGCAAGATTCAGAAATTCAAGCTGCAGGAGCAGGCCAAGACGCTGCTGGCAGAGCAATAGCATGTGGCAATGGGATGCTGAAAGTACAGCTAGAAGACGCGGGAAGTCATGTCCGAGACGTTGGATACCATGTAGCAATAGCATATGATGAATCATCAAGCATTTTTTATACTACCTCCTCTGCCAAGTTGCGATTCATATACATGTGACTTAACAACCACGTCACGGCATCCGATCAACAAATGGGTAGTAGGAATGTGTATATAAAATGAAACAAATCTAAACTATTCTTAGCTCATACAATCGAGAGCTGTTCTAGCAGGTATGATCAGAATGCAAGTCTTGTCCTTTGTTTCTTGAAAAAAAAGAAGTCATATCGGCGCAATGTAAACCGTTTGCGGCAGCGGCTAAACGTAGGTATCCCAGATCCATGTAAGAAAACGGAGAGCGAGGAAAGAGATAAAAAGATAACGACACAAAAGCGCAAAAGGAAGCCCCAATCAGCAGCTGATTGGGCCATGTCGAAAAGAAACGCGATTCCTCAAATGAAAACGAACCCAACTCCAAAACACCCAAGATCAAATCGTCTGGTCGCGGTCAAACAACGTCGCTTTTTGCATTTACTCGACCGTCTTCTCGCAGCCAATTCGGCCCAGAAGCTCCTTGCGGTCGCTGGGTCCGGACAGATTGACGCCAGAGCTGTTAGCCTGCCGCTTGATGCCAGACCGACGCTCCCAGCTTTTAAAGTCAAGAGCCTCAACGCCCACGTCCTCCTCCAAAGCCTCCTCATAGATGTACTCCTCTTCCTCCTCTTCCTCGTCGTCCTCGTCGTCACTGCGCGTGTCTTCGGCGCCGTCACCACGCAACACCTTGACGGCAACACGAATAATCATGGTGAACCAGATAATGGTGATGACCTGCAGGGCGAGAAGAGGAGCGAGGAAAGCCCACTTGATAGAGTCGTTGAAGCAGACATTGCCGGTGCTGTTGTAGTAGGGTTCAAGAAGATATCCCATACCCTGGGGAGGGTCATGAGGACCGACAAGATTGGCATTGGTACCGGTGTAGCAGCCATAAGACAGGACCTCGGGAATATGCGCATAGATTGACCAGCAGACCATCATGTAAATGACGTGACGCGCCGCGAACCATGAAATCATAAACAGGCCAAAGACGTAGTCACATGCAGTAGTGAAGCCGCTGTACTTGAGACACTTGGCAGCCTAGGGCGAGTTAGCAGGTTTAGCTTGACATAGGCGCACATGTTGGGCACATGTCGGGCACATGTATTGGGAAAGATCAACATACGGGGAGGAATAGGTCAACGACGTCCATGATGACGAGGATAAGATTGCCAACACGGGTTTGGTGGTAGCAGTAGCAGGAGGAGATGAGAAGGGTGGTGATGATGTGGTGGCTAAACATTTGCCAGTGGTCCTTGCGACGGTCCTCGATGTTGATGACAATGATCTGCTGGAGCCAGAAAGCCCACTGCGCCAAAATGTAGCCTTTCATGAGGCCATCCATTTCCCTGTTGGGCCAGTTGGTCCAAAGCTCACGCATATTGAGCCAATACGGGGACTGGTAATAGATGTACTGTGGGAAGCCGTTAGCAGCGAATTCGGGCAGTTGAGCAAGCGCGTTCGACCTACGGCGCCCATGGTCCAAAAGACACTGTAATAGACAAAGAGCCAGCCCTGCTCAGTGAATCGGGTCAAGTCCTTGCGGTTGATGATGCCGCGAGACCGGCCGACTGGCGCGAGCATGTACTCCATACAGCCGGCGCGGAGGCCGGTAAAGAGGACGATGAAGAAGACAATGACGTGGACATCGTCAGCGCCAATGGCATAATTGCCAGTATGTGGGTTAAAGTACGAGAGGTGGAAGAACTTGTTGGTGTACTCGCGGGCCTTGGGGATAAAGGCGTTGGCGAGGAAGAGCAAAGCGAGGAGGTTAGCCGAGAGACCTAGTGGAAGCGAAGCATACGTTAGCTTTTTCCCCCTGTTGCGCTGTTTTGTATAAATCGACAATCGTGGGATTCAGGCGCTAGAGGGCGCCATGCAGGAGTAGGACAGGGACGGAGGGTATAAATTCATTCGTACCGATTTGGTTCTCGACAAACCAGCGCGACAGCTGTTTCCAGGTGCCCTCGTCTTTTCGCTTCGTCCTACGAACGAGGACGGCACTGGAGCTCGAGGTTTGCATGTAGAGCGGGCCGTTCATATTGGGGACGTTGGAGCCCGTCTTGATTGTAGGATGGATCGACTTGGCCGTGGCTGGCCGGTCGTCGACGGACGTCGAGGGTGTCTTGTCCATTGCGACGGGTGCGGGATGGCTTTCTTCGGCCAGGCGAGGTAATTGAGACTCGAGGCAAACGAGTTTGAGGGGTATAGGCAAGAGAGTCTGCGCAGCGGTCGGGCCTGGAAACTGGAGCAGATCAAGGTGGCGGGGTGGTGAACTTCACTTCCCCCTTCCTTTCTGCTTCGTGGTTGCAACTAAGCCGTAGCGGAGCTGGCGCCAGCACGGTGTAGGGAGCCTGGCAGAGGTGGAGGGAGGTGACGGGAGCAAGATTCGAAAAAGATGCAGTCGAATTGATATCAGTCAGAAATAGGAGACGAGACGAGAGGACACTGCACGGTTGATCTTGGTGCCAGGCGAATGGCAGAGGGCGAGGTTGGTTGCGCAGGGCTCAGGAGAAGTGTGAAGTGTCTGAGCGCCAGTCGAAGGAAAAAAAGCTGGGTGTGGGAGGAGGAGGGGAACTGGTGTTGTTGAGACGGGGTCCTGGGAGGACAAGACGCAAGGACACCAGCACAAAGAAAAAGGGAACGGAGAAAAAAAATATCGAGGGAGGAATGACAACGAGGCAAACGAGCGTTCGCTGAGGAAAACTTATTTTTCCCTCGAATGCTGCAGAGTCTTGAGCAGGGGATAGATAGGTAACTAGAGGTAACGAGGTGAGGAGAGGAGATGGAGAAGGAAGAAACTTGGTGGAGTGGTGGCTTATTAGCAGGGCTGCGACTGGACTGGGGCGAACGACGTGTTGAGAGAGGGTCGAGGAGCTTGTTTTGCAGCTAATAAATGAAGGTTTGGACGGCTAATAATAATTGGAAAGTATTGCCCTGCGCGGGGAGAGGGCAGAGAGTGACATGCGGCGGATTATCTGGATTATCTGGACCATATTTGCATTACAGACAGGCCAAGTTGCAACTTGTGGGAGGGTGGGGTTACTTCGTACCTAGTTACAGTGAGTGGTTGGGCTTGCTTGTGAGCTGGCCAGGGTTAGGTAGTACACTGGAAACAAAAAGATGAGCACAATTTCAGCGTGGCCTTGAGAAATAGACAAGTCGATCTGAGATTTTTTTTTTTTTTTGAAATTTTCTCTTCTCGAGCAGACAAGCAGACAAGCAGCGTCCCTCTCAACGAGTTGAACACATGGCTGGAAACCCACTGTCCAGCTTCCTTTCCAGACGGGTGGACCCCAAAACCAGCCACCACGGCAGTCCCCCATTGGCCCATCGCACCATCTCATACAGCGGCCCTCTAAAAGTGTGTAGCGCTGCCCTTAGTGGAGGACGGCCATTTTTATACCTTTGTCGTGTGGATTCTCTTGGCCTCGAACCAGTCTCTTCGGAGATGTACCAACCACCAATGAGATGAGAACAAAGGGTTCACAAGTAAAAAAAGTCAGACAAGAAAAAAAGGGACCCCTCTTTTCCTGGCTTTCCCCAGCTCAAAGGCTGGCGCAACTTTCTCCACCATAAGAGCATATCATATCAGTCCTCCCTTCGAATTCTCTTCTTCTCGCTCTAACTAAATACGATCCGCGTCCAATCAAATAACCCAAACCGAGCGGTGAGTCCTCTGCCGTGTTCTGCACATCACACCCAACCATCACCCCCACGACAGGTTTCACCACCACTCTGCTTCGGATCTTGCTATCCACCTGGCCTACTACCTACCTACATACAGGTAGTTAGCGTCGCATTTTGCTCAACCCTACGGCCACGGGCAATTGCTCCGCCAAGCCAACGATGCAGGTCGAGACAGTCTGTACGAGCTGCAACACCATCCGCCCTTGCCCTGCCTTTGGTAACTTCTCACTCGCCTCATATTTAGCAAGTCGTGTTTGGAAGGTAGCAACAGGAAACATGACAAGAAATCATCATGTCCAACTTGTTACCTAGGCAATGAAATGATGCAATTTCATGATTCACTCACTGCCAGCGCGTCTGCTGTCTCTCCGCGCTTGTCCCCACCCCTAGGCAGGCGCTGTGGATAGTATGAGACTCTAGCTGCACTATCAAAATGCACAAAAGGACAGAACTAATCACCAGAACCTGCGATAACGCCATGTAGTGTCTACTAATGTGTGTTCGTATCAGTGGCAGCGCCGAAAATAACGCCACTATTCACTATTTCCCGCTCCGTGCGGGACAGCTCTTGTCTCAGTCACACAGCGCGCCCCGCGCCCGCAGGCCGACTTCATGCGGGACGCTACCCGATCACAATTGGCACATTGGTCGCATCATCAGTCTGCTAGTTAGCACGCGAACTAGTTTGCGGTGCCTTTTTGGTCCAAAATAGTTACGCGCTAAAGAAAGTGAAGAAAGTGTTGATGAGAAGAATGGGAGAAAATTTGCTACGACATGCCACGAGGTTTCTTCGGTAATATCCGTACACATATCAGCTCGCTACCCTACATCCGTTTCCGGCTCTCCGAACGCGCAACAAGACTTGCACCTTGTTTTGTTAAAATAAAAATAAAAAAGAATTTCCTCGCCAGGGTCGTGTTCAGCGTTGGTTGTTACATCCGCAGTTCGATTGGTTTCGAAAGATGTGATGCTTTTGGGAGATAATATTCTGTAAAAAGACCAGATGTGAACGGCCGGCCACGTAACTGACACTCGGTCAAGTCAGTTTTCCTATTTAGCCAAAATGGACGGAACAACGCAAAAGCACTTTTTTTAGCATTGCTTAACCGGGCAACAAGCGCGTAGAGCGGTACAGTGATGTAGGTATCAATACCTGTTCTCTGGTACGCAGTTACTTGGTAGCTCCGACCTCTCGTCATGCGCCACAGCAGCACGGGATCTCGCCCCACGTCCCGCACTCTTGCGCGCAACGCCGCCACAAGCCTTAATCAGCATGAGAAGAGTTGTGTCACCACCAAGCTTCGCCACTTGTCAAGCCCCATCCCAAACCGCCAACCTCAACGAAAGAAACATCCCCAAACCACACCAACCCATCCTAGGTCTCTTTCAAAAACCCCATCGCCATCAGATCATGAGTTCCACGACGAAATACCAGCCCGCGCGGCAGGACGAGCCCGACGACGACGACTATACCACGGCGCCTCCGGCCTACGGCCAATCGTCGCGCGATGTCGCCACCGCCGGTATCGAAGCCCAGGGCCTCTTTGCCCACGCCCGCAGCAGCGAGGATAACGTGCCCGACGATTTCAAGGTAGGGCCTCTTCTTGAGAAGTCATATACAAGTGCGCGCGCCTTTGCTAACGGCTTGACCAACGACAGTTTGGCGGCTCCGTTGCAGAAGCCACCGTCGACATTCGTAATCAATTCGTCCGCAAGGTCTACACTATCCTCACCGTGCAGCTTCTCATGACTGCCGGCGTCAGCTCCCTCAGCTTCTTCAGCACATCTTACAAATCCTGGATCCAGGCTCACCCCGGCGTCGTCTGGATTTCCGTACGTCCCTCACTCCCGAGTACTCATACGTGTGCTAATAACCACCACCACCACAGCTCATCGGTTCCATGATCTTCCTCGGCCTCACCTATTGGAAGCGCAAGTCCTACCCGACCAACCTGCTCTTTCTCTCGCTCTTCACCCTCGCCGAGGCGTACACCATTTCCGTCATCGTCTCCTTCTACCGCACCAGCATCGTCCTCAACGCCGTCGTCCTCACCGGCGGCATCTTTGTCGCCCTCACTCTCTTCGCCTGCCAGACAAAGTATGACTTCACATCGTGGATGCCCTACCTCTTTGGCGCCCTCTGGGGCCTGGTTCTCTTCGGCTTCATGTCCATGTTCTTCCCCTATGGCTCCACTGGCGAGCTTCTATACGGCGGAGCCTCGGCTCTCATCTTCAGCGCCTACGTCCTCGTCGACACCCAGATGGTTCTGCGCAAGCACCACGTCGAGGAGGAGATTGCCGCCGCCATTAGCCTCTACCTCGACATCATCAACCTATTCCTCGCCATCTTGCGCATCCTTAATTCCCAGTCTAGCGACTGAGCGGCAGTTTGCTCAGACACCTTTCTCAGCGGATGCATGGAGAAGACCTGGTGGAAGCTATTCTTTTGATGGCAACGAATTTTAATGGAATTTGGCGTTCTTTTTTTTCTGTATTGTTTCAAGAGATTGTTCCATCTTTGCCCTGCCGCCCTTGTCCGTGGCTCAAGATGCTACGCCGATTGCCAGCATCACAAACCTACCACAACACGCACCTCGTTTTATCACTAGCAACTACACTACACCTAAGTAGAAAACTTACAATTATTATTCAACAGCGATTTCATTAGACGCCAGTATCGGATATTTGCATTAAGTCCACTAAAAACACTCAAAAAATAATTAAAACGGCCATTGAGGCATTCGCCGACAAGGACGGGTATACACGCATGAATATCTGGACGAGTCACTTCTGCGACTCAAATGGTTCTTTACCCTTCACACATGGCCAGCCCGGCCAAGCCAGATGCCACATTCACTGTCAAAGAGCCAAGTCGCTCCCCAATCAACCTCGTCCCTCCGTGTTGCTCTCTGGTCGCGAATACTTGGCCACTGGCCTCCAAAGTCGTTGCATTCATAGACAGCTTTTTGTAACATATTCGGAGAGAAACTCAAATTCAAGCTCTGACACGGCATATAGATACCTGTCTGCTCAATTTCTGCTTTTCAACCAAAGAACAGAGAAACACCAACGCCCTAGGCTCAAGCATAGACTGACCAAGATCCCCACGTGGCATATACACTCCATAGGTGGGTTCTTTACTCTTCTTGCTTGCCGTTCTCGGGTCCGCTGTTCATGAGGGTAGCGTGGGCAGTAGCCTCGCGCTGCATGCGGGCCTCGATCTCGCGAAGCTGCGACTCGCGGGCCAAAAGCTCCTGGCGCTTCTCGTTGATCTCGCGCTGGACCTTGAGCTCGATCTCGCGGAGCTTCTCCTCCTCGCGGCGGAGCTGCTCCTCCTTGAGACGAACAGACTGGGAGGCCAGGTCCTCTGGATTCATGGAGCTGTCGACACTATTAAGAGGGTTAGCATCGCATGCTTTTATGGAGCTTAGAGAGAGTGTCAAACTCACCCAGTGGCACCATCCACGCTCTTTGAGAGCTTCTCGGTACGGTAGTTCTCGTAGAGGAAGTCGTGGGTAATTTCCTTAAGGTCGGCAAGATGGCTATGCAGCAGAGCAGAGCGAATGGCGAGGAAATCGGAGTGGCGAGGGTTGTCAACCTCGACGACACCCCAAGGGTACTGACGAGCGCGCACCTTTCTACCGCCGATCTCAACAACATCCTCAGAGCCGACAATAGCGAAAGGCATGAGACCGCGGAGCTCAGCATTTTCCTCAACAGTATCCTCGTCATCCTCATCGACGTCGTAAGGGAAGTTGTAAACGGGGATTCTGTAGTGCTCAATGTCCTCCATGACGAGCTTCTTGGATTCGGCAAGCTCCTGGGGGGTGAGGGAATCGGCGCGTCCGATGACGGGAATGACGTTGACACGAGGGGCAAGTCGCTTCATGAGCTCAATATCAAGTTCACGCAGACTATTCTAAGTTAGCAACTACCGAGAGGAAGAAATTGACAAACATACCCGTGTCCAGTAGGAGTGATGAAGTAGAGCATGGCATGCACACGGTTGTCTCTGAATCGCGGGTTACGCTTGATTCGAGACTCCTCAGCCAAGATATCGTCATATTGTCTCTCGAGGTAGCCGACAATCTCGGAGAAGCTAGGGGTGTTAGCTATTGGCTCCGTCGTTTCTGGGAGTATTGCTGGATTAGTTCGTACCTAGCCTCGTTGTCAATCTGATCACCAAATCCAGGAGTATCGACAATAGTCAGGGAGATACGGGTGCCTTCCTCATCAAGTTCTAGCTCTATAATGCATTAGCAATGTGGCGATCGGGTGGGGATTGTCCAGTTTGTATCGTACCGACGGTGACAGGCTTAATCTTGACACTGTCTTCGACGTGAGCATCGTGGGCATCATCAGCATCCTTGTGCTGGAGAACGTCCTGTCCACAGAGGGTGTTGACAAAGGTGGTGCGGCCTGGGGCGCAATGTTAGCTGCAAGGAGACGAGGCAGGGCTGCATCGACAGCCATGGTCCAATTTCATGCTGTCATGGCATTTAGGCACGTACCAGTTCCGGAAGCACCGCAAACCATCAGGCAGAACTGGATACCCTTCTTGACATTCTTCTTTCGGCGGATCATCTGTAGGCGTGGTGGGGTCAGCTCTGTGTGACACAATGGTAGCTGTCAAGGCATCAAGGGAATGGCTCCTCATAGAGAATTGGCCATCCCGTGCGGCTCGCAATGCCACTTGGGCTCGAGCTTCGCGGGTTGACAAAGTGGGCATCGACAGAAAAGCAGCACGTACAGCAGCGGACGACATCTTGACAAACGGTTCTTAGCCCCTGAGGCTTCTGGTAGTCGCAAATCGAAGGTAACGGCAAAAGACAGAATGGGGCGGTGGCGATACGTCAACAAAAATAAATGACCTTGATGAAAAAGCCAAGCCGCGGTAGAGTCGAGAAGAAATGCCCGAGCTATTGCTATCACGAGCGCGGAGGAGGAGGAAACCGTTGGCGGGTTGATGGATTGAGGAAGGGCTCAAGGGGATGGACAGAGAGCGGTGCGTGCTGGCTGCTAAAAGGGGAGAAAGGGTCGTGGGCAGAAAGATGAGAGGCTAGGATTGGAGCAATTTCACGCCGCTTGGACCACACACTGTTGGGGTTGTTAGTGTCAAGCGGCTGTGTCAGCCTGAGCTCTAGCAGGTGAGTAAATGTACCAATTTGCTGGCCCGCAACTGGCAGCGGTTATCCCAGGGGACCTCACGGTCGGCAACAGCGTCTGATGGCTGCTGTAACCTGTTGGAGCAAAGTTCAGGGGCCACCCACTCAGGGACTGACCGCCTGCCCACCAACTCCAATCGTGGTCCCCTCTTCCCCTGGAGCCCACCCGTTTTTCCCGGGGAGCGCGCTGCTGGTGCTCCGGACCACTTGCCAAGCACGGTACCTGATTTATTGCCTTACTTCGGCGAGAATACAAGTACCGCTGCCCCATGCGCTCTCAAGTTATCGACACATTCACCTGTTCTTCTGCTTCACAACTGCTGTGGCCAAGCTACGCCCGTGTCCACTGTCCTCCACGCTGCTAATTAGCAATGATACCTTTACAAAAACGACAAAAGTAAAGATATGGATGGCCAGACTCAAAGGAATACATCGATTTCGAATTATCATTGACATCTCATACAGATGTAGACCGACTCGCAAAAGCAAAATCAATGCGTAACCCAATGCAACCCAATGCAACCGCCATTTCTACCCGGATGATTTTGCATAGTCATAACAGTCGTCTGTGTCACGGAAAGAAAATTCCATCAAGTTCTTGTCTTAAAATCCGAAATGAAACGAACTCCGTGATGTTCTATAGTCTATACACACATCTCGCCCTTGTTCTCTGTTACCGGCCTCGTCCCAGCCTCTCGTCCTCATCTCGTGTCAAGTCATACGCCGGCCGAAATGTGGTTCCCTCCGTATCCACGGCGAGCTTCGGGTTCGGCTTTGTGTTGCTCGTGCCGCCAAGCGACGTGTATCCGAGGTTATACAAATTGCAGTACGGAATCTCCAATCGGCGCAGGAACTGTCCCTCGCTGTCAGCATCGGGGCTTTTCTTGCTACCCTCGGATCAAACTTACAATCCAAATGTCCACGTAGTGCCAGTCAATCATGGGGTTGATGCGCATAAACTGCGGCCAGCCGGCGTCCGTCGGGCTAAAGTGCTCCAGGTGCTCGCTGTAAGGGTCGGTCCGCCGGGTACCCATGAAGATGGCCCGGACCGCCGGCGTCTCGGCCAGGTACGCGTCTAGCGCCGGCCGCATGGCCATTGTATACTGCTTCAGGTCCAGGTGGTACTCGCGCGTCGACTGCGCGACAAACTCCCCCATCTCTGGAAACGGATCCGGCGGTGCAATGTACATGGCTTGGATCCGGGGGACGTCACCGTTGCCATCCGTTGTCGACGTCTTGCCGCCGCTCGCCGTCGGCAGCGTCGGCAAGCACGCCAGGAGAAGTACCAGCAGGCAGAGGCAGTCCTTTCCGCCGTTATAGGAGAGCGACAACTCCTCGAACCTATATGTCGTGACGAAAGGTGCCCGTAGTTAGCCAGTCGTTCGTGTCGCTCCCTCCCCGCCCACAAAACGAGGTGGGCGCGGGGTTGGCCGATCCATGGCCCGGCTGGTAGACGTACTTGTACCGTTTCAGCGCTTCCTCGACGACTTGCAGTGATATGCGTATCTGCTCCTGTGTTCTCTTGGTCGTCTCGTCCGGGGCAGGCACGTCGAGAAAGGCCAGGACCTGCCGCCGCAGCTCGGCGCATACAGCCGGCAATGTCGATGCGCCGCCATTGATGGCCCTGGCAGCGTGCGCTGCACCGTTTGTCTGTACGCTCGGCATAATTTGTGTCATTACCCTCCGGTATGGCGCAGTATCAAGTAATAAAAAGCAGGATTGAAACGCAGCGTCACATCAGGGTGTCGAAAGATGGAGAGGGGATGTTCTGGTCCGGGTTTGCCGCGTCGTCCGAGGCCGCCTGGTTATCCTCGAAGCGCGGAATTTGGGGTCTGATGCACATTGCCCCCGCAAAAGCTTGTGAAGTGCCTTTCCCACAGGCTCTCCGCCACAGCGCCACTTAATAATTATTGGCGGGCCTCGGCAATGTTGATCTTCCAATGACTCGCTACCGTTCATGTAAATTATACTAATGAGGAACTGAAAATCATTGACACAGTCGTGAACTATATCACAATAGGGAGCCATGCAAAATGGAAAGAATAGGGTTTCAAAACCGGTCCAGGGTGGTCACTCTAGCTGCAAAGTCATCTAGTGAAAAAGCTGTAATTACATAGTTTCCATCCATAGGTAGGTAGTGTCTTAATCTCCGAAATTCGCAGGTTTTTCAAGCGGATAAGTCCCAAGGCCAAGGGCCTCCCAATCCCACAACGCCGCAAAGTCATCCAGGTGCCCAGCCTGGTCGGCCAAGTCATCTGTGGCCTGCTCCTCCAGTAAAAATCGAAAATCCTCCCCGTACGCAGCTATTGGCTCCACAGATGCCGTCTCGTCGTGGTTATCCATCGGCCACGGCGACAGCGACTCGTCGATAGCGCCAAAGCTTGCTTGGGGGTCACCTACAGACGGGGTCTGTCGCACGTCGTCCGTGGACCCTTGCCAACCATCCGACATACTCGCCGGCGTAAGAAAGCCTCGGCTCAGCTGTTCCGGTGATGTCTCAGAGCCAGTTTCCAGGGCCAGTCCCGGGCTTAGGGCTGACACGAGCCCGGTCGCCTCGGTGACTGGTGCTGGCGATACTTCGGTCGCATCAGTCTTTTGTCGCTTTTGTGTCCTGCGCACCGTATCAGGTCGCTGCAGCCTAGGCACTAACTGAGAGGCAGTGTCGAAAGCAAACTTTGCTGTAGAAGACGTATGCGCCAGTCGAGCAAACAATGACACGGCATTATCGAGCTCCTCGTATACTTCGTCCTCTTTCTTCATGGTATTCTCCACGTCCTTCATGATGCATGTGCATAGGAGGACAACTGTATCGAAGACCGAACTAATCATGAAATGGTAGCCACCTCCATGCCGGTCAACATGGTCGGCCCAAAGAACCGCAACCCTGATATTCTTCGCACAATACTTGATGCCGTCTGCACAGAGGCCTTGCTCTTCTTCCGACAGGGCAGAGGTATACCCCTTGAGCATCACTGGTCGAATAGATGCCAGTAGAAGAAAGTACGCCATGGTATACAGATAAAATCGGTTGAAGATGATCCATGGATTTGTCGCATCTTTTGATGTATCTGGATTGCCAAAAGCATAGACCCGGGGAAAAGCTTTCGCCCAAGCTTCTACCGTCGCTTGGTATTGTCGAATTTCGCTCGGTTCCAAATTGATGGTATTCGGGTACGTAACAGCCAACTGCGAAATCAGCTGTGATTGTATCTTCATGTGAAGCATTGGAGATGGTGAAAAAGCCTCCATTGTGAGAGCTGGAAGCACGACTTCAACGGCGGACCAATTTACGATAGTAGGACGAGCTAAACCAGCAGATGTTTGCCTTTGATACCATCAGCGTATGTACGAGGGGTATAGAATGAAGCCAGGCCACTCACCAGTCCAAGATCTGAATAACACACCACAATCTGCGTCTCATTTCGCGTTCAAAAGAGGGAAGTTGATGAAATGCTTGATCTTTCTCCCTTACTGTTGGAGAGTTGTGTGTTAGTAGATGGATCTTAGGGCCGAAAATGTACGTACCAAGTATCTGACATTCCCGAGCAGCAGCGCTGAGTGCATGCCATGCCTCTGGGTATTTTGCTTGCGAAATGTACCAGTATGACGAATGAAGCATGCTCTGGCAGCTGTGAAGATGGCTGGATCCGGGTGGAACCACGCTTCCCAGCTCTCGTGCAATGTTGTGATATTTTTCTGACAATATTTCCGTGCTGTCCCCCATATCGCGCTCAATTACAGCTTTGAGAGATTCGTCGGCATGCTGAATGGAACACGCGCAGACGGTAAAGAGGAGAGCAGTAAATTGAAGCGCCACTGGTCTGTTTTCTTGCACCCTGGTCCACCAATTCCGATACTCGTCAAAAAAGGCGGCCGGATACAGAATATAGAATTGGTTGTTGATGTTGTTGAAGAAGATGCGAAGGAGCGAGTCTACGCTGAGCAGTCAGACGTGGAACAAGAGACACAGACATGGAGTGCTGTACTGACCAACCCAATGTCGCTTCGGAAACTCCTTGAATGCGCGCCCCAGCGCAGAACATGAAGCTACGTCTGTCCAGTACTGATTGTCATCGGGGGCATCTTTCTATCTTGGTCTTGAGTCTCGGTAACCACGTTGAAAGGAAGCTTGGGCATGCATACCTTGTCCTCGAGGCCGAGACCGGCGAGCAGGTCCGCTGTATGATAGCCCAAAGACCCGGGTTGAAAATCAGCCACGGTAGGTATAATATCCGTGTCAGTCTCATCCGAACTGGCCTGGCGCTTGCGACTGTCTGAAGCTGTCGGTGCCTCGGCTGGCGCATTCGCGGTGGGCAGAGCAAAATGGCATTTATCCGCCACTTTTCGCTTCAAGCAGTGGTTGCAGGGCCATTCTCTGTTGCACTACACAAAGGAGTTAGCATCAAGACTGTGGATGCGGGCTGTTCCCAGCCACGGCGCAGAAACGTCATGGATGTGGTAGCGCGGGATTGCGCGTTGCTCTGTGCCAAGTGTCGTACCTTTTGCTTCCTCCGCTGGCATTCGCTGCAGGACAAACGGCTCCGGGCAGCTCTGGAGGAATTGCTTTCCATTATTGTGACGCAGATACCGACATGCCGTGTTGGTGACTATGGTAAGGAGAAGAGAGAAAAGCTAGGCCAGCCTTCGTCCGTCCAACGTGCGTCGTTGAGACAGTGCGACAAATAAAGTTGTGATATTACTGGGCCGGTCTAAAAGGCTAAAATCGATGGATTGCGGACCAATGGATCGGAGAAACTGAGCGGCCATCGATGTCGCGCCACAGCGAGGCAGTTGGATTTGTTCCTGATGGCCAGGACTGGCATTGAACAGTAACTACTAGCTCGCGGGGGAAACGGCGTGTCTCAAAGGACGGTCGCGGATGCAGCAGCACATAGTCGATATGTATCCCCAACCGACGATCAGTGTGGCACTACTGATGCACAATCTGTACCAGCATCCTGGCGTTTATTAGTACTGCGGCAATGATGAGACCACCCAGGACCAGACACCGGCCTTAGCAGCCTTTGACTACCATACAAGGATAACTAGGGACAGAGATGAGCAGATCATGGTACATACATATGCCATCGAGGAGCAACGCGATTACGGGGAAAATTGGTGTAAAATGACGATGGAGGGGGAGGATGGTGCCGCTAGCCCGGAATAGCGTCGTTTTGTTGCCATTTCGACTTGCTGCTGGCAGCATCAGAGTATCAGAGTTGGTATGTAGGGTGATGGAATAGGCCGTCAGTCACTAATTCAAATACTTCATGGATACTTGAATTATTTTTATTTATTCTCGCTCTTTTTCTTGCTATTTTCCTTCTCCTGTATTTTCCCCGTGCCACTCATTCTCTATTCTTATTATCCGTCCAGGCTATTATATCTTATTCTATGATCTTCTTTAGTTGAATGCTTTCTTACTGCTTATTTATTATTATGCTCCTCTCGAATTTATCGTTTCTTTACCTCCATCACGCGAAGCCATCAGCCGCACCTTTCAGGGAGCTACAACGGGACCAGGCCAGCCGAGGCACCGTCAGCTGCCCATATTCAGGGAGGCAAAGGCGCTGTAAGCCCAGGGCAGGGCGACACTTTAGCGCCTTTGCTCTTTGCTTTGCCTGACCCGCCAGCGCCACCGCACCCAAAACGCCGCCAAGGCCAGCGGCCAGCACAACCAGCACCACCAACATCTCTCACACCCATCGCCGCACTCAATTCCTCCGCAACTTGACGCGCTTCTATCCGACCCGACCTTTTCTCACTCCCTTTTCCTCATCTCGCCCAGGAACCACCTCCTAGTTCTCTGTGTCAACCCGCTCGTCCTCACCCCGCATCTCCCCATCCTGTGTTTACGGCACTGATCCCACCCATCATGGCCATCTACTGTTGAGACTGCCCACCACCAGTTGCATCTCTCTCCGCACTTCACTTCTGTTTTTCAACCGTTTTGCTACGTCACGATGAATGTCCGGCCGCCCATAGAGTCTTCAAGCCCAACGGCTGTGCTGTCAGTCTCATTCAACAACGACGCTAGCTGCTTCGCCGTCGGCCTCGAATCGGGCATCTGCAGTAAGTGCACCAGCAACGCTCATCCACTGTCCATATTGCTCATGCTCACACATATAGTCTTTCACACAAAATCATGTCTATTAAAGGCATCCAGGGGTATTTATTTCCTGTTCCCGTATCTAGTCAGCAAGCTGATGACTTGTAGATTTCAATGCCGGTATTGGCCTGGTCCGCATGATGGGCATGACCAACTACTTGGCACTTGTCGGTGGTGGACGTTCTCCCAAATTTGCCATGAACAAGGTTTGTCATCTTGAATCCAAATTATAATCCTATTCCTACTCGGTACTGATGATCCTGGCTAGGCAATAATATGGGACGATATGAAGGGCAAGGTGGCGCTGGAGATTGCTGCCCTCAGCTCCGTCCGAGGCGTCCAGCTTGGCCGCGAGCGCATAGCCGTAGTGCTTCAGAGCAGTGTTCGCGTCTACTCATTCTCCAAGCCTCCCAGCCTTCTGCATGTATACGAGACGGCAGACAACCTTGCCGGACTGTGCTGCATGTCCGACAAGAAGCTGGCCTTTCCCGGCCGCACCGCTGGCCAGATCCAGCTCGTCGAGCTCGCCACTGGCAACGTGAGCATCATCCCAGCTCACTCGTCCGCCCTCAAGGCCATCCAGCTCAGCCCAGACGGCGAGCTTCTTGCCAGTGCCAGTCAGACGGGCACACTGATTCGCGTCTACTCCACCAGCAACTGTGCCAAGATTGCCGAGCTGCGTCGCGGCATCGACCCTGCCACCATTTACTCCTTAGCCTTCTCTCCGCCCGGAGACTACCTGGCTTGCACCTCTGACAAATCCACACTCCACATCTTCGACGTCCCTCACCCTCGACGCACGGCACCACATCGAAGTCAACAGCTCGGTAGCAGCAACGAGTCAGATCCCGGCAAATGGGGTATTCTGGGCAAAATTCCACTCATGCCTCGTGTCTTTTCCGATGTATACTCCTTCGCCTCCGCGCCTTTTGAGGCAGGTGACGAAGGCACGATTGGTGGCATTCCGTTTTCCGAGGCATCAACATTAGGGACAACGAGGCTCTGCAAGGGCGTCATTGGCTGGACAAGTAATGACAGTCTCGTTGTCATCGGTGCAGGGCAAGATGCTCGGTGGGAAAAGTTTGCCATTACCGAGGGGGAAGAGGGTAAACGACATTGCACGAGGGAAGGTTGGAAACGATACCTTGGAAATACGTAGTCAAAGTAGATATGTGAAATAAGTCTCAGACGCCTGGCAACCACATATGGCTTTCCAACACTGGCCCATTTTCATTACTATCAATAGTGGGTATTCGATTTGCCGGTCTTTTATGCTTCACTGCGTCTCGGAGAGTGGCTGCGTCGCCTTCGCTTGTGGCCCCTCTCTGCCTCGTCCTTTCTGTTTATGTGTGTCTGGTGCTGGCGTTCGTCGTTTTGTCTTCGGTCGTGCTGTCTTCTGTCTAGATCGCGGTCCCGATCGCGGCTCCGTTCTTTTTCATCTTTATCCCTGCGCCGGGATCTATGCTCTCTCGAGTTGTCGTCGTGCCTTTTTCCCCTATGGCGCTCCTCGTCTCCATCCCGATGTCTGTCGCTACGGTGATCGCCTCGATGACGATGACGACGCTCAGAATCACTTTCATCACGCCGAGACCGTCTTCTATCATCGTCGTCATGTTTAGACCTGTGAGGTCTATGCGACCGGTGCTTGTGCCTCGATTCCTTCTTGTCGGCTCGCGCGCGCGCCTCTTGCACCTCCTTCTTCTTCTCTTCAATGAGGAACGCCTTCATCGGGTCATCGTCGTCATGATCATGTATCAACTTGGCCAGGTCGCGCTCTTCTTGCAGCATCGGCCGTTGAGGCGCTTCGTCTTCGCTGCTTTCGTCCTCGGACAGCGGTTTGCCTTGTTTGCGCTGGAGGTCCTCCCAGCCAACTCTGCACTCGTCCTGGTCTTCGTCGTCGCGCATAGAATACCGTGCATGGTCTACGCGGAGCAGACGTCCTCCGACTTGTGCGCCGCCGAGATTGTCCACAGCCAAATCGGTGCTCTTTTGGTTTTCGTACTTGAGCCATCCGAAACCCTTGGACTTGCCCGATTCCTTGTCGCGCACAAGTTTCAGAAATACAGGCTCGCCGAATTGCGAAAATATGGTTATCACATCGCCTTCGGAGAGCTCGTATGGCAGGCCGCCAAAGTAAACGTAGGCCGTGTCCCGGTAGTCGGTATGCCACGAGGCTTCGGGGGAGCTACGGGACTGTTCAGTCGTATATCTGTGGAGTCTTGGGGGCGTTTTATACTTACATTCCATTTTCAATCTCCTTCTTATTCAGCGCCTGTATCGCTCGTATTTGGTTCATCTTGCTGCCGCCTGGTCTTTGAGCTGTAATTTTTCCAGTCCAGGTTTGTCACAAGGCAGGCAGCCCACTTTGTGGTTACAGTTCAAAAGTCTAAAGACGGTCCTAGCCTAGTATACGTATTTAGTAAGAGCTTATAAGGGCTCTAGACTCTATCTATACAAAAGCCCTAGTATATATAAAATTAATAATATCTAGAATTAGCCTAAGCTTAAAAGCTTAGTCTAGTATATTTATATAAGGGATAATTATTTACTCTATAATTATACCTAAACTTTTTTTCTTTATAATAGTCCTACTTTTACTAAATAAGGATAAAGATAGAATAATATATAAAGAAGTTATATTCTTATAATTATAACTCTTTATAACTGCTTATACCTATTTATTAGAGTTTAAGCTATAAAAACTTCCTAAAAGGGCTTAATCTTAATTATAAATTAAATATAAGAAAGAAAGAAGGGATTTCCTTTCCTAATTAGGAAGGAACAAGGTAAAAATAATTATAAGTTCTAATATAATTTATTCTCTAACTCCTTTATATAAAATTGCTCTTAGTTGTGACTAGTTATCTAATGTCCCTATCAGCCTGCTTATAATTCACGAAAGATATCTACGGGTTGTAGGTACCCCTCCCGAACTGAAATTAACAAAATCGCGCATTTGACCATTCATAATTCATAAATGGCCATGAGAGCCTTGAAATCCTCATCTTCCAAAAGTTCCGCGGCTGTTGGGCGATACTCTGGCAAGTACGCTAACCCTTTTGAAAGGACGGAGACGACCAACTTCCGCTCGACATCGCTTACCTCAGGCCGCCCGCGCTTGCTCGTCTCCTCCAGAGTAAGCAGGGGAGCTGGTTTTTGCGTTTGGTCGTACCAAGACTCCTTGGGCTCATCTCCTGCATCATACCTGCCAGCCCACTGCAGAGGGAGAGGACCCAGCCTGTCCACCAGGTCGGTCAACGTGCGAAAGGGGGCGAAACCCATGTACAGCTGTACGAAGAGACACATGTAACTCCACATGTCACTGGCAAAGCTGGGATCTGTGCCGTGGAATCGCTCGGGCGCACAGTACGTGGTAGGCGCCTGCCACCTGCGTTTGACCGGTATCCCAGCTTCAATTGCCATACCAAAGTCGGCAAGAAAGATGCCCCCTCGCAGCGACTCTTTGTTCACCTGAATCGGTTCGACAAGCTGTCCCCTTTTCCACATCGCGAACCACAATGGCGTCTTTCGAGGGCGACCAAACTCTCGATAGGCCATCTTGAGCGTGTAGTCGTCAATGTCGCCAATGTCCCAGAGTACACTGCCGCTGTTGAGATCTATGTACAGGCTTTGTTAGATGATAGAAAGCCCTGTCAAGGAAGGGACTTAAACAAGGCCTGCTTACCACGAAGTATAAAATTTGCATCGTGAAGAGACTTGACGGCTTAGAGTAATTCTTTTGCAGCCGTCATCCTAGTTTTCCACGGAATTTCTCTGCAGCATTGGTAGAGACTCGGACCCCGAACGGGAAACACCATTACCTGGTGTGTGCCATTCACTCCATTGAGGGGAAAGGTGTCGAGAAAAGTCACGAGGCGGGATGGATCCTTGACTGTATCACGGATTTTGCGTTGCATTTCGAGCTCCCGGTCCTCCAACTCGCTGAAGAGGCCGACGGCACCAATCTTGAGGGCAACCATCTTTTGGCTTTTGATGTTGTGCGCCATCCAGACGGTGGAAAATCCTCCCCAGCCCAGTTTGTGCACAATGCGATACGTGTCAGCTAGAACGTCCCCAATACATATTGGATAATAAATCCCATCGGTATATCTCTCGATAGGCTCGGATAAATACTCAATATCGCCTCCTTCATCCGAACTGACGAAGCTTCCACAGTCATCAAGTCCGTCGTCTTCCGCAAAGGCGTCGTCAGCAGATGCAGATGCAGGAGAAATTGGACTGCTCGAGACCACATCCAACTTTTTTGCGTCTCGCGGCATCGGGTCTTGCTCTAGGGTTGAGCTGGCTCTTCGCGGCTTCGAAAATTTGATCAGAACACATCATGGTTTTAAGGCAGGGAGGGCGTAGCAGGGGTGCTGTACTTAAGGCCAAAAAGTTGCAACCAGGGCACTAGACAGGTCTCTTTTTTAATAGCTAATTTTCCCCTGTCACAACGCTGTCAGGCTGTTATTACGTGTTAAAAAATCTTCATGTTTTTTATAAGCCGTGTCAGATACGTTGACAGCGTTATGATAGGGGAAAATTACATGTTGAGCGGAAAACGTGTCCAGTGCCTTGTCAGAAAACAGGAATGATTTCCTATATAAATACACTCTAAACACTCCCTTATATAATTACTATCAAATATATTAAAAATACATAATTATTATATTATATTATTTAAAAGCTAAAGTTACTTATTTTAATATAATAATCTTTATATCTATTTCTTCTTTTATTCTATATAAATTTAAAACTAGTTATATAAATCTTTTAAATCTTTATTTTCTATTATCTATACTTAGTTTAATTAAAATAATATAATTATATAATAAATCCTTTAAGAGGCTTTAAGTATTAATCTATATTATAGCTATTTTAGTACAACTTTAGTAGTTCTTATATTATTATTATACTAGCTTTAAATATATACGTTATTGCTGAGAAATTAAAGGTGGTGATAGACTTTTGGAACCCCATTGTACAGTGGGTGGCAACATGTTTTCGACCCCCCCGAAGTCACCAGACCCAAATAGGAAGATCAAAACAATGCTGCTTTAGTCTAAAGTGGCTAACCCTAACCCTGAAGAGAGTTACAGTGGACTTACAGTGGACTGAAGTGGATACCTTTAGCTCGGGCTCAAAGCGGCATCCTGCCGCTATCCTGGTTAGGCTAGCGGCCTCTTGGCTGCTACCTGACAGGGGGTCAATACATGTTGCCACCCACTGTAGTAGTCTGGCGCGGGTCAATTTCCGGTCCGAGCTAACAAGCTCCCCAAGCTACACTTTAGCAACAAGTCAACGGACCAAGTCGCATTCTCCATACGCCTCGCTAGGAATCGCAATCTGGCGGACTGAATTCTGGGTTGGCTTGGCAAGCTGTGCGAGTGCAATAAGAGGCTCATAAGTCCTGCGACCTGCCAGAAGGAAAGCAAGACCAAAGATGCAAGGCGCGTCGTCATAGAGGACCCCCTGACCAGTGTACAACTCTGCGACACAAACGCATTTCGCCAATCTAGGTAGTTACGCGTTTTCGGCCCTTCGACTACTTGGCCGATACCTTCATTTTCTGTTTGCTCTTCGCGACCAACACCTTCGGAATCGTTTATTCCTGGCAGCATGGCTGGGAAAACGGAGCGGGCGTCCACCTACACCGCTGGCTCTGGCGATGCCGATGCTCGTAATGGCGAACAAAAGAGGAACCTCTGGACGTCGATGCTGGAATCGGTCGCGAGCGGCAAGCGCTTACCAGAGAAGAATCTGTTGATATTGGGTGGGCCAACCCCCCAAGCAGCGCTCTCCGCAGCATTCACCAAGTTAACACTGGCGCAGGTGGCAGCACGGACGCGCAGAGAGAGTTTCTCGAATCACTTTCCGCCGACGAAGAAGGCCGCAACTCGGAGCAACAGAAAACCCCCCCAATCGCGAACAACTTTGCGCTAGGTTACACGTACTATGATGTGCTGGACACAGATCAAGACGGTTGGAGGACCTCTGACTCTACTCGCCATTTTGCAGCATTGCTAACGCCGATTAGATACCCTCGCTCGCGTGTCGCTCTACCTCCTTTCGCAGCCCTCTGGCGAGTTTGCTTCGCTAGTCTCACCGCTGCTCACTCCAGAAACGATACCGAATACCGCCCTAGTTATACTGCTGGATTGGGCGCAACCCCACCTCTGGCTCAGACAGATCTGGAGCTGGATCCAAGTGTTGGAGGAGGTTATGGGCCACACATCCCCCGATGCGCGCAGCGAAATGGAGGAGACAATGTTTTCCTGGAGAGAGCGTGGCCGTGGCGGCAGCACGACGAATCTGGATGGTACTCCATCCGCGACAGCGGCTGACAGTGATGGCTCTTTGCCTTTGGGGCCTGGTGAATGGACGGAGCCTCTGGGGTTGCCTCTATGCGTGGTCTGCCAAAATGTCTGTCATTTTCGCTTCCAATTTCCTTACACATTGCTCACTCTCTCACAGGCCCAAAAAATCGACTTCCTCGAGAGAAATCATGGCTGGAAAGAGCCCGATTTTGACACAGTGCTTCAGTATTTGAGGACGGTACTGCTGCGCCGTACGTACAAGAATGTTGATCGATGCTCCGATTGAAGCTAATAGCCCCATAGATGGCGGTTCGCTTATTTACACAAGCCAAAACATTCCTTCTCAACTACCCGCCCTCGTCCACTCCACGCTTGGCATCACATCAATCCTCAAGCGTCAACCGCTGAAACACAACGTAATTGACAGAGACAAGATTGTTGTACCACCAAATTGGGATTCCTGGGGCAAGATTCGCGTGCTGGGCGGCAATTTTGATACAGAAGTAGCCTCAAAAGGCTGGTCCGAGGATATCAAGCTGCCGCTGGGCTCGACTCTGCAGAGTCTCGAAGCTCTCGAGGTGGCCAGAGCAGAGGCCGTCGAAACGGGCAAGTACGTGCAAGAAGACAGCGCCATTGCGCGCTACGAGGACTGGTGCCGCGATCCCAACAGTGGCGGCATGGCCGTGGTCGAAAGCGCCATGGGCAGCGCAGCCGCCGTCGGTGTGGATAGCGAGGACACGCAAGAGTTCCTCGAGCGGCAGCTCAAGATTCTCGACGTCGTCAAGGCCAAGGCGCCCGAAAAAGCAGGCGATAGCAACAACAATAGCATCTCCACCATTTCGCGACGCGGCGACTTTGCCGACGAGAAGACGGTCAGCGAGCACATTGGCCCCGTGCAGTTCAACATGGGCGGCATCCAGGTCGACGCCGACGACATGCTGCAACGACTCAAGGTGAGAATTATTTTTTTGCGATGCCAGGGAACGTGACGAAGCGAGAACGTGGCGACTGACACCACAAACCCTGCAGGACCGTAACGCCAGCAACGCCGAGGACGACGACGATGCCGTCGAGGAGCAACAGGCACCTGCGCCCAACATCACCAAAGAATACGACAATGAGCAACTACACGACTTTTTCAGCGGCCTCATGAACCGCACGGGTGGCACGGCCGACTCCCCGCGGTGAAGGACGGGCGATGGGAAACGAACGTCATTGTCTCGTCTCTGTAATCAATGTAACCAAGGTAAATGGTTGCAGAGACGAAGGCGATGACATTATTTATACAATCACAAAACAGGGAAATTTGGGAGCCAAAACTCTGTAGTAGTCCGGTAGAAAGAGGACAAGAATCGAGGTCGAGTGGCGTTGCGCCTCTGTAGATTAGATACCCTTGATGTGAAAACAATGTTTTTTTACAGACATCATCTTGGTCCCGCCTAACGACGCTTTGTGTTAATTCATATTCTTTTGCGCTTTTATTACGAAAGAAAAAGAATGCAAGATCCCCTCGTCCCCTTCGTCCCCTGTCAATAGCTACTGCGCCTCGCTGTCCCCCAAAATATACACTCTGCCAGGTATAAAGAATCCCAAACTCAAATAAGCTAGAATGAAAAAGCACACGGATTCAATAAGAAAAGAATAGAAATAATTCAAGCCTATTTTTCGTTCATTCTTTGTTCTTCCAACAAAAAAAGGATGCTCTCTACGCCTTTTCTCTCGCCGCCTTGTACTTAACCTCTTCATTACGGACCTGTGATGTCCCGAGGCGGGCCGTGACAACGCCGCCAAGTAGGCCGGGGAAAAGCCACGGGTGCTGGAGCATCTCGGGCTCAAAGGCATTAATACTGCTGCGTGCCATGCCAGTGAGCGTCTCGTCGTCGAGGAGCTGGCCGAGTCTGTATAAGTTCGAGACAGAGACGGCGTTGGTGGAGGGTAGCGACGTATCCATGCCGTCCTTCAATCGCAGAATGGCAAAGGTCGACTCGGCTGTGGTGGTGAAGAAACCACCTGCGGCATCGTAAAAGTACGACGCTTGCGCCTCTGTTCCTTGTATTAGCGTAAAGCCCTTAGACGTCCTGCTTGCGGACACAAAACTTACTCTGCAGTTGATCGGCAAACGCAATCAACGACTCATCGCCATTGGTGTCAAAAAGATCCAGCAATCCTTGAATGACATATGCATAGTCTTCGGCAAATGCTTCCGTGTCTCTGTCCCCGGTCCAGATTCGATACAGAATCTTTGACTGAGTGTCCCAGAGGTGTTTTTGGATAAAAGAGGCAATACCGCTTGCCACAGTATTGCATTTGGCGCTGATTTCAGGGTTCACCGTGACCAGCGCTTCTGCCGTCTTGGCAAGAGCAGACAGCGCCAATCCATTCCATCCAGTGACAGCCTTATCATCGACCTCGGGGCGCACTCGCTCACCTTCCCTTCGTCGTTTAAGCTCATTGCGAGCTGTGTGGATGGACTGCTCAATTCTTTCGACGGATACGCTGAACAGTTTGCTCAGCTCTTCCGAGGTCTTGACCACCCGTAAGATATTCTGCTTCATAAAGTCATCGTTTGGATCATGCTGCTCGTCAACATTGCCGTCCTCTAGGACCCCCCAGTGAGCAGCAACTACTGGGCTGGCGCCCTTCTCAGCTGCTTCAATGACGCTGTCGAATTCTCGCTTAGTCCAGAGGTAGAAAGCGCCCTCCTTCATCCCTCTGTCGCCGTTACGGACATAGGAGTCGGCAGCTTCGCTAGATGCAAGTAGCCCATCTGATCGCAGAATTGGGGTAGATGTCAAGTACTCCACAAGTTCCAGGACAATGTCGTAGAATTCGCTCGTCGCTTGTCCACCAGCTCTGTGCCAGGCTGTAAGGTAAAGGGACAGAAGCTGCGCATTGTCGACTACCAGCTTTTCAAAATTTGGTATTGTCCAATCCGGGGTGACAGAGCAGCGCGCAAACCCAGTGGCTCCGACATGGTCATGTAGAGCTCCATCTCGGATCTTCCGGAGAGTATCAAGTGCCATGTCTGTCGCGTGAGCGCATTCAGCCTCTCCCACAATATCTTGAACAGCACTAGGGGAAGTGTGTAGTTCGAGTAGAAATTGCAATTTCGGCGGAGTCAAGAACTTAGGAGCCAGGCCAAAGCCTCCATAAACAGGGTCAAACGTGCCCGCAATATGTGTGTATGCTTCCTCTAGTTGATCCAGATCAAGTTCACTTGAGACTGAGGCGGTTTTGTCCATGCCTTGTGAAGACTCGCTTGAAATGGGAGCAGCCCAACCTGACGGCACAAAATTTTGCGTTTGCGTAACTGGTCTCGTCCCCAGAGTACCTTCGGCGGCAAATTCTCTCAACTGAGCCAAAACTTCGGTGGCTTCCTTACGACACCTTGATTCTTGTTCCTTCCAACTGTCCCGAACTTTCTTGATAATAGTCAAGAAGTCCAGAGCATCTTCGGTAGATTCGTCATGTGCGCGGCGCGCAGCATTAGGTCCGGGCCAGTATGTACCACCAAAAACAGGTTCCAGCTCTGGTGTAACGAAGAGATTAAGCGGCCAGCCTCCAACACTGCTTACAGCCTGCACATAATTCATGTAGATTGTATCCAGGTCAGGGCGAGACTCTCGGTCAATAAGAACGGGAATAAAAGCATCGTTGAGTACGGCGGCGCATTCGGCGTTGGCGAAGGACTCGATCGACATGAGGCGACAGTCTAAAGCCCAGAATCAGAATCTAGCAAATTAGGGATGACTCGATATTCTTACAGTGACAGGCTTTGTACCCAATATGCAGGAACAAAAGTTTACCCTCGCTCTTTGCGCGTTCCACACTCTCGTCATTCAGCGGCTGCCACGCGACAGGGCTGGCCGCAAGGCTACGAACAAAAGGGTTCGCACTCTCACCGGCATGGTTCTTCAGCGGAGAAAGGGAGCCAGTGGTTCTGGCTGCAGAGTCCTCTCTACCTATGTGGAATGATTTCATGGCTGCAGCAGATGCCGTCAGCTCCGAGAGAACCATGCTGTCGCTTGCTGGACTTGGTCCTCGGTTTGGAGGGGCAGCGTCGGAAAACGGTATCGTTCGCGTTGTCTGTGCGCTTCCCAGTATTCAGACGGGAAACAATATCGATGGATGTATGAATAGATGCGCCTTTTTCCTCCGACGTCAGCCGGCAGTTACACTTGGTTTTTTGCAAGGTGCAAGTGCAGGCGCAAGTCGACGACAAGGCAGGGTTGGGAAAGCATGAATAATTGGAGCCTTCCCCCGCCGCCGCTTGCAGCTGCGGGCGGCATCGCGGGGCAGTTCAGTTGACGGCAGGTTGTGCATTAGGTAAGCAGAACTTGAACCTGCTGTTTGTAGCTTGTTATTCTTACCCTGTATCGGAAAGATATTGTTGAGAAAAATATATGCACAGTATGATTTGGATGGCTTTCTTTGTCTCGTTTATATCTGGAAACAGGCGTACCTATAAACAGGCCCAGATCAATCTTTCATTGCATGTGACGCTCGCTAGAGGCACCTTGGAGTACCTTGGATGCTGCACTAATTAGTGATGAAGACCCTGAAATAGTCGCTTGAGATTCCAAGTCTATAATACCCCCAATATGACGTTACAATGCATCAATAAACAACAAATATTGGCCCAAATATTAGTCGAGCGAAGAAAGGAGCACCACATTACGCGTCTCTGATCTTGACAGTTGTCGTGGTAGTTTATTACCAATCTTCACATCACTGCCCCCACCAGTTAGTATCAGGCTGGTGGGCCTGGCAGTGACATAACAGGTTACTGTTATCGATACTCAGCTTCATCTTGCCCAGCAACCCCAGCTAACTACGCCCGCTTCTTTCACTCTTGCACTCTTTCATCTCTACATCGATCTGTCCATCATGGGTGAACCCAAGTACACAATTTACGTGCGGGTTCCAATACCCCGTGGAGACTTTGTCGACCCTCCGCAGGTGAGTTTCTTGCTTGACGTCTGGCTTGGTTGCGTGCCTAACAATCTGCCAGGTTGATTGGGACTCTGAAAAGGATGACGCATTGTGGCGCATCCTCTCTAGCGCTACGCAAACAGAGATTGACTGTTAGTGTATAATCTTTAACCTATATGGACCATCCATGTTGACATCTGATTAGGGAATGACATGTAGGCCCCCTTCTACCTGTCTGCGAGCTTCATTACAAATTGTTGACCCAACTCAGCGCCACTAGATTCGATGTCACGGTTGACTTCCTGCTCAAGCAGGTTGCATACCTTACCGAACGACATGCGTCGCAAGTAAGGGCTCAAGTACGCAAAGCGGCCGCAGCGGCCAAGGGCTCCGCCGCGCCGTCACCAGTCCCTGCTGCTGAGTCCTCAACCACCGCCGAACGACGGTCCCAGCTCGGTCAGCCCATGGGCCGCGATTCCCCGATGCCACGCAACGAAACAATCGGAGCGATACGCCCTGCTCTATCCCGTGGCGGATCAGGAAACACGATCTCTCGTGATATCGCTGGCTCCTCCCCGCGCCCAGAGAGCAAGCAGCTATCCTCGCGCGCTGCGGGGGAGTCTGCTGGCCGTCACCGCCTGTCATCTCTACCAATTGCGGCTTCGAGCCCGAGGCCAGCGACATCTCAAGATCCCAACAGAGATGGTGTGGCTTCTCCAGGACCTGCGGATTCTAGCTCAGGGGAATCTTCTGAGGATGAGTCTAGTCCCGCACAATCACGAATTATTCGGCGCCCCCCTCGATACCAAGAAAATGACGCCGGATATCAGGTGGATGACGATGAAGACGACGAATCTGAACCAGCATTCCAGCCGTACAAGGCTGCCGCGGACCATAATTCAGCCTCGGATCTGGCCTCCACTTTGCGAGGAGACGGTCGTACGTCAGCCAAGCGAGGCAATAAGCACCTCGCTCGCGAACGTAATCACCAGTCTCAAACATCTGATTCCTCTGCGGGCTCTGGTGCTCTTGGCACCAGTTCCAACAAGCCGGGACGCTCAAAGTCTCACGCCTCTACTCAAAATACTGCGCAGTCAGTGCAAAGTCCTTCCGGGAAAGGGAAGCTTTCTTCGCAAGAGGGCAGCGATGGGACGCCAAGCATGGGAAGTAGTTTTAGTGATCTTGATGGTAAGCTTTCTCCCCCTACTTGATATTTGCGGCTCTGACAAGATTTGCAGATGCTTCCGTTACGCAGTCTGCCCTCGAAGAAGCACTAGCATCGCATATGCACGGTGCTGGCAGTCGCTTTAGTATCAGCCAGGCTTTCCGCAGCCGCTACACCCCGAACTCGAACAAATAATGTTTTGAGGTGATGATTTTACCATTTCAGCCTGGCGTTTGGTATAACGGGACTTTAGTATTTCTAGTATTGGATTGTAGTCTTTTGAAGTTCATTGTGTACTAATTGTCAAATCTGAGGAGTGGCTCACGTGTGACACCTGCCAGCCGCCGGAACACTGCATATCGTTTTGCAGTAAACGCGCACCACGCGCAACATAAACACGGACAGTTCTCCCGCTGACAAACGACCAAATCCTTCATCATTATCCGTTCTGCCCAATCGCATAGACTAAAATGTTTCGTCGCAACTGGTGTGGCCTGCCTCGCGAGGTATATTTTCCGTCTGGATTAAAAGAGCTTGGGTACGTTGGTCTGACTCAAGTACACCCTCCAACGATTTTTGGTGTTGACAAATAGCCCGAATAGCTATTTTGTGAACGATGAAGACGAGATACGCTCCATCGCTAACCCAGACCAATACTTCAACTTCTTCTTGAACCGAAATCCGCGAGTGAATCTGCGCCAGAGATTCCAGTTCGATAGTAGGCGCCAACGTTTGAACAATGTGTACCAACGAAATGGTGGGCTGACGTACCATAGCTGCTGTTCAAAGCATCGTCCTTGAGCGGCTCGAGTCTCTCGCGCTTCACAAGATTCCGCTGCCCCCAGTCGAGCCGGGATCCGGATCCAGACATGTCAACCTCTTTATTTCGAGGGACCTTGGAAATGCGGAGCGCATCATTGTCGTATTTGGTGAGCGAGCCAAGGATTTCGGTATGGTTGCAGGTAGAATTGCCGACGGTCCAGGAGGCATTGAAAAGGGGAGCATGGTTGGAGCTGTCAAGGCTATACAGAGACGTGACTCGACAGCAATCATCCTCGCCAATATGAGCGAGTCGTACTGGTCTACGGAACACAAGCGAGCTGTGACTGCTGAAAAGAGTCGAGCCCTCTCGATGCCCAGCTTGGTCCACCTCGGGATCAAATATCACCCACAACTCAACAGCATTCCAGGTTCCGAAGACGCTCTATGTCATGCGAGGACAGTTCTGAACACGGTCATTTCTCAGCACGCAAACAAAGACGCAAAGATCAACATCATAGCTATTGGAGACAACTGCGGGGTCATCACTTCCCTTCTGGACGAAGAGGACACATGGAAAACCTGGGGCGCATCCCTTCAAGGCGTCTTATTCTACAACCCTGCATTTTACTACGAACAGAAGCAGGGGGGTCTGAAGGACTTTCTGGCAAAGGTCGAGCACTCCGAATAGGCTACACATTGAGGAGTGATACTGACATTTTTTGGGCCGAGTAGAAATCAAGAGGCTACGCGGTATCGGAACACCCCCTCGGCACACCACTTTCTGGGCCAGACGGCAACCCAGATGAAGGCATCCCCCGGCTTGGCTTCCCTTGCTACTCCGCTGGCGAGGCACACATTGGCGAGCTCTGCTTCGTCTCCGCGCTGGAGCACGGGCTTTCGTACCTGGACGAAGTGGCCCGGACGCCCGACTTTGAGAACCCCACCATCGCAATTGTCGAGCGCGCCGCCGCCACGGTAGAGGAGACGGAAGGTGAGTGGGATGCGCTCTCTCCGGACCAGAAGCCGAGTGTTGCCACCATGGACGAGGATGAGCTGCAGAAGCAAGTGAAGATTCTAAGACGGTGGAGGCATTTTGAGAAGACGGGACATGTGCCCACCAGTGACGACGAGTCTGACATGGACGATGAGAGGGAGGGAGACAGTCTGCCTGTCAAGCCATGGGATGAAGCACCATAAAGATTCATCTCGCTTTATACCGCCTGACGAGTCACATTTTTGATTTGCTGTTCTTTTATTTCCGCATTGCGGATGTTGCTATGGTATAAGGTATTAAATAGAAATACAGTCTTGTCTTTGCGATAACCAAAGAACCAAGTATATACAGTGCATCAATCCCATCATTGCCGTCAATCAGGCCTTGAACCAGTTGGTAATGAAGTCTCTCGGGGGAGCCACGTCTTCCATAATATCCTTCGTGCGGCGGACTCTCTCCTGCACCACGGCCTCCTCGGCCGCCCACCTGCCATCGGGCTCCTTTGCGCCGCCCCAAAATGAAAACATGCTGGGCTTGCTCGCGGCGGCACCCTCCTCCTTAGCCCGCTCGGCCTTGGCCAGCTGTGACACCATGGCACGCCAGTTGTCGAGACCAGTGCCCAGGCACTCGCGGCAGAGCTTTTTAGTGCCCTTGGTGCCAGCGCCGAGCGCGCGGAGCTGCTCCTCAGCCAGGTCCACGCCGTCCCGCGTCCACGAGATACCGTCGTCCCGGGACCCGCTGGCGTAGAGGATCTCGCCAATGTAGATTTGCAGCGAGGCCTCCTGGCACCGCTCCTCGGCGCTGCGCCAGGGCGGCCGCGTCCCGTCAGGCGGCGGCGGCGGGTAGGCGGGGGGCTGGACGAAGTCGAGTACCCGCTGGTAGACTGACACGTCGCTGGGTCGGCTGCGACGAGGCTCATGCGGCCGCTCGTCAGAGAGTCCGCGACGGGCTTTGAGCAGCGAAATGTACATGGGCAACGCGCCGGAAATGTCGCCGCTGCGGGCTTTTGAATTGGCAATTGATCCCAGAACGTCAAGTAGGTTTTGCGATGGGGGGTCGGTATTGTCCCTTACGGTAAATGTCTTGCCGTCATATGGGAGCCTGGTAGCGTCGGTGCCCTTGGTGGCCTCGCCAAGGGCAAGCTCCTGCAGGCTACGCGCGGCTTCAGCCTGGTCCTTGTATTCCATGAAGCTCGCATACTCCAGAGCCGCCTCCAGGCGCTGTCGTTCGGTGAAACCTTTGGTGGCCAGGATCTTCATGTACCATCTGTCGGCTAGGGGGAATGCGCCGACACAGTTCTCTTCCAGAGGTGCGTGGGCTGCTCCCGGGGGAATCGGCACCGGGTTGGGGTTCGAAGGCCCAATGACAAACCTGGCCGGCGAGACCATGTTGCGCGTCACGTCGAGGACCCAGCCGTCCACATGCTCTGCCGTCTTGGCCGCCGTCATCAAGGCCTCAAAGTAGCCGCGGCGCCACTCCTCCGACTTGGCTGTGATGTCGTACGGAACGAATTCGATCGGATCTTCGAGCTCGGGGTCAGTCACATCGGAGAGGGGGACCAAGCCCGCGCCGTCCTTCTTTGGGTCACTCAGGCGCATCAACGCATTGCGCACTCGTCCTAGCGAACTGGCCCATCGGATGTTGCCGTCTTTGGGGTCCTCCAATTGTCTGGCGTCGCGTAGATATTTGCGCGTCATATACGTCCACTCGTGTGGTGTGGGGTGCTCACGCTCGAGAATCTCCTCCTGAATAAAGAAGAAAATCACCAGTCCGGCAGCGAGCATGCCCCAGAGGGTGAATGTGTAGCGGGCGGCCAGCTTGACTTCGTGTCTGATCCATCCGCCGCGCGTGGAGGTAAAGTATCGTACTGATGTTGGAGCCGATGATGGGGCGCTCAGAAAAGGGAGGCTTGGACGTGCCTTTGTCGTCAACAGTCGTGCTCGGGTTGGGAGGGACCCCACGCATATGGCTCTTCTCGTCCCGAGGTTCGCTGTTGACTTGATCAGCAATACGGAATGTCCATGTCGCCGTACTGCGAGCCTTGGGCGCAGCATGTTCGCAGTATTTCACTGCCTTATGCGCTTTGAAAAAGTGACGTTACTATTCCTTTACCACTGCGCATGATTACTTTGTGTACCGAAGCTGCGATGCCACTTCACGAGATAATATCAGCATGATGACTAAGCTGTTTTTTCCTTGCACTACCAAGCGCCCCCATCGACAAAGTTTTGACCCAACCCTACATACTACGAGCAGAATAATAGTAATAATATTTTGCACACGGTGGGAGGATGATTGAAGGATGAGCGGATATATTCCAGATTTGTTTTCAACGCCTAGGGGGCAGCTTGTAACTACGGCTGTTATCTCTGGTGCTGTCGTCGCTTCACTCATTTTTGGATATCAGGCCTTGGAAAGGGAAGAGCGGCTGTCTGCGCTAAAGAGCTCGATTCCGTCAATATCTGATGGGAGACATCATACGACCAAGGTGAGCCGAGTATCAAGATTGTGGCGCAAGATCGAAGACCAATCGCTAACACGGGACCATGTAGCTCAATAGCTTTGGAGGTTCAATCGAAACCAACGAGGATAAAGAGGATGCACGAAATCTAGCTCTCGCGCAGCGTGCGCGGGCCGGAGATTTCGACGAAGAGCTTATTCTAGAGCAACTAGCCCGCAACCAAGTATTCCTCACCCCCGTGGGCCTAGAAAAACTACGCAAATCCTTCGTCATCGTGGTCGGCTGTGGCGGCGTCGGATCCCACTGCGTTGCCTCACTAGCCAGATCAGGCGTATCAAAGATACGACTCATTGATTTTGACCAAGTCACGCTCTCGTCGCTTAACCGCCACTCCGTTGCGACGCTGGCAGACGTAGGCACACCAAAGGTCCAATGTCTGCAGAGGCGGCTGGTGGCCATTACACCCTGGGTCCATTTCGACCTGCGGCAGGAAAAGTTTGACGGTGATGGGGCGGCTGAGCTGCTGAGATCTTGGAAAAACGGGCAGAAGCCTGATTTCATCATCGACGCCATTGACAACATTGAAACCAAGGTTGCCCTCCTCAAGTACTGCCACGACAACAAGCTACCTGTCATAAGCTCCATGGGCGCCGGCTGCAAAGGCGACCCCACAAAGATTATCATTGGTGATATTGGAAACAGCACCGACGACGGCCTGTCTAGGGCTACGCGAAGGCGTCTTAAGCTACTGGGGGTGACGAAAGGCATCCCAGTTGTATACTCTACCGAGCAATCCGGCGAAGGCAAGGCCGAGCTGTTGCCACTCGACCAAGCCGAATTCGAAAAGGGTTCCGTGGGCGATCTTGGTGTAATGCCCAACTTCCGTGTACGCATCCTCCCCGTGTTAGGCACCATGCCCGCCATCTTTGGCATGACAGTCGCCAACCACGTCATTCTGAGCATCACGGGCTACCCTGTCGACTATGCGCCGGCCAAGGGGCGCGACAAGATGTATGACGGGATTGTCAACTATATTCAGAGCTGCGAGGAGAAGCTGGCGCGACTCTTTGAGCCTGATCTCGTCGGGCTGCGATCGCCCATTACAGTCGGCGACGTGGCCTTTTTGACGGAAGAGGTATATCGAGCGCGCAGCGCCATTACTGGCATCCCGACCCGGCTCATGCTTATCCGCTGGCGGCGGCCGGAGGCGATCAACGTGTCCGTCATCGGAGAAGGAGCCGGGGAGGAGCAAAAATGCTCCACGATTCGGCTGCGTGACCTGGTGTGCATGACAAAAGACGAGGCGACTCGCCATGAAAAGCAAATTTTCAAGGCAGGGGTTCAGGTGGAGGACTTGTACGATACGGAGACTATTGCCAGGGTCGAGAAGAGGATGGCGCAGGCAGCGGAGTACGAGAACTACCGATGGTGATGGGACCGGTAAAGCAGTTGCCGATGGGAGCAGTGGTGTATGTTCCGAGGCGTGGGACGATTCCAATGCCAAGATACCGTGTACAAGTAATCTAGACCAACATATTTTCAGCAAGAGCGCCATATGCAACCTCCCGCCATCATAGATGAATTGAGACAAGAAGATCTGTCCATCTGGCGCCTGGACCTTTAAGCAAGATGTTGATCTGCGAGACTCGAGTCCCCTCCATCTGGTCGATTGACCCCCGGTAACGGGTCTGCATTTGGAAAAGAACCGGTGAGCTGGTGCATTCACCCGTTACACCGCTGGTCGTCAAGCATCAGCTTATGCAGGGCTTAGTAGCGAAGTGAGCAGCCACCCCGGTCAGAATGGCGACATGACTTGCGGTTCGGTGATTTCTGTTTGTGCGACGCGCGACGTCGTGGCCCGTCACCGCGGATCTCCGGGGGGCTGGGTGGCAGGGATTCGCTCGAGAAGGATGACGCGGGAGGCAGGCAAGGAATTTAAAGGAAGGGTTTGCTCGTGTGCAGTTAGTTGGCTGCGTACGCGTGGGTGATGGCTGGCTGCGGCATCGGGTGGCGCGCATTCCTTCTCTTTCAGGCGACCAATGATGGGAAAGTATAAAAGGGTCAGTGGGAAAAGATGAAAATAAAAACGAAAATAAAAATAAAAATTGTGGCAAAGATGGTGGCCATGCAATCGCCACGATTCCTGGTAGGAAAGTCTCAAGTAGAGTAGCATAATAACGGGGGCTTTGAGACGGACCAAGTCTCCAGATACCGATTTCCGGGGGACTGTGTGGGTTTTGACATGGTCAAGTAACCCTAGTAAAAAATTCAAAATTCATGACTTGCTGTGTGCCTATACATATACCATTGATTTTGATATAGCATCAGCACATGCCAAGGAAATTTGCGTCAGTCGGGCAAAGGGGGCGGGCGGTCCGTGGGTGTGGGTAATAGTGGCGAAACAGATGGAAGCCAGTGAAACAAATCATACCAATTACAAAGCTCATAGTTAATGCATTGCTCTTGAATATGAATGCCGAGCAAGCCGTCAAGTTGGAAAAGGGTTTGCTACGTCAGAAAAAACAAACATTGGAGCAAGAACAAGAAATTGGGCACGCCTGCCTTTCCTTGAGTCGTCGGGCACCCGCCCAAGTCCACGACACAAAGGCCGTCACCGGTGTAACCCGCGTCACCCGGCCATTCATATATGAAAGAAATTTGTGAGTGCTTTTATTGTATTATTAATTATGCTCTTCTCCTGCACACGGCGCATGTGGCAAACCTGGCACCGTTGGCGTGCTGAACGCCACTCGCGACGCTCCTCATCACAGCTGTTCCTGGAACGGGCCGACCAGTCATGAAGGAGATTTGCCCATATTCAGGGGGAACAACAAGACTTGCCCAAATTGACACATCATTTGCTTCCATTTTAGGCCTTTTCCGTCTTGTTACTCTATATACACCGGCTGGTATGGTACGTGACTGGCTGTCGGTCGTATGTAGGCCCGGACATGAAGCTCTACATACACTCCTTATGACTCACAGCTAGGCAGCTCCAGGCAGTGCTTCTCGCCTTGGAGTACGACTGTGATCCATTTTAGGCAACATTGTTGGGACGGGTACTTGTGAACCACGAGCTGACGCCTTGAACGGGCGTCGTTTCCGTGGGGAAAAGGCCATGTGCTCGACAGCGGCCGCCGAGCACATCAACCACCCTCCTGCCTACGCCTTTCTGTAATACAGAGATGAGGCAGAGTGGCATAGATGCGTGGATGTGAGGCCGCTCCTTAGTGTCTCACAGCATGGCACGCTGGACCAACTGATTGGATGCCTTCCTCTTTGTCGGTTCGAGAGGTAACGTCGGTAGCACGTTCGCCGTCACACAATTTCCAAACTCTACGAAAGCGCTGAGTGCCTGAATGTCTATCTCTCTACTCTAGGCGCTCATCTAGCAAAGCTCGGTTCTCTGATAGGTGAAAATGGACGGCTTGTGGAACGAATGGTGACGCGGAGAGTGACGGTTGCTGCGCCCATGGATATAAGTGGTAGTTGCTGCATCCTCCGTGCGACGCAAAGCCATTTTCGCCCCTTGGCTGCCTTTTCTACGTATTTCAACTTGAAGCTATGATATGACGGGCGCATTTCCGCCGCCTCTGGTGTTTTCGAGGCCAAGAATGCACAACCAGGCAGACGGACACGCCAGGCACATGTCTCAACAGACACGATCTACCGTCGTACTCGTAGCTCGACGAGTACATTATACATGATACATTCGATTCTGGTGTGTTGCCTGAGACTGATGAAGAAATCTGAATTCTATATCGCGTAGATAGTGAGGCGCATTCTGCTAATTGCTGTTGTGTACCACCCGGACAACGTTCCACGGGCCGGGTACAACGAAAGCAGTACAAGCGTGTAAAAGGAAGCACAATAACCAATGACAACCTGACACCTGTAATGACTAAAAAGCAAAAGCCCAGGTGAATCCAGGTGTATTGACTTTCTACTGTTGCACAGATAATACATGATAGGGCGCGGCCCTTTTGCCAGCTTTGCCCGCCCGGCCGGATGTAAGGCTTCCGGAGTTGATATTACCTTGTCTGATATATAAACGGTACAAATCCGTAGCAAATCCCGAGAGCTAATGGAATTCAGGCACGCCGTAGACGCTCGACGCTCAATTGGGCAATTGGACAACACATGTTCTATTTGCACCCCGTGGTCCATGCCGCGGCCGGTCCCACGCGTGGCGTGGTATGTAGGCCAGCAGGATCCGAAGCTGAGCTCCGAACCACCATTTCTGGGTTGAATTTTGTATCGTCAAAATCGCCTCACCAAGAATGTGTGGCTCCTCACGGGCCTGGGCGCATGGTACACGGTATCCCTTTGTCTTATAACGTGAGGACGAAGGGGTCGCCTCTGCTCCCCCCCTCGTCGAGCATCACGCGGCACACTCTACGGCAGCGACTTGATGCAAGTAGCGATATCTTGATGGAATAGTTTTATTATTATTATTCCTACCCGCCTTCCCGCTACACCGGTTTGGTCGTCTTTTTTACTCCGTTGCTATTCCTGCCTGGACGACTGCGCCCCCGCCCCCCGAGTATATACACTGGTTTGAGACGGATGGACATGGGGTATTGCAGGGAAGGCAGAAGAATGAGGAGACAAGAGACAACTGTCTTATCTAACTAGGGTAAGTAAAAGAAAAGGCAGTGATGGCGAAGACGTTGAAGTCTACTGGAACACAGCAAAAAGGGCGACGCAAGTACAACTGTGGCGTGAGGAGATGGACGGCTCAACCGTGCTTTGCAGCAGGCTTCGGGGGTTTAATCAAGAGGGTGTGCGAAAGCGCCACTCTCGCTCTATGAACACATATTCATTGGCGTCGTACACACTGGAAATCAATCTTTCTTGGCCGTGTTCGGTATACGCTTAGCCTAAAAGTGTTCGCCAAGTTGTCTATTCGCGAGGGAGGTTGTACGAAGGAAGGGAGTGGGGTGTAAGTAACATGTAGGCTGCAGAGCTCTTGTGTGGTAATCTGTACAAAGTATGCGTAATTCGTACTCCGTACCGAGACGGCCATGTCGACTAGGTGGAAGCCTTGCAGATGCTGAGGAGGTAGGGACATTTTGGTAGTACCTGGATCTAGGCTGCGCTCCTCGTTGTGTTGTTCGATTGATTAAAATGTCTGATTAGTATGTATGGAAAAAAGGCAAAAAGGCAGCGGACGGCGTCGTGTCTTGTTGGACTTTCAGTGCAACCTGGGGCAGTGAGAATGTGAAGATGTTCAAGTATATAAGAAGACGTATGTCCGGCTGGGGAGGAGATTCAGAACAGGACAAGACACAAGTCTATTTATTTGACGTTGGTGTTATATTGGTCCAATTTCTTTCGCAAAACAGTCTTTCTCAAGAAATTTTGTGATTTTGATTTGATTTTACGGTTTTTACGCACATCGCGCATGGAAACAGCATCCGTGCCACCACGCCCACCTTGATCATCGCTACGCTACGCTACGTTGTAAGTGGAAAATACATTTCTTCTTCTTCGGTACCAAAACCCGCTCTTGGTCGTCTACATCTTGCACCTTGGAAAACAATTACGACGAATTCCGGGCGGGCGTCGGGCTCTGTGTGCGTCTCGGACCAGGGTCACACGGCGCGCCTTTGCGAACCATGTGCGAGCCGGCGATGAGGTGTGTGGCCATGCAGCCCTCACCAACTCAGCCTGGGTCCTCAGCAGGGTCACTCTCCCCTTGTCTTGTTCGAGATGCTAATCGTTCCCGGTCAGAAATCGAAGAGAAAGATAGTCTCCTTCATTGTCTCTTTTTTTTTCCCTTTGCCATTTTGCCATCTTGGGTAAGCGAAACGTCCTGCAGGCTGCGCATGGCCAGTACCTAGCTGACAGTAATAGTCACAGTCACAGTCACAGTCACAGTCACAGTCACAGGTGCCTGTTGTACCTCAAAGGTACCTGGGTAGGCACCTAGGCAGCCTTGCTGTCGGACCAGATCTCCCAGTCAGGTCCCTCGGTCGACGAACCGTTTTCTCTGCAGCCAGGAAAAGACAGGATTGGCTGTAACAAGGCAAGTACATGACGTTTGCTTTTCAAATTGCCGATCCACCAATTGCTGTGCAACGCGTTGGGAGATGGCTGTTGGCTGCATCCCAGCAGGGGCATCTTGGTACATTGCGATACCTGCCTGCCTACCTGTGCCTGGTTCTGGATCAGTGATTCAGTGGCCAACGGCGACTTCTTCAGTGGTCTTTTGGGTCTCTTGTACCGTGGCCTAGTGGCCTAGGTTAGTAGTGGCTACCTACAGCGGTCTACAGTGGTCGACCGCTAACTTCTCCCCCTGTTCCCAGCACCCATCCCCTACAGACACCCCCCCTTCCCCTGTATTCCCCCCCACAGATTCACCCCGTATGCACCATCTGATTGGCTACGCACGCCGTTTTCCCTTCGCCGCTTTTGCACTCGCGCCACCCGTCCGCTCAATCTGCCAACGGCCTCACGGCCTCACGGCCTCACGGCCAGCAAACAAACACTCCCGTCACTCCCATTACACGCCCAAGGGGCCCTTGTCTTGTTCATCGCCAACTTCAACCACCGCAAGGCGTCTGTGTCCGTTGGCGAGGTTGGCGAGAACGCCTTTTCCCAGCCCGTCTCATGAAGCGTCGCCCTGCTGCGATTCAGAGCTTCGACCATTGACCGCCTCGCCCATAGATAGATACATCAACCCGCCGGCCCCTTCGAGCCCTTCCCCTCCTTGCTTCGGCATCGCGACAGCCTCAAGTCTCGTCAACCCTGACTGGCTCATCCGCCAATAACGTCGTCTTTTCCTTCTGGAGTCTGCCGACATCAGACCCCTGTCCATCGTCTGAGAATCTGAGCCTCTGCGACGACACCCGCCTCCACGCCCAGGTCCATCTCACGTACGTATATATTGCTTTTTATCCTCGGTCCTTTTCTTGATTCTTTTACTGCCTCATCTTCTACATTCTCCCTTCTCCTTTGCCCTTTCATCAGCCTCATCAGTCTTTTCTCTTCCTTCATCATGCATCAATCTACTGGGCACCTTAAGGATGCTAGTCGGCCGCTGTGTCCACTCTGGTCGGCCCTTGCCTCTCTTGTGGTGGTAACTATTAGTTGAGAGCTGTCTATGTACTGGTATACTTTCCACTCTCATCTTGCCTTGTTTTGTTTTCAAAGAGGCAACATATGCGGCAATGCATCTATTAACGTGTCATCTGCTGGATTCTTCCATGTTTGAACTCCCCCCCATTTCCCCCCCATCTCTTGACCTCTTGTCTTCTTCGCGGCTCTAAGACCACACCAAGTTGTATGATATGCTGACTCGCCTCTAGCGTTCCCCCGTCGGCGATTGGGCTGCAAGCTTATTCACCTCTACCCGCCCTCAGCTGCACCTGGTCTCACCTCTCGCCTCGTGAGATCCTATAACGACAGCGCCGCCACTCTTGCGCCTCCAGCTCCGCGCCACCGTCTTATCCTCCTCTCAACTTACGGACACCTAGGCTCGCCACGGCCGTCCCGACTGAGCCCAGTCGCGCCTCTCTGTCTCGCGTCTCTCAGCCTGTCCAGCCGTTGCGCAGCATAAGCCGTGAAGTGAAGCTGGTCATGGCTGAACTCCAAAATCGTTGGATTGCTCACCTTCGCAACACTCACCACGAGTCCTCTGATCGCAGTTTCCGCTGTCCCCTCTGCGCCGAGGCTGTTTCGCCCGATATTGACGCCTTTCGCGCCCACGTTCGCGCTGATGAAGACAAGCACTCGACCTTCACCGAAGACACCGATATTGTAGAGGCATTTAGAACAATGGCAATTCATGCACCCAAGGAAAGGTTGGTCCCCTTCATCTCTTTTGATTTTTGATAACACCTTCCTGATCAAATTAGGTCCGCAAGCACTTCGCCCAAGTCCGACTTGGCGAGCTCGTCCAGGAGCCCGCCAAAGAAAACAAGCGCACAACATCTGGAGGACAAGGATGGCATTACCAGTGATTTCGATCGCGGCGGTGCCAACAACGTAACCAGACGACCGCTTTGGAACCCGTCAGATCAGCCCAGGAGTCGCGGCACTCGTGCCAGGCCTTTCACAACGAGGCGAGCCAGGCAAATCAACCGTGCCCAGTTTAGGCCCCCCCGAGCGGACCTTGCCTCCCCCCGAGTACACCCTGCCGACATAACGACTACTCCTGGGTTCAACCTGTTTCGCCAGGCAGAAACTAAACCCATTACGTCAGATCAGCTTGTTTCCGAAATCAAGGGAATTTACGAAGGCCTAACGGTTGTCGAGTTCAAGTGCGTTGAATTAAGTACCACTCCAGCGACAAGGATCCCAGAAGATCAAAACCTCGGCCAAGACCAATACCAAAAACTGATTGGGCTACATCGCATGCTGCTGTACGAACATCACGACTTCTTTCTCGCCTGCCAACATCCGTCGGCAAACGCCGCAGTACGTCGCCTTCCCCAGAAATACCACATGCCTGCACGGATGTGGCGCCATGGCATCCAATCGTTCCTCGAGCTTTTGCGCAGAAGATTACCTGAATCGCGCGAGTACATGTTCACGTTTGTTTGCATTGCATACAACTCCATGGGTCTCTTATACGAAACGATTCCTGGATATGTTGCCACTTGGATCGAATGTCTCGGAGATCTGGGCAGATACCGAATGGCTCTTGAAGACGCTGATAATATTTGGGATCGCCAAATTTGGACTGATGTATCTCGACACTGGTACTCAAAGGCCTCAGATCTGTCACCGGAGGTTGGCCGACTTTATCATCACCTTGCCATCTTGGCCAGACCCGATGGCCTTCGACAACTGTATTATTACAACAAGTCATTGTGCGTTCCGGTTCCCTTCCCGAGCGCTTGGGAAAGCATTATGTCATTTTTTACTCTAGTCCTGGAGAGATCCATGACTTTGGATCCTTCGGATGAGGTGTTTGTCAGAGCTCATGCTCTCCTCAATACTGGAAGCAGCGCCGATGAAGTCGACGAGGCCATGGAGCAATTCCTTGGTACTTTGGATCGGAGCATTGCGTTGAGGAACACGGGCTGGCTTCATTCAGGGTGAGTGTTGATTGTTTTCTCTGTTGAATTTGACTAATGCGACATTTGCTTAGATGCTATATGGCTATTTCCCTCGTCTGTTCCCTGCTCGGCTACGGCATGCCTACCAGCCCTCTAATGCAAGCACTCGCAGCTGGTCAAGTTGATGAGAAGGCTGCACTCTCGGCGGACAATGTCATGAGCACGGATCCCGCGGAGGAGAAATTTGAGACTCTCCGAAAATTCGGAATGCAGACGTGCAGCATCGTTTTCCGGCGCAAAGCAGATATCAACGCCCTTCCCTTTTTCCACATAGTACTGGTATTTTTGTACCATGTGGCGCAGCACCCCAAAGCCATGGCGCTTCTTGAGAATGAGTTTCCATGGACACGGGTAGTTGATGTGCTTAACGAGGCTCGTCCTGCTTTGATATCGAAACCGAGAATGGCAAATGAAAAGTTTCCGCGGCCGCCAAGCAACGAGCCTCTACGCCCGCTGCCAGAAGACTATGCTATGCGAGGGCTTGGACTTGCAAAAGACTATTTTCCTCCAGACTGGTTTTCTAGCGACAAGATTGAAGAGGACGAAAAGCTGTTTGAGCCGCCTTCGCTAGGGGACGAGCGACGCCAGCGCCTGCTTTGGCTTGGGCGCCGGATATGCAGCCTGGGAGACTGGTTCGGATGGGACGAAGGCTCAAATTGTTTCACTGTCAATGCGGCATATGACAAGGAAATCAGCCTCCCTGATGAGCTTTAATTGTTCCACCACGGATGTGCTGGGCTGCAGCTGCAGGAGCAGTGACGTTTGGAATCGGTGACGGATAAGTTGGAAATCGAAACCCAACCCTCGATGGAGGGCAACTTGAAAACAAAAAAAAAGGATAGCGAGTGTGAGGGTGGTATTATGGAAGTATAAATGGGTTCTGGGCGCGTTCAGACTGTTCTGGGAGATGGTAGAAAGCAAATATCCATGACATGGGAAGCAATTGGTCTAATTGATTGGTGGGTGATTTGAGAGATCAGAGAGGATTATTTATGTACAATACAGCATGACAGTTACGCTGGTATGTGTTTGATGCGATATGGAGGCGTTTATAGATGGGTGGAACATTCGCCTCTGCGAGGGTAGAAATTAAGCGATAAATTATAAAATGCTATAAAATGCTATAAAAAAGATGTCGTTTCGGTGGAAGACGGCGTTAAGCCCCCGGCGGGGCATCCACACACACGGGAAGAAGAGTCTAGAAATGCCATGTTTCGGCACGGATCCAAATTCCGGCACATTTGGGATCCCGATCTGACTGACGCACACTAAGAATAATTAATATCCACTTGAAGATGGGACCTAGTTGCAGAAAAAGGCAACCGACGTCGCGGCCATGCAGCTGTTGGCTGCCTGAAGCCGAAGCCGAAGCCGAGGCCTCCCCATACCATGATACTACCTGTCATGATGGAGTAGTAGATGCCAAAAATAACAAACGACTCGGTATCAAGTATCGAGATATATACAGAGTACGAAGTTTGTGTTCCTGTTTTGGTTACTACATTCACACCCCCCCTCCTCCGGCGTTAGCGCAAGGCAACCAACATCTGCCGCCTTTTTTCAGGCCCGTCGTTCATGGGGAGGGAGGGAGGGGTAGATGCCACAATTGTGACAAGGTCGATCGACGAAGTATGTGTCGGATGCACAAGTTTAGCCTCTTTTAGCGTCTGGTCCTTGTCGTGTGAGTGCAATATACATGCAGCGTGAAAATCACTAAAACATCATCAGCCACGTTTTTACACGTGGGCACAATAGGTAAAATGACCCCTCCTTTGCCCCCTCCCCCTCGTCCCCTCCTCCTTTGTGTAGTCACGATTGCTCGCCCCATTGGCCATGGCAACAAAGCGGTTGGGTATAACCTCGTTTAAGTCGCGTCCCTTGGGCCGCCGTAGGTGGGGGAACGGGTGGGTTGTGATTTTTCGGCCGCGGCGGGCAAGAAACTGGCCCCGGGCCCGGCTGCTTTTCTTTGCGACTCGCATCATGCCACTTTGTCCAACTCGCAACTCGTCCCCCCTCTCGCTGCAATGGTCTGAGACATGCGTAAACTGCACTTGCACGCGCCAAGCCGGCACGTTTCAGATTGGCTACGCTCGCCAACTAGGGAAGATTTCAAAGAAACGGGACAAAAGAAGTGAGGCGGTGGCGGGCCTATCCATCGCAACGGATCAACTTCCCATCTTTTCCCCCGCAACCGCATGCAGCCAGCATCCTGTCAACTGCACATCCCCCTGTCCGTCCGACAGCAACAACAACAACAACATGACAGACAGCCTGCATGACGGCGTCACGGAAATGCAGGCTGCCTCGTAGCCTGGCGGCCCCCTCCTTGATTGGCGGGAGGTTGGGGGGGCCGTCGTTGTTGACACGGCCATGAGCAGGTCTCGATATTTGAGAATAGAGACGGCCTGGACTGGAGCCTGCATTGCATCTCGTCAACTTGCATGGAAAAAGTAGTCGGGCTTGGCATATTTTCTTTGCTGGCCAGCATGGCTGATATCTCAACAAAGGTTGCTACCCAACCATGCTGGACAGATACTCACACACTCACACACTCACACACACTTTTTCTGTTTCTTCCCCTTCAGTACAGAGAGGGAGAAAGGAGGGGGGGAGGGGAAATGCGCCGAAACTGTTGTCAAAATGTCAAGATGGCGTCGCCGAGATGTAAACGAGGCACACTTCATCTCAGCCGTATTGCCAGGTCCGTGTAAGTCGCCATGTCCAAACCCCGCACTCTGTTTTTTTTTTTGCCAGTTTCCCCTCAACTAAACTAACTAACCCCTCTTGTTTTCACTGCACGAGCATCGATTTCTCATCACATGATGTTGCGGGTTGCCTTTTTCTCTGTGCCACCAAGGCGTCCATCTTGGCTCGCCACTGCGCCCGTAATAACGCGCGGATGTCCGCTTTCGACACGCTCGCAGCTGCTTGGCTTGAGGCGGTGGCGGTAGTACCATATGCGAGATTCGGCAGCTAACTAGCCGTCGCATATATACTAACTCTGTATGACGACGTCTTGCTTTGCTGCTGCGGCTGGGGCCCGCGACGGGCCGCCTTGTTCAGGTCAGGCAGCAACGCGTCAAGATGAGTGGTGCCACGGCATAGCTAGACCTTTTATAGGATGCCTTCGGACGTTCTTGTCCAACACAGCTGTGCCGCAACGCGGCCTGGAAAACACGTTGTAGAGGGAGGCATTGCTGGGGGGTTGTTGTATGGAGAACATCATAAGAGTAAAGCGGCACTGTGGTGGCGTCTTGGGATAACGGAAGTAAGGCCAGGAAAGACGACCTCGACTACGTAGTGAAGCCGGGATTCCGAGGAAGCCGAAAGGCCTTGAACTTGGAGGCGAGACATTGCAGATAAATTGATTGAAAGTCAGTGGGGGGGAATTACGGGGCCACCGGTACTCGATGCTGATTCCGATGCGATTTCCCGCTTTGGTAATATTCTAGAACAGCTTCACGTGATGCCCCTTCAGCCACAAGCTTCAGCCCGTGGCGGTGCCTGCATGTGGCTGATGCAATCTCAACCACGCATTTTCAGGGCCAGAAAAATCCCCCAAGCTCGTGCGAGCAGACACTGCGACTTGCACGAAAGGAGAAACCTCTATTCCTCCATTGCCCACCAACCAGCTTGTGGATTCGTTAGTGCAGCCAATTCCCTTTCTTGCACAAGCTGCCACTCCAAAAAAAAACACCATCCCCGGCCATGAGCGTTGTACGGCCGGCGCGCAGCGCCCTGAGCAAGTGCGTCGTTGCCCCAGCGAGCGCTCCCATCAACGTGGCCGCGACCCCTTGCCGACGACACCTGCACAGCACGCCGGCGGCGCGCGCCAAGCGGCAGCCACGGTTCCGCAACGTCAAGGCCGAGGAGATGGGCCTGACGCAGCCGGCCGCGATGGCACGGTTCGCCAACGAGCACCTGCCGGCGTACAGCCCGGCGCAGCTCGAGCAGCTCCGCAGCAAGTACACGCCCGCGCAGGTGGAGGCCATCCAGGCGGGCGAGGCGGCCGTCGACGCCGAGGACATGCTGATCCAGGGCCGCATACGCGACGACCCGTACCGGCCGACGTACGTCGAGGACTACACGCGGCTGGACCCGCGCTACGACCTGATGCCCGAGGAGGAGGGCCAGAAGCCGCGCGAGCACGCGTGGCTCGGCGAGCAGGACTGGATGGACCAGTTCTCGGCGCGCCTCTCGGAGCTGGCCGACGGCAAGACGGACGCGCAGCTGACGCGGGCCATGGCGCGCGCGCTGCGCCGCGTCAAGGCGTCGCAGGGCGTCGACATGATTGACATGACCGAGGAGGAGCTCGCCGAGCTGGAGGCGAACCCGGCGATGCTGCAAAAGTACCTCGTCGAGGACGACGCCGCCGTCGCGGACGCGGCAGACAGGGACGACCCGTCGACGCGGCTGACCGAGGCGCAGGTGCACAAGCTCGACGAGGCCCTCGACGCCGAGTGGAAGCGGGCGCTGGAATCGCTCGCCGTCGAGGACCACACCGCCGAGTCGTCGCCGACGAACATCGAGATGATGGAGCACGGCCCCGCGGGCCTCGCCGTGCGCGGGACCGAGACGGCCGAGGCGCCCGAGCTGGGCAAGATCCCCGGCGTGGCCGGGCGCTACAACCGCGCGGCGGACCCCGACGACGAGGGCCAGGACGAGCTCGGCGAGTACCGCGAGATCAAGCGCGTGACGGGCCTCGCGCTCGCCGACGTCAAGTCGCTCTACTGCAAGATCCTGGTGACGCGCTCCGTCAGCAACCAGACGCGCATGGGCAAGATTCGCAGCGCGAGCATCGTCGCCATTGCCGGCAACGGCGCCGGCCGCCTCGGCATCGGCATGGCCAAGTCGACCGACAGCAGCACCGCCGTCGTCACGGCGCAGATGCTCGCCATCCGCAACATGAAGGCCATCCGCCGCTACGAGAACCGCACCGTGTACGGCAACGCGACCGCCAAGGTTGGCGCCACCGTTGTCGAGCTTTACAACCGACCCCCAGGTACGTGCCCATTTCCTCCCTCGTGATACAATCACGGAACATTCCCCCAAAAGCTAAATGCAAACCATTACAGGCTTCGGTCTCCGTGTCCCCCACCGCCTCTTTGAAATGTGCCGCGCCGTTGGCCTCCACGACCTCGCCGCCCGCATGCCCCGCGCCAAGAACCCGATGAACTCCGTCTTTGCCACCTACAAGGCGCTCCTGAACCAGGCCGACCCCGAGGAGATTGCGCGCGGCCGCGGCAAGAAGCTCGCCGACGCGCGCAAAGTCTACTACGGCGGCTCTGTACATTAGAATCCTCCTCCCCCCCGCAACATCCCGTGACACAAAAAGCAAGGCACCGCACAGTCATCACAATAAGACGATTCGTCTTCTGCATAGACACCCAGGACTCATCTTTTGTTTTCATATAGCCAGTCCCTGTTTTTTTTAGATCTTTCTACTTCACTCTAGATGTCGGCTCTTTCTGATCAAAGGTGTCGTTTATCTAGAGCATGTATTCCAATCTGTACAATTGCATCAAAAAAACAAAATCAAACATTTACGCCATCAAAACTGAACCCTCCAGAATAAACTCTTATAACCATGTGCTGTATAAAAAAAACTCCAACCGGTGGTTGACTCGACGCCGGGGTATCAAAAGAAGAAAATCAAAAATGTAGTCTCAAAACCATGGGGGCCAATAGCAAAAAGTCAAGGTCCTCAGTCGTCAGAGTCGCTGCCCATGACGCTCGACGCCGGCCCCTGCGCAGCCTCGCCGGCGCCCCAGTCAATCTCCTGCTGGAGGACGATGCTGTACACGCTGGCCTTGAGGAGCGTAAACGCCATGCTCGTCTGGCGCTCCAGGTCGCGCAGGCCGTCGAGGATGTCGGTGGTCGGGTTGGACGCGAGCCTGTCGAGGAGTGTGGCGAGCTGGCGACGGGGGGGAGAAAACAACAACGTGTCAGCTAATTTACTTTATTCTTCTTATTTTTTCAATTGCGAGATGCGAGATGCGAGTGGGACGCGTTTGTCGCGCGTCGCGGGGCGTCGGGGGGGGGGGGGGGGGGGATAGGTGCTCTCGTGTGCTTCCCGGGGCGTATTCACCTGCTTCATGTTGTTGGCTAGTCGCTCGTATTCATCCAGCACGTCTTGCTCGAGAGGCGATAGGTCGGGCGTGGATAGGTAATTTTCTTCTGCCATGGCTACGAAGTTGATGCTGTCGACTGTGGTTGAAGGGAAATGGAAAACGGAAAACGGCGGGGCATTGCCGTTCCTTCGACACCCAAGCTTTGCAGCCAGAACCGAGTCGTGGCTACAATGACTTCGACCAGCTTCAACATCAAGACGCAAAATTCAACATTGCACATGGCATTCTTTCAAAATCCATAGATATAGACAAAATAGTAGTTATTTGACATCTGTCCATTAACACGTGTAGATACATTATACACTTCATAAAAATAATAACCTCTCCTGCAACGCAGAAGGCAAAAGAAGGAGAATAAGAAATAACAAGGCGCCCAAAAAAGATCCCTTACCCAAAACGCACATCGCTTGAAAATTCACATTCTGTCCTTGATTCCTTCAGTTCCTGCTTCCTTCCTTTTTAGTTGCCTTCATTGTGAAGTGTCAGCTCATTCCCCTCTTCGGTTCCAATGGAGCTCCTCGTGCCAGCGACCAACGATGTCCATTCACTTGCCGTGTCAGAGTAATCGCTGTACATGTCGGATTCAGTATAGACGTCGCTGCTTGACACAATTGTCGTGCCACCGCTGGTTCTTCGCATTGTGTCTGCATCGCTGTGTCCGTCTTCCCCTTCTTCTTCTTCTTCTTCTTCCTCCTCTTCTCTCAACTCATCCTCTTCCCTCAACTCATCCTCCTCGTCCTCCTCTCTCGCAGAGTCTAGCAGCGACGATAACTCCGTGCCTGCAAAGCTGTTGCGTCCCTGCAAGGCCAATTCTCGAGAGACAGCTCTACTGCCAACCTCGGATAGCTCTTCCACAGACTCATCAACACAGACATTCTCTTTATCCTCGAGGCCGAAGCCCTTGCCCAGAGCACCACCCCAGCTCCTCTTCCTGTGCGCGGATCCGACACCAGGAGTGCGCACACTCTGGCTTCTCTTAACAGACGAGGAAGAATTGCTGGGTGTCATCTGGCTGAGCGATGCAATACGTCGCGCAGCTCCGTTCTGTGCCGCCGGGGCAAGACTGCGTCGCGTGGAGAGCGCCAGATTGACGACAGCTGGTCTCGGTGATGGCTTAGACTCACCCTCTCCAGCGACTTGCTTCTTGACTCTCTTTCTATTCATGTTGTCACGCCCACTTGAAGCGCTCTTGCTCATCAGAAGTACTCGAGAGTGGTCCATGACACCTTCCACGATACGCCGCTCCAGACGTTCTGCTCTAGCCTCCATATCTGCCAGCTCCTCTTTGCGGAGGCGCAGAGCTGTCTCAAGAGAAGAAACATCTCCTGTCAGGCGCGTGCGCTGGCGGATCAAGCTCTCCTGCTCAGTGCGTAGGCTGACAACGCTCTGCTTCATTCTGATTTCCTCCTCTTGCAGACTAGCGACTATTGCAGTAAGATGTTCCTGCTCCGCAAGCTTGCGTTCGAGAGCGAGACAAGTATCTTGTAGAGTCTTTTCACGGTCTTCGTGATCATCGGCAATCCGTTGGGTCTGGTTGGAGAGGTATTCAGACAGCTGCGCCGAGTTGGCACTCACCGTCTGGTGAACTTTGTCTAGTGTCTCGAGGTGAGCAAACGCAGCAGCAGTGGATGCGTGATGATCGGCTAGTCTATCCAGCTTCTCATGCAGACAAGTATCATCGTACTTTTGCTCAGCAAGACGGTCAAGCTTCTCACGGATCTCCGAGTCGTCGTATTTTTGGTCAGTAAGAAGACTAAGCTTCTCCTTGACCTCGGAATCGTCATACTTCTCAGGCGGCGGAGGGAGCATAGCTTGGTCGAAAGGCTTTACTTCAGCAATCTTGTCGTGAATATCGCTGGCTGACGACTTGGAGTGCTCAAAATGTTCACCAACCAGGAGAAGGATGTCTTTGACGGCCTCGAGGATCTGGGGTTGGTATTCTTTCATCTCGCCTTGCAGGCCCTCCACAGCAGAGACAGCGGCCTGGACCTGGTCACGAGTCTGTTGATGCTCAAGTTTGCCTCCCGATTCTGCTTCACCAGACTTGGAAGCCAGCTCCTCGACCTTTTCGAAGACGGTTTTGGAGGCTTCTTCCATCTTTTCCAGAGATTCCGTAACTGCAGAGCCTAGCGTGTCAACCAACAGCTTCAGCTCCTCGGAAATGGTCTTGGTGGAAACGACAGCGGCTCCAATCTCAACGTTGCGCTCTTCTCCAGCCTGCGCCTTTTCGTCAAGCTGGGCCTGGTATTCATCGTACTTGGCAATGAGTTCGCCAATCTTTTCGTCAATCTTGGAGGCAATATTGTCGGTGGCTTCCTGGAGCTTCTCATCAGATTCGAGTCTTGCGCCGGCGACGACCTCCTTGGAGACTTCGAATTCAGACTTCATGGTTTCAAACATTTCCTTGAGGTCATCGCCAACGTTTTCGTTCTTGTCAATCTTCTCGCCAATTGTCTCGAGAACTTTGCCAAGAGCCTCAACGCCAGTAGCGCCGTCATCGAGCTTGGTCTGAACAGCTTCCTGAAATTCCTCTAAAAAGGTTCTCACTTCGCCCACGCGCTCGCTAATGCCGGCGATCTCGGCTTGGCGATCTTCCAAAGCTTTCGTAGAGGTATCAGCATACTCATCGAGCTTTTCCTTCGCTTCTTTGATCAGAGCCTCCAGTCCAGAAACATCCTCCTTGTTGGAAATGGCTGCAAAGTCCATATCAGAAAGACCGTCAAGAGCAGACTTGATTTCAAGAACGCGGGCTTCGATGGCTTCAACGTCGGATTTTTTAACACGTTCGTCATCTTGAACATCTTTTGGAGAGGCCTCCTTGAGATCATCGATTCCAATGATAACTTGGGCGATGAGTTCTTCCAAGTTTGCCACATCTGTCTTGAGAGAGACACCTTCCAAGTGTCCGGAAAAGGCCGTGATAGCATCTTTGTGCTCAGTCAACAAGGCCGAGATCGCATCGATGTGCTCCTTGCGCACTGCTTGGTCTCCTTCGACCAGATCGTCGAGGCGGTCCTTAGTGTTGCGGAGGATAGTCTCAATAGCCACTACATCGTCCTTGGTAGCGGCATCACCATTGGTGGGCGTGGTGTCCTCCTCCGCGACAGATCTAGCCGAGGCAGCAGCTTCCTGAGCGTGGATATTGTCCACACCCTCTTGCACATTTCGAAGCATGTCCTCTAGGCGAGCAATGTCATCCTTGTGGACAGTCTCTGTATCGGGCTCCATTGCTTCTACCTTGATGCGCAGCTGGGTGATGAGGACCTCAAGATTCTTGATGTCGTCTTGCTTAGCCGCATCAACGGGAATGATGGCTGTCGTTGTGTCCTCTACTTCTCGAGGGAGCGCTGCAACTGCACGGTCATTGCTGTTTTCCCGGAGCGTTTCGATATCAGATCGAACAGAGTCGAGACCGGCCTTGAGAGCATCCAAGATTTCGTCGTTTGCAGTAAGATCCGCAGGCTTGTGGGTAACTCGGTCAATCCCTGCGCGGAGGTCGTTCAGACCATCATTGATGGCATCCAAAATCTCACTGGTTTCGGCACGTGGCCGGTGGATGTCCTGGCGAAGGCCATTGATGCCATTTTGAAGGGCTTCCATGAGGTCCTTGTTGGATCCCTGGGGAGTAGCCGGAATCATCGACGTGTTGACAATCTCACGAATGCCTTCCAGCTCGCTCTGGAGTTGACTTCGGGAGCTATCGTTGGCCTCCGCAATAACTCTGCCAACGTCTTGTTTGAACTCCTCCATGGTTGTCGCGAGCATTTCCATGAGCTGCGGTTTGTCGGAATCGCCAGAAAGGCGGTCAACGTAGCTCTCAATAGATGCCCGAAGGGCTTCCAGACCATCCTTGGTGGCGTCGAGGACCTGTTCTGTGTCACGTCCATGGGCTGCAACATTGTCCTTTGCCTCCTCCGAGACAGCTCTAAATTCGAGTTTCATGTATTGCACAATATCCTGGAGGCGACCCATGATCTCCTCATTGCTCTCGCTGGAAAGATTACCGCCCCGCGGGACTTCGAACCCACTAAGTCCTTCTTTGACAGCGTGAACGACATCTTGGTGAGTCATGTCACTGCCGTTGCCAATAGCAGCAGGAGCGACAGGAAACTCGAATTCCTCAAGACAGTCTCGAACAGCTTCAATAATCTCGTCCCTAGACATTGAAGCAGGGGTATCCATTTGAGGAGGCACAAAGTGCTTCAAACCTTCCACAACGGCGGTGAATACCTCGTCTCTCGTCGCAGCAGGGGGGCGCTCGTCCTGGGGCTGGTAGTCCTGAAGACCTTGCTTCAGGCAATCCATGATATCCTCGCGCTCGAGAGCAGACTTGCCGACATCCACTTCTGGCTTGTAAGCTTCCCAAGCATCGCGCACAGCCTCAATGACATCCTCGCGGCTGAGATCCGGCATCTCGCCCCGAGTCGCCTCGTTATCTCGCAGAGCTGCGCGCATGGCATTGTAGATTTCTTGGTAATCAACCGCGGTCTTCTGGGAAGAAGCTGAAGATGCAGACTGTCGGCGGTGCTCGCGTAGAACGTTGTTGAGTTGCTCCTTCATCTGCAGAAGGCCTTTGTCAATGACTCGTGACACTTCATCCTTTCTATCGTGGTCGGGTTCCTCCTCTCCTCGTGGGGCAGAATCCATGGTTTCCAGGCGTTTAGCGATTTCTCTGCCCATACCGAGAACCTCGCCGCGAAGTTCACGAACCAGCGCCTTAACCTCGGCCGTCAGTCCACCGCCTTGCGCGACGCTGTCTTTGACGGAGCGGATTATTTTAAGAAGATCATCGTTCAACAGCTCGGCGCCTCTGTTTCCGGGGGCAGACGAGCGGCGGCCGTCACCGTTTTGGAGAAAATGCTCCATGCGTTGTGCCATACCGCCACGGGGGAGATCGAGTTCTAAACCGCTAGAGCTCATGGGTCGGGTGTTGTTTGCGGCCGCCTGGGCCATCGCAGCCTGAGTTTGATTGCGGACATATTGGGCCAGTTCGTCAACCTTGGTTGAGGTTGCCATACCAGAGAGCTTCTGGGACAGCTGCACAAGCAAGCCTACGAGAGACTTTTCGCCGTCAGCTGTACCAAGTCCGCGAAGGATTCTTTCCAGCAGAATGACAGAGGCAGGAGCTTCGCCTCCGGCCAGCGAGGGGGTGCTAACTGACCCTCGATCAATGGACTCAGCAAAGCTCTTGGGTGACGGTATCCTGGGGAGATGAATTGAACGAGTTTGAGGAGATGCGGGGTGAGGTTTGTTGTCGAGCAGGAGATTATTCAGCGAGGTAATCGAGAGGCGGCTGGTTTGGTCATCAACGCGGCCAACCAAGTCTCGTATGCTTTTTCGAATGTCTTCATCTCTGGTGGTAGTAGCCTCCTTGAGACTAAGCAGGTCCGTGGCATTGTCTCTGCTGCGTCGAGTGAGTGCGGACATTTCTTTTTGTAGTGCACTGGCAATGTTTGTCAGGCTGGCCAGCTGGGATGCCACCCCTTCCAGAGCGTTTTGGGACTTGCCCGGTGAGGTTGAGCCATTTGTGACCTTTGACAGAGGCTCTGCCTCTTTGAGGGAAGATTGGGATGACATGCTCTGCAGCGCAAGCATAGTAGACGAGGCAGGTGGTGTGTTCTCGCCCAGGATGCTCTGAGTTGCTTGACGCCTAGGCGCAGGTCGGACAATCGGTGTCAGGCTAGGGCCAGGCGCAGGCGGAGCTGAAGAGGCAATAGACTCGGTAGGCGTGCAAGGACGGCTCGAGCTCTGCTCAATCATCCAACTACGATCGCGCACACCACCGGGCTGCATCGACTGCATGCGCCGATGGCTTCCGCCTTTGACGAGGGATCTCTCTGGGGAGCCGTCTAGGCGTCGGCCGGGATTGTGGGTGTTGGCGCTCTCGCGGGCTCGCTCGTTGAGGGCAGCATGGGCGGACTGGATAGCGCTGGAGGTGCCGGTACGCGATGTGAGTTTGGGGGACTGGGGGTTGAGCGGCAATGGCGGCGGCGCGCGCTCTGGGTCGGAGCTGTCCCACCTGATTTCCGTGTTAGATTGTCGGATACACAAGGACGATGCTCGGCAGGTTGAACTTGTGGTGCAGCACACACAAGCTCGACACCACCTGGAACAAGATATGGCACCTACATGGGAACAAGGGCCCGCGACCGGAAGTCGACACTAGCAGAATGTTGATGTCTGCTGTGCCTCTCCGCATCGCGTGAGGACTCAGACTCTGTATGGGACATGGTGGTTGTGGTTGGAATGCAGCGCAGATGGCAAGAATGCGGACGGCGCCCGCATCCACAGTAAGAAGGGACTGCTAATAACGTCGCTAGTCACGTCGGAGGAGACGCAGCGGAGCAGAAAAGTAGAGAAGCGATTCAAGACTGTGAAACTTCGCAATGCTTGTAAAAGGTCAATAAGTCGTAGCAATAATGGGGAGGTTCGTTGAGCGTTTTGCAAATTCAATCGTGGCGATTAGAGAGGTCTTTGTGATGAGCGGAGCACATGTTAGCTGTTTGTTTATGAACTGGGAGAGGTCTGTTGCTGGGCAACCTAGCGCGATAGGGCCAGGTACATACATACTGATACCTAACAGGCGGTCCTTGCTCATGGAAATGAAAGAACTTCTTGATGCAGCCATAGATTCAATCAATAACACATATAATACACAGCAAACAACAATGTTTGTTTTGAAAACAATTCAAACGCCCCTTTGTATTCTACAAAGCTGTGCTTCTATGTGCCGCGCCTGTCTACATTTGCCGCATGTTCAATATTGAATGAATCCCAGCTATATTCCACCTTGACATCGTGCTTTGACGCTTTCATATAATTCCCCAAACAATGAAACACCTCCCGCATTTTTTTATATGTTGCAGGATCAAATGACAATATTACTTTCGGAACATGACATCAAAGGCCGGGATCAAGGTCTGAGCCAGCCAGAAGGAAAAGACCAGCTTGGGGCCAGTCATGAGGAGCTGCGGATAAAGGATCAGCGCATATTCAATAAATGGCATTGTGGAGAGTGCACTCGTCATACCTTGGGCACAAGACCCTTGAAGAAACTGGAGAAACCTTCGTTGCGAGCCATGTTGGACAGGATGCGGAAACCACTCTCTGGGTTCTCAAAGTTGCGGTTCTGGATACGCGTCTTGATAACGTCAAGGGGAGCCGAGACGACGAGGGAAGCAGAGGCACCAGCGATGGAGGCGATAAAGTTCTCGAACCAAGAGGCCTTGTTATAGTCGTCCAGGTGGAATAGGTACTCCTTGGCAAAGGCAGAGCCGCCAAACAGCTATATCCAGATATCAGCAAACAGTCAGGTATTCGGCACTCTTGAGAAAGGCCTACAGCAAAGGAACCAGGGGCATTTCTAGCAGCAGTCCAGCCCCAACCACGGTACAGTCCGAAACCTTCGTCACCGATGATTCTCACGACGCCACGGCCACGGAAAGCCTCGGGGTTGGTCTGGCGCTTGATCTTGAGTACGTCGAGAGGCAGGAGGACAATTTCACCAATACCGATCAAACTAGAACATCGCACATTAGCTCTTTGCTGACTGATTTACAAACGCACCGAGAATGAGTCTTTGTCTTACCTGCCCGCAGTAGAGTGCAGAACGGCTTTGCCAGTCTTTTTGCCAAATGTGTTCTCAAAGTCCTTGCCGTAGTGCTGGGTAAGCCAGTCACGGGCCACAGGCTGGCCACCATACTTGTATACACGCTGGAGGACCTTGTAGCCGGCAGCGTAGCCAAGACCAGGGAAGAGGGAGAGGAACTTGCGGCCGACGGGAGCAGTGGCCTTGTCCTTGAAAATGACCTGCTTCAGTTCGGTGGCACTGGCGATCTAGATTTGGTAAGCGATCAGCACCCCGAGGTACACGAGAAGACGGTGGGAAAGACATGTGCCCGTCCGCGCGGTGGTGTAGAGTGCAGGCATACCTTGGTCTGGTTGCTCATCAGTCGCTTGGCAATTGTATCGACCTGAATTGAAAGTCAGTCGTTGCGACTCGAAAGGACTGCGCTTGGATATCGACTAAACGTACAGGGTGGAAGACAGCCAACTCGGCGATGCCAGCAGATCCTGTCGTAGTCACAGTTAGCGAATGTCGTCTGCGACTGCGGTGCGGTGCGCGGGATGCGCAAAGGCAGGCGGGAACAAGTGCAACATACCGGAACCAAGCACTCGGGCGAGGTTGGACTCCTTTTGGTTTGCGCCAGCTGCGGGAGACATTTTGGACTGAGCAATTGGGATTTGTGGTTGTTGCAAGATGTCGCGAGTGCTCCTAATTAACTAATTTGAGAGAGCAAGGAGAAAAAAAGATGGGGGCGGCACAGGGAAAGGCAGAGCGGGACGGCCATCAAAGTGAGATGCCGATAACGGTCTACCTTGCTTTCTAGACTATTATAGTGTGACAGCGTGCGCTGTTATCTGGGTAGATAGTACATTAGTAGGTATAGAAATTAGAAATTTACCACTACCAATTTATTACGCTCAACCAAGCAACGCCCTTGCGGCATCTCCCACTGTGCTTGTTCTTTGCACATGCTCGGCTGTTCCTTCTGCTTTCATGAGTGGCTGCAGCTCGGGCCCTGGCCAGATTGACATATGCAAGTCTGACCTGGCCCAGAAAAATCACCTCAATATCAGCCAGTCCACCTTGACATCACGGAATACAGAATGCACTGGCGCTCACTTGCACTTTTGATAATTGGCGCAGACATGATCATGATGCTTAAATCTCTCATATCTGCAAAGCTGGATATCATTCCCCATCCCTCAATAGTCCCTAAAAACAGCAACCATCTCGTCCAAGCGCATGACCTGTCCAAGAAGCTTTTCCTCCACAGCGAGGTGATCATTATATTTATCATAATGCTCCGTCGTCATCACTTCCTCCTCCTTGCCCTGTACATCCTTGCGCTCCACAAAGGAGAGAATGTTTCGCTCCTTGTGACGCTCCACCTGCAGTGTCTCTAGACATCGCACCATGGCTTTGTAAATGTCATCCAGGACCTGGGACTCGGTTCTTTCTCTGTCAAAGAACCAGAAGAAAAGTGTTCGATTCGCCATTCGACTGTTGTCCTTGGGAACCTCTTGCACATCGACAAGACCAGCCATTTGCATAGCAATCATCTTGAGCTGCACGTCTGACTTCTTCATCAGTGCCGCCGATGGCAGCATCTTCTCATCCAATTTGCCCTTCTCCCGTAGGATCCGCGTCAGTCGCAGTCCATGGCGACCAAACGATTGCTCAATATATGCATCCAGCTCAGTTTCTTTCAGACGGTTCAGAACCTTGGAGAAGTCAACAGTCCACTGTCCACGACCCTGAGTACCACAGTGTCTCACAAATCGATGTTTGCTCTCCGCCAGTAAGAACAAGTGCTGCCGCATCTGTTCAATGCGGTTGTTTTTTGATGACCCGTCGTCCTCAAATTTGACCTTGGGTTTGCCATGTCCATTGGTATGGGGCACGCCGCTCTCTTGGTCTTCATCTGATCCAAAGCCATTGTCCATATCCATGTCTAAACTTCGGGCGGCAGGTGCCGGGCGGCGTACCGGCATGTCGCCATCAGAAGCGTCCGAATCGCTCTCCGAGTCTTGCGCTTCGGGTCTGATCTTCTCCGCACTCTGGAAATCGATCTTATCCTTTGGAGCCTTGCCGATACCACTTTGCACATTGATTGACTCGTCCAAGTGATGGTAAATATCCATGGTACTGACGGTCAATCGGTGACCAGGCATCTCTTCTTCGAGTAGCGGGTCTGGTCGGCATTTGGAAATATCGACCGACAAGAGATCGAGAAGTGTCCTGTAGACCGCACCGGTGACTTCACCAAGTATGTCTGCTGCAAATGTCGCCATCCGACGATTGCGCAACTCAACTAGGCACTTCTCATGGTTTATCCTGACAACAATGTTGGGGTTCAGCGGGGGTGCGTCCAAGTCGTCATCCAGCTGGCGGCCTCTGCCGCTTTGAAGCTTCCGTCTTTTACCAGAAGTGCCTCTTGTAAGATCCAGCTGGCGTTTTAAACTCTTGCCTTGCTCTTTGTATGTCCGGTATTTTGACATAATCTGACCTACTTGGTCCACAGTGATCTTACTTGTTTTCTCACCAGGCCCTGTTCTCGTCGTCTCTTGTTCAATCTCGCGATGGACGTCGCGCGGGTTGCGAAAGCTGTCGCCGCGCATCGTCTCAATAATTTCAGCTTGGATTAATCTCCCCAGGACCGCATTGAGATGTGACTCTGACTCGATCAGTCCAGATGAGGCATCTGTCGATCCGTTGGTGTGGCCATTTGTCTTCGGTGCTCTGCCTTTGAAAGCTTGTGTCAAGTCTGCTATTCGAGCGAATCCAAGCTGCAGTAGCGTTTGCACCAAGTCGCGCTCTGCGGTACCAAACTGGCTTTCTATGGCCTCTAGAATCTTGCCAGATCGAGTAAGGGTATAGCACGCATCGGGATTGGCTTCGTAGCTCGTTCCTCTACTGTCGGGGTCGGTATGATGATAGAGAAGGTTTTGTTGAATCAAGACGCTCAATCCATTTCGGAGGAACCTTGGAGGTAGGGACGTGTGCTGTGCAAGCTGCGCAATAGTAGATCGACCTTTGGTAAGGAGTGTGGCAAGGATACGCTGTAGCGGGGACTTGTTAGCAACCATGATCAACCCCGCCGCTGCGCGAATCAAGAAACGTTGGGAGAAATGTACCGAGGGAAGCTCGCCGTATAGATCATTCACAAGGAGAGCACAGAGCTCAGCTGCATGCTTTGTCTAAAAGCCGGTTAGCTTCGGTGCATCAGGAGCACGCGCAGTCGACGAAGACTAACAACAAGCATTGCGATCGCTCCTAGAGATCCTCTCACTATCTCTAGAGCTCAACAATGGCTACCTTGAAGTCATTGAAGTGTGTGTGCAAGGAGACGTCGAGGTTTCCGGGAGAGGACTGCGACGGAAATAATAAAAATGCAAGTGGGCGCCGACAGTCTGGAGGAGCTTGTCAAAAATGTGACTCTCATGAATTTTTCTGCCAGCCTGCCTGGCCAAAAGCCCACCTTGGGGGTACATAGGTACCTACTAACCTATTAATAGTGGGCTGGTCGGGTCGGGGCTGGGAACCAGTAACATTTGTATTTGTAGCTTGCTGGTGGGTGTACGGCCTGGCGGAACCTCTTGGTGACCTTGGAGTTGCACTAATAAAGGTGGCTGCAGGTAACTTTTTGGCCAGCAAGGCCAGGCCAACCAGGGAGTGGCTCAGGCGGAATAATAGCCATCACGTGATTGGCCGGATCCCCGTCACCGAAAATTAGACGGGAGCAGTTGAACGAGGCACTTCTTTTCGATTTCGATGCTCAATTGCTCCTTGACGACGGCTTAAGGTCTAATCAATCGCCTACGCCACGATACCCGAAGATGATCTCGAGATCGGCTCTCGCGAGAAGCGCGCAGCAGGCCGCCCGCAGGTCCTGCAGCGTTCGCCCAGCCCAGCAGCGAGGCTTCGCGGCGGCCGCCTCATCTGGCGCCTTTGAAACCGCCGATGCCAATGGCCTCAAGGTAGCATCCAGGGACACTCACGGCCCTACCACCAAGCTCGCCATTGTTGCCAAGGCCGGTACCCGTTACCAACCTCTTCCTGGCCTGACCGTCGGTCTTGAGGCGTTTGCTTTTAAAGTGCGTTGTCCTGTCGGCAGTACTCTAGATATGTGTGCATGCTAACCGAGCCTCGAAAGAACACGCAAAAACGATCTGCCCTGCGCATCAACCGCGAATCCGAACTCCTTGGTGGTCAATTGACTGCCAGTCACACCCGCGAAGCCCTTGTTGTCGGCGCCAGCTTCCTCAAGGACGACCTGCCCTACTTCGCTGAACTCCTTGCCGAGGTTGTCACCCAGACCAAGTACACTAGTAAGATGATGAGAAAATGTGCCAATGACGACGGGACACTAACATTGGCTGTTAGCCCATGAGTTCCACGAGGATATCGAGCCTATCCTGCACTTGCGACAGGCTGCCAACAGCTCCAACGTTGCCGCTATTGCCCTCGACAATGCCCACGCGGTTGCTTTCCACACCGGTCTTGGAGCTCCTCTCGCTCCTTACTCAGCTGTTCCCGCCCACAAGTACCTGAACGAGGAGCACGTTGCGAGCTACGCCGACGCTATCTTCACCAAGCCCAATATCGCAATTGTCGCCGAGGGTGCCAACGCCGAGGCTCTGTCGCGCTGGGTCAACCAATTTTTCAAGGACGTTCCTGCCTCTTCCCAGAGCGGGCAGTCCCTCAAGACTGAAGCCACCAAGTACTTCGGTGGTGAGCAGCGCACCGCCAACCCCGCCGGCAACTCCATCGTCATTGCTTTCCCTGGCTCCGATATCAACGCCTCCAAGCCCGAAATCGCCGTCCTTGCCTCGCTCCTCGGCAATCAGCCCGCGATCAAGTGGTCTCCCGGCTTCAGCCTTCTCTCCAAGGCCGCCGCCGCCACACCCGGTCTGTCCGCCTCTGCTTCCAGCCTTGCCTACTCTGATGCGGGTCTCCTGGCTATCCAGCTCACTGGTGCTGCTGCTTCGGTTCGCAAGGGCGCTGAGGATGCTGTCAAGGCTCTGAAGGCCATCTCTGAGGGCTCTGTGAGCAAGGAGGATGTCACCAAGGCCATTGCCAACGCCAAGTTTGATGCACTGGACAAGGCTCAGCTCCGCGACTCCAGCATCCTGCTGGCTGGCAACGGCATCGTGAACAGCGGCAAGCCTCTGGATATCGCCAGCATTAGCAAATCTTTCGATGCCGTCAGCGCTGACAAGCTCAAGACTGTGAGTTCAAGTACCACCAGCCGAAATCTTGCACTGATAACTAACCTTTTGACAGACTGCCAAGGCTCTTCTTGATGGCAAGGCCACTGTTTCCACTGTCGGCGATCTGTTTGTTCTTCCTTACGCTGAGGAGATTGGCCTTCGGGTATAGATGGGTTCGAAAAACACAAAATCATGTACCAATAGTCAGAACGGACTGGACGCGATGGAGACGTCATATTATTGTCAATACTGTAGTAGAAAGAAATCTCATTTGTTCTTGCATTTCTACTTGTATTGTATACCTTTCATCCAGGTGTCATTGTATGCTGTTTCAACTAGGAAGCGCGGGCGGCGTTTCGCCGGTTGTCCGGGCAGGCTGCATGATGTGACAGCGAGAGGATCACGACGTTTACAAATTGGGCAGCCTATAACGATATTTATCCCGTAGGCAGGCACGTCAGCGGCTACACGCGAGGCTTAAATGGTAGCCTGCCTTTGTATGACAAAAAAACGGCCAGCTCTCCAGCCTGTGTATTGAGAAGCTCTTCCCTCGACAAAGAATCAGGGTGGTCTCGTGTGTCGTCCCACGGGCGGCAGTTTTGGGTGGTTTTGGAAGCTTCTACCCGCGACCAAGGTGAAAGGTACTAGGGACTACTTGCGAGGCAATAGACTAGCATCGCGGCAGAAAGGTCGCACTGTATTTAAGCTTTGCTGCTGAGTGATTGCTCCTGCCCAAGGGGCAATCACGGGGCGCTACAGGCAACCCTCACCGTACCAAAGACGGACGCACTGTAAAAGCACGGTGTATGTGAGCCCTTAAACAGTAGACTCAGGTACCCTACTCCCAGTGTCCGGCCCCGATTGTGGACACGGCCAGGCCCTTTTCCCACTAGTCGGGCAAGAGCGAACAGGGTAGGGGAAAACAAAGCCTCATCAACCATCTCCACAGCGAGACTTCAGTCCCTTTCTCGCCTGCAAACCATCTCTCCATGCCCGCTGCGCCCATTCAGAGGCAATCCTAGCGGCGACGAGCTGGGCGAACACGGTGGTGACGAAGATCCTCCCGTTTGGCATCCCTAAGTTGCCCCTCCCGGTAAGCTGCCGCCTTCCGCACACTCCTTTGTCGCCGGCGCCTTGGCTCTGTCTTTTGTTTGCAACAGGTGCCCGACCAAACCCCTGAGTCCTTTATCGCCTCTCCCCAATTCTGATGCTGCGCGTCACCTTTAAACATAGACTAATCACCCAATCGAGCAGGCCAAGTGGAAAATACAACCCGGTATTTCTCCCAATCTTTCGGTCCAAGCCACGGCCCACGCCCATCCTACTTCTCGACGATTCAACCCGAGCTGCCTGCATAGGCTAACAGGTTCGTCTTGCGCTTCCCTTTCCACGAAGACTTGAGATATGTTGTGTACTGCCTTGCTTTTACAACGCACGATGGTGTTGGCTTAGCCAACTGTCACATGACACGGAAACAAAGGAGTTAAATGTCTTCTTGGCTGACCTTCAAAAGGCTTGCCGTTGACAGTCTAGACTTGGGTGGCTAACTTTGGCTTCCCTAACTATAGCAAAACCCTGATTTGTGGTATTATTGGGAAACTCACATTCACAAACCAGCGTCCTATTTGGAGCCATCAGTGGCTAAGGTTTGGTCTTGCAAAGGCTTTACAATGCCTCCAAAGAAAGATGCTGCTTCCTCTGGCGGCAAAGGGGAAGGCCGTGGACAGAATGGTACGTGTACTGAATTGTCATTTTGGGGGGTTCCTTTTCTTTTTTAACAAGCCACCGGTAGGCAATCGACCGGGGTTCCGGACCGACACGGCCATTTCAAACAGAGCAGCGGTAGGGGAACGAGTCCTCCAGCCCTGGGTTCCAGATTCTAGTGATGGTCTTGATGCCAGTCTAGAGGGAACAAGCGGCAAGGGTGCTTGGGACCAATTCGCGGCAAACGAGCGACTCTTTGGACTCAAAACCGACTACGACGAAAACATCTACACGACTGCTATCAACAAGAGTCATCCCCAGTATCGCGAAAGAATAGCCGCAGCTGAGAGGAAGGCGCGCGAGATTGAACGAAGTGCCCCTACCACTGCGCATGTGGCTGAGGAGCGAGTGATGGACTACAATGGCCCTAGTGGTGGAGACGATACCGAGGAAGACAAGTATGTTACTTTTCACGACACTGCGCATTCATCGTTTAACTTTGCAATAGGTACAGTGGCGTCCGCCGGCAAGACTTTCCACCCCTTAGTGGCGGCCGGGAGAACAGATATACACCTCCCGCGAAGAGGGCACCCGCTGCGCAGTCAAACGTTAAAGGCGCTCCTGTGGACCCTGCGATCATTTCCTCACAGATCAAAGCACCCTATAAGAAGCAGACACCCTCTCCCTCTGAGCCGTCTCAAGGACAACCTCCCAATCCCAACAAGAACGAAAGCAGCAAAAATCACACAGCTAAAGTCGCAGACTCGCAACCTGCTCGCGATAAGCCCACGGAGACCACAGCAGCACAGCCGAAAGACTCTAAGACGTCGGGGGCCAAAGTCAGCGAGAGCCCTCCAGCCGCTCCTAATTCCACCTCCCTCGGTCCCAAACCGGTACATGGTACCACTGACAAGATCACCCCTACCAGCGCCACTTTAACTGTTGAGCGTGACGTGTTGAACTCCTTCAAGACTTTCGCTACTCAACAGAGGATGAATGCTGAAAAGGTTCGAAACAGCAAGGCCAAGGCAGACAAAGAGTTTAAGCTCACCGAGTTGCGAAAATTTGCTACCAATTTCAAACTCTCAACGCCTGTTCCGAACGATCTCGTGTCTATCATTGCCAAAGATCCGGTAAAGCAAAAGGAAATTCAAGCTCGGGCAATCAAGAACGCTGAAGAAGTCGCTAAGGCTAAAGTTGACGCTTCTTCCAAAAGCTCACCAGCCAGCGGTAAAGGGACTCCCCCAAAGAGCAGTGAGCAAGGTACTACTCTGAGTAGTATTACCGACCCGCGAAACTCTCGTGCTCCTGCAGGACCACAAGGAACCTCACCAGCTGCTGCGCCGAGCCGTCACCCCGGACCCCGCCAACCATACCCTCAGCAGTACCACGGGCAAGGATATAGAAACCGTGGTGCTCAACCAAACATGTCTCAGCCCCCTGGCAACCTCGCTCAACGGCTGCGCAATGTCGAGCAGCAAAAGTTCTCGCAGCCACCCACGGTCCAGCAACCGCCCACTGGTCAGGACGCACGCGCACCACCCACTGGACCTGCCGGCACGAATGACGCAAACTTCAACCGTCGTCACGGCGCTCTGCCTGGCCACATGAGTGTGAAGTTGAATCCCAACAGCCATGAGTTCCGACCAAGTCCCTTTGCGCCTTCTTTCAATCCCAACAGCCACGCTAGTGCAAGCTCGAGCCCGCGCTCTGCTGCCAACAATGTCCCTGACGCAAGCGCGTTCACCGGGCAGCTTATCCGACGCAAGACCAAGGCTATCGATCCCACCAAGTACTGCATTCTTTCTCGCATCAAAAAGATAGCTCCCCCTCAAGGCCGTCATTGGGATGACAATGGGGGCCTGCGCCCTTCTTATGATACTCTTCCCACTTGGCGAAGCCTTCTGGATGACGAGAAGACCGACTCGACAATGCACCTCACGTACAAGGAGCTTCTTGAACGAAGCCCCTTCTCCGGACCTGCAATGGCAACACCGAATCCTCCGCACGCTGTTCCCCTTATTGCACACCAACACCAGCTGCCATTCCATTTACAACAGGGCTCGCACAACATGGGCCAGCGTCAGTCTCCCGCCATCCCACCGATGCAAATGCACACGCCTCATCATGGCCCTGGCCCTCATGGCCAGTATGGAAACGATGATCACCGCATGATGCACTCTAACTCGCAGCAGTCTTTCGCGTCGCCCCGCATGGCACAAATGCCTATGGCCTACAACTCGCCTAGTCAGATGCCATACAACCAGCCAGTGTACATGGGCGGCGGCGCACCACAGATGAACCAGTACCGGAGCTTTTCCAACAACCTTGCTCACTACGGACCACCACAGGGACCTATGATGATGCAGCCTCACTTCATCCATGCGCCGCAGGGAATGGTTGGTGGTCCCCAGATGATGTATCCTGGCGCACATGGACAGTTCATGCCGCCCACTGGCCCGCCACAGCCTGGCCCTGGAGCAAACGGTTACCCAAGCCCGGGACGGCCTTCGGCCCCCTCGATGGTTCACCAAGGATCACAGCAGGGCCAGCCCATGTATGCCATGAGTCCAAGTGTGCAGTATAACCAGCCTGTCTACGGTCAAGTGCAGGGTGGCGCGCCAGGCCAGTGAGAGTATTGGCAACACATGATGACATGACCTATCAGCGAAGCGGTCTGCGACGTGCGGATACACTACTGCAATTGCACAGGCTGGGCTGAGCCCCCATGAAGCATTTTCAGCTGTGACGAATGAAGCAGCATATATGCCTACCATGGGACGAGCCGCCCGATCAGTGCGCCACAGCAGCAGCAATTTACAAGGCAGAGCAAAGAATTACTACTTGGAACTGCGTATCAGCACGCAAAGCGGAGGCTGCTCCCGAGTCCGAGGCTAGAGATGGGCCTGACTGGGTTGTCCTAAAGTTGGGGGATTTTCTTTGTTTTTTTCTTCTTTGCTTTACATGAATCACAGCATCGCATCCATTAAATTATTTTCCTGCATGAGATGGGAGATGAGACGACCTCGCGTACAAAGCCAGGGCCAAAATTGGATAGCCAGATGCTAGCCAAGGTGATGAGCTGCGCAAAGAGGACGGCTCGGACGCTGGTGTGCTGCGGAGAGATGCCAGAGCAGAGCGCTGAAGACTGACTCGGGCTTGCATGCCAAAACGGCCTGGGGGTCAGGACGGCGGCAAAGCGTATCAATACAAATGGCGCTGTTGGAGGTGGTGGATGGCAAGAATCAAGGCTCTACGGACGAGGACGGATCGGACGGCCTGTTGGACAAGGTGAAGGCCATGGACCACGCCGAAGCATGCTTAAGACTTTTTTTTGTTCCCGTGAGGAGGGATGCAGCGGTGGTGTATGCAAATAGCGTAGGAGAACGGTGGTCGGTGTGGGCAGGGGATTGGTAGGCAGAAGCAGATATGAGAATTAAACAAGACATGAAAAGCAATATGACGGGCTTCAATATTATACAAGTGAAGAAGATGGTGATGAAGGTAACATTGGCGGTAGGTGCAGCGGCGGAGGTCTGGGCGGGCAGGCGAGTGGCGTTGGGTAGAGTGAATGGTGAAACACGCCACAAAGAAGGATGGTGAAGAGGAAAGAAGGATGACAGGCTGGGGTGACAGAGTCAAGAAGCAAAATGTGGATGTGAGAGAGGGACTGGGAAGAAGAATGCTGTGCCGAAAGAGGAAGGCCGAGAGGAAGGCCAAGGAGAGGCAGCGGGGGGTTGGCATGGATGGAAGGCCTCTGCAGAGAGAAATGAGGACGAGGATGAAATGAGTGAGCAAGTCGCCGAGGAATATATCAATATATTAACAGCTAATGGTTCCGTTTACACATAACTATGGCCGGCGGACATCCGAGAACAGGGCTAGGCGAGCGGAGGGGGGTGATGGATGGACGGAGGAGGGTGGACGGAGGAGGAGGGCGGATGGAGGAGGAATGGGCTGGCTGCAGAAATCAGTCGGGTTTTGACATATCAAAAAGAAAGGAATTGAATATTGGTCGTTTCATTTTCATTGGATATTGGTGGGCGCAGCTGCAAATGAACAGGGACATGTGCATTGAACAAAGTGAAGTGCAGAGTAGGCAAACCAAGGTTGGGACGATGGGACGACGGTGAATGACAGGGCAGGTTGGGGCAGAAGGTCTCTCCCCCCTCAAGCCCCAGCTGAGAGGCAAGGACAGGGCCGGTCATGAAGCCGACGACGACGACGACGACGACGACGAAGGGACAAAATGCCAAGGACGGCGTTGGGCTGAATTCGAGGGCGGTGTGCATACAGGCGTGCGTCCTGGTTAGAGTGATGATCTATCATACTGCGCACAGATTGGTCTGTGTATGGCAAAACTACTGGTAGTTGGAGTCGCAAGCTGTGTCGCTTGTGTCTAACTCGTATGCCGCCAGCCAATCAAGCACCTTTGCCAAGATTCCCTGTTTCTTCTTCGCCTAACTAGTTTACTTTATTTTTTTTGTCCTTCCATCCTATTCTTTTCTTTTTGTTTTGTCTACTCTCTAACCAAGAATTCAACGTCAAGTTGATGCGCATTGCCCCAGTGACTTTTGGGGTGGTGGTGGGAACCGAAACAGGGGGGAAGACGAGGATTGATGGGGTTTCAAAAAGAAGAAGAAGAATCGTCACCGGCCGGGTTTCCATTGTTTTTTCGGGGCGGACGGGCAAGGGGGGGGTGGTTGGGTCTTGGTGTTTCGGCCGGCGGCGAGCGGAGGCGGTGCGGCGCCGTGATTGGCTGCGACGGGCGCGTGCTGGCGGGCAGAGGGGAGAGCTCTGGTGATGATGGATGCTTTATGTTTTATGCCGTATAGCCATTCCTGCATTTTTTTTATTTTTATTTTTTTTCGGTTCTCGTGTTGGCGCATGAATCAGTTCATTGTGACGATTTTCGGCTGTATTCCCCGGGATGATTTTCGCGCTGCTTGTCGCAGGAATTTTCCGGCATCGGTCTAGATCGGCCGTTAATACTCCTAACTACCTACCTAGGTAGCACACAGCCGCTGGCGCTAGTGGCATCTGGCCGCATCGCGACTGGTGTGACAGAGAAACGTCATCCAGAGTGGACGATTTACACGTGTTGTATGTAGGTCTGAGTGGTCTGAGTGTATCTGTGTAACCGTGCAACGGCATAGTAGACTCGGAGGGAGGCAGACAAGGGGGCGGCGGTGCGGAGGAATGCGACTGGAAGCCCATCGAAGTGGTGCAAGCAAGAGCACACGACACACACAAAGGGGGTTTCTCTTTTTGCCCCGTTCATTCACTTCTCTGCTCGTTATTGAATTGGAGATTTCTCACCGTATGAAGGGGCCTAACCTGAAGAGCAGATCAAAGTCCACAGGTTCCCCCAACCATCCGTAGTAATTTCCATCTCATATGCATTTCAACACCCAGCCACCGACAGGCACGGGATTTTCTCCGGTCATTACTTCTCCATCGAGCATGTCACTGATGCACGTCAGGTCAAGCGAAAAGACTTGAAAATAAAGCACCATGTCGACAAGGTGGAATGCATTCTGCGCAACGATTGGAGGAGGCGCAACGCATTATTAACCGTGGCTTCTCAAGGGGGGCGGCGCTGTGGGGATGTCATGCATCAGATATACTGAGATGCAGGCACATGCGCGCGCTGGCACCCACCACATGTTCGGCCTACTATGTATGTGTGTCTTGGGAAGGATAAAAAGAAGAAAAAAGAAATAAGGATATAATGCTTTCGACAGGGGCGGTATTAAGTGAACCCAGTCTTTCATAGTGTAAGCCAGCATTTCTGCTGGCGGCGCAGAGGACCCTCAATCTATCCCAAGTACGCCAGACCAGGAACATGGTTGCAGCATGACGGCGCCGCCAACCGGCGAGGTGGCGAGTGCCAAGGTAACATTCCCTTTGCAATGGCAACATGGGCAGATGGCAGATGATGGCGAAGGTCGAGAAGTGATGATTGAAGTGTCCCTCTTTCTGAAGTGTCCCTCTTTCCCCCTGATACCCCTGTAACAGAGGAGCCACACCACCACCAGCCCAGCGACCCCTACAGGCTGCCAGAACGCCCAGCACAGTGGCTGTAGGCGCCTCGCAGCCAACCATGCTTGGCCAGCTGCCCTGCTCTCGCGACCAGAAACATTCCAACTTACAAAAGGCACTCGACGGCCCGTCACTTGGGCTTCACTTTTTCGTTTGGAACCAGGCACGCACACCACTCTCGCATTCCCTCTCTCTTTTCTACACTCCTTTCTTTCAGAACCACCCGTTTCACTTCTTGCTAGCAAGGAAATCCGACAACCATTCGTCATCTGAGCCTTCTCCGTCTCACACAAACGATTTTCCTGTTACGCAACACTCCATTCCTTATTCACATCAACTTTTGAGCTGTGCTCACACATTCTCTCGACTTTTTTTCACGCCCCCTCCTTTTCCGTTATAAAAGCCTTTGCCTGCCTGTGGTTTTTATTCGCCTTTGTCTCTTGTACGTTACTCTCAACCCTCCCTTTTCCACTCATCAAGCTGGTTCTTGTTGACTTACACGCCTTCATCTTCAGGTGCAAACGCACAACTTTTTTCGCTCTCTTTTGACAAGAGATCCCACGCAACCACACTTTTTTTTGCCCTCTCTCTCGACATTGACTGTCTAAACTTTTTGGTCCTTTTTTTCAAAAATCACCAACCAACCAACCACCGTCAAGATGCAAATCATCGCTTCCGTCGCCGCCATCCTCGGCATGGCCGCCTCCGCCTCCGCGCACATGGCCCTCACCAACCCCGCGCCCCTCGGCTCTCCCAAGAACGGCGGCTCCGACTACGACATGAAGTCGCCCCTCAACGCCGACGGCAGCAACTTCCCCTGCCGCGGCCACCTCAACCTGCTCGGCACCGCTGGCGGCAAGTCCGTCGCCACCTGGCCCGCCGGCTCCAAGCAGACCCTCTCCATCGACGGCAGCGCCTGGCACAGCGGCGGCAGCTGCCAGGCCTCGCTCTCCTACGACAAGGGCAAGACCTGGACCGTGATCTACTCGTGGCTCGGCAGCTGCCCCTCGGGCCCCGGCCCCTCGTCCTACGACTTCTCTGTCCCCGCCGATGCCACCGCCGGCGAGGCCATCTTCGCCTGGTCCTGGTTCAACAAGGTCGGCAACCGTGAAATGTACATGAACTGCGCCGTCGTCGAGATTAGCGGCAGCAAGTCCAAGAAGCGTCGTGGTGTTGCCATGAGCGCCCGTCCCGCCATGTTTGTCGCCAACGTCGGCAACGGCTGCGGCACCTCCGAGGGTACCGATTTCCAGTTCCCCGACCCCGGCCCTGATGTCGTCACCAAGGGCTCCAACTTTGGGCCTCCCACCGGCAAGTGCGCCGGCTCCGGTAGCCCGGCTCCCCCGCCGGCTCCTGCTCCTTCCTCCTCCGCCGCCGCCGCCCCCAGCGCTCCCCCCGCTGCCAGCAGCTCCGCGCCCGTTGCCAGCAGCTCCGCACCCGTTGCCAGCAGCTCCGCACCCGCCGCCCCTGTGCCCGCCCCCAGCGGCACCCAGAAGCCTTCGCCCTCGGCCCCCGGCGGTGTCTTTATCACCGTCTCCCAGTCCACCGGTGTCGCCACCTCGCTGCCCACCACCGTCCAGACCATCGTCCGCCCTACCCAGAGCGCTCCCGCGCCCAGCAACTCGGCCCCTGCCGTCACCAACTCTGCTCCCGCCCCTGCTCCTACCGTCTCGGCTCCTACCGCCTCAGCCCCCGTCGCCACTCCTGCTCCCACCGGTGGTAGCGGCTCCAACGGTTACGCTGCTTGGTCCCCCTGCCAGGACCTTGGCGCGTGGAACTGCATCGATGGCAAGCAGTTCCAGCGCTGCGGCGCCGGCAACATGTGGTCCCCTCCCCAGGGCCTCGCCGCCGGCACCTCTTGCCAGTCTGGCGTCGCCAAGGACATCATCTTTGTCTAAAGCGCGCCCACGGACAAGCGGTTTGCAGTCAAGGGGGGCTTGAATCTCGGTAATATGGACATATGACAAGAACTAGAGATGACATGACGAAAACAAAACGCTCGCTCCCCCCGCAATATTATTGTACATTTTCCGGGACTGTTACTACCAACACTACTTTCACTTCTTCTTTTTTGCCAATGGCAACTGACGTTATTGCATTGGAACCCTTTTGGCTCGGTCTTTTTGCACTTTTTCGAGAAAAAAAATATCATGTGTGTTTATCTACCTCTTTTTTTTATAGCATAGTTGGGCTTGTTGTGCTTCCTTTGGCCCCTCGGCGAAGAGAGAGGAAGAGAAGGAGCGATATCTGGCTATATCAAATTCCTGCTCCTCTTTGGCGCCGCATGGGAACTGAACGAACTAGCCCTGGAGCGAGTTTTTGATACTTGTACAGATAGACGAGACAATTTTGCCAATAAACCACTGCTTTTATAGCAACTTACATGAGGTCTTGTGTGTGATGTCTTGATCAACGGTTCAAGTGCTGGACTGGTGACCAACCAAAGTGTCGCAGCAGGATACAATGAACTTTTGGATTTCCGGTAGTTCTTCGGAAGCCACATGGCCATATCCTTTCCACACCCAACGGATTCGATGATTTCGCCGTAAAAATGCTGTTTTGCGAGAGGCAGCCCAGTGTTCAGCTGTTCATCGGTGGCGCTGCAGCCGTGTGGCTTCAGGAAGTGCTGCGCCTCACAAGGGAGCGATAACAGAAAGCTTGATATTCCAAGCAAATACTAACAGCACTACCAATCTAACCAAGTGGGCGGCAAGCTACTAATATACCGTACTAATTACCCGTACCTAGGTTAGCAGGCACACCCACTGTAACTGGGTACCTAAATAATCGCCTTGTAGGCCAGCCCTTTCACAGCTGGTTCTTTGTCGCCTTCATCCTCCGGCACTTGTCCTTTTCTTCCTTTTTTTTTCTGGGTTCGCTTCATTCTTCTTCTTTTAATTCTCGTCTTTCTTGATTCTTCTCGCAACCGTTTCACATCGCCCGCCTGATCAAATTCACGTGCGCGGTCTCTCCTCCTCCTCAGAGCTCCAGTGCGCCAACGCCACACCTTGCCCCCTCCAAAGAGGGTACAATCGCGCAACCAACCTCTCCCGCCAGTCCTACCCTCCCCTCCCTCCCCCTCCACCTCGGTCGGTCTTCCTTTTTTGCGCTCCCCCTTCTTTCGAAGCAACCGCCCCTCCTCGAAAACGTCGCATCCAAATGACTGGGCCGGCATCGCCAAGCACAGGAGGCCCGACTTTTGCGCCTCCTCAGTTACCTCCCGGCTGGATCGCGCAGTGGGACTCGTCCAGCAAGAAGTACTACTACGTCCAGCTCGCCACCGGCGTCTCCCAGTGGGAGACTCCTACCGAGGCCGCAAAAACCGGCAGCACGCCCGCGCAGCAGGAAGACCACCCGTACGGCGTCCCGCCGCCTGAGATTATCACGCATCCCGACGGCTCCCAGACGGTCAAGCACGCGGACGGGCGCATGGAACCTATCATGGCCGATGGCAGCAGAGGTATCGGCGACGGTCCTTCGGGAGACCGTGGCTTTGGCGTAAGGACTCTCCTTTCTTCTTCCCTGGTTCCTATCCAGCAATCATTTCCGCTAACTCAACTGTTTCTCATTAGTCCATGGCCATGAACGCCCTTCTTGGCGGCAAACAAGGCGGTGGTGGTGGAGGCAGCTCGGCCCTCGGTAGCCTCGCAAGTCAATTCCTCGGCGGCAGTAGTGGTGGCGGCAAGACCTCTTCTGGTATTGGCGGCAAGCTCGTCGGTCAGCTCACCTCGAACCTTTTTTCGCCATCCGAGAAACCCGAGGCGCCGTCAAACTACCACGGTGGACAAAATCAGCACGCGCCAACTGGTGGGCAGGGTGGCCTCGCCGGTGCCGTCATGGGTGGCGTAGCCAGCATGTTTGGCGGGCAGCAAGGCTCTGGTCACCAGGTATGCAGTTCCCTTTATATTCCTTTCGATGCTTTGAAGAGCTGACCAATGATATTGCAGAACTTTGGCTACTCCAACACCGGCACTGGCGGCACCTACTCGTCCAGCAGCCCCGCGCCAACCTACAACCCGCCCGGTTCGAACCACAACATATCCAGCTCCAACCAAAGCTCGGGCTCCAATCATGGCAGCCAGACGACACACGGGAGCGCCTCTCAAAGCCAATCATTCTCGGAGAAGCCTTCGCACCAGTCAAGTCAGTATAGCGATGGCAGCTACTCGCAGCGCCCCCCCAGCTACGGTAACCAGTCGCACCACAGCAGTCAGCAGAGCTACGGTGGTGACCAGTCAGGGTACTCGGGTCAACACCACTACAACCAGTCGTCGTCCCACGGCGGTCAAGGGCACAGCTACAGCGGCTCCCATGGTGGTCAGCACCATGAGGGTCAATACGGTAGCCAGCAATACGGCGGCCAGCAACGTGGTAGCCAGCAACAGAGCGGCGGATACAACTCTGGCAACCAGTACGGCAGCGGCCAGTCCCAGTACGGAGGCGGTGGCTACCAAGGCCAAGGTCAGGGGTATGACAGCAGCCGTTACTAGAGAGTCTTGATGGAAATGGCCCAGTGGGCATTTTTCTATCACCAATCTCTCGTGCGATTGCGCATATTCCCCCAATGTTCTGGCCCCGGAACGGCATAGGGTTGAGCCTATGTCTTTTACCCCTGGATATATAAAATGGTTCGTGGCCCTCGCTGTTTCTTAGTGTCCAGCTGCATGAGGCGAGGAATGCGGCGCTTCAGGTGAGGTCCTTTGGATGAATGAATAATGACATGGGTTATGATGGCATGAGCTCTGTTGATGCTCGTACAGTAATAGGGGCATCATGTTGATTAACCCAAAATTACATAACAATATTTTCAATACTCTTTTTTTTTCATTCCTTATTTTAGAATCATGTATAGATAATGGAAAATGTATCCCTTTTATAAGGGATTGCGAGAAAATATTGATCATTAAAAGATCGCTTGATATATACATGAGAGTGGGATGGAGCTAGTCCCTCTTCTTTGATACACGATCCTCGCTGGTGGCAATGTCGGTCATGCGATTCGCGATCCATTTTGCGAGGAAGAGCATCGCCACTGCGACAAGGACAACGTATCCAGCCGTCAGGAGCAGGGACTCGGGGACTGCGTTGAAGAGGTACGGGTCCAGAATCAGGTCCACGAGCACGGGTGGTGGGTTGCGCATGAGGTCTGGATGGTGCGAGAAGTAGTCTGCGGCAGCGTGGACCTGCAGGAGGAGAAGGGACGCCTTCCGCTCCTTGGCATCGGCGGAAGAGTCTCTCCGACGGTGTACCTGGGGTTGTTGATCCTCGACGTCGCTCTGGCGATCCGAGGAGTAGTTGGCGAGAGAGAGCATGAGGTCTGCTGTCTCCCAGACCTTGTCCAGCTCGTAGACATCCATGGTGAATTCTGTAGGTTCCTGTTTCACGCTCTGCATTAATACGCTGCATTTCATTGCGACCTGCCCTTTGCACCGGCGTCCGCCTGGGGGTGCTACGCAAACTTACAATGGCGGCCCAGCAAACGCGCAGCTCATATCGCCGGCCCGGACTGAGATTGTCGAGGAGGAACCAGCTCGCGCGGCCCCGCGGCTTGCCTTTCAGCTGCGGATTCGAGTCATCGTGGAAGATGCGACTGAGATTTGTGCGGATAGACAGGGTCTCGGGGTCAATGACGTCGAGGTTGAGATCCGTCAGCGACGGTGAAGCTAAAGGGTAGGTGACGGGCTCGGGACCAGTGAAGATGATTTTATCGGCGTTGGCGGCGACATGGCCGGCGAATGCAGCCAGCGTAAATAAACAACTAGATAGTATGTTTGTGCGAATCTTCATGGCGCCGAAATCTGCCACGTCCGTATCAGCGAATCCCTTGTAACTAGATTACTCTGTAACTACGAATGGTGTTCACATCGTCGCCAACACCAACAAAAGTGGTTCATCACTTTGGCCGTTCAGTTGTGGCTAGAGCTCACTGGTGGCACAAGTGGCTCATTTGCTGCTGATAGTATTGGGTACACAGCATGTGGCGCGGGAGCGAGTGGCTGAAGCAGGTACAAAGTGACACGCGACGCGTGACAAAAACACACAGAAAATAGAAAATAACAGTGGGCGAGCAAATCTTGGGTCAAGGTGGGCGCCCGGGGAGCTCCCGAGATAATAGGTGGGCTTGGACCAGCAGCAATGCAGACGACATGTTCCCTGCTGGCGGAAGTAAACGGGAGGAATAGGAACTGGCAGAAAAAGAAAAGGCTGAAGAACAAACGATGGTCTTTTTTTTTTACGGTAATCTCTTCATAACTTATTGCCTGCCTGAGGACTGGCCCCTTTTGACAGGAAGTGTTGAGCCTGGTAATTTGGGAGAGACAAGGAGGGGTAGCTCGGGTGTCCCTCCGTCCATGAGAGCAAGTTGACGACTCTGTCGATGCGGGATACGCGTTGCGAATCTCAACGCGCGCCAACTGGTCAACGGTCCTGCAAGAGTTGCCTGGTTTTGTGTTGAACCCTGCGATGAAAAGACATCTCGACGGTTTGCCCCTTGCTGGCTGGAGCGGTGAAGACCCTGGTGGTGTCCTGGTAGTGTATGACGAGAAACGAGAAACGCGCTTCCCTGGGCCGAAAGTCAACAAAGGAACCACGCGGGGGGGATGAAGTACCCCCAGCTGTTTACAGTGAGGGAATGCGCCAAATGTACAGCGAGGTACAGCCCGTTACAGCGAGTTCGACAGACCGCATTTACTGGGACCTTGGGCCACTAAAATCGTCCGCCGAAAACCGCTAGACCAGCTGCCGCCAGCTGCTTCTGTGCCTCATCCCAGCCAACCAGAAGCTGGCCCTCTAGCTTTTAGCTTGGCCCTCCCTCACCCATGCGGGTGACAAAATAAAGACAGATAGTCTACGCACTCTATGCAAAGCAGGGTTAAAAGAGTGAAAGTAAATAAAATAGGAAAGACGAGAATAAAAGGAAAAGTATAATTAAAGAGATAGAGAATAAAAGTATACGAATAAGGAAGACAATAGTACATTACTACTGGTTACCAATCTACCTTACTTGGCGATTTATTCCCCCCTGGCGCGCCAAATCATCGGCTCCTCCCCCTGTCTCGCCCAATTTCCCCCACCTGCTTCTAGAGGTACCTGGCTGTAGCTCTCTTTCCGCTCTTCCCTCTCAGTGTTGTGCTGTGCTCAGTGCTCACCAAAACGCCACCACCCCAGCAACTCGACTGGATACTGCAAAAGCCTTCGCCGCCGGGCAGATTTCACTTGACGAACCCGCCAGACCCTCTTCTTCCCAGACTCTAGCTCTATTTCTCTGTGTTGCCCGTATTCTCTCCTTCTCTCTTCCCCATCTACCCATCGAATCCATTTCCACCTCTCAAACAAAACAAATCCATCGCCATGCGTGAGGTTATCAGTATCAACGGTATGCTGGCGCAGCTCCTTTCGAGTTTACCCCTCCTCTCGGCCCCCGTTCGCAAACGCGTTTTTGCTCACCGCCGCCAATCTTTTGGCTCCCCTCCTCGACCGGACACTTTCTCGTGCACGCCCATGATAATGGTGATGCTGACATTAGTGATATTTAGTCGGCCAGGCTGGTTGCCAGATTGCCAATTCCTGCTGGGAGGTATGTCGACGCCTATCCCCTATTCTCGCGCCCCTCGCTTTGTAAACACGCATTTGCTAACTCCTATTCACAGCTCTACTGCCTTGAGCACGGTATCCAGGTAATTTTGACACGATCTTCGCGTGACATACCACTTCGGCTGTCGCGAGTATACCAAGAATAACCACTGACCATCTACTCGAACAGCCCGATGGTTACCTCACTGAGGAGCGCAAGGCCGCGGATCCCGACCAGGGCTTCAGCACCTTCTTCTCCGAGACTGGTACGCCAAACCTCACTCTCCCGCGCCGGCCGTTTCACGACTTTGATGGCATTTCTACCGTTTGTTGAATGCTAACACCACCATATAGGCCAGGGCAAGTACGTCCCCCGTACCATCTACTGCGATCTCGAGCCCAATGTCGTCGACGAAGTCCGCACCGGTGCTTACCGCAACCTTTTCCACCCCGAGCTGATGGTCACTGGCAAGGAGGATGCTTCCAACAACTACGCTCGTGGTCACTACACTGTCGGAAAGGAGCTGATTGACGGTGTTCTCGACAAGATTCGCCGCGTTGCCGACAACTGTGTTGGTCTTCAGGGTTTCCTTGTCTTCCACTCCTTCGGTGGTGGTACCGGCTCTGGTTTCGGTGCTCTCCTCATGGAGCGTCTCTCTGTCGACTACGGCAAGAAGAGCAAGCTCGAGTTCTGCGTCTACCCTGCTCCCCAGACCGCCACCTCCGTTGTCGAGCCTTACAACTCTATCCTCACCACCCACACCACCCTCGAGCACTCCGACTGCTCCTTCATGGTCGACAACGAGGCCATCTACGACATCTGCCGTCGCAACCTCGGTCTTGACCGTCCCGACTACATCAACCTGAACCGTCTCATTGCTCAGGGTAAGCCAAACTCTATGAACTGACCTTTCTCTGGTTCTCGTACTAATACGATTTTAGTTGTCTCTTCCATTACCGCCTCGCTCCGTTTCGATGGTTCCCTCAACGTCGATCTGAACGAGTTCCAGACCAACCTGGTCCCCTACCCTAGAATCCACTTCCCTCTGGTTGCGTACGCTCCCGTCATCTCTGCCAACAAGGCTGCCCACGAGGCCAACTCGGTCCAAGAGATGACGATGTCTTGCTTCGAGCCCAACAACCAGATGGTCAAGTGCGACCCCCGCAACGGAAAGTACATGGCTACCTGTCTGCTGTACCGCGGTGACGTCGTGCCCAACGACGCGCACGCCGCTGTCACGACCCTCAAGACCAAGCGCACCGTTCAGTTCGTCGACTGGTGCCCCACTGGCTTCAAGATTGGTATCTGCTACCAGGCTCCTGAGAACGTCCCCAACGGCGATCTTGCCAAGGTCAACCGTGCTGTGTAAGTTTTGTCAACTCGACTGTTGTCGTTACACTACTAATACAAACTAGCTGCATGCTTTCCAACACCACCTCTATCGCCGAGGCCTGGTCCTCCCTCTCCGTCAAGTTCGATCTCATGCACTCCAAGCGTGCTTTCGTCCACTGGTACGTTGGTGAGGGTATGGAGGAAGGCGAATTCTCCGAGGCCCGTGAGGATCTTGCTGCTCTTGAGCGTGATTACGAGGAGGTTGCTGCCGACTCTACTGGTGAGGACGAGGGCGAGATTGAGTATTAATTGGGTGAAAACGCCATATACTGCTTAGGGGGATTAATTTCTTTCGAGGCAGACTTGCCCACTCTCTATGCCCCAGGGGGTGTAATTACGTTATAGTTCTATAAACACAAACATTTTTAATGTCAAATTCCCTTGTAAAATTGGAGACGGCTGACTACCGCGCAGCTGTGTTGCTGCCATCTTGGGAGTTCCAGTTGAATTGCATGTTGTTGGCCCGTTCTGCATCATTATTGGCGCCGAGAAGGGCCGCTTGTTGCCGCGTTGATGGATCAAGCTGGGGGCCGACAGTACGCGCGCCACACCGCGGGGGAACCTGGCTCCAACTGCCGTCGCTCAACTTGCTCCTCACACGACGTTTACCACTTTTGAACTACATCTCATATTCCCCGTAAAATGTCTCTTTTGCGATCAGTCGTCTGCAGAGCATGCAGAAGAACGCAATTCCAAACCCAGCGCGGCTTTGCCACCGCCAGCGCTTCGGCCCGCGACAACAGGGTCAAGCTCGTCGAAGTCGGACCCCGAGACGGCCTACAGAATGAGAAGAAGACGATTTCCCTGGCTACCAAGATCGAACTGATTGAAAGGTTGGCACGCACTGGCCTGGATACCATTGAAGCCGGCTCTTTCGTCTCTCCCAAATGGGTTCCTCAGGTGCGTGGCAATGGCTGTTGCCGACTGACCGCCCGTCGGTGGTGTGTTTGCTGACATTGTCCGTTTTAGATGGCCAATTCCGCCGAAATTCTCGAACACCTTCTCCAGCAAAAGATTCACTCCCCCGTCCCGATCTCATACGCCTTTTTAGCGCCCAACACAAAAGGTCTGCAGAACGCGGCGGCGCTGCTCAAGCAGCACCAAGGCGCTTTTACGACGCAGGCGAATCCCGCGGCGCCCGGGGACAAGACGCCCAAGCCGGGCGTGGAAGTTGCCGTGTTCGCGGCGGCGACGGAGAGCTTCACGCAAAAGAACCTTAATTGCGACATTGCGACGTCGCTGGAGCGGTTCAAGGCGGTCATCCAGGACAGCAAGGCGCTAGGCCTGCGGGTACGGGCGTACGTGTCGGTGGTGTTGGGGTGCCCGTTTGAGGGCTTCGATGTAGACCCGCGCAAGGTGGCCGAGATTGCGACGGACCTGCTCGAGTCGGGCGCGGACGAGATCTCGCTCGGCGACACGACGGGCATGGGCACGGCGCCGCGCACGAGCAACCTGCTCAAGTGCATGGCGGCCGCGGGCATCCGCAGCGAGGATATCGCGATGCACTTCCACGACACGTACGGCCAGGCGCTCGTCAACACGGCCGTTTCGCTCGAGCACGGCGTCCGCATCTTTGACTCTAGCGTCGGCGGCCTGGGTGGCTGCCCGTACAGCCCTGGCGCCACGGGCAACGTCGCCACGGAGGACATGGTCTACTTTATGGAGACGCTGGGCATGGACACGGGCGTAGACCTGGACGCGGTGGCGGATATTGGTGCCTGGATCACGGGTGAGATTGGCAAGGCGAACGACTCAAGCGTCGGCAAGGCGGTGCTGGGCGCGCGCGCGCGGCTGGCGGCGAATGCGGGCAAGGCAGAGTAGGCAGCTGGTGGGAGAGTCTGTGGCAAGGCGAATGAAATTTGTATAGTAGCTTGTATGGTGGTTGAGATTATGAGGAGATTTGTAGCTGCTTCTTCAAATTCTGGCAGATATTCCAAAAAGTCTTTGTCACTACTTGATTGCTTTGTCACTACTTGATTGCTTCTTCTGATTATTGAGGCATTCTGCAGCGTTGCCAAACTACCTAGGTACGCAACACTACCTCCAGAATTGGAGAAAAAGGCCTGCATTGTCACAAATGACCCAAACCCGAAATCAATTCAGCATTTTATATGACCCAAAGTCTATTTTCCAAATGCTCCGACGGCGCAGAGGTACCACTTGCTGGCAGTCATGTGACGTCGTTGCAATGAGAGCTGCCTCTCCGTGCCCGTGGCCCGTGGGCCAAGCCGACCCAGAGCGGGCTCCACACAGGCGTAACCAAGCTCAACCTCCTCCAACCTCGCCTTGTCTCCAGCTCCGTGGTTCCTCGACAATCACCATCTGCACTTGCCCTATCGTCCGTGACTGCGAATTCCCAGCGTCGGCACATAGACAGCGGGACGAACCAAGGATCCCTCGCCCTCCTCACCCTCTACCTACCGCTATCTCTCGACAGGCTGCGCCGGCTGCCTCTCCCCCCACCTACAGCGGTCGAGCGTTTTCGTCAACGATCTACCACAGCCAGCCAACATGTCGGACCCGCGCGAGTCGTCCTCGTACTCCATTGTTCCGAGAATTCGCTACAATACCATTGGCGGTATCAACGGTCCTCTCGTTATCCTCGACAATGTATGCTTTTTTACCTTCTGCCGCGGGTCGGGGCCGTTGCAATGGGGGCGGCAACGTCGTGGCTTTTTTGGGGTTCGGACGCTAACGGCTTCCAGGTCAAACTGCCCAAGTTCAACGAGATTGTCACCTTGACACTTCCCGATGGAACGGAGCGCTCTGGTCAGGTTTTGGAAGCTCGAGGTAGGCAGACATAGCTATTTCTTATAACCCGGACCTTGCTAACCGGCCTTAGGTGACCGCGCTGTTGTTCAGGTACGAAGGGTTGCGTCATATGGACCATCCGCGACTTTTGCTAAAGGTGCACGAATAGGTTTTTGAGGGCACTTCTGGTATTGATGTGAAGAAGGTAAAATGCAATTCATTTCGTCATGATTGCCCTGCAGAGCTAACAGCAACAATAGACTACGGTTGAATTCACTGGTGAGAGCTTAAAGCTCGGTGTCTCTGAGGACATGCTGGGACGCATCTTCGATGGTTCCGGCCGCGCTATCGACAAGGGCCCCAAGGTTCTTGCCGAGGACTACATTGACATCAACGGTAGCCCCATCAACCCATACTCTCGTGTACGCTTCGAACGACGCCAGGAATTGAGCACCGAAACGCTGACTGGTCGTAGGAATACCCCGAGGAGATGATCTCGACTGGTATTTCGGCCATTGATACCATGAACTCGATTGCCCGTGGTCAAAAGATCCCCATCTTCTCCGCTTCCGGTCTTCCTCACAACGAGATCGCTGCCCAGATCTGCAGACAGGCTGGTCTGGTTCAGAAGAACGGCATCACCAACAAGGGTGTCCATGACGGCCACGAGGACAACTTCTCCATCGTCTTTGGTGCCATGGGTGTCAACTTGGAAACTGCCCGCTTCTTCACCCGCGACTTTGAGCAGAACGGCAGTCTGGAAAAGACTACGCTGTTCCTGAACCTTGCTAACGATCCTACGTATGCGACCACGACTGAGTTGCTGTCTTACATGGTGCTAACGCGGATCATAGTATCGAACGCATTATTACTCCTCGCCTTGCCCTGACAACTGCCGAATACTACGCGTACCAGCTCGAGAAGCACGTCCTGGTCATTCTTACCGATCTCTCTGCTTACTGCGATGCCCTTCGAGAGGTTTCCGCCGCCAGAGAAGAAGTGCCCGGTCGTCGCGGTTACCCCGGTTACATGTATACCGATTTGTCGACGATTTACGAGCGTGCTGGTCGTGTTTCTGGTCGCAACGGTTCCATTACTCAGATTCCTATTCTGACGCTGCCCAACGACGATATTACCCACCCTATCCCCGATTTGACAGGCTACATTACGGAGGGTCAAATCTTTGTTGACAGAGCTCTGGACAACCGTGGTATCTACCCGCCGATCAATGTGCTGCCTTCTCTGTCTCGTCTGATGAAGTCGGCCATCGGCGAGGGCATGACACGCAAGGACCACGGCGATGTGTCCAACCAGCTGTATGCCAAGTACGCCATTGGTCGTGACGCCGCGGCTATGAAGGCAGTCGTTGGTGAGGAGGCTCTGTCAGCAGAGGACAAGCTGTCGCTGGAGTTCCTGGACAAATTTGAGCGCCAGTTCATCAACCAAGGCCAGTACGAGTCTCGTTCGATCTACGAGTCTCTGGACCTTGCCTGGAGTCTGTTGCGTATCTTCCCCAAGGAGCTTCTGAACCGTATTCCCGCCAAGATTCTCAACGAGTACTACCAGCGGGCGCACAAGGATACCAAGTCCAAGGGCAAGGGCCGCGCCGAGGCTGAGCAACAACAAGAGGAGGGCAACCTGATTGATGCTTAGGCGTACCTTGTAATGTAGTAAGCAAGTATAGAACTGGAGACGGAAATACGGAGGGGTGATCTGTGAATGCGGGAACCTATTGTTACAAAGACCAAGTGGTGTCTGGCAACGGATGGTGTGCCTGTGCTGGCATCTGCGTTGGGCGGTTGCCAAAGTGCGACGGTTGTGCAAGAAGCTGTCGGGGCCGATAATGGCATGTACGAAGCCGGCACCTTGTTTTTTGAATGTCATTGATATTCTACAGTCCAATAGAAATTGAAATTGAATTGTTTGTATTATGTCAATTTGCGCCCACCCCCCACTGTCACTGCAGCTCATTACCCCTTCAGGTCTGGCTGGGTGCTCCTTCGCCCCTCTCGCTCCCCAGGTTTCTCCCCAAGCCACCGTCGATGCATTGCGTTGTGCACCTGACAGGACGACAATCCCGACAAAAGGGCCGGATAGATGTCGCTAGCTCCGGGCGCTGGTGTCGATCCAGCCTTCTTCTTTGGCTGATCCTGCAACCCGCACCTGGGGAAGCTCGTCTCGGCTGCAGCTTGCCTGTACATTTGCGCACACCGTTTGCGCAGCGCAACCGGTGATATAACCCCATGCCCTCCCAACTTCCCCAGCTCGGTCTGTCACTTCTCCTCCTTTGTCCGGTACTGGGAAGCCCTATCATTCCTTACTCGTAGCTCCTCCTAGAGTTGTTCGCTGAATCTCTGCTCTCACTACTAACCACGACACCCAACCTAACACACCGACATACGCTGCCCGCCACCATGAAGATTGGCTCCCATCTCACTGGCCTCGCTGCAGCCGTCGCGCTGCCCTGGCTCGCCTCAGCCGCGACCAGCACCAACTCGACGTCCGGCCCGGACAAGGACGGCAAGTACTGGATCGAGGGCGACGGCCTGCGCGCCGCTTTTATCCCCTACGGGGCCACCGTCTCCAACGTGCTTCTCAAGGACAAGCGCGGCGTCGAGCGCGACATTGTCGCTGGCTGGGACAATGCCACCTACTATGGCGAGGACAAGCTTCACCCGCACTTTGGCGGCGTCCCCGGGCGCTACGCCAACCGCATCAAGAACAGCACCTTTGCCATAGACGGTAAAACATACCACGTAAAGGCCAACGAGAACCCGACGCCCAATCACCCGGACGGCGTCGACACGCTGCACGGCGGGCCAGACGGCTGGGACTGGCGCAACTTTACTGTTGTATCCCACACCAGCAACAGCATTACGTTTATGATTCTCGACCCTGACGGCAAGGAGGGCTTCCCTGGCGAGGTCATCTCGTACATCACCTACACGCTGCAGGGCATGGACTGGCACATCAAGATGATTGCCCTCGCGACCACCAAGAAGACGCCCATAATGCTCAGCAGCCACACCTACTGGAACCTCGATGGCTTCGCCAACAGTGAGACCAGCACGGCTCTCAACCACACGCTGCACCTGCCCTACAGCGGCCAGCGCGTCGCGGTGGACAATATCCTCATCCCCACTGGCGAGTTTTGGTCCAACAAGAACGGCTCGGTCAACGATTTCTGGAGCGAGCCCCGGCAGATTGGCCATGCCATGGGCGAAAAGGACCTCGTCAACAACTGCGGCTTCAACTGTACTGGTTACGGTGAGTTTCAGTCTACGGAAAGAACCACATGGCGGTGCACACGGAGAAGCTAACACGACGCATAGACAATTGCTTCCTCGTCAACCGAGACCACCTCGGCCCCTACGACTGGCGCAACGAGGGTCCCGTCGCCCGCCTCGCTTCCCAGTGGTCTGGCATCGAGATTGACGTTTACACCGACCAGCAGGCCTTTCAAATCTACAGCTGCAACGGCATGGACGGTAGTGTCGCTCTCAAGAAGACACAGGGTTTCAAGGATAACAAGGACTTTCCACGCACCATTCCTCAGTACGGCTGCGTCGTCATGGAAGTACAGGACTACATTGACGGCATCAACAACCCCGAGTGGATGCGCGGCAACCGTCAGATATTTGGGCCCGGCGACGACCCGTATGTTCTCCAGGCTACGTACAAGTTCAAGGTCCACAAGGACGAGGACGAGTCGAGTGCCTGATGGAGTTTGGCTGATGCTGTGGCTGGAGAGACAGGATGGATAATTGATGATCTTAGGCGGCCGCTACCCTTCATCCGCATAAACAGGCAACAATATTTATGAAATATGCAATTTGATGACTTACAGCTTGATACCGAATACCAACTCACATAATGTCTTACCGTTTTCAGAACATTGTTCTTTAAACTTGCATTTCTCCAGCACATTCTTTCGCCTCGGTTAAGAAATGGAACAGGGAGACTGATTTTTAACAGATAACAAATGCGGTGGATGTAATTATTCTCCTTGTCGATTATTGTCCTCCTTCAGTGGCAAGACCCGCTCCACCAAAGTTGGACTACGCCATCCAATCCCATTGGCGCAAAATGTAAACCACCACTTTTACTCACCCTCATTCAACGGCGACAAAAAAACTCAAGACGACAAAAATAGCAGAAAAACTTGCAGAAATAATCGCATGGGCCTATAAAAGAGTGCTATAAGAGGATATATATATACAGGCGGCATGGAGGACGACAGAGCCCAGGTCGACCTCGGCCTGGCCGCAGATATAGAAGAGTCTCAGATGCTTCAGGCACAGACTGCAGAACACAACGGCGAGGAACCGGTCGTTAAGCAACCGAAAAAGCGTTTTGTGGGAAGAAGAGCGGCCGCCGAAGCTGCTGCCAAGAATGGCGTGCAAGGGACTACGGGAGAGAGCGGTGCTCTACAGAGTGAGTCTTTTCCTCCAGCTCACCAAACTCATCTCGACTGACACATATCATCAGCTGCCAAACCCAGACGCGCGCCGCGACTGCTTAACCGCGTGCCGCCAGAGATATCCGAGGACCCCAAACTCAAGGCTGCCATTGCGCTGCTGCCCTCCAACTACAGCTTCGAGATCCCCAAGACGATCCACCGCATCCAGACGGCCGGCAGCAAAAAGGTGGCGCTGCAGATGCCCGAGGGCCTGCTGCTCTTCGCGACGACCATTTCCGACATTCTCACGCAGTTCTGCCCCGGCGTCGAGACGCTCATCATGGGCGACGTGACGTACGGCGCCTGCTGCATCGACGACTACACGGCGCGCGCCCTCGGCTGCGACCTGCTCGTGCACTACGCCCACAGCTGCCTCATCCCCGTCGACGTGACGCAGATCAAGACGCTGTACGTCTTCGTCGACATCAGCATCGACGCCGCGCACCTCGTCGCCGCGCTCGAGCGCAACTTTGCCAGCGGCCGCACCACGCTCGCCCTCGTCGGCACGATCCAGTTCAACGCCACGATCCACGGCGTGCGCGGGCGCCTCGAGGCGGCCGGCTTCCGCGTGCTCGTGCCGCAGATTGCGCCGCTCAGCCGCGGCGAGATTCTCGGCTGCACGTCGCCGCGGCTCAGCGACGCCGACGCCGTCGACGCCATCCTGTACCTCGGCGACGGCCGCTTCCACCTCGAGAGCATCATGATCCACAACCCGCGCGTGCCCGCGTACCGCTACGACCCGTACTCGCGCAAGCTCACGCGCGAGACGTACGGCCACGACGAGATGCAGTCGGTGCGCCGGACGGCGATTCGCGCCGCGCGCGGGGCCCGCCGCTGGGGGCTCATCCTCGGCTCGCTCGGCCGCCAGGGCAACCCGCACACGATGGCGCGCATCGAGGCGGTGCTGCGCGACCGCGGCATCCCCTGGATCAACCTGCTGCTCAGCGAAATCTTCCCCGGCAAGCTCGCCATGATGGCCGACGTCGAGTGCTGGGTCCAGGTCGCGTGCCCCCGGCTCAGCATCGACTGGGGCTACGCGTTTGCCCGCCCGCTGCTCACCCCGTACGAGGCGCTGGTCGCGCTCGGCGTCGCGGAGGATTGGGAGGACGAGGCCGGCGGCGGCGGCGGCGTCTACCCGATGGACTATTACGGCAAGGATGGCTTGGGACGGACAAAGCCGCTGGAGGCCGCGGCAGCTGCGACGTGAATGTTGTGGAAAGAGAAAAGATCGTAAAATTTATATAATCAAAGCATAAAAAAAATCGAAATTTCTAATGAAGCTCAAGACTAAGAACTTGTCGTAGTTTGGAGCCTGTTTCATACAGTTGGATTTGATCTGAATTGTTGCTGACGCCTGCGCTAGCTGAGTGAGTCAACGTCGGCGACAGAGTATTGCGACTTGCCTTTTACAACCAGCTCGTCCCTGCAAGCATTAAAAGAACATGCGTTCACGAATCATCAACGTCAATATTCAGTAAATTATCAATCAGCCGGGAGTGTACATAGGTCATCTCAGCATCGTTCGCAGTCTGTCCTTAAAGATGGAATTAGCTCAAGCCTTTGCTGTCCGGGCTGGCCTCCGCCACCTCCAACCCCTCGCCTCCGGCCTCGAGTTCAACGTCTACAAGGCGACATCACCCGCCCACGGCGCCGTCGTCCTGCGCGTGCCCAAGCACAAAGTCTTTCAAAACGCCAACGACCCCAACGTTGACGCCCGCGCCCTCGTCCGGCAAGAAGCCGCCATCGCCGCCCTCCTGCAGGCCACCCCCGTGCCTGTGCCCCAAGTCCACGGCTACTACGAAATCGACGGCTACCCGGCCATGGTCTGCGAGTACGTGCCCGGCGACGGCGCTCTCAACGACGACGTCGCCCTAGGCCGCATGGCCGCCCTCATCCACACCGTGCCGGTCCCAGCCGACTGGCCGCCCATTGCTTTCGTGGCCATGGAGGGCTTCCCCAGCACGCAGCTGCCGGAGTTGTTCCTGCAGCGCATGCGCCGCCGCTTCGAGGTGCTTGGCCGGCTGGAGCCGCAGACGCGGGACTGGGCCGTGGACGAGGCGACGCTGGGCGTGGTGGCGCGGCCGCTGCTACGCCGGCTTCCGCCGGCGCTGCTGCACATGGACCTGCGGGACGTCAACGTCCGCGTGCGAGCGGGGCACGGGATCGCGGCCGTGTTTGACTGGACCAACGCGCTCCTTGGGCCGCCGGTCGTCGACGTGCACCGCAGCATCGAGTGGGGGGCGCAGAGCACGCCGTTCCTCGCGGGCTATGAGAGCGTGCGCGCGCTGGAGGCGGTGTCGCCGCGCGAGGGCGCGTTTCTCCGGCTGGACGCGGCGCTGGTGCTCGCGCTCGTATTTGTGTCGGAAGCGCCAGATCCAGAGAGGCGAGAGGGAGCGCTCGGTCGCGTGCAAGAGCTGTGCGAAGCGTTAAAAAAGGAGTAGCAACTTGAACGTTGCCGCCAAGACATCATCAAATTCATGGCCAATCTCATCATGAATTCCCGCATCGTTCTTCTTTGTAACAGTCGCCTTCCCGCTCAAGCCGCCTTCCCGCTCAAGCCGCCTTCCCGCTCAAGCCGCCTTCCCGCTCAAGCCGCCTTCCCGCTCAAGCCGCCTTCCCGCTCAAGCCGCCTTCTCCGTTCCCACCGGTTCCGGGCGGTTGCTAAAAATGAGCTTGTACTTTATAATCTCCACCACTTCTAGGTTCTCGCCCTCCTCCATGTGCGCGCCGCCCGAGCCGTACTCGAGTCTGTTTTCACGCCGGCGTACCACGGCCACGGCCCGCGGCAGCTTGCGCACCTCGCCTGTCAGCCGCTGGTGCTGGCCGACAAACATGTATACGCACTTCATCCACGCAGTGCTAGTCGGCGCCGCCGCGGGATCGTAGTCGGGAAAGGTGATGCGCCCAATGTGCACGTCGGACAGCGGTTGGCCGTCCGCGCCCTTCGGAAGGTTGATATTGCCCTGGAGCTCGAGGAGGGCGAGTCCGGAAGGGGTCTGGATGAGCTGCGGTAGAGGGTTGGGACCGTCGAGCTTCCTGTCTGCGCGAGGAGGCTCAAGTCTGGTCGCCTGCATGGTAGCGGGTAGTTTATGAGAGATATATGAGAGATATGATGTAACACTCTTTCACCAGTGTATCTTCCGCACGTTTCGTTGATTGGAGAAGAACAACCTGAAAGTGGTTCTAAGATGAAGCTCGTATGTGATGTGTATCCGCGAAGCGCGTGCTCCCAAATGTCTCTGCCTCTTTGGGCCTGGCGCATTCCACCTGTGGCACAGGCGGGCCACCAGCCACACCTTTGCGGCTGACCCATTTTATTTTCGCTACTGGCTAGTCCCCATAGAATCTCTCGCTCTCTGTCTTCTCATTGGCCCTTGATTTCACAGAACCCTAGCGACACACAACATTTTCTAGTTTTTCCACCGCCCAAATTTCCCATGACCGCAAAGCCCGCTGTGTGTGTGCCGTTTCTCCCTATCAACCATACACGACACTTCACTCCAGTCAGGTCAAGACAGAACTTGAACCACCACATACTGGCAAGATGAAGGTAAGTCAACACCCCCAAGGACGGCCATGCGATCACACACGACAACCACGACGACCACGACGACAACTAGTTCGGGCAGACGATGCAATTGTCGAAGATATCAATGGCGCTGCTGTTTTCTAATGCTGGATGCTTGTTGTCGCTCGTTGTCAGAATGCCACTCGAATCCGGCCAGATGTGAAGTACTGGAAGGAGACACCAATGCTGACTCGTTCTTCCCCTTAGCTGAACATTTCTTACCCTGCCAACGGCAGCCAGAAGCTCGTCGAAGTCGAGGATGAGCGCAAGCTCATTGCCTTCATGGAGAAGCGCGTACGTCGACACCCCCGATCACGATTTTTTCCCCTCCCCAGAGCGCGTGCCCAGCTGCCAATGCTCACGATTACCTTCTGACGTACCCCCCACGGGATACCAACGCGGATTCCAATCGTTATCGAGAAGCTGGGCATTGGCTCTGGGAAAACAACCTTGACATACCCTGTCCAACCAAATACTAACAAATCGACTTTAGATGGGTGCTGAGGTTCCCGGCGACTCTCTTGGCGATGAGTTCAAGGGCTACATCTTCCGCATCACCGGCGGCAACGACAAGCAGGGTTTCCCCATGAAGCAGGGTGTCATGGCCCCCAACCGTGTGCGGCTGCTGCTCTCCACCGGCCACTCGTGCTACCGCCCCCGCCGCACCGGCGAGCGCAAGCGCAAGTCGGTCCGCGGCTGCATCACCGGCATGGACCTGTCTGTCCTCGCCCTCGCCGTCGTCAAGCAGGGCGAGGCCGACATCCCCGGCCTCACCGACGTCGTTCACCCCAAGCGCCTCGGTCCCAAGCGCGCCACCAAGATTCGCCGCTTCTTCGGCCTCACCAAGGATGACGATGTATGTTGCTACCGCCGCCTTCCCTTCCATCATACTCGGTCATCGCCTACCCTGCGCCGCACGCCGCTCGAGGGGCACCTGTGGTGCCTTCGAGCGTGCGTGGCCGGGGTAGAGTGTGAGATAAGTCAATCGATGTATTTTGCTCCCCGAGGTCCCTTTTGGGTGGGACGAGCATCTTGTTTCCTTCTTTTTGATTCAACTTGGACACGATACTTTTTAATTTCCCCCCGGGGGTGAAAATAAATGGACAACGGAAGATGAGATGACAAAAAAGGACAAGAAGCTTATCCCATCCAGGGGTCGACCAAAAGGACAACCCGATTGCAAAACGAGTTCCTCCCTAAGTTTGTATCCCCGACATGATCACTAACCGCTCCCAACCTTGATAGGTCCGCAAGTACGTCATTCGCCGCGAGGTCCAGCCCAAGGGTGAGGGCAAATCCGCCTACACCAAGGCCCCCAAGATCCAGAGGCTCGTCACCCCCCAGCGTCTCCAGCACAAGCGCCACCGCGCTGCCCTGAAGCGCCGCCAGGCCGAGAAGGTCAAGGACGAGGCCGTAAGCTTTTTACTCTCGCCCCTCATCAGAAGACATTCTTGACTAATACAAATCTACAGAACGAGTACGCTCAGGTCCTCGCCAAGCGCGTCGCCGAGGCCAAGGCCGACAAGGCCGATGCCCGCAAGCGTCGCGCCTCCTCCATGCGCAAGTAAATGGGCTGCAGTGTTTCACGAGGCGTTGGTTCCAAACCCCTTCTTTGCGTTATCCCTTTTGTAACGAAGACGGTAGAAAAAGGATTACAAGAGGTTTCAGCGAAAGGGAATTACGGTTTCTTGATGAACAATTAGGAAAAATAAAAATGAAAAATATAACTACATTTCATCGATCAGTTGTCTTCTATTGACTTTGGGCGAAATACGATCTTCTTTTCTTCTTCTCTTGTGGAATACTCTGCCACGACTTCACGAATGTACATACCGATTCTCGAAAACTTGCCTCATATCTGCGTCACTTTGATTTATGCTCGTTTCCATCTCATCATGTTTCCATCTCACCATGCCAACTGCACCTTCTGTAACACCGTTTCCCTCAGACATCAGATATCATGGCTGCTCGTCGGTCCCATTACCGTTCTATCACGACTGCATTGAGGCTTTGATGAATTAATCAGGTCCAGTATTCTCTAATTACGACCATTGCTAAGAGGAAAAGAAAACCCTACAAACTCGCTACCTTTCAGGCTCATCTTACCCACTTCGAGACCTCGCTGGCTCTGGGGACCTGCACTTCCCCGTCACTTCGCGGTTGGCGCTCGTAGCATGGTTGAGCCTCTCTTACAACGTTGCACTGCCGCTAATAGGTACTAATGGCTGTAAAACCCCATTCATCTCATAGTAAACCCCGAACTGCTCGCTTAGTACGCAAAGGGACATTTGGCTCTATGGGTTGTTGAATCTAGGCAAAACCAAAGTATTCGTTTCCGGCCGTGATAGCTTTGTAAAGCTGGGCACGTAGTACATCGTAACTGTCGTACTCCGGGAGATCAAGCTCTGCTCAAAGTGGTTAGCATATGATTCATCTGGGCCGGTCTACGCAGCAACTTACGATTGAAGCAAGTGTGAGATGTGGGGAGGCGGTCTTTGTCGCCATAATCGCGGTGGATATTGAAACGGCTGATGCCGTTCATGCCCTCTAGCTCCTTGAAGCCATTGAGTGGAACTTTGCTCGTTCCGGTGACGAATTGGAGCAGCTTGGCCAACTCTTCCTTGTCAAAGGAGCGCACTGCCCTCCAGAACCACTGGACTTGTTGGGACGATGGGGAGTAGTTGTGGTATTCGGTGTTGCTGCGCCAATCATCAGTGTCAATGTCAGGAAGACCAGAGATCAAAAGCTCGAGTTCTTGTTCATTGAAGATGGAGATCAACTCCGCGGGAATGATCTCATGAAACCCCTTTAGAAAGCTCTCCATCTGGTCTTTCACTGACGTCAGCAGACGGTGCTCGACAACGAGGCGAACGTATTCCTGTTTGTTGTCGTCGGTGACGGGAATCTCACGACCATTTGGAACGAGGTCGACAATTCTCGTTACGCCAAATTCATCCTCCTCTTCCGAGAATGTCTCCGTGATGATATCAGAAATGTCGTTCTCGAGCATCCAGCAGAGGGACTTGTAGTAGTCAGGATCAAAAGATTCCATGTCTTTGACGGACACAGACTTGCCAAGAATGCGTTTGTAGACGGCACGGCTGAAGAAACAGTCCAGGAGTCTCCCTTCGTACAAGGCTTTGCCGATGATCCTGCCAATAAACTTGAAATGAATGCTGTCGGTGCTTTCACCGGCGTTGGAGTCTTCATTCAAGTGGAATTTGCTGAGTTTGTTGGGGTGGAATGTTGTTCGGTCAGAAGAAACCGGAATGAACAAGGCGTTGTTCGGGTCGAACATTTGTCTCGCGAGGACCTGGAACCATTCTCTCGTTATGCCGCCGGCATCCACGCCCTCTTCGCCACCAAATCTAATATTCAGTTTGCCATACTTGATCTCGTCTCCGCTCTTGTAATAGAGGTTGGCAAATGAGTCGCGGTACACGGATTCGCGCCGGACGGATAGTTGCAAAGGAGGGTACGATGGCCGGCTCTGGCCGTGCGCGGCCCGAGAATGCACAGTGCGGTTGAAGTAATTGCGCTTGTTGTCAAATTCGAGGACTTTGGGGTTTCTGACTAGCAGGGCAAATGTACCGGACATGAGCTTGGGGCTGTGGCGAACAAGTTCATTGAGGATACGGCGGTGTTCTTCCGTAAAGGAGAAGAACAAGCTGGCGGTTTGCGACTCGACCGCAGGACTGGGGTATGGCTCTTCGCCAGGCTGCTGACTGGGAACTGTATCGTCTTTGGTCGTAGTATTCTTGCAAACAACCATGAGAGACTCAATAAGAGGTAACAAGATTGTTGCAACGCTGAGCATATTCTCCCGTTGGCGGATGGCGCTCAAGCAGCTGCTTAGCTTGTGCCACATACTCAAAAAAGTTTGATGGTGATACAGAGATGTGAGCAAGTCTTGCTTGCCATCGTCAAGGCTGTCGGACGAGGATTGACCCGACTTCTTCTTTGGCTCAAAAAGATGATCCAGAGCGGTAAGTACTCGTAACAGCTTGTTCTGATCGGACGCTCCTGGAGAAAATTTGGCGAGGGCAACTCCTTGGATCTCGGTTCCGGAGTTGGCTGCAAGAATGTGCGGCAAGAGCTCGTTCAGATCTGTCACAATATTTTCGCTCAGAGCACGGGCCTGATGTATAAGCTCTTGCCCGAAAACGGTCTTCGTTCCTGGGATTGCGCAAAGATTCTTGATCGTGGCAATTGTGTTTTGGAATGTCTTGGAGCTGCACTCTCTTGCAACAAAAATCCTCACCACGAGTGTGAGGTTCTCTTCGGGGATAATGGGAGGTTGCAGCTGCCGAGAACGCTTCTGGGGCGTATTGCTTGACTTTTGAGTTTTCTGCGCATTGTCACTTGTTGAGCTTGCATTGCCAGCTGCTGCAGTACCCGGTTGCACGCCACCACTTGCCAGCTCATCGCCCTGCTTTTCCGTCGTCTTGGCAGGGACGGCGTCTAGCGACTCTCTGCGTCGACGCTCAAGATTCTGGAGCGGCAGCGTTACTCGGTTGAGGAGATCAGCAAGATGAGTCATGACCACAGAGCTCTCGGTGATGAGTTCGCGATCAAGGAGCATCAACAAGGCATTGATGGCATATTTGTTGGCCTTGGAGTCCTTGGTCTTGCCCTTGCGGCCAAAGGCTTTACGGAGCGACGCACCAACTGTTTCGTGTTCGGTGAGAAAGAGCCAAGGAATATGAGGGTTCCGAGCGCAAAGGTCCACAAGTAGATCTAGGCATTGCTGTACAATCAGCAGCGGTGAGGTCTCGGAGCTTGTCTGGGCGGTGTTCGAGACGCTCAACGAGGTTGAAGTTCGTTTGAGGTTTTGCGGTGTACGTGGCTCAATGTCCCTCTCCTTGTCCTTCAATCGCTTAGCCTTAATGGATAGCTGGCCGAAACTGCGCTCGACAGCGTTGATATCCGTGCTACCATCTTGCAGAATCTGAAGAAGTGTACTGATGACCTCCAATCTGCTTTGTCGGTTCTCACACACATCAGCGAATACTGCAAACAGATAGTTTCGGAAAGAGCCTTGTTGTGTAATGAACATGAGCCGGAGAAGAGTTGCCACGCCGGCTTTATCAAGCATCTGGACAACCGTACGCCTGGGTGCCTTGCTGTCCGAATCTTTGCTCGCCTCGGCAGTCAGGTTGTTTCCGGCTGGAGGATGGGCGGGGCCACGCTGTCGATTGGCAGTATGGTTAGGGGTTCGGCTTTGAGCAGCCAACTCGGGAGCCAGCTGGTCCATGAGACTTTGTCCTTGCTGGAGCAGAACCTCCTCGCGAAGCTCGGGTGGGAAAGTACGCAATATACCAGCCGTGTCCATGCCGGTTGGGCGCGCCAGGCCAGCGTTACTGGCTTGTCTTCGGTTTCCTTCGCGCCGACGCTGTTCTTGTCGCTCCTGCTGTGCAATCTCCAAGCGAAGTTCCTCGGGTAGAACATCAAGAAACTCTTGGAAAACTTCGGTGGATTCTCCTGCAGGGGCTGTTTGGAGGGCCTGGGAGCGTCGTTCACTGACAGTTTGCGCGATGACTTCCTCACGAAATTCTTCTGGAAGGGCAGCCAAGTAGTCGGGGTCAATGCCTAGCTCGGTGATGTCGACTTGTTCTCCTCTCAGTGTCGTTGTGACTCTTGCGGCCGCCGAGCTGGCTTCGGGTTGGTTCGCCAGTTCTGCGCTATTTGCCGTCTCCACGCCTTCCATAGCAGTGCTTTGCTCGGCCTCTCGCGCTGAGTCTGCGTCAACTGCGGGAGCTGCGTCGAGGGCTGCCCGGCGTTCTCGCTGCTCGGTCTCTTGTCGCTCCTTCTCGGCACGTTCCTCGGCCTCTTTCGCTTCATTTTCTTGCTGCTCCTCCTCAAGCTTTTTGCGGATCTCCTCTGCCCGCTTGCGGTTATCTTCCTCAACGGCCATGACTTTCTTTTGGTGCTCAACGGCTGCCGGGGTCAGGGCAGCACAGATGGCATTGCTGAGCTTGGCCGCCTCGACGGCATGATTCGCTCCGAAAATCATTCTGGCTTCTTCGCTGTACCGGCTGACCGTTGCTTCCGTGGTGAAGGAAACTGCTTGGTGAGGCTCTTGAGTGACCTCACGTCGACTATCATTTCTGCCAGGGCGTGTAGGCACAAGCTCCCCACGATGACCACCGTGACCTGGTCTTATTTGGACGTGGAACGCTTGGCCGTTGTTGTTACGACCCATCATAGGCAAAAATTCCATTAGCTCACCTAGGAAACTCATGGGTCCGTCAATCATGTGACGGCCGCCGCTGGTGAAGATAGTATCTGGCAAGCGAAGGCCGAACGAGTTTGAATTGCCTGGTCTCGAAGAACTCTCGATCTCAGTCTCGTTACGCCGAAGTAAGGGGTTGGACCCATCTTCAGGGTGGCTCTGCTGTCCAGCGGGCCGCTGCATGCGAGAGAAGTAGCTTCTGAAGTCGCCACTATCGCGCTGCGTTCCCACGAACCGGGTGGGAAGGCCGCCTCGGTTTTCCATTCTTGTGAACACTGGTCGACGGTTGTTTTCCAGGAGCAGTAGCCGGTGTCGGTCATCAACCTCTGGGTTGATAGCATCCCATGCACCAGAAGGCAGATGTGGAAGATGATCCTCGGGGGCGTAGAATTCGTCTTCGTCGAAATACTCTTCCTCTTCCATTTCCTCCTCATCCTCTTCATCATCCTCGAGACCGTCTTGATCTTCATCGATATAATGCTCATCGAGGTTGTCCATGATTTCGTGTCCGTATCCGTCATTGTCACCCATGATGGCGCGTGCCATATTATCAAGAAGATCTCTTGGGCCCATGCCATGCATACGAGCCTCTGCCTCGTCTTGCTCCGCCTCATATTCCACGTCTTCAGTCGGCTGCTCTTCATTTTCATCCATGTCGCTGTCACTTTCCCAGGCAGAATCGTCGTCAATAGGGTTTCCATCCTCGTCGACGATCTCCACACGATCCTCCATATCTTCCATGTCAGCCGAGCCAGCCGAATCGCCCTCGTCGTCGCTCTCTTCATCATCTTCATCATCCTCGTCATCGTCGTCATCGTCCATTATGACTTCCACGACTCCAGGTTCTCCATGCAGGCCTTCAATGTCACCCATCTCGCCTAGCTCTTCGTCGTCATCACTAATGTCGTCTTCGCCATCAGACATTTCCTCGTCCCCGTAGTCCATCTCTTCGTCATACTCGTCACCATACATGTCGGCGTCCTCGTCTTCATCTTCGGACTCAGACTCATCATCTTCATCTCGAGGTTCAAGCATCCCCAGAGCGGAGTTACGATACAGATCAGGCGTTTCTTCTCGATCGTCTTCAAGGTCAGACAAAGATGACGACGATTCATCGTACTCTTCTTCGCTTTGCTCAGCACCTGGATCCGACGGCACCAGATTAGAGTGGCTGAGCTCTTTGGCTGTGTCAGTCAGGATCCGAAGTACCCGCAAAATATATTTGATAGCTCGCTTGACGCCTGGGTAGTTCAAACTGAGTTCAGCGATGGAGGTAGTGAGCTTGTCCAAGAAGCCCTTCTCGTACATGAGACGACGAATTTGTGCCTGAGAACGAGACTGGCTCTTCTCGATGCTTCTGGCGCCTGGACGATGCTGGTCTTTGTCTCTGTCGCCAATCATGTGCATCATGAGTTCTGCAAGGGACTGCATACGAGAGTATCTGATTTCCAGTGGTTCGTCGGATAGAGGAGCTCTTTCGTAGGCTCGCAAAAGTGTGTCAAGCACGAATTTGCGTACAAAGAGTAAATCTGGCTCGTCATCGTACGCAAACTTTTCTTGACTATGGTTTGCACGCTTCTCGCTTGTTTTAGAGACCAAAGCAACCAGCACGCGTTGAGTCTGTGCAGAGGTAGCCAGTTTCTTCTTCGCAGCGATGTTATCCGCGGTGCCAGCGAGATTACTCTGACAAAGTAGATCGTATATGAGATAGTTGAGAATGCCAGTTCTTGGTTTGATTGGGGTTCCAGTGGAAACGGGAGGAGCGCTTCGCTTGAAATTGATGAACTCAACTTTGGTTCGTGTGTAGCTTTGGAGAAGCTCGGACAAACAATTTAGCAGGAAGCACCGGTATACAAAGATCGGGTGCTCTTCAGATTTAAACTGTGGCTTGGTCTGCTTTTTATCGCCGCCATCGCCGGTATTCGCCTCTTTTTCGAGTTGTTCTGAGCCAGCGTCGCTCATATCAAGTTCCGGTTGGGCGTCTTTCGATACATGTGCTGACTCCTTGTCGTCAACTTCTCTGTAGTTCACAAGCTCGCAAAGAAGGAAATGAACTACACCATCTGGATTCTCAACAACTGGGCGCTTGTTGTCCGCAATTTTGGGGGCGTCAGCCATCTCCTTGTCAGCTAGCTCAGTAGATGGTTTGACTTCATCTGCAGTATTCAGTGTGCCCGCGACACTGGCCTGGTCATTATTACCTTCAGCTTCAGCAAGCGGTACAGAATCATTGGAGGCACCGATTTCGTCCTTGAGCGTCACTGAATTCAATCTGCCTGCCGTGTCACTTTCGGCAGGGGACCATCGAGAAAATCGAAGCATTTCATTCGAGACTTCCACAAATAGTTCAGGTGCCCGAAGGGCAACGGGGGCAAGATCTCGCAAGTATGTAGAAACGTCTGTAGTTCCACGATTGTTGCGTTGGGTGTGAGGGAGTCCGGCCTTGATCTCTGCGCGGATAATTTGTCGTAAAGTCTCCTCATCTTCAACAATGTGCCTCAATATGGTAATGATATGCGCCGTCACACGAATTTGCTTCAATCTCTCGGAGCCGTGCCCGGCCAACTGCTTGGCCATGAGAAACAGGCGCTGGAGGTTCCTCTTCATTCCCATGTGCTTTGCAAGCAGACGTCGACGGGTAACTATGACCAGGACACGCAGAATGGAAGTTGCCAGAGTTTCCTGCTTTCCAACACGCGGCAGTATGTCTAGCAGCGATTCTAGAATGTCTAAGCGTTGTTGATAACTGATGAGAGAAACGCCAAGCTGAACCACGGCAGGCTGGACAGGCTCGTCAACAGACCTCGGTGCTGACCACTGAGCTGCAACTGGTCGCTCATCGTGTGACAAGAGAGATTCTAGCACGAGCAAGATGTAAGGGATCCAAGGTGGCAGTTCATCAACAGCACTGGAAGATGGAACCTTGAGGAAATCAACATATTCTCCAACCTTGTCTCGCAAGCCGTCCACATTGTTGTCGAAGAAAGCTTGGTCCTGCAGCAGCAAAGCCAGCAGGTGAGCATAAGCAGCAATGCATTTGCCATTTTTCTTTTTCTCCTCTGGGTCAAGGGCCAAAGACGATAGGGCAGAGGTAAGTACAGTGCCAACCTCCTCATGGGTTTCTTGGTCTTGATGCCGCAGAACCATGATTTGAATCAGCTCGGATACTTCAATAGCACAGTCAGGGTGGGTGCGAATAACATCCAATGAGTGGTCAATCAAGTCGGAACGAAGATCAGACCTCAAAGCATCAAGTTCCTCTTTGGTGCCGGAGAATTGAGCTCGAGGAGCGACTTCGCTTGTCGACGTGGGGTCCTCTTCGGTCGTTTGCTCGCTTTCTTCTCGAGAGTGAGCTCCTGCGTCGATGAGACGGTCATCATCCAACCCGTCTGTGAAGGTATCCAAAGACATGCGATCGGGCTCGGAAGCGCTAGTTCCAGTAGAGGGAGCCCGTTGTCGAGACCTCGATGATTCTGGTGTCTGATTCGTGCTGACATCAGCGTCCTCTGCGGGAATGGGGTTTCGGGGACCAGCAAGACCGGATTTGTGCGCGTGGCAGTAGTCTCGAGCATTAGAGACATTACCATTTGCACGAAAAACAGCTTCGTGCACCAGATCTTTGTCAAATCCAGCGTTCAACAGGTCACTAATGATTCCATGAAGAGGACGCCAGTCAAAGCGAACGTCGGAGTAATTGAGAAGCGCAAAAGGAGCCTTGTCCTTGGGTGTCGAGCTTGGTTCATGTTCGGCAGTGCCAATGAGCTTGAGAATGTCTAAGATACGTTTCGCGGTCTCATCTGAAACGTGTTCGACAAATGCTGAGTCCCAAAGTTCGAGCATTGGTGGCAAAATGGCACAGCGAAATTCCACGACAATTTGCTGATAAATGTTGGATACAACCTGGTTTCTGTCCGTGTGACGTTGAAGATTGAAGTGATTGCTGGTATCCGTCAGGTACTTTCCATGGACAAGCAGAGCATATAGTTCAAGAATCTTCTTTAGGCCAAATGCTGCGACCTTGGCCTTGGAGAGTTCGTCGGGGCGACTGGCATTCGAGCCCTGACGAACCGCCTTCGTGAAAATTCTGAGAATGGTATTGAGCACATCTAAGCCTCCTTGTTCCTTGAAAGCAAGCAGCACAGGGACGATAATGTGGACATTTGCTCGTTCAGACTGCCTGCCAGGCTGATGATCAATGAGCATCTCGTGGATCGTATGCATCATTATAATCCAGAAATGAAATTCCTTGGCGCTTGGATTAGGAGTTGAAACAGAAGGCGACAACTGATCAAGCACGGTTGATGCCAACTCCTTTGCGAGCTCCAAGTGTCTGGGTCTAGGGAAAGGATCTCCATGAGTCACCTCGCGTCTGGGAACCAACGCTTTGCCGATGCTTTGAAATAGCGGGAATGACGTAGGAATCATGGGATGCAAAAGCAGCTTAAGATTCTCGTAATTCTGGAATCGAGGGGTTTTTTGTTCCTCTTCGGTGGGCGATTTTGGAGCCTCGACCCCTTCAGCTGGCTTCCAAGAGCCCGTGCTGCTCAGCACATCGGGCAAAGATGTACTTCCGTTGCCAAAAGCCGCATTACTGACAGATGTTTCACCTTCAGTAGTCGGTCCACCACGCTTGAGGGACCAGTGCTGTGGAACAACGGCCAGTTCGCCGGCCTCTTCAGCAAGGACACCTCGAAGCAGTGGGCCCATTGATTTAATGAGTTGCAAGTAGTAATCAAAAGCATTGACTGGATAGAACTGGACCGAGCTCGATCGAGATGTGTTGAAACAGTCAGCGAGTATCTTGATGAAAGTTTGTGCATTCAGTAGAGCTTTGACCATTCTGGTGCCTGATAACAGAGGCTCTGGAAGATCGCGACTCGGCAGTTCCGGGTTTGGCGATAGAAATGGTCCAAAATATGGCGGGAGGGCTTCTGTTTTCAGAGACAGCGGTCGTAGAATATCGATTGAGTTCTGGGTACGTCTCAAGAGAGATGGCAGACTTCGTACTGGAGCATGCTCTACAAGCTGCGCAACCACAACGTTCATTTGCCTAGCCGCGTGCGACTCGCTATAGTTAGCAGGAAGGCTGGGTAGCTCGCAGATGTCGAGAAGCAGCTCCAGGCCGCCTTTTTCGACAAAGTTAGTCTTAATAAACGTGCTTGAAAGGTATGCGGAAAGAAAGTTGGCCAAGGCATGAATGTATGCTGTAACAGTATCTGGCTTCTTGTTCAAGGCAGTCTCGCCTGCATTGTCTCCAGCAATTTTAGCAGTCGCCGAGTCTTGCATAGTGACATCATAGTCTCCGGTCCGCATCGGGGTTGAATGAGTCTCGTTTGCATGTGCAACCCGGCCATGTTGATCGATGGAAACAATTTTCCCCTCGTGGTCAGTGCCGAGCAGGCGAACACCCCATCTGTCTTGCTCTGCCTTGCGAATTCCAAGATAGCGAACTTTCGCAACCATGTCGATGACTGCGTTTGAAATGGCAGTCCTAAGAGGAGGGTGATGACGAGCAAGTTCGTCAAAGCTTTGACCAATAGCCTGGGGCAAATCAGGGTCTTGTTCCATGCACCTGACATGTTCCGGGCTCTCGAAAATTTCCAGATAGCTATCAAAGGCGCGAGATGACACCACCAGTTTCATCCCAGAATTGTTGAGCGAGATGGAATTCAGTACTTGTGGTACCACATTTATCGCCTCGGATGATGCTAGGATGCCTTTAGAGACAACATCCCCATGTTTAGATGTGCGAAGCATTTCTTCGGTCGGCGGGTGTGGCCGCTGATCCTTCTCAATCATGGCCGTTACGTCAGATCCTTCCGAAGCATCGTTTGAGCCTTGCTCTGTTTCTCTTACTTCGTCTTGTTGCGATGCTTCGGTAATACTTCGCCCAGTGATTGCTTCGAGGTACGTCTTGATCATGCCAGATTCTGAAATTGCGGCGTAACTGGTAGGGTCATTGTTGATGAAGTCGCTCAGTATGAGAACCGAATTCGTCCAGATAATAGATCCAAAGGACGTCTTATCCCTAATCATGTCGCGTAAGCTAGCAAGAAGATCAGATTTCTCAGCCAAGTTTCGCAGCAGCCGTTCTGTGTTGCCACCATAGTTGTACGAGTTGGACATGACGCGGTGAATAAATTTCAAGAGCCACTTCAAAGTCTGCTGCTGATAGTATGGCACCTCATAATCGACGGCGCTCGATTGATGATCTCGCGTGATACCCTTGGAGGCTGCTACCAGCCGTTTTGCCTCAGCCACAGTATCAACAACCAGTTTTGAGATCGCATCAAGGCCGTCAGCAGTGAAGAAGGCAGTAAACGCAGGAGGAAATGCCCAAATGAGGCCGTCCAGGAACGCAAGAACCATCGAGTGGTGGCGCTCAGCTACAGGTGAGCGAATGTTCAAGATGTGAACAAGAATCTCCATGAGACCGGCAGATGCCATCTCGCTACCAACTCGAGTGGCCATAGACAGGTTCAGCGTAAGGGAGAAGAGGTTGTTGCGCCAGTTATCAGTCTCAGTTACTTGATCGCCATCATCTTCAGTATTGGTGTGCTCCATACCAGCCACAGCTTTGCGAATAACATAAAGAAGAACACCGTGATTCACATTGGCATTGAGCGCTGATAGAACATCTTGAGAGCGGCATGGGAAGCTAGACATGGCTTCCATGAGCGCAAGGGAGATTGTCTGAAGCCACAACGGTGCCTCCGCGTTACCATCCGACGACGGGTGAATGAGTTCAGCAAGTTGATAAACGAGCTGGTAGCGACGAGTCTCGTCCATATCTTGTCTGAGAACCTTGTCCATAAAGTTTGACTCGGTATGAATGTAAGCCAAGTTGGTAATGGCGAGCAATCGAGCTCCAAGTATTTCTTGGCGAGACTTTTGAGACCCGGTGAGAGCTTTCGCAACTCTGAATCGATGAAATGCTTCGTACTGGGAGGCATCGGTCATGTCCTTTGGGAGCTTATCCAGCAGTTGAGACATGGAGGATGAGACAACTATCGACTGTGGCAGATCAAAGGTCTTCTGAGAGGATCCGTCCGCCTCATCCGCGATGCCAGGCGTACGTGGGAGTAAGGGGGATGATTCCTCAACGTGGGGGTTGCGAGCCTTGGGGGTAGGCTGAACACCAGCGACTGTCGAGCTGCGACGCAGAGGTGTCGGTGTGGAAGGCTGGGACGACCGACCCGCTTCGGTCGGCGCATCATGAGGCAATTTGGCATCTTTGGGATAATATCGTACTTTCACATCGCCCCAGTCTGCCCAGCGCTGATCGTCAGACGTGACTAGAGCGACCAAATCCGTGGCATGCGATTTTGGAGCACTTTTAGACTGCCCCAAGGACTTATCCTTGGATCGTGGAGTCGGTGTCACCGCCGGGTTCGGGTCGGCGAGGTTCAATATGGTCATCTTGGAAAAGGCCTGTGCGATTTGCTGCACGCGATCGAGGTCAATGTTGTAGTGGTTAGCGAGGAGTGCGGCACTAATATGCCGAGAAGAATTGCCGATTCGCTTTACTGAAGCCTGATATCTCTGTGCAAGCTCGGAGCCAACCTCGAGAGCAGATATCAGGAGTGATAGGGTCTTGCTGTTGAGGAGATCACTGAGATGAGCGCTACTCGCATAGATGCTCCTGTTCCCGCAGTGCTCGAGCAGCAAACGGGAAAATTTCAAGACAGCTTCGACAAGTTCCCGATCACCCTCCTCGCTATAGCCTAGCCTTTGTAGTTCTTGGTCATCCCACTGCTTCTCACCAGCAAATGATCCCTGCTCACTGAGGTTGCGAAGAATGTAGGCGTCGAAGTCGTCGGTTTGGGGTCCAAGATTCAGCCTGTAGGTGGCGCAAAACGCCTCTAGAATAGCATCGAAGCGATTCAGCAGAGGAATCCAATGATATAGGTCTCCGCGTCCGAACGGCCATCGCGTCGGGTATGTGGCAAGGTGTTGGGGCAATAGCGGAAGGGAGATGGTGGAGGCGGCCTCGACGTAGCTCTTGAGCCAGAGAGACTACAGAGAGAAAGAGTTAGTGCGTCGATATTGATGGGGTGGTCAAGCAAAAGGGTGTGCTTACCAGTGTATCGCGATGCTTGGATTGCATCTCCTTTGTAATTTTGCCCATGGTGAAAACGGAAGCGGCAAGGCCGCATGAACAAATACAGCCGTCCCCTCCACTCTCTTAATCAGACTATCGTGGCGACAACTTCGGCCCTACACGGTGTGTCCTTGGCTGGACAAGCCCTGGACGTTTGGTGTATTGTTGCTAGATGGTCTTGCTCGTGCGTGGCAGCGTGGTTGGTGACGGAGGTGGGAACGTGGTGATGGAGGAGCTCGCTTCAATTCTGGACCGGTTTTCGGAGTCTTGGGAGCGCGGCGGCTTCGGCAAAAGGCAACTTGAGCGGGATAGATGGAGTATTCGGATAATGGGGTTCAACAAGGACTTCTTCTAAGCCTTGAACACCGAGTGGGCGCAACTTTGGAGGCGGGTGCAGGTCGCCGTCAAAGAGCTTTTCCCAAGATTGGTTGTGACGTAGGCGATACTAGGTAGAAATTTTGGTGAGTGGAACTACCGATGTGCAGTCGTAGAAAATGACCAGCTCGCTCATGTGCAAAAACACAAGTCAGAACATGGATGGCGATGTTGAAGGCGTGTTTGTGGTGATGAGGAGAAGAGATCCGGCATCAAAAAAGTTCAGGCAAGGCGTGGTCCAGGTGCCATGAGGTGGGCCTTTGCGTAATGGGCGTGTCGAAAGAAACAAGTGGACAACAGTTGGAGGAGGTGCGTTGGGGAGGAAGGTGGACAGGTACCGCTGAGGTGTGGCTTAGGTGTAAAGGTACATGTGATGGTGGGGAGAAATATGTAGGTAGTCCTAAGGTCCCAAGGTACCTACTTACTAACTTGGCTGTAAGTACGAATTAGCCTTGGGTAGGAAGGCAGCGGCGTGTTAACTTGGCAGGGGAATCAGCAGACAGAAGCCAGGCTCATTGCACTGAGGAGGAAGCGCTAAATAAGTAGCCGTAGCCGTAGCCGTAGCCCAAGAGCGACTATTTCGGTGAAGCAGCGCGGCCAGCCCCACGTGTCAATCGTCAATCTACGGATCGTACCTACCCTATACCTCAGCTGGACTTTACATCAACTCGAGCTTCAGGACTCGAGGTGGTTGCAATATGTTTGGCAGGGATTTTGGTGGGCTTGGGGCTCTACAGGGTTGCCAACCGAACGCGGCCGTTGGGTTTCTCTGCCTTTGGAATGCCAGATCTTGACAGGTACCATGTTAGTTTGTTTGCCCATCCAGCTTGGTTTACCAGAAGCCTGTGTATCTACACAAGAGGTCAGGAAGGTATCTGCGTCAATCATACACCATTCAAAGCTGTGGAAGGCGTCAATGGAGTCTGTAAAGTAGGCCGAATACACAACAGTTGCGACGAAGGCGCGCCTGGTCACACAATGCTTGAGTAGGGGATAAATCCTCGTTAAATAATTAATGGAATGCTGTGGCTTAAGGGCGTGGGCATGCCTACTAGACGCTTGCAGGAATACCAGTCGACTATCGATACCGAGAATATGACGTAAAACTGTATTAGCAAATACGACATTTATTGACGCCGACACAAGGATGTGAACCCGCTGTCGACGTTATGCAAGAATGTGGAAAGGTTTTACAAGGTGGGAAAACTATCCTCGTACTCGGCGTATCACTGGCACGAGAAAGAGTGGTTTCGGGTGTGATGAGAAAGGGAGAACAAACAACACAAGGCAAGTCGTCGAAAGAGTAGAAATAAGCGTCTCTTGGCTGCCGCTCGGCGGGACTGACAGCACACTACCTAGGTAGGTACCTAGCCCAGGCACCTAGGTACATAGTTAGGTACTAAGGTAGGAGGTAGGTAGGTACTAACCTAGGTACCTACCTAGAACCAGGACAAGAATAGCAGAGCCAATTTCTTCGACAGCGCAATAGTAGAGATAATGAGTAGCTTTACAGTGGCATAGATAATATTGTATGGGTAAAGTATCATGAAAAGACTGAATATTCCAGTTTTGCGCAACACACGCGCGCCAAGCCTCGAAGTGCATACCTCACCACCGCCACCACCTCCGGCACAGTGTCTGGTCTTTTTTTGCTTGTGGTGCAGATTATTACAGTGGACCGTGGTGCACGCAAGTCCACTGCCTCCTCAGCCACCACGTCAGCGCCCAGGACAGCCCACCACGCCCGCCCCAGCGCATTGAGCACCTCGGGGATCCTGCAAATGCTGCCAGGGCCCAAGGGCACACAATCCAGAAAAGATTCAAAGAATGAGTGCCACAGGGGCCTGAAACGACGCTAAACCCGACAATGGCTGGCGCGCGCTGGGGGCTAGCCCACTGAGGAGGCGGCAGAAGAGACTGGCAAACTGGTTCCTGAGCGTTGCCGGCGCTAACAATTGGCAGGTCGCATGCTGTGAGGCCGCAAGACCAGGGCAGGGCGCAGAAACAATTTCAAGTATTCTGCCTCGCCTAAGAATCCATGACGATAACAGTTATACTCTTACTGCAAACATCTATAACTCGCTAGTTACCTAGACAAAAGCATTTCAACAACGCCGGGCCGACGCATCTCGCCGCCCACTGTCCGTAAATAACTAGTACCTGGTAGCGTGCCAGCGGCCGGCGCCAGTTAGGCCTGTTCACTTTTAAAGGGGAATCGCAAGGGGGGGCCGGCCGGCCACATCGCCAACTCCCACCAGCGCCACCCTAATAAACTAAACATTGTCCTCGACTCCTCAAGGCCCGGGCCCCCTCACCAATCCTTTCTTCACGCCGCTGCCATCCTTCTCTTCTCCTTTAGCCACACATCTTCTACAGCAAACATACCCTTCAGATTATACATCATAATAATCGCTTCCATTGCCTAGCTGGCCTAGCATACCACTGCCGCGGATGCACGTGCGCTCCGGGCCTTGTACCATCACCGCGTCGTCACAAGACTAGCCATCACCTTTCTTTCGAGCCTCCAACCTCCACGCAATCATGTCTCAGCACGATACCGTCCACGATGACGAGCAAAATCCCGCAAAGGATAAACTCTCCCCCCAACCATCGGATGGAGAAACCGTACGTGCCTTGATTGCGCCGCCCTGCTCCTATGCTCTGTGTCCCACCCTTCAAACACCAACGGCCGACGGACTATTGCTTCGCTTCCGCCACCAAACTAACATGCTGTAGGCTGCCGAAATCGACGAATCATTCGAAGACGCCGTTGATACCGTTGATTCCGTGTCAGTACGATCCCTGACTAAGAGAGCCGTCTCGACATCCAGGGCTACTGCTACTGAGCAACATCATCCGGCCCAAAGCACCGAGAATGCAAGTAACCACATCCAACAGCGTGACCAAGAGGCCACCTCAGAAACCGACGCCAAGTCAAATCGCGATTCATCTCCCCTGTCCAGACGACTATCCACCACTTCAAATCTCGACAATGTTAATTTAGACGACGAGGCTGCCCCTTCTGCTACTCGTATGATATACATTCGTGTATCTAACACGGTGCTTAGCAAGCTAATTGCGCTTCTACAGGAGAAACCAAAGCCTCAACTGAATCCGAGCAACCGCCCAAGACCTTGTCACTCAGCAGCATTACGAGCGCTCTACCGTCCATGCCCTGGTCCCCACCCGCCAATACATCACCTGCGAAGAGCCCCGGAGCAACATCTATCGCCACACTGACAACGCCCTCCACATCCCCCGCAACGCAGCCTCCGCCTCCGACTCGAAAACTCACTGGCGCTTTTTCATGGCTGTCTCGAAATTCATCTGGCAAAGACGCTACACCGACTCAACAGACTACACAGCGACGAAACACTGCCAGCTCCGTTGGTACATTGACCAGCAACCCCGAAATGATGCTAGGCAAACTGGAGGAAGAAACTGACAGCGGGAAAACGGAAGCTCGAAAAAGCCTCAAGGACAGATTCAAGCTATTGCGTTTACAGCAGGAGGCAGGCATTCCACTCCACGCACTTGAAGACGACAATGGCGTCAACCCGACTGGTCTCGGGCTCATAAACGGCGATGCTGCGTCCGTTACAAGCGACCTGGCTTCACCTGGTCCGGTGCCGACACCCACTACCGATCTAGCACCTGGAACTGTATCTGGAGAAAACGCTGGCCCCTCGGCTATGCCGGAAGCTCAAGTGGACTGGGACTTGTGGCAGTCTGTCGTCTACGAGGGTCCAGCCGTTGTTGCGCGCACAAGTGCCGAGGAACTGAATCGCGCCATGACTACGGGAATTCCTAGCGCTATCCGAGGTGTCATTTGGCAAGTGCTGGCGCAGAGCAAGAACGTTGAGCTGGAAGAAGTCTACAAGGACTTGGTCGTCAAGGGTACAGACAAGGAGAAGAAGCGTCACAGCAACAGCACTACTGCCAGTGCCTCTAGCAGTGTCAACAGCGCACAGAACGGCGAGCCTGTTACTTCGTCAGCGTCTTCAGTTAGATCTGACCGCTCCGGCACGAATGCTAGCATGTCATCAAAAGCGGAAAAACCAGCCGAGCCAAGCCCCAAAGCGCAGGCAGTAGCGGCTGCTGAGCGCAAGAAGAGGGAAAAGGAGGAGGCTGTAGCCATTCAGAAGCTTGAGAAGACTATCCGACGTGATCTCGGCGCCAGAACAAGCTACTCCAAGTATGCTGCTTCGGCAGGCCTGCAGGATAGCTTATTTGGTGTTTGCAAAGCATATGCACTCTACGATGAAGGTGTCGGATATGCGCAAGGCATGAATTTCCTCATCATGCCTCTCTTATTCAACATGCCAGAAGAAGAAGCCTTTTGCTTGCTCGTGCGACTGATGCACAATTACGACCTCCGAGAACTCTTCATCCAGGATATGCCTGGCCTTCACATGAGACTATATCAGTTCGAGCGCCTTCTGGAGGACGTGGAGCCTGCCCTGTACTGCCATCTTAAGCGCCGGGGGATTTCTCCCCACCTCTATGCGACGCAATGGTTTCTCACTCTCTTTGCTTATCGCTTTCCCTTGCAGCTCGTCCTCCGTATCTATGATCTTATCTTCTCCGAAGGCCTTTCGGCTATTTTGAGATTCGGCATTGTTCTGATGCAAAAGAACGCGAGCCTTCTGCTCGCCATCTCTGATATGCAGCAACTCACAACACATTTGAAGGATAAGGTCTTTGATGTGTATATTGACAAGGACCCTAGTGCGGGCAGTCTGCTGGAGAATGGCTTTTTTGGCAGTTCAAGTGCCAGTATGGACAAGGAAGTCTACAGAGCTGACCAGCTAGTCAAGGACGCCTCCGAGGTTAAGCTCACACCCGAAACGTTGAAGATATACACCGCAGAGTGGGAAGAAAAGACCAAGACCGAAAAAGACCGCGAGAGAGAGCTCCAAGAACTAAAAACGGCTAATCAGAGCTATGCAATCCAGTTACGCAAACTGGAAGAGAGAATCGAGGCGTGCGATCGCGAGCAAGCCGATTTGGCGACCGAGCTCGTGCACACAAAGGTCGAAAACCAAGAGTTAAAGGATGAAAATGAAAGCCTCAAAGGCCAAGTCCAAGAGCTTCGAGTTGTGATTGAGAAGCAACCAATAGAAATTGAAGAGACCTGGAAGCTCGAAAGAGACAGTCTCATGAAGCGTAACGAAAATGTACACGAAGAAAACAGGAAGCTGGAACAGGAGCTGGCAGAGTTGGAGGAGGTACTTGTTCGGACCAAGATGCAATACGCAGAGGTATGTTGTCTCCCCCGCCCCCAAACCCCCAAACTCTGGCTAAGTATCCGGTCACAGATCAATTCTCAGCACGAGACGCTCAACAGGAAATGGAGTGATCTTAAGCGGCAATTCGCATAATTTGGGGAATACCCTGGGCTTGGCTTCCGAGCTAATTGTATCGGGGAACAAGTGACTGTAGAACAGTCGAAACTGTACATATTACCATGTTAAAACCCACACACAGGGCGCTTGTTTGGAACTACACAACGACGTACCGGAGGGCGGCAATAGAAACGAATTTCCAGAGCAGCATGGTGTTTCGAGCATGCAGGGTTGTGTACATGTAACAACAGAGAACTATACGTGAGCCGAATAACATTTATGTCTAGACATTTTCCACAGTCCGTCCATAGTTAGCAGGACGAGCCGAAAATGAGTATAGGCTGTCAATGAATCATGAAGCAATGCATAACCATCATTACATAGACGTGAGCATTCGCAAGTGCGTGAACGGGATGATTGAATTCGTGTAGTTTTTATTTTTTGGAAAACTCCCTAATGGACCCAATCCGATGCTTACGTGAAGCTCATCATGCCCTGCCAATGCCAAACGTGGAATGTGCAAAAGACAGGGACAAAAACCCTTGAACACCATACCAAAGAGACCGCGGAGAAAAAAGAGTACAGCACACCGCTACCAGACAATGGCGTCCTCCCGGCCTCATCAAGGTCAAGTTTTCTTTTATCTTTCTTAACAAAACCAAGCAAACGGTGCGCGAACGCGACACCATCTACTTGTGGAGCTTCTTCTGGTAGAAAGCGAGCTCCTCACCCTCGAGGATGTAGCCGTCGCAGCGGCCGGACTGGCCGGGGCGGCTGGAGATGATGGCAAAGAGGCGACCGGCCTCGAACTGCTTCTCAATGACGTTTTCGACCTTGCCGCCGGCGGCGTAGCGCTCGGCCTGCTTCTTCTCGACCGACTTGGAGCGCTTCACCTCGTCCTCGGTGATACCCTGGGCCTTCTGGCGACGGCGACCGATGGGCTGGCCGTAGTGAGCCTCGTACCACTGACGGAAGGGCGCGGCGTCGACCTGGACGACGGCGCTGCGGGTCAGGGTGTTGGTGCGCACCAGCTCGTTGTTGGAGGGGTGGTAGGCGACGGCGATGACGCGCGTCTTGCGTGTGCAGCCCTCGGAGGCCCAGGCAAAGTTACCCGACTCGAGGCGCAGGGCGCGGTACTTGTGGTTGCCGCCGCGGGTGCGGACGGTGTGGACACGCTTGGTGCCGATACGGGTGTTGGCACCCTGGCGGCCAGCCTCGAAAGCGCGCTTCTTCCCTATTGTCAAAGGTCAGAACGCATGTTCTCAAACGCAAAAAATTGCTCAAACATGCGGGCTTCCGGCAAGAGAAAGGAGCGAAGCAGAAGAGCCATAGCAAGAACTCGCAACTCTCCGCTGTTACGCAAGAGAGTTAGGGAACTGGCGGCCCCTCTACTCGCTCCTCCTCCAAAACACAGATATATTTGTTCGCATTGTATGGTATATGGATCAGTACGCACGGTAGTAGGCACGCTTGGCACCGGTGGCGGAGCGCTTGTGGCGAGAGTCGCGAGAGATACCCATGATTGCGAGTTCTGCAGAGAGAATAAGAGGTTAGCAACACTGCGGCTTAGGCGATTGAGAAGATAAGAGAAAAGGCATCAGAGGAACACGACGATACGCAATGGATATGCTCGACGACGAACCACTTCAATCCACCAGAAGCCGACAACGCGAAGAATCGTAGTATTCGAAGGCGATTGTAATCCGGCAACAGTGGTGATTGAACGAGTTTGTCGCCGTCTTCGTCGTAGGATCCTCGAGGCAAAAATATTCACTAACCTGATGATTCTGCTGCTCACCAGTTGCAATCTAAAATTGTCGGATGGATGTGGGAGAAGTGAACTTTTCGACGTAGGACCCGTTGGAGGAGGGCACAATTGGAGCGAAAATTGTGGTTGTGGGTTGCGCTAGCCTCTGGTACGTACCCTTGCAGTCGGTTCAGGGCTTTCGCTCTGTTTCGGTGAATGGTTGTTCCACATGATCGTGTAAAGCAGTCACGTGCTGCAGACGTTTTCTAAGCGAATCTGAAAAGGGCAGGTGGGTCTCTTGAGATCGCGCTAGCGGCATCCAACGTAACTCAGATGTACTTTTCGGGGATAATGCTACATAACAATACATACTGACCTTCAAATTTGTACTGCGTTTGCTACGCCTCGTGAGGTCGTGGCGCAGTTATCAAGACTCCTTAACAACACCATATACCTCAGTTCGACAAGTAGTCTATGAGATAGAGCCGTATTGGCTCTTCTGTAGCACACCGCTGATACCTTTTCCTGACGCCCAACACCGCTCTTCGCAATGCGGTGAACACCTTGAGGCGGGGATTAGCATGGATTATTGATTTATAGGATCGAATGCAATTCGCGTACGAGATAACCTTGGTTGATGCATAGTAGTCTAATTCGCTTCATGTCTCTCCTCTCCGCGTTGACGTTGCTCGTTTGCCAACTCTCCGCTAACCAAACGCTGGCTGCAGGAGATCCATCGTCTGCCAAGTGTCGATAGCTCGTTTGTGGCCCTCAGATCAGCCCCAAACGAGACGGAAAAATCCTTTTCACTTCTAACATTAATTTCTTCCTCATACATTTCCTATCTTTTGAATTTGCGCTGCCGCCGTACTCCCTCGAAGCCAGCCCGACCTCCCAGTTGCGCTTGTTTAAGTGCTGGAATGTCTTCTCGGCTTGTCCTTCAAATCCCACTATCTTGACCGTGCAACATATGAGCCGGCCCGGGACACCGGAAATTCGCCACGGGACGCCGATGAATCCATGTGCGGCAGTATTTGAGCCCGACGGGTCGAGTAAACAGCCGTGTCGCAGCCCAGACACACGTGCCCTGTGCAACGAAGACTCACGTGTGCCGGACTCGAGCAAACTTCACCCATATTTGGAACTGTCCCTTACGCTTCCAGCAGTAACTAATTATTTAAGAGATATTCCCCTGTCTGCAGCTGCTGACACGTGGTTAGGTTGATGCGCAGCTCACGTCGCATCACCCTGCGAGCTGGTTCCTGGAGCATCCATCTCGGCAGGTTCCCTGCTATGCATTTCCAGACTTCACTTTTGGCCTGCCAATGAGCAGTTATGTACTAGGACACAGCCACGTCTCCCCAAGTCCATATTACTACCCTTTGCCGCCTTGGCCGCCCTCAACGACCCCTCCATTCGCAAACCCTTTACAGCAGCACTACCACCTGTTGCCACTTTATGGCACCCATACTCCGACCAAATTACCAACCACCACTGTCGCGTTTCGAGTCGCGCCTCCAAAAATAGAGCCACCGAGCAGTGAAAACGGCGCTATGCAACGGGGCTCGCGTCGTGGCAACTAGTATTCACACGAAAGCAACTCGTCCACTAGCTCACGCTCCTCGGGACATGTAGAGTCTCCAGTCAGCTCGAATGTGACTTCGAGGCTGAGCTCGCGGCGCGGCAGCACCAACGCCTGGCACTCTTCGGTCCAGCCAACAACTTCGAATGCCTCCGTTGCACGAACAAGCCCCACGAGAGCCATTGCAGAGGGGCTCACTAGTCAAGTTGAGCAGCCGAGTAGACGGGCGCCGGTGAATGCCCCTTGGGAGCCCGCCAGCTTTCGACGTCGAAAGGCCAGCAGGAATGGCAATGATTTACGGGGGAATGTTGCGAGCGTCGACGCGCTGCTATGGTCTCACTCGAAGCGATGGACGAGCGGCGAGAAGAAGGAGCTCATGGCATACCAGAAAATGCGCCAAAACATCCGTTACATTGGCGCCGATAGCTCGCCGTTCGTGCCGCACACTGCTGCAGAGCTGGCGGCTCTGAAGGTGACCATGGCAGAAGAGCGGCGAAGGGTCATTGGGGCCAAGGTAGAGCGACTGACGGCAGAGCTATCCAAGAAAGGAAAGCTTGGACCGAGGACACCCATCAAAGGGCACTCGCTTTTTTCATTGGCGCAATCCTGCTTTGATGAGGAAGATGATATGAATGGAGGAATTTGGCCTACGATTGTTCAGCTCAAAGAGGAGGGAGACCGGCGGTCCGAGGGCACACGGCGCCGACTTCCCCATCCCGCAAAGGTGTATGGTGGGAGTTGGCAGCGCAGTATCAGAGTTGACGTGGTTGGACAATCATTCGGCATATGGCCCGTGGACGGGCTGACTAGGGACGATGAACAGGGAACGAATGGGTTGGACGAGAGTGATGTACCAGACTGGCTTTTGGAATTGATTAACCAATGACAATTTATATTTGACAGAGCATGCGAAACTTGAGGCTTGATCTACAACGATCGATTCCAACCAGTAACTTGGTTGTTTTGTATCATGGCGTTGACATGTGAATGTGACGTGTGAGTGAGGTACCTTTACAGCCTTGTCGACAATTGGCCGCCCAGGAGGCGCAGCTTTTTGACATGAAGAACCCAGAAAAATGAACTCAAGGGTTTTGCCACGAGATCGAAAACCATGGGATATTAGTATGTAAAACGATTATAATCATTTATTGAGTTGTAGCAGGTCGTGACGAGTAACAAGCTAACTGACCTACACTCTGAGCTTTGCGAGGTTTGCGATAGGGATTGATCTCCCTCAAAAAAACTGCCGTAAAATGTAAGCTAAAAGAACGCGGGCTTTCATCTTTACCAAATTTTCTAATATGTGATTAGGCTATCAATTTTTGTCCAAAACTCCGTCACAAGGTTCGGGTTGTCCCGGTCAGACCCACTTTCAAGCTGCTGCCGAGCTTCCCAACAATCTTGTTGTTGTAATATTAACTTTGTCAGTCAAGACGAGCTTCCTCTTCCTTTGCTTCCAGTTGCATTACCCGGCCCCAATTCAAACAAAATGGCGGCCGCTACCACGCTCAAACTCACCAACCGCTGTACGTTCCTCTCCATTGACGCTTCGCTCCTCGACTTTGTTTTCCTGCCAGCTAACCCACCGCAGCGCCGAAGCAGCCCATCAAGCGTCTGCCCGCCAGCGTCGAGCTGCCCGCGGGCGCGACCGTCGAGGATGTGAAAAAGGCCATCGCTAAGCAGGCCGGCATCGGCGACTTCAACCGCATCGGCCTCTCGGACACGACCACCAAGAAGACGCTCAAGGACCGCAGGGCCCTTGTTGCGGATATCCCTGCCGTTGCCGACGCAGGCGAGATCCTCGTCAAGGACCTCGGTACGCATAGCCCGGAGCTTTCATACCTATATTGTGAGACTAACAGGAGGATAGGACCCCAGATTGCCTGGCGCACCGTCTTCCTCATCGAGTATTTCGGCCCGATCCCGATCCACGCCGCCGTCATCGCCGCCCGACCCTACATCTTCCCGGGCGGTGACGCGCCCCTGTCCAACACACAGTGGCTGAGCTTCGCCCTCATCGTCGGGCACTTTCTCAAGCGCGAGTTCGAGACGGCCTTTATCCACAAGTTCTCCGCCAGCACCATGCCCGTCTTCAACGTGTTCAAGAACAGCTTCTTCTACTGGGCCTCGTTTGGCCTCCTCTCCGCCCTCTCCCTCTACTGGCCCCGCTCGCTCGCCGCCACGGCCCGCGAGCCTGCCATTGACGCCGTCGGCACCGCGCTCTGCCTGTTTGGCGAGACGGGCAACGCGCTCGTCCACTACTACCTGTCGACGCTGCGCTCCGCGGGCGGCACCGAGCGCAAGATCCCGGCCGGCTACGGCTTCGGCCTCGTCACCTGCCCCAACTACATGTACGAGGTGCTCGCGTGGGTCGGCATCATCATTGTCAGCCGCGACTGGGCTGTGGCGCTGTCGATTGCCATTGGTGGCGCGCAGATGTACATCTGGGCCAAGGGCAAGGAGAAGGCCTATCGCCAGGAGTTTGGTGACAAGTACAAGAAGAAGCGGTTTGTCATGCTCCCTGGTCTTTGCTAAATGTCGTCGCGCTAGATTATAGGAGGGCCGCCATGACAATGTAGATGCCAAAGCAAAGAGGAGAAATATCGTCAATTTAAATAATAAAAAGTGTCATAATGCGTGTTCGAGGTCGTTTCTATGATTCGTTCTGCTCATAAATGTTGTCGTAATATCCTCATTCTGTCTCACGAGAGTATGTTTCATCAGCACGTTGTCGATAACGACGCCGTCTCTGAGGATTTGGCCCTGCCCGTGTCGTTTGTCGTGCTCGACTCTCCGTCAAACAAGCTTCGACTTGTCTCCGACATGGCTTCCAGGCCGATCGTGACCACCTCCTTCCCTTTGCCTTTACCCTCCACCCGGTTCTCCTCTCCATCGCCATCGCCATCCACGTCCATTTCCTCGCCCGCGACCTCTCCGCCCAGCGTGCGCCCGCAGTCGCTGCAGCTGCACTCACTGCCCGAACCAGACCCCGACGACGACCCGGACCCGTCGCCGCCACTGTCCCTCCGAGTATTCACCCGCCGCACCGTCTCCTCGAGCACCAAGAACCCGCGCTCCAGGACCTCGGCCCAGTTCTGCACGTTGCCGACCTCCTTGAGGCGGCGCGCGGCGACGTCGGCCTCGCGCGCCAGCTTCTCGCGCTCCCGGCGCAGCGCGTCCGTCGCGGCCAGCACGTCGCGCTCCTGCCGGTCGAGCGCGCCGGCGTTTTCGTGCAGCATGGCGGCGCGGCCCTGCAGCGCCGTGTCGAGCATGTTGCCCATGGACGCGACGACGGCCGCGCGCGCCTCGGCAATGTGCCGTTGCGTCTCCGCCGACGGCAGCGTCTCGAGGAGCGGCGACGGGGGCGGGGGTAGACCGACGGCGTGCGGCGGCAAGGGAGGGTGATGAGGATGATGCGCCAGGGTAGTGGTACGGGCGCTGCTCGGGGTCGTCGCAGGGGTGGCGCGGCTGGCCGAGGGAGCGGACGAGGTGGCGGATGAGGCTGCTGCGCGACGGGACGAGCTGTTACTTGTAGTACTTGCGCCGCTGGCGCTTATGGCCACTTGTGGTTGCATGCGGTGGGGGTTCTGCTGCTGCTCCTGTGTCCCCGTGGCAGTTGGTGGCCCGGATGCTTCAGACATATTTACGGTCGGCGAGACGGAAATCTTCGATTTCGTGTTAAACGATAGAGAAGGCAAATCCGGGAGGGTACAACACCACGTTTCATGAACGGTGGGCTTGCGCCTGCAGGTGATCATGTAAGTTTGATGGGTGTGGTGGGGTGTGCCCTGCCCCCCTCTCCTTGCCTGTATACGCCCTCGCATGTGAATAGAAGGAAGTCCGAAATGGGTTCTAACATGAGACTAATGAATGTTAGTCGACCGTCGGCATTTACTCGTCGGCAGTTGGTTGGCATCCCTTTCGTCCTGCGTTACGTGAACAACTCGGCAGACACACTGGTAACAGGTATTACAGTCATATTATTGCAGGAACTCGATGACCAGCAAAGCCCTTCTAGAAACATGCTGCTGCATCCAAATAAATCATACTCCACACGAAATCCATCCCATCCCAAACGCCATTGCTATGCGCACCCGGCAGATGTAAACCTTCGCCGGCAATACAAGTAACAATCATAATACATAAATCCAAAGTCGCATCTGCGCAGTACTGCAGTCAAATCTTTAATAGTGAGAAGGTGGGGTAGGAGCCCCGTCCGAAGAGATGGACGATATCGAGGACAATGAACTGAGGTTCGAATGTCCTCGACTCATTGGGCCGCTCCTTGACATGGAGATGCCAGGATTGGCAATTAGCGCATCGGCCCGGTCAAAGACGTTGCCATGGAAAGCCCTAGCAAAGGAGGCACTCTGTGGTGTTACAGGCACCGTAGCCTGCATCGCTGGACCGAGGGCTGCGCTCTGTGGTGTGATGGGAACATTCGAAGGCGATATGATGCCGCTGGGATACATGCCAGGAGCACCAGGTGCTCGAATTAGATGCTGCCAGGGAGACTGGACAATTAAGTTGCTTGTATCTTTTATCATCTGCTGAATAGGCCGTAGTCGCACACGAGTGTCTGGTGGCAGAGGGAGACGCTTGGTCAACTCCTTGACCATTCCGGCTGTGCTTGCCCAGCAGGAGAAGAAGTTTCTGCACAAAACTCCAAAGCCAGGCTGAACACGCAGACTCGGGTCACGTCGCTTCCAAGCGCCGAGCTGATTCTTGAGCACGTCACTCTGCTGGACTGTATCGTTGCAGATATTAATTAAGCCCTTCAAGTCGCGTAGGGCACCTTCGGGCGCTCGCTGCTGTGTCGCGTTCCGAAGGCGACCGGCTAATTGCATACTGAAATTCGGTAGCACCTGCAAAACAATATCGGCAGACTTTTGTAGAGAAACCAATATTCTTTCGAACTGCATATCGTCTTCCGCGGTATTATAAGCAGGAAATTGAGGCCCCATCTGATCATTGGGTATGTAGGCGTTGGGTCGTCGCGGGCCGCTCATGTATGGGCCCTGGTGATCTTGAGAGGATCTTGAATTGGCTGGACTGTGTCGTATAGTGCCTTGGCGGCTGCGCTGCTGCCCGTTTCTGTCCAAAGCGGTGGACTGCACTTGGCCATTTTGAGTGTATGGCTTGATAGTGTCATTGTTGCTCTCGTATTGCATTGGGGGAATTGCTCGGCCAGAGTGCGAAGATACAGAACATAATGTGACTCGCAGTTCCATGATGCTGTTGTAAAGTAACATGAGGAGTGACCGAATATATCGTGCATCCCCATTGTTAACAAACGTATCAATGTTGTCTGCGAGCAGTGTGCAAACATGACCGTATGCACTGACTAGAGTCTGGCATGCACGGTGCACATTTTGGTTGTCCTTTGTGTTATACTCTCCTTCCTCCAGGATGGCGCTTTCGTATCGTTGAATCTCTTGTTCGAGTTCTTCCACGTGAGAGTTGGTGTTATAGAAAACAATCTCCAGGCTAGATCTTTTCGCTGACCCGTCATTTGTTAATGTCATGAGCATCTGGATCATGGGGTGGATCTGAAACACAGAATAGAGAATCCCTTTGGCAGATTCGATAATCGGATCGTAAACTTTCGATTCTCGCCTTCGCTCTGGTAGCACTGATAATCTGCGAACATAGATTGGACGCTGCAAGAGGCCGCCGTCGGTTGGAGTGGCTGGGCTTTTCGTTGCGGCCGGAGTCTCTTGCATCGCGGACCCATGACTCAAGCCTCGGTAGTGACTGAACCTGTTGTTGGGTTCTGCCTCCTCTAGAGTATCGAGCTCTGATGTTTTCTTCGATACAATTCCCATGCGTCGATTACGTCCATCTGGCCGATCTGGCCTCAGGAGGCTTTCAGAGTTACTTCGTAAGCGTTCGTTGACATTACCAATTGTGAGTGGCATCACGCTTGGTCGTCGAATCGCAGTGTTCTGCTGCGAGAGGCCACGGTTATGTGACCGAGACGGGATAGGAGGAGCTCTGGCGCCGAGGTTCGGTGATCGAATATCTGGGGGATCTGATCCATTGACTCTGATTGGAAATCGTCCACTGGCTGCACGTTTCAAAGGATAGCGGGGGGTCTCTGCATTCTCGCTTGATTCGTCGCCGGTACCTTCCGCCTCCATCTTGCCGTTGATAGCGAACTGGCGCATAAACTTCTTGATGTGAGCAGTCACCGCCACTTCAGTAACTTCGGTTTCCCTAGCTTCGTTGGAGGGACTAGCTGCCTGTAACCGCAACGCGTCCTTGGGCGGGAAGCTTATCGGGTTTCCTTCGAATTTCAAAACTTGGAGGGATCCCATATCGGCAAGACATAATGGCAGCTCGCGGATGTGATTTTTGGGCACGGACAAAACCTTGAGACTAACGAGCTTTCCAATTTCGTTTGGTAGCGAACGTAGTTGGTTTCTGCCGAGGTCAAGAATCTCTAGCGAAGTCAAATCGCATAGCTATCACTGATTAGTGGATGTCGAGTCACAATATGCCAGGGGTAAGACTAACAGTCATGGGGAACTCCTTGATGAGGTTGCCGCGGATGTTGAGGTAGCGTAAAGATGTACATTCGGAAAATCGAACAGGGAGAGCCGATAATTGATTGTGGGAGAGAGCAAGTCTAGTTCGAATTAGCTATTGTAGTATGGCAGAAGATCCAGGACATGTACGAACCGTTCAAGCTCGTCTTTGACGATATCTACCACCTCTTCCGGCAGTTTTTGGATACTTTTTCGGCTGAGGTCAACGGTCACGCCAGACTTTAGACCAGTTCCGGCGCTGCTGGCTTCGACAGTTTGCCCCTCGCTCTCCAAGGCCATACGCATAGCATCGCGGGCAAGACTGATGACCTGGGCCGGCGTGAGGGCCCTGGAGACGGCGAGGTTTCCATTGGGAGCAGCGTTTATACCGGTCGGGATAGGAGGAGGGGGTAGCGGCGTCGCCCCGTTGGACGTGGCTGCCGAGTTTGGGACAGGCCGGCGACCCTGAGCGGGATTCTCGGGCAGGCCGCGAACGCCAGAGGACGTCGAGGTCGTGGCCGTGGCCGTGGGTGCCGTCGTGGTGGCCGTCACGGGCAGTGGTGCCCGATCTGCGCGATCCGGCCGCTCCATGACAATCAGCTCGATGGGATGAACGACCGCAAGTATGGTGCAGCTTCTAGAAGCGCGTTTCAAGGCGGGAAGGCAGTGCGCAATGGTCTAGCGCGGCTCGATGATTAAGTGCCAAAAAAGTTTCGGTGATGGTGGGCGGGCGCGGCAATGTTTCAGGAGAAGCCCCTCTGTCGCGCAGACGGCAGCGTTTCCAAGTCTCAAACACGCGGGTAACAACTTGTAGAAGGCTATATTGTCAAAAGCCGATTCGAGGCTATCAAAGTGCCGGGCGGGACCCGCCGTGCATGATGGTTGAATGGATTCGAGCGGCTGGGTTGGAAGCAAAAGCGAGCTCTGTGCCCGTGGACGAGATGGAGGGATCGGCGCCGTGGTGTTTCCCCTGGGCTGTTTGTCAGGACTGGACGGATGGAATGCAGTCGTAGAGTTGTGGAATAGAATGTGGTGTTGCGGCAAGAATGGCGAATTGAGGATTTAAAAGCTGGTCCACGAGCGTGTCAACAACTGTCTCCTGACTGGCTCCCAGGAGTATGTACGTTTGGTTGGGCTCAGACGATGAGGCCCTTGCATGAGTGGATGTACAGTGCGATCAGTGCTGTACGGGTGCAGTGGACAGTACAGCCTGCACCACTGTGATCGGAGTTGTACAGTGCGAGGTATTGCACCTGCAACACACAACGGTTGACGATGGCGAATTGCCCCTTAAATGACGAAACTGAGGTCAGATGGCAAACAAGCCCTCCCTCGACGTCCGTCGGTTGAAACAATTTCGTGTTTTGTTCCTATCCCGGGCACTAATTATAGCTACCCTTGTTCATGTAGCGCACCAATCCGACTACTTGGGCCGCTGCAAACGATAGGAAAATCCATATTGGCAGGGGGGAATCACAGAAGTTGTTTCATTAGCAGCTAGGTACACACTAATTGGTTGTCAAAGTGCATCAAGTGTAACTCGGTGTTCTGACGTTCATGCTGGAAATCTACTATCTACCTACCCCCTACAGGTAGGGAGGTGGACCTGGAGCCTCGCTCTTCGCTGCGCCGGTCGACGCTAACAGTGCACTTTCATACAACACGTATTGTGCAGCTTGACGCGATGTACCATGGAGACTACATCTAAGTAGCCTGCAAATTTCTGATTTACGCGACAGAACTGCAATCACATCAAGTGAGAGCTCTCGACCGTCGAAGACACCAAGACCTGTGGAATCATGGCCACGCTGCAACGGACAAACTCATGTACCGATATTGGCTTCACGCTCCGTCGCCAGTTTGGCAAACCGGATTTTAGGTACGTACAATTCCTCGATGCTACTGGATAAAAGCTGAAACGGTGATAAAGGCCCCATCAACGCGAAATTATAGAAGCTGCCTTGGCCGGGTTTGACATTTACGTGCAGGCTGCCACGTCGTTTGGCAAGAGCCTATGCTTCCAGCTCCCAGCCGTCATTGACACTGGCAGTACGTATGCAGATAATATGAGAGAAGGATAAACACTGACACTCCATAGTAACAGTTGTAGTGTCGCCACTTTTGTCATTGATGGTGAGCACCGGATCAAGTGGACGAGATATGGATCTGACTTCTGCAGATCAATCAAGTTGAAGCGTTGCGTGCGTCCGGGATCGATGCGAGTGCACTAAACAGCAGTACCCCGTATTCCGAAAAGGAACGAATACATCGAGACCTGGAAACAGGCCATCCCTTAACGCGGCTGTTGTATGTAACGCCCGAACTGTGCTCTGGCTCACGCTTTCGTGAGCGCCTGCAAAAGGTGCACGAACAAAAGGAACTTGCTCGAGTTGCAATTGACGAAGCGCACTGCATATCTGAATGGGGCCATGATTTTCGCAAGGATTTTCAGCGACTCTCTTGGTTCCGCGAAACATTTCCCGCTGTGCCAATTATGTGTTTAACGGCGACGGCGAACCCTCGTGTGCGTCAAGATATACTCGGTGTCCTGCGCCTCGACAGTACCCCAGAAAGAATGAAGACCTTTTTGATGAGCCCTTCGAGGGCAAACCTGCACATAGAGATACGGTACACAAAGGACGGGGACGATAACCGTTTATCAGACTTCGTGGCCTGGCTGCAATCCGTGTACGATCGCCGAAGGGCGGAACCGCGCAAAGAGGAGCTTCAACAGCTGGGTGAGAGAGTCGAGAACGTACCAGGCATAATCTATACAATATCTCGAGACGAATGCGAGACGCTCTCGGCTGCCCTGCGCGCTCAAGGCATTGGAGCGCGACCCTTCCATGCCAAATTACCGAAAGACGTAAAGGAAGACACCCTCAGCCGATGGATCAAGAATGAGCAAGGCTACGATATTATCGTGGCTACAACTGCGTTTGGCATGGGCATCGACAAGAACAATGTACGCTTTGTCGTGCACTGGCGGTTGCCAAAGTCCTTCGAGGGCTACTACCAAGAGGCAGGCCGCGCTGGGCGAGATGGCAACGCGAGCTACTGCTTCTTGTACTATAGCCGTGAAGATCTAGAAAGGGTCACGCGAATGGTCAAGGGTGACTCAAAAGACGGTACGAGCTACCAGGCACGGCTCCGCAGTCTACAAGCACTCGCACTTTATTGCGAGAGCATAAAATCGTGCCGACACGCCGAAATTTGCAAGTATTTTGGCGAAACCGAGATTCCAGAGTGCGATTTCGCTTGCGACTTTGATAAGGATGCGGAGGACCTAGAAGAAAGATTTAGAGAGGGCCTGGCCAGCGAGGAGTGGGTGAGCACGCAAGCGATGCAAGGCACATATGATGGGTATTATGACGATTATTGACGCCGGAAAGGAGAAGACTGTTATTATTGGCTCTCAAAGTGATATGCTATGCTCGCTACAATGCAAGTGGAATACGACCGACTAATGCTTTTTCGCGTCCTTTTGCTTCTGCTTCTCAGCAACCAACTCATCAAAGCGACGCCATGTCATGAAACCCTCGAGGAAGCAGCTGATCTCCCAGAGGAACCAGATGCCGGTGAACCGCTCCACACCGTGACGACTGAGGCGGAGGCGATCTAGCATGTAGCACTCGGCGATGTGGATGCCCAAGACGGGCACGAATATGACCTTGACCAGCCAGCGGAACAGGGCGGCGCCGCCGGGGAAGCCCCTGTCGAGCAGGCTCGCAGCCGTCGAGCCTGGGCCGGTCCAGGGCAGCGTCGCGGCGCTGACAAAGTAAAAGGTGACGGCCAGGAGGATGACCCAGTGGCCGGGCCGCGGCGGCGCGTAGGTTGTGACGACAATGTCGCTGACGCCTAGCTCTCGGCGGGCGACGGTGTCCATCTCGACGAGACGCGGCCGCATCTGGTCCCAGCCGGTGAGGGGCGGGACAAAGGGCACCTCGTGGTTGAGGCCACCGGCGCGAATGTGCATGGCATCGAGGGAGACGTCGCGCAGCGAGGGGAGGGCGGCTTCGCGCCGGGACAGGCTGTTGTAGTGGCGCAGGTAGTGGCTCATCTCGCGCGTGTGGTCGCGGTTCATGTGTGATATAATTCGGTCCTTGCGGGCGTCATTGTCGGCGGCGGCGGCCATGGCGTCGGAGGGAGAGGCGTGGAAAGGCGCTGTCGTGTGTAGGATGGCAAGGTGAGGTGATGGGCGGATCTGTTGGCGATGTTGAAGCCGCCCAGAGGTTGGAAGGTGCACAAGTTAGGAGGAGGTAGTTAGTGGGGTAGAGCTTCAGGAGCTACAGGTAGGTACCAGTGTGACACGAGTAGTATCACTACATGACTGCATCCTGACCTCAAGTCATGATTTTCATGACGACTACTTTTGCCGAGGTCACATTATGAGAAGATTGAATTCTCTTCTTGAAGGTAGAAAATTATCGGACCATGTATCGCTGTTGCAGTTTCTCTTGAGAAAGGCATCACTGCACATTCATCTCCATCTATCTTACTGGGTTGTGTAAGTATCGGCGGCGGAAAATACATTACGACGATATATAGGGATATTTTTTGGGTTTCATTTGCCTGGTTGCATCAGATTTATCTCAATCGATGCTGTTCTCTGAAGCTCTTTGCTCCAAACGTGGCGCCGATTGATGGGAAGTAAGTCTTGAGGTCGTAATTAGATATAGATTAATACTAACTGAATTGTCATTCATGGAAAAGTCCCAAAAGCCAAGTTGAAGAGAGAAGCTTCCCATCTCTTACACTCCGAGTTGTGATGTGCCATAAGCTAGGGTCGTAGCAAACATGTACTTGTAGTACTACAAGTACATCAACTCCCGGCTAGATGGCACCATCGTTGTCGGCCGCGTATATGTCGATACGAAAACGAGTATTCAATTTCACAACTGCAGAGTTGGCTAATGCACGCTGGAGGCCCCGAATGCTTTGCAATCATCTCGTTGTTGATTTGATTTTTTATATTCAAATTGCTACCTTAATTTGTTTAGCCGTCGGTGATTTGGTGCTTTTTGGGCCCAAATGTACGTGCTGTTCAATGAGTCCCGACACGTTGTGGAAGAAACGTCTTGCGAAACCCCGTGAGCCACAACATGCGCTCCGGCGTATTGCAGATGCTCGAAACTTGGTGTTCCGCCTCCGTGTATATCCGTACTGATGGGACCAGTGGAACTTCCTACCCCGTAATAGACTGCGCATGCGAAGCATTATTTAGAGTAACTTATACGTCATCTGCCGAGCGTGAACGTCGCCACAGAAAAATCTACTATGGCCTCACGGTTCTATAATTCACGTATGACTTACCAAATCCAGGTTAATGCTCGTTTAGCATCCGAGAATCGGAGAGGGCAGATCAGGCAAGCCGGGTGGAATGCTTCCGCCACGTATCCGTAGCCGCGCCGAGTTTAACTAGTTAAATTCTTTGGCTGGTCCCGTGCTCAATGCATATGTCCATCTGGCTTCGGCTCCACGAACCACAGCCCAGACGACCACTTTTATTGGCGGTGAGTCTTCAATTTGTGCAAAACCTCGATGGCGAGGCTGCACGAGCCGAAACTCCACTGAGAAGAGGAACGAGGCTAAAGCTGAAAGCTGAAGTTGGAGTGCCGCTTACAAATCTCGGCTGCCAATATCACGGCGGTCGGCATATGATATGCATGATTGAGACTGAAGGTCTTGTGTCATGGCACGGTGAGTTGTTTGCTGTGTGTTGCCAGTTGCCAACAACTTGGCGGTGATTGCAATTGAAGTAGGTCCGGAGTGACAGGATTCAGCGGCCAGCGCTACGAGAACCCGGCTGCTAAAACGGTCGAAAAGCCGACTTACCATTCAATTACCTAGTTTGAGGTAGTAGCTTGCTTACTAGCCGAATAACTAGGTAGTTAGAGCGCACGTTGCGTCGACAGTCGTTGGTCTTGCGGCGGGCCAACAATGAGATCGGGGCTGCATGTGTCACATGTGGCAAGAACTGACAGAATCGAATCAAGATGACGATATAATGAGACTTGGGGGTAAAATACCGGCTCGACTGTTGGCGTCCACGGCCTTTTGAGCAACCACCACTTACAAGAAAGCTCGGCCTCCGAGCCCTTGAACCCTGCCAAGGAGCCGTCTCCACATTCGGCATCCTTCAGCACGACCACTAAATGGACTCAGGAGCGCTGTAACCCGCTGGACGCCCACTGAAGTGTGCGCTGGGGACCGATGCCGGCTCGGCGTTGAGCTCGGTGTTAAGACCGATGGGTCTCGGCGCAAACTTTTCTGAGTGGTTTCTTATCAGATCAGATTGATAAAAATTGCGCCTGTCCGTTCACAGCCCCTCCGCGCGCGCCGCAAGCTGGAACGAGGCAAAAAAGCTTGCCAGTCCCAAAACCCCAGCCCTGAACCTGTCCCAAAGCTCCCCCGCCCTTGGGAAAAAAAAATCCCACCCCTTTTCTCTCGTCTTCATCACGTCAAATGTCGTAACTCCGACTGCTATCTTCGTCCCGCCACTCGCCCCCCCCCCCTCGACCAGTTATCCGACCGACCTCACGACGAACCAACACCATGTCTGATCGCAGCGAATCCCCGGATTCTGACCGCAGCGAGTCTGGCTCCCGGCACGCGGACCAGCCGCCCGCCCGCAAGAGGCAGCGCGTGAGGCTCAGCTGCCTCGAGTGTCGCCGCCGCAAGCTCTCGTGCGACCGCGGCTTCCCGTGCGAACGGTGCATCAAGAGCGGCACGCCGGACCGGTGCTCTTACGAGTCCCGCACCGGCGAGGTCGTCAACGCCTCGGCCGGCGTCCCGCCGCAGTTTGCCCAGCTCGACTCCCGCCGCTTCGGCCTGGCCGACGCCGTTGCCGGGTTCGCCTCGCGCGACCCGGACGTCCTCCGCCAGGATCACGACCGCATCCGCCGCCTCGAGCTCGAGATTGCCCAGCTCAAGACCCAGCTGCTCCGCCCGGGCGCCTCGGCCTCGTTTGATGGCAGCACCATTGCCGGCACCAACTCCCCCGCCACCCAAAAGGACGAGACCTCGCCCCATGACGCCGCCGATCCCAATGCGCCCCGACCCGAAGTCCAGGAATGCATTGACGCCACCAATGCGTCGGACGAAAAGGTCGAGCTGCGCTTCTTCCGCGGCAAGGGCTTCCGCACGCGCTACTTTGGTCCACACAATGCCAGCATGGCTTTTGTTGAGCTGACGGGCTTGTGTCCCTTCATGCGCGAAACCGCAGATGAGTGGCTCCGTCCCGTCATCATCCATGACCGCAAGGATCGCAAGCGTCGCCAGGAGGAGCGTGAGCTCATGTTTGATCAGCCCGACCCTGAGCTCGAGTCTTTGCTACCTAGCAAGGAGGAGGCCGACGCCCTGGTCAGTATATATCTCGACCAGTTCGAACAGATTCATCGAATTGTGCACATTCCCACCTTTAAGAAGGAGTATGAAGCCTACTGGACGCCTGGCGCCAACAAGCGCTATGCCGCCTTCACAGCTATGCTCCTGGCCATGATGGCTGTTACGAGCACCGTTCACACCCACGAAAGCCTCAAATTCGTGGGCATGATGTCCAGCGCCCGCCACTGCGCCGAGAAGTGGATCAAGTCTGCCGATGACTGGGTCAATGGTCAGAGCCAGAAGCATCGGCGCCTCATTCACTACCAGGTTGCCTGCCTGCTGTACTTGGCCAAGCGTGTCAACACATACAAGAAGAAGCGCTTCTGGACCGGGTCCGGCGCGCTGATCCAGAACGGCATCGCCGTCGGTCTTCACCGTGAGCCGAGCCACATGGCCAACAAGATAACGATTTACAACCAGGAGATGCGCCGCAGAATCTGGACGACGATACAGGAGTTCGACATGCAGGCGTCCTTTGACCACGGCCTACCCACACTGTTGAGCCAGTTGCATTACGACACCAGCCCACCTCGCAACCTCGATGACGAGGACTTTGACGAGCACACAACGGAGCTCCCCCCCTCCAAGCCTGCCAAGGACTACACATTCTCATCCTTCCAGAACCTGGCGCGCTCGAGTCTCCCACTGCGTCTGGAGCTCAGCCGTCTGCTGACGGGACCAACTTCCGACATTGATTACGACCAAGTGATTCGCTATACCAACGACCTGACACAAGAGATTGATGCCCTGCCTTCCTGGGATACCGACGTGGATCCAACCAAGAGCAGCAAGAACCCCTTGATTGCATATACCTTGCTGCATGTCCAGCTGCGACAGTACATCATCCCCCTGCACCAGCCGTACCTGAAGTTGCGCAAGCAAAACTCCAAGTACCAGTACTCAGAGATCATATACTATAATGCCGCCCGAGATATTGTGCTGCTACACGATAAACTCTACGAACAGGGCATCCGCGCGCTCAACTTCCTGCGCGAGGATGCTTTGACTACAGCCATCAACCTGTGCAGCGTGACCATGCTGCAGCCGAAGGGTTCCACCAACATGATTATGATCAACTCACATCACACGCTGAAGTTGATTGAAAAGTGTTTGAATATGAAGGAGGACCGGCTGCTGCGCTGTGGCAACAACGAGCCGTGGGGATACTCCATCATGTGTGCCGCCCTCGGCTTGCTTGAAGCACACCTGGGCACCAAGCCATCAGAGGTGGCCAAGTCGTCCTCTGCCGAGCGTTTCGTGAATCTGCACTATCGCCTGCTGGCCAACCAGGAGCCTCCCACATCGTCGAGCCAGCTGGCAGAGGTGGGCATGACGATGCCGCCGCCAATGTCGACCACCGGGCTTCCCCTTGACGTGCCCGACAGACAAAAGGTATGCCGCTCCCGCACCCACCCTGCAAACGTGTCTAACCCTGCCCAGTCGGTGACGCCGTTTGCCTTTACGCCATCCATGCCGTCCGCGCCACTGGACCCTTCTGCAGCGCCGTGGCTCATGAGCAACGGCGACGCCGCGCAGCCCTTCAACCTCGACCCGAGCCTAGAGCTGCTAGGCATCAATCTGAATGAGCTATGGGGTGAGTCTTGGGAGCTCGGCTGAAGCAACGACATGTACCCTTTCTCCTACTCAGCGCGTGGGTGGCATAAATTGTCGCCACGCAAGAGCGGGAAGAAGAGAAATATTTTTTCCTTGTCAAGTTAGGCTGACGTTTGTATTTTTTTTTACTGTTGGGCTTAGATCGGAGAACAGACATTTGGAGAAAAGGCCTCTGCGAGATTGGAGAACCCTTTTTTGGTTGAGCAATTGCCTTTTGCATCTCCCTTATTGTCCCTATTTGCCCTGGGTGGGCAACCGGGACGGAACTTGATTGAATGACATATGAACGGAACGATTTTCCACAAGAGAAAGAAAAAAAGGCGGCTCGAATGTGTGTGTGTGTGGGAGTTTTTTGGTCTGATTTTTCATCCATGTTTCATGGTCTTTGTGTCTTTGCACATAGCCTCTACTTCGTTTCGTTTTGTCTGCTCAAACGTGGTTTGACGCGGCTTGTATATTAGTGATACCAGGTGTTGGCGAGGGTTGGGAAACTGCGCTGGATAATGATGGATTCTCTGTTGTTTCAGCCATTCAAAGCAACTCTAATTTCATGACTCCAAGCCACTGACGGAGGTGACATGCACAAGCCGTAGGCACCAATTCATTACCGCCTCCCTTTGTTCTGCCTCCCGGGTGATGCGTCCGACATGCCTGCTCTGTGGCCGTATTCGACCCCTTCGCCAAGACTTCTATTACCCCCCCGGGCCGCGTTTGCACCGCTGGCTGCGCTGCTGCGCTGGAGTCGTGGAAGAAGCCAATCCGGTGGAAGAAGCCAATCCGGTCAGCCTTCGGCAAGGACATGTTCATTTCTGTCGAGCATGACCTTCTTGCATCACCACCCATCGTGACTTCGGCCACCCTTCAGTACATCTAAACCTTAGCGTGTCAGAAGGAGAACCATGTCGTGTCCGATATGGTATATTAAGTAAACTTAGGACTATCCATAGGCTACTCTCTTTATCTGTTCTCTTTCATTTTACTATTTTTCTGGAATTCGTTATATAAGAAAGACGTTTCTCAGTATCTGCATGGTGTTCGTGGCTATGGTAGCCGCGTGTCTCCAGCATCCTCTTGTGCATACAGTGGGGGTTTGACAAGTGTAGGTAGTGTTCAGGTATCAATGCCGGGACAAATACTTCCTCGATTGTCTAAATATACTCTAATGTACACACCCTCACACCATTGTCCCCAACCAGGAGGAGCTCCCTATAGCCAAGTATCCCATCCGGTAACACAATATGTAAACAAGGAAACAAGATAAAAATGCAAAACGCCGTTCCCAATGGTATCATCGCAGTGAGCGGGGAGACTTTCGTCCCTCTTTTCAAAAACACTGCACCAGTAAAGCCCAGATATCCCATCCAAACAAAAGGTACTCCGTGACACTCAGGTCGACCCGAACAATAAGTTAGAACAAACGCCAGTGCACCAGAAACAAAAAGAAGAAGAAATGCCAAAGTAAATACAAAGCAGAGAATCAAAGAATCACGGCGAAGATGATGTGTTGGAGCTGCTCGAGGCACTGCCTCGGCGCTCTTCAGTCGAGTTGTCCGTCTCTCGGTCTTTAGTCGGTGTGGTGAGCCGTAGCTTCTCGTCAAGCAACGTGACCAGTCGCTCAGAATATTGGTCCAACAGTCCACTGAGCACAGTTTCATTCATAGCTTTGCTGCGGATGGCCCGATCGCCCAAGGCGGCGGCTGTGAGGCGAAGTTCTTGATCCAACTCTGTCAAGCATTCCGCGGTGATTGGCTCTGCGGACGAGAGCTTACGCCGGTAGAGGCGCAGTGTCCGACATGCCTGCTCTGTGGCCGTATTCAATGTGTTCTGCGCTCTCAAGTTTGTTGCGGAAGTTTTTTTGCGTGCAACAGCGCTCATCGCTGGCAGTGAGGGTCGGCGACTAATGCGGCCCTTGGGACTGGGCGGCGGACTAGCTCCCTGGCTCTCAGAAGGTCTCCGTCTCGATGGTGTGCTCTCGAGAATCGTGCTGTTGCCTTGTACGTTCAGCGTACCGGTTGGTGTTTTTAAATTGATGCGTGAGCTTCGTCGTGGCAAGGTGCGAGGCGGAGATTTCTGTCTGCCATTGGAAGGACTTGGGCGCTGGAATTCGGCGAGCTCCGCTCGTGAGAGAACCTTTCTCAACGTAGGTCTGCCTTCTTTAGCGGGCGACGGGTCACGGCTCATTGATCTCGGCGAGCACTCGGTAAAATCCAGCAGCCATATCATGATGGTGCCATCTGACGCGGCACTGATCACTTTCTTTGAGCCGTCATCGTCTTCCACTATGCATACGCCGTTGATGGCTTCAGTGTGCCCCCACTCACGGTCAAGAAACGTTCCTGATCGCGCATCGTACAATCTTATCGACTTATCCGTGTTAGAAGTGCCTAAAATAAAGTCAAGATCGCGGGCCGGCCAATTGCCGAGGGTCAAGTCATCGAGCACCGCAGACTCGACGCCGCCTTCGTCGGTACACTTGAAACAAGAGACTTGTCGGCCGGTGAAGAGATCGAACTGAAATACGGAGCGGTCCAATAGCGAAACGTAGATACTGCGACGGTCCGGTCCCATGAGTAGGCTTGTGGGAGATGCTTTGAGGGATATGACTTTGGAAGGTATAGCTGCAATGACGTCAGGCTCGCCTTCACGAGTGACCAGATCATGAATCTGCATAGAACGATCAAGGGAACAAGTAATGACTTTGTCATCCGATGGAATGAGAACCTGCACGACCCGGGCGTTGAACTCGAGAGTTTGAAAGTGTTCTATCGTCCCGTTGGACAGCTGATGAAAGAGTTGTACGGTCCTGTCGCGACCGCAACTCGCAACGACGAACTTGTGAGGAGTTTCGCAGACGCTGATGCCAACACAATACATGGAATGCGCTTTGGTGTCCAGCAGCAGCTCCTTTGTATCGACGTCGAAGATTTTTAGTATACCTAGGCGGTCGCCGACGATGAGCTGTTTGCCATTGCGTAGTGTTTCAACGCAAGTGACTTGGTTGCTAACACCCATTTCTGAGTCAATCTCGACCGCATCGATAGGGACATCGACCGACATTTTCTGTCGGCCTTCTGTATCCCAGAATGTGACATTTCCCGAACCCGACCACGTGATAAATGAGGCATTCGGTTTATTGGGGCGGCGAAGCGGATGAATTCCGTCAATAGACTCGCCATGACCAGGAATAGGGATGTGGGCAATTGCGTCTTGCTTTTGCCCAGGTAAATGATCGCGGGACCAAACATCAATGGATTGTTTCGAGTCAATTGTGACAAGGTTATCGTTTAGGAAACCAAGGGCCAACATTCCCGTAGGTGCAGTTGCCGCAGACAATACACAATTTTCGCCACCGGCGTCCATGACAGCTAGTACATCCAAGGTGGCGAAGGAACCGTCCTTGCCCCCAACGTAGGCGACATCCCCTCGTATGGTAATGGTCGTAATGGCGAAATTCAATGTAACTGCCTTGGCAAGCTTCATTTGTCTGTCGTCGTCGTCCATGATACAGACATCACCAGCCTCGGTGCATACAAGGAGCCGATTGCCGTCGACAGCGGCACAGGTAAAGGTGGCATCAAGTAGGCCACCCAGTAAGACATTGCGACCGGGCAGTGTCTTCTGGGAGGATGTGGGAGTAGATGGAGCAGAGTCGTTCAAGTGTCGAGTTTTTGTCGGAGATGAGGGCCCATCTTCAATTTTCCAAATCTTGACATGGCGCACGCCTAGTGTAATGAGATTGCTTCCCATCCACGTCATGTGCCGTATATACGAAGTGCATCGGTTCTGTTGAAACAACTTGGTTTGTCCGGTACGGGGGTCTACCTTCCAGATGTAAAGAAACCCGTCGTTGGCGGCACCCAATGAGGCGAGATACCGTGAGTCAGCGGACCAAGCTACAGCGTTTACACCAAACGTGTGCTCGTTGATGGAGACCAGCGGGGTGTCGGAGGATGCTTCTTGGAGGTTGAAGATTAGAACACGAGGGGCATAGCCGGTCTCGCCGACAGCAAGAAACTTGCCATCGCGGCTGAGCGCAACACAGGTGGCGGCCTTGATCCTCTCTCTGCTGGTCCAGGTTTTGGAGGTGGGTGAATCAGCCCAGTCGAGTGAGCCGTAGATGGAGTCTCGGGTTGATGGCGCGACTCTGCCGCGGCTGTCATTGGCCTTGGGAGTGGCTAGGGTGGGTGTGCTCGAAGAATTCTGCAAGGCATTTGCGGCATTGTAGATGGGGATAGCAGCAGGCCGAGCTCGGTAAAAGCGCTGGGTGTAGTTTCCGTTTTCGACCGTGACGACGACGACAGCACCCCCCGCAACGTAGGCAAAGGAAGAATTCAGAGTGTCGAAGCCGGTTTGCGAACGGCAAGTAGTGCCTACGACTCTCCGCAAGGAAAGCCAGGATTCTTGCCCACGGCCGCGCATTGGGGATCTCGCGGGGCGTCCAAGATAAGGCGAGTTGGAGGGCGTCAGCTTCAACCGACTGTTGGATGGCGTAGCAGCGGCCATTTTGTAGCCATTGACTCGGGGTTAGAAGCGGGCGTATATTCAAAGGATCGAATTGTATTTGCGTCAGCGATCAAGGGGCAATGTCGGCATAGTTTGGCGATGGAAGAAGGGTTCGAGGCAAGAGAATGTGGTAATGGAAGAAGGACCGTATGCAAGTCAATGCTAGTATATACACGCTGCCGATCGTATAATAGGACGATTAAAGAGCTGAGACGCGCGTTAGAATCCGAACGAAGGTCTCGGGGGGGACGGAGCAGACGGCTTACATAGGCGAAAAACCGAGGATGGAGGGGACAAAGGGGGGAAGGCGATCTCTCGGTGTAGCGAAGGGCAGTTAGGAGAAGAGGCAAAAAAGAGTGTCGGTTGGGCAAGGGAAAAAGTCAATCGGTGACAGTGACGACGGACAAAACTTTGTTATGACGAGATGTGATGTGTGTTGCCCGTTGGAGGATTCCATGCTCACGCGGGTGCGAACTGGGGAAACTTGCTTTCTACTATTATTACCTGCCGACACGACCGGGGAACAAGCAGGAAGAAAAAAAAAATACAGAGCTTGGGAGCTCGTGTGGGGGCTGGGGAGAAGCGCTTACCCACTGAAAGCTCGCCGAGATGGTAGCGCTGCGACGGCCTGAAGAACCCACAGACCCTCCGCAGGTACGAATTAGGTAGCGCGGATAGCTACTAGGTAGGTAGGTTATGCTGATCAGAGACGCTGTGACCATGGAGATTCCCCGGGGTGAGCAATTGACAAGTCCAGAACTCAACGCGTCGAGGCTACCAGTACAAATTACGCGCACAAAGTTTACGGATACATGTATGTATGACTTATCAGGGTGGAAAGGCGTTCCGTGTGCCCCGTGACGGTGCAGCGCGAATATAAATTAGCGGTTGCCCCACTGGCCCATGCTAGCCCGCTAGGTTACCCGGTCGCTGTGGCACAGCCTGAAGTTAGGTAGGTACCTAGAAGTACAATCTGTAAGTGCGGCTTCGTAGGTACCCGAATAACCAGGTACCACGCCCCGGTTGCCGGGGCATCCAACAAGAACATTGCCCCCGCCCGCTCCTAGAATACCTACCTACCAGTACCCAACTATCCGTACTTCATATGGAGGAGCACACTGGCATAATGCCCGTCAACGGCTTCTTTCTTGCATTCGCGACCTTTGTGAGAGACATTCTCCATCAATCTCAGCCATGCAAGCCATTGTCCGCCCCATCGTCGCAGTACCACAGCTCAGCTAGGCTCACCATTGTTCCCCATCACCTCCGTCCATCACATTTTATTATCACAGTTTCGTGATAACTACCGCGCAAAGACCATTTGGAGGCAGGTTAAAAAAAGGCACCGCCCACTTTACCGAGGAAAGTGTGGCTCGCCCAGAAGTCTATTGGCAGCGCTAGTTATCCATGTGCCTGTCAGGACAGTTAAATTGCATCCGCAGGGATCCCAAGACCGCGATCAGATTCGGTATTATTATCTATCGACAGCCCAATGGCCGCTGTTAGCGCTAAGATTTCAGCGTTCCTTGATCAATTCGGCGTCGTGCCGGTCCTTGTGTATAGGTAGGCAACTGTCGTAGGTACACAACGAGTCATTTACCCATCGCCCAACTGATCATGCAAGATCGGGATTGACTGGGGAAATTTGCGAATTGGTTGACTAAGTAAGTAGTTACAGACATATAACGATACTACGTGAACTCATTACCGTTTACCTTTCCGGCTGCCTTGATTGTCGGCATGCGCTTCTGTCCGGATTTTACTGGAGGCCATGACGCACGTAATTGCGGTAGTCTATATAGTAACGGAGAGGGAATCAAACCGCCGGGTAACAAGTTATCACGATAAGCTGGGGACCTGGGTGGACTTCCCAGAGACGGTCTCACTCGACAGAACAGGTATCTGGTTCTCATGGTATTGGACGCTGAGGGTTTTTTCCCAAGTTTTTGTAGACGGGCGAATTGCGACGGCCTACGAAACCTATGTCACTTTTTTCCCATCAAGGGGTAACGGGGCCGTCTTCAGCGGCGCGAACCACGGCGACGTTCGCCTTGCGGTACTCGATGGGCTTGATCTCAGCGGCTGACTTTTCGACTTTTGCCAAGATGAAACTCCCGCCTCCCGCCCCCGGCCCTTCCCGAAGATTTTAAGGGGCGCGTTGGGCGCGTGCGCGTGCGTGCGGATGTGGTTGCGAGTATAACTCTGTTATGGTAAGTCAGAAATTTCTCTAACAGTAAACCTGGATCTTTGGGGTCTTTTATCTACAATCACTATGAGGGCCTTCGACGCGGTGATACCTGGCCCGGGGGGTCTGTGAAAAGTAGCCACCGATCGTGGCGGGTCACTCGGTAGATCGGCGAAGTGCAGATCGCCAGAGAAACGGCCTTGAACCTTCTAATGCTCCCTAGTGTTTTGTATGGCTAAACGATAGTGAGATAACAGATGGTGCAGTTGCTACCAATAAATTATACTTGAGAGCAGATCTTGGGCCTGGCGCACAGCACAAACGGTCTAGGTTAAAGCAATCTGAAGTGCATATTTTTGAGCGGCGTCCTCCTTCACGTAAGAGCCTAACCATATTTCTCTCCCCGACATGATATACGCTTATTGCTTCATCTAGCAGCTTGACACCTAGAATTCTTGAAATGTTAATAATAATATAGCTTTCTTAGTGGCGACACGATACCAAACCACTTACACGCAGGTTAACCAATACTGTCTGTCTGTCCTAGTGGCGCCTCCTCACCCCTCTTAGTACCGATTTATTACAACCTCCAACCCGAGATCCCGGCCAAAAACAGGTATCAGCAGTCGTTTGATCTTTTGATAAGAGGATCGAAGATTCTGGGGATCGTAGGGGCGAGCAATGTCGCGCCGTGTGATGTGCTTGACTGAGTAGATGAAGTGCATGCCTAATAATTCACACAAATCGTCAGAGTGCCTGCGGCGAGGTAAAATGAGCTGATCTCGCTGCCACAGGTGTGCAATACCCTCCTCATACATGGCGCGGTACGCAACTAGAAAATGGATTGCGACTTGATTATTTCGCCTCCTCTTCCTTTGCGACGCAGGTGTGGGTGGCAACGCGCGAAGATAAACATGTACTCAGTTAGGGGAAGGCTGTCCACCACTTACTTGTAAGTGCGTCAGTAACTAGAAGCAGCAGAACAGAAGCCACCAACCACGGCGAATACTGTGCCGAAGTGTCTTTTCGATTACAGATTACAGACTTCGTTATTATTTGTCGCAGAAATTATGGTGGGCATGTATGTGGCTTAATCGAGCTGCGTTGGGATCGACCTAAGATTTATTGATGGGCAATACAATGCTGGGAACGCCGTATTTAACAAAGGAATAAAAAGGTCACTGAAGGAAGACAAAATAAAAAAATGGCAGAAGTCCCATATGCATTCAACGGCGATATTGCAAAGGGTAAGTAGTTGACGAAAAAAAAAGTAATCAATTCTGAGCCTCATATCAGATTCGAACTGATGCTTTTGGAAGGACTGGGTTAGTCAAAATCCAACGTCGTAACCCCTAGACTAATGAGGCTTGGTATTTCTTGTCGGCTGGTCGCTAATTTGCATTATGATCTCTCAGCACTAAAGTGGGTACTTAAGCTACGGTCAGTAAAAATCAACTACAAGACGAGTACAAATTCCTAGCCTGTGTCGTGGTGATTAAAAAGTATCCGGCCGTATGAACGCAATCCAGCCTTCGAATTGCACTAGGTTCCCAAGTTTAAATTCCACCCGATGCTAATAAGGCTTGCTCACCGTCTCAACATTCTAGGCGCTCTGCTCGTTGGCTTGATCAATGGAAGAAAGAGGAAGAAAGATGATGGAAAGAGTCCATACGAATTACTAACTATGACAATCAAAGGTATGGCCTAAAACTATGAAATTTTACAGTTTAGTTAGTTATCTTGTCATCCTTTCGAGTCTCCGACTCGGGAAGACAACTGAGACATCCGATCGCATCACCACATCGCCATGTATGAATTCTCCCCCAGCACTCACGTCCCAGCACATTGCCGCGCTTGCTGGACAGTTCGCGACCAGTACCCGAGTAAGACGTTATCGTCGAGGCGGTTGGCTACGGGTCGGCGGCTGTGGAAGAGGCCGTGTTTTCTTGAGCGTGGGCTCCTCAATGACGGCTCAATCAGTCAACACCGGCATCGTTTCATGGTAGTACATTGAATCGCGTTCCAGCTGTAAGATGTTGGCCGAGAATCTCTCGAGCTCTGCAGGCAGGTCGCAGGTCGGTATTTATGAGCCACGTCGTACGTGATGCAGCATGGACGGTAATATTTCCCAATCAAAGTTTCAACAGAAGCCATCCTCGACATGTATTAGCTTCCTCGCAACTTGTCCGTTCATCTCCGCAGGGTAGGTGGTAGTTCCGCGCCAGTGACGTCAATGCCGTCATTGCCGTCATTGTCTTGTCAATCACCACCACACCACAAGAACCGTTTCGTACACCTTTGCGCAATTCAACGCCAGATCATGAGCGCCATAGTGACACAGAAGTAAAATGCCAAGGACAGCGTGGCATACAGATGATGATGAAAATGAACCAGCTACATACAACAACATAATGAAGAGTAAGAAAGAGTATGACGGAGTGTGGTAAAATTGAGGAGGATTACGCCAATATGGAACATTTGAGAGAGAAAAACCACAAAAGCCAAAGATTCCAAGTAGAGTACGCTGGGCCGCCGTTTTGTTTCTTCTAACGTGGTGCGTGGGCGCCATGTTTCCAACCTGCCCTGGCATTGATGACGACGCAAAGATCATCCACAGCAAGGCCGCCATGCGCAACGCCAACCAGTTTCATGCGAGCTTCACTTCAGGTGTCGACTCGGGTCTTCCCATACATTCCGCTGATCCGCCCGTCACGCACATAGTTTGTGCAGAAGTTCTTTCCTGCGACCTGGTCCCTCCCTGCCTTAAATGTTCTAGGCTGCGTTCTTGAACCCAAGCACATGGTAGGAACTAGATCGAAGTAAAAGGACAAAAACTAGGAGTATATTGCTTAACAGTACCAAGGAAAAATTAGATCAAGAGGCAAGATGAAGGCCCCCCTAAAAAATAACATCTAGTATGGGGGAAAAGACTGACATTGCTTCTGCGCCTCCCAGACTCCCCAAATCCCCAAGCCCGCCTTTTGTATCGCCTAGACAGTAAAAGGAGATCCACCACTCTTGTTTCCTTCCAACGGAAAGACTTTTTGAGCATATTACATTGATAAAAAAAATTGAAAGGGTAGAATTCGAAATCGTCAGATTTGTATCCCGGGATACGACTGTGTGCAGTAGAAATGGCAGTGCCGCGCTTGCGTCCGAATATGTACAAGAAACGTAGATGAGAGGCGAATAGATTAGTTCAAAAACAGGGCGTAGAAGTGAAAAGACGGGGATACAAATGATAAATAAGATGAAATCGAGTCGCAAAGGAGAGACCAGAAGCGTGTTCAGAACATGTCGGTCAAGAAGGGACGGACAGTGGTGCGGGAATCGTAACGCGGCGAGAAAAGAGCAAAAAAGGTGCAAGTAGAGGAACATGTGCTGAGCAACTCTCCAGCTCACATAATGACGCACTTGCTCTCCTCGCGCTCCTTCTTGACGCTCAGAGCTACGCGGGCCGCCTCGGTAAACGCTTCGTTGACGCCACGGTTCTTCATGGCAGAGCACTCGAGGTAGCGCGAGGCCCCTATGCGGCGGGCGACTTCGAGGCCCTGCTCGTAGGAAATGAGGGGCTTCTTCTCGCGGGGCTCGGCCGTCTCGGGGGCGGGGGCGCTGGCGCCGGCCTCGTCCGGTTCTTCGTCTTCGGTCTGCTCGCGGAGATCGCACTTGAGCGCGACGAGGACCAGCTTGACGCCGGCGCAGTTGTCGGCAATCTCGCCAACCCACTTGGACTCGACGTTTTCCAGCGAGTCCTTGCTGTCTACCGAGTAGCACAGCATGATGAGGTCGGTGTCATCTGTAGAGCGTGTCAGCGGGGTGAGAGCAGCAGGGCAGCAGCGCAGCTGCTGAAAGTAGAGTTCACCCACCGTATGAGAGCGAGCGCAGACGGTCGAATTCCTCCTGACCGGCAGTGTCCCATAGCGACAGTTCAATGTGGACGCTGTCGACAAAAATGTCTAGTCCTCTGCGTTAGTCATGAGGTGGTTGGGCAACTGCCCTGCATTTGCGTGGTTCGTACCATGGACATAGTTCTCAAAGACAGTCGGTTCGTACACAGTGGGAAAGTAGCTGTAATACCGTCAGCGACCATGGGCCACGCATCACTATTCGCTCGCAACATACCCTCTCGTAAAGACGTTTAGCAGGGATGTTTTACCGCAGGCACCATCGCCACTAGAATTTGTCGCCGTTAATTGCAGCCCGGTTGAGGCAGGGACCCGTCATTCGAGGTGACGGGAAGCCCAGACCAGGAACGGGTACGTACAGCAGCACCAGCTTGCGCTGGACGTTTTTAGAACCTCCGCAAAGGGGCATGTTGTCTGTCGCGGGATATCGATCGATGGCTTCAGAACTTTATCGCAGGCTGTTCAGCAAAACGGCTTCGTTTTGGCGTTCGTGGCTCGAGTTGCGAGGGTGCAGGAATCGGTGGTTGCGAGCGAGCGTGCCCTGCCGAGAGACAATAATGCTTGATCCTATGCTTGGAATTCAGGACTGGGTGCGAGGTCCAGCGCCAAGTAAAGGGTAAGGAGGAAAAGGGTAAGTCGGTGGCAGTGTTGAGAGGTAGGTCAGGGGGGGTCAGTTGGGGGGGGGGGGGGCTTGCCATTCCACCCACCTAAAATCCGCGGCCAACTCATACACATACCTACCTTATTAACTTAGTCTGCGTGTCCACTTGGGCGCCAGGCGTCTCATGCCATTACCCAGTACACGTTGCAATAAAAAGCCTCGTACCTCATTTATCATGTCTTTGCCTGCAACCCTGCGATACGAGAATTGGCCCTTCCCACTGCCTCGATCAGTCTTCTGCGTACAATCATGTAACGTTATCGTACAGGTGGTACATATTCAATTGTCAAAATGCTAATGCGTGATACATCATTAACCCCTCCAACTCAATCGTCGTCTTTCTGATACCCATGCTTGTTGCGCCCCATTCGAGTACCGAGATCCATATCTCCGGCTTGCCGATGCAGGCCGTTTGTGAATGCTCTATCGCCATTGCGCTCCCGCGCACTATCATCCGCAACTCGGGCGAGGGTTTCCCTTTCCTCAATCGCCGCCAGCCTCTTGCTGCGATCTTGGTCCAGTTCGCTGGCGGCACTCTGCATAGCGGCAAGTTTCTGTGCCCTTTCTTCCCTAGTCCGCTCATCTTCTCTGTTGTTGTTCTCTCGTCCATTTCCATGCCCATCACGCCTGCCTCCATTGCCGTTAAACCGTCTATCGCCGTTTTGACCGTGCTGTGGTCGATCTCCTCTCCTAGCATATGAGTCGCGGTGATGAGATCTATCAGTCTCAGGAGATCGGTACCGTGGTTTCCTGGTGTCCGAATCACGCTCTCTTTGGGGCGACCTGTCGTGCCAGCGCGAATCGTCCCGCGCGCTAGGTTTTCTGTCTCTTGAGTCGTCCCGGTGGCGTCGAGAGCTTCTTCCCTCGGATTCATCTCGCGACCGTTTCGTAACTCTCCCATTATCCCGAGAATCGGATCGGCGACGACGTGGGCTTCGAGACCGCGAATACGAGCGACGTCGGGATCTGTGCGAACGATCCTGGTCGCGATCCCTGTCTCGATCGCTGTGACGGCGGTGGCGTCTTCTCTGCCCGTCTTCGCGATGTCTGCTTTTATCTTTCTTGTCGCTTTCATCTGTCTTGCCCATCGAGGCCAACAGTTGCTTGCGTCGAACGGGGTCGTTCATCATGGCTTCGTAGGCAGCCTGTTCCTGGCGCTTGATCGCAAGCAGAGGGTCGTCTCGAATCTTGGCTGCTGTATCTCTAGCACTGTTTGCATTCTGCAGAGCCATGAAGCTCTCTTGTCCGGCATTCTTCTCCAGCTTCTCGAGTTCGTTGCCTTTGATCAGGTTGACGATTCGTCGCTTTCCGAGAAGGTATGCTTCCATTTCTTCAGTCGTGCCGGCCTGGCCATCGGTAGGCCCTTGGTACATCCAGTCGACTCTGTCCAATCTCTTTTTTCCTCCTGCGGCCTCCAGCTGTCGCTGTAGCTCTTCCTTGGCGCGCTCTTCTTTGATCTCATCGATGCGTTGCTGTGTACGTTTGCGCTCGGCCAGAGCTTTCTGTTCTTCATCGTAAACAGCCGCTTGGTTACGCCGAAGCGTTGGGTGGAAAGACTTTTTTAAGTTGAGATCACCGCCTCCCATTTTTGCGGTTTACGAAAAATGTTGTGGTAGAGATGGGAAGTCGAAGTAATGTTGAAGAACAGCAGTGGCGATAAATTTGAGGCTGGTTCAGGCACTAGCGCGGCGGCCTGCACGCCCCGCTATATTTGGCAGCGGCGGGAGTACGGGAGTGTTGCGCCTGCCTTCCTCAGTAACTCCAGCTTATCGTTGAACAAAATAATCAGGAAGAATTTACCTAGCTCTGGCCTTTCAAAACCCATCTACCCAAGACTCCCAGTATCAGTATCGGTTTCGAGCCCTAAATCGCTGGTCTTGCTGTCCTATAATGCCATGATCGTGCACTTTGGATCAAGTTGTTCGATAACGTTGAATTTCTTTTATAAATATTCGTACAAGAGCATTCAAACCGGCAACAGGGTCTCGCATGCTTCTAGTTGTAATATACAAATGGAATGGTTATTCTCGTTCGAGGTCAGGCGCGGAAACTACCAGCTTGCGCGCTTCACGCCAGGGATGTTTCCAGCGATAGCCTGCACTCTAAATTGGTACTGCATCACGTCAGATTTGCGCCAATCCAATGAAACCAACTCTGGGCTTACTCTGCTCATCTTAAAGTCGCTCAGAACACCACGGCCCTGGCCGCCCATGATACAGCGGTTGCGAATTTGTGTCGGTCGGGTATAGCAATGCATCTGCGCAAGCTGCAATTGAGCTTCGGCGCGCACTCGGGGTGTGAGTGTGGTATTTCGTATCATGTATCGGAGCGCTTGTCTGCGATACTCCTCCGTTAGTCCCAATTCCTATCCGTATTGCAGAGCAGCCGCAAGGCTGTTGCCGTGCGAGTGTGGTGATCGTGCATACCGCTCAGGCTCGAATTGCTCAAAGGTTTTGCGCTTCGTGTGGTCGCGGATAGTTCGAATGTTGTAGAAGCATCCTAAATCAAGCTTCTTCGCTCGAAACATGGACATTTTGGCGGTGTTGTGATGTATGATGATGGACGGCAAGGCTCGAGGGATTGTGGAAGAATATGGTGCGAAGGGATAATCCGTAGTTTAGCCGGTACAGGCCTCAGGTGCCAGACTTCAGTCCCGTTAAAGAGGGGAATAAGCAAATCCAAAATGTCAGAAGAGTCAAAAAAGAAAGAGCTTCTGGAAGCAAAGAAAATGACTGTAACTAGAACCTTCCTCTTGAAGTCATGACTGCTAAATGCCATCTTTCCAAGGGTCGACAACTTCAGAAACACGACAGTGGAGACAGGGCTTGGGCGACTAATAGTACCTAGTACCTACTTTCCTACGTAGGTACCTACTGCTCATTTCATCCCAGTTGCCCTTGCTATAATACCGGTTTTTTCCATCTCAAATTAGCAATATCCTAGCTATTGGGACTAGGCTACCTCTTCCTTGGCCTTTCCTTACATGTGCGTTTAGCATCACGAATCGTCGCCTCGGAATTCATATCACATTGGTACATCTCAGGGGCCACGAGGTCACTGAGCCTCACCCGACGTCATGACCTCTCCGGCAAAGCTGCACGATGACGAGTTACTTCGAAACAAGCCTCATTATGAAGTCTCTGATGATTCCGGGGATTCCGATATTGAACTAGACGAGTTAATAGATGAAGATGAGGCGGATTTGCTTCCAAGGACCCGTCACGATCCGTTGAAACAACAACACATTGGCACGGAACAGCTCGATCAGTTCATAGCCCGGATGCGGGCCTGGCGGATACGCAAAAGAAGCATCCTCATCTTCGCTATATTCGCCGTTCTCGTTGTACTCGGCGCATTGTTTGTTTGGGGAAAATATACACAGACGCCTCCGGAGGGCAAATCGCCGCCGTGGTATCCCTCCCCCAGAGGCGGGAGTGTTCCTCAATGGGCCGAGAGCTATGAGAAGGCGGCCAAGATGGTCAGCAAAATGACCTTGGCGGAAAAGGTTAATATCACTACGGGCACCGGATGGGCCATGGGGCTCGCGGTTGGGAATACTGGACCAGCCATCCATGCTGGCTTTCCTTCTTTGGCGTTGCAAGACGGTCCGTTGGGCATCAGATTTGCCGACAATGCCACTGCATTCCCGGCAGGTATAACGGTCGGTGCTACTTGGAACAAAGAACTCATGTACAAGCGAGGTCAAGCACACGGACAAGAAGCGCGAGAGAAGGGTATCAATGTCTTACTCGGCCCTTCCGTTGGGCCCCTGGGACGCATGCCTGCCGGTGGCCGCAACTGGGAAGGATTTGGGCCTGACCCGTATCTTCAGGGAATTGCGGCAGCAGAGACAATCCGTGGCATTCAAGGCGAAGGCGTCATGGCCACAGTCAAGCATTTCGTCGCGAACGAGCAGGAACATTTCCGTCAGCCATGGGCCTGGGGCCTCCCGCATGCTGTATCGTCCAATGTTGATGATAGAGCAATGCATGAGATATACGCCTGGCCCTTCGGCAATGCCGTCAAGGCGGGAGTTGCCAGCGTCATGTGCTCTTACAACATGGTCAACAACTCGTATGCATGTGGGAATTCCAAGCTGATGAACGGAATTCTGAAAGACGAGCTTGGATTCCAGGGATTCGTCATGTCTGATTGGCTGGCACAGCAGTCCGGTGTCGCAAGTGCACTCGCAGGACTCGACATGTCAATGCCAGGTGATGGGTTAGGCTGGACGGATGGCAAATCCCTTTGGGGACCTCACCTGTCGCGCGCCGTTTTGAACGGCTCTTTGCCGGTATCTCGGCTTGATGATATGACGCTACGAATTGTTGCATCGTGGTTTCAGCTTGGCCAAGACGACACGTCCCGGTTTGATGGGAAAGGCCCCAACTTTTCGTCCTGGACAAAGCATAAAATTGGACTTGTTAGCGACGGAAGCTCCTCTCCGCAGGAGAGGGTTGAAGTGAACCGCTACGTCAATGTGCAGCATAATCACTCGGTTATAGCCAAGGAGGTGGCAATCGAAGGAACTGTGCTTCTGAAAAACACTGGTATCCTACCACTGGCTCGTTCTGGTGTTCGTCCTGAGATGGAGCGCAAGCGGGCTGGCAAAGCCAATATCGGCATATTTGGAGACGATGCCGGACCGGGCCTCGGTCCAAACTTTTGCGATGATCGAGGCTGTAACGAGGGGACCTTGGGCTCCGGATGGGGCAGCGGAGCCGTCGAGTTCCCCTACCTAGTGACGCCAGAGTCTGCTCTTGTCGAAGCATTTGACTCTAATGCTGTCAATGTGTCGTCTTACTTGTCGAATAAGAAACCAAGCAAAGTCTTGCTCGAGACAATGGATGTCTGTATCGTGTTTGCCAACGCTGATGGCGGAGAAGGCTATCTCAAGTGGTCATCCGTCGCAGGTGATCGAAACGATTTATTCTTGCAGAAGGGTGGAGATAATCTTATCGTTTCTGTTGCGGAGGATTGTGGTGGCGGCAAGGGTCGGACCATCGTTGTCATCCATGCCGTTGGACCTGTCGTGATGGAACGGTGGATCGAGCACCCTGGGATCGGAGCTGTTTTGGCTGCGAATTTACCAGGACAAGAAAGTGGCAATGCTTTATCAGCAATCATGTTCGGTAATGTCTCACCGAGTGGCAAATTACCTTATACCATTGGAAAATCTCTGGAAGATTACGGGCCTGGAGGGAAGGTCATGTATACCCCGAATGGCCTAGTCCCGCAGCAGGAGTTTACGGAAGGACTCTACATTGACTACCGCCATTTCGACAAGTTCAACATCAAGCCACGTTTTGAGTTTGGCTTTGGGCTCTCTTACACTACTTTCAACTACAGCAACTTGCAGGTGACAGAAGTCAAAGCAAAGTCGAAAGTGGCTGGAGATCGACCTGCTGACGGACCGACGCCGCCGGATTTGGGCGACAAGATTCCCGACGTCAGCGAAGCAATCTTCCCTGCCGAGATTCGCAAACTGAAAAAGTACATATACCCATATATCAAATCGGCATCGGAGATACAGTTGGGTGCCTATCCGTATCCGGAGGGGTACAATGTGAAGCAGACCCCATCCGCCGCTGGAGGTGGCGAAGGCGGTCACCCGGATCTCTGGGACACGCACGTCGCAGTCCGCGCTGATGTTGGGAACGATGGCGCTGTCGCGGGAAAGGCTGTGGCTCAACTTTACGTATCGTTTCCTGATACCAATGGCGTGAGCTTTCCCGTTCGTGTTCTGCGGGGATTTGAAAAGGTCTACCTTGCACCCGGAGAGTCTCAATCCGTCGATTTCAACCTGACACGCAGAGACCTGAGCTACTGGGATACGACGCTTCAAAATTGGGTCATGCCAGAAGGGACGTTTTCCATTTCAGTCGGCGCCAGCTCCAGGGATATCAAGCTTTCAGGTACTTGGTGATGGATGGAATGCATAGGAAGAGACGCTGGCCCAGGGCGGGATCCTTGGGGATGTATATTGATGTAGCACTACTGAGACTATTTTTCGCATTGTTCCACAGCATTGTGAATCTCAGGCGATGCATGAGGAGTGAGGCAGACTGGCGCTTAATCATTGTTGTCAGACGTGGCTGTGCCGCGTCTACAAGGCACATGGCACATGGGCGGCGGGCTTCCTTCATTGTTATGCTGACCTGGCAGTGCAGGGGTAAGACGCACAGGCGCTGCAAGCTCGCCAAGATGGCTAGGTACCTATGTAGGTAGTTATTGGTACGAGCATTGTATTTTTAATTTTTACCGACTTGGAATATCACCGAGGTTGCCAATTTTATTTCTTCTGCGCTGGTACGCGGTGATAAGGCAGCCAGCCAAGCCCACCACCAACAAGAAGCCGCCGGCGCGGAGGAGCGCGTGGTCGTCACCCCTGTCTAACGACGGAAGAATTTGTAAAGTCGATCGAGATGGAAAATGCGCGTCTGATTTCTATTTTGAATGATTTTCCTGCAAGCCACCGCCATTTGCAGAAAGCGGGTGGATTGCTGCTGCTGGTCGGCGCTTAAGCACGAACGCCACGCCGCACTTTGGGGGAGGGGTCGGGATGAGGCTGACACACTGCCACCAGACAAGAAGACAAGAAGACAGAAATAGCAACACGCTGCATGCACGACCCCGGCTGGCGCAGATTCTGGAAAGCGGCTGGTTCGCCCCGTTTGGAAATAAATTCGGGGCCAGCCTTGTAGGAGAAAGCTGAAGGTGCTGGGTGGGTGCCATTGCATTGCCGAGCCCAAAGTTTTCCGTCATGGGAAGCCGCCGGCAAAGCGTCCCTGTTCCTTGCAAGAGCCGCGGTGAAAACGGCCGCTGACAACCGGATCAAGCTATAATTAACATGCATATATATATATATACACGTCTTTGCAGTACAGCTTTTGCTTTTATATCGCGAATGGAATGCCAAACAAACACCATTTGCACCGCCTCGCCAACTCACTCTTGTCTTGTCTTTGTCTAGATCGGGCAGCCCGGCCAACGAGGCTCGGACTGAACCCCAACGCCAAAATTACACAGCCAACACTGGATGCGACTCTCTCTTTCATCTCTGCCGACGCTAGCACGGGGCTGATTTTCGACATCATCCAACTCCGCCACGAGAAGGAAACATATCTGGTGGTTTGTGTGTTTTGCTCCTTGCCCAATGGGACGGGCTCCGGCGCCCCCAAGATTCCTCATCCTTGTGCGTCTTCGTCCTTGGAGAAACTTTCTCACTTGTCGTTACACCCCGGCTTATTCTTTTCTTTCTTCTTCTCCGAGTAGCACGATTCCATCGGCTTCACCCTGGGTGTTGCCAGCACCGTTCCTTGTAGCAGGTCCCAAGCTCGGCTCAGTGACATGCTGATGCCTCTTTGGGTCTATTGACACCGATGCGGCATCTGGGTCTTTGCGACTGTATATAAACAAAGAACAACACACCGGCGTGCCATCCTGGGCTGGGGGGGAATAACCACTCAGGCCCGTGCCATGAAATGAAAGTACAGAAGACAACACCAAAGAGCTCCACGGCTCATCGTCCACCTGCACGCATCGCCGACCCGCGACACGCCATGCTGCTGCAAGCCGCACGTCCCATCTCCTTTGGCGCCGTCGGCACCCCCTCCCACGCCGCGCCCTCGCCCGGCCTGTCCTCCGGGAGCAGCCACCAGCACCAGCACCAACACTACCACCGCAGCCCCTCGGCGTCGAGCGACGCCGTCTCCATGCCGCCGCCGCCGCCTCACACAAGCACCACCACCACCGCCACGAACCGCCGCCGGCCGCCGCCGCCGCACGTCCAGCAGCTGGTCGACGCGCTCACCCACCAGCGCGCCAACACCATGACGGCGCTGTGCCGGCTGGGAGCGCCGCGCCGCCGCCTGCGCGCACCCCGAGACGCGCGCGCCCTGCAGGCGCCCATGACGCGCGCCTGGGCGCGCTACGTCACCAGCCACCAGCTGCTCAGCGAGCTGCGCGGCCTCACCCGCGGCTTCCCCGCCAGCGCCGCGCTCGTCGCCGAGGCCCACCGCCGCGTCCGCGCCGACCCCGCCAGCAACCGCTCCTGGAACCTCGCGTGGCTGTGCCTCGCCCGCATGCGCGACGACGACGGCCTCATCGCCACCTACGCCGTCGAGGAGGCCTCGCGGCCCGACATGTGGGGCGGCATGCTGCCTGCCGAGGAGGATGTCCTCCGCCTGAGTGGTTGCTTCTCGCGCGAGTGGACGCTGGCCGTGGCCGTCTTGCTCAAGCACTGGCCGGTGCCGCCGACTTGGTATTGAGCATTCGCCGAGTGGTGAGAGGGGGGGGAAGCGGCTTCTAGAAACCTGGACTGGGGGAATGCATAAAATGGGTTTGGCGTTTGGATGGACGGGGGCGAACGATGGGGGGCGTTGGTCTTGCTGGTTGTTTGGGTGCATTTGCTGGTTTTTGTCTCTTCTGATTTGTCTTTTCTGATTTGCGTTTGCTGGTTTGCTTCATTGTCCGGTGGGATGCATTTGAAACAGGTTGAACATCATGATGGGAAAAAGGATAGACTTGGGATCGACATAGACGGCCATGACATGACGTATGAATACAAAATGAAAAGACCAAACACACCATTGGGCATGAAGTCTGTATTGATTTCTAATGCAGCATGAATTTGAGCAAACGCCCCCATTCCCGTAAAAAGCGCCGTGCATAAACAAGACACCACGCTCCTCCCAATTAAATAGCGCCTCCGCCATGATTCATATGGAATGCCATAATATATGCTGTGCGTTAGTGTTCTTCGTCTTCTTTTTATGGTGAATGCCAAAAAATTATGCTTCGTGTTCAGGAGAGGAGCCGCCATGCTCCTCTTCCCATTCTTCGCTCTCGAGGCCGTCGCCGCGGACAAATAGCGCCGCGACAAAGCCAATAAAAGCCAGGCCGCCAAAGACGCTCCACGCCAGTGCCTCGCCTTTGGGCTGGATGCGCACAGAAATGGTAAACAGGCCGCCGGACACGATGGGGCCGACGCTGCGTCCGAGAGCGGACAGAGTCTGCGCGAGGCCGTTGAGGGTGCCGAGGCTCGCGTGTGTAGGTGCCGAGTTGGTGATCTGTGTGCGTGTTAACCATTGCCCGATACCCCGATCCAGACAAGAAGGGTTACTTACCAGCAGCATGACGCTAGAGAGGCCGCCGACTGCGCAGATGTTCTTGAAGATGAGCACAAGGCAAAACTCAATGTACAGCCACATTTGACCACTCCCGATGCCAAACAGCGGCTCGTCATCGGCGTATCCCACCCAGGGCATCAAAATCATGCTTATTGCGAGGCCAAGCAGCGCGTAGCGATACGTTCCCAGGCTTCCCACCTTGTTCCTCACTCGCCCGTACACAAATGCCTGAAATGCAATAGTCGTGACGCCAGCAGCACTCATAAAGGCTCCGATTTTACCAGGCTTGAGATCACGACCAGTGGGCGCCGGCGTCGATGCAAAGACTGGATACAGCGAGTTGAAGCTAATGTTGGAGAGCTGAAAGATGAGGTAGGTACTCAAGAGAAGAATCGTGATGGGGTTGAATATTTCCTTCCATATATCTTGCTTGGTCAGTCCAGGTTTGTTGCCATCATAGTCGTTCAACCCATCCACCTCGGCTTCGTCTTCAGATGACGAGTCCGAGGCGAGCAGAGGCTGTTGCTGGCCACGCGGCCACCGGGTACTCCATGAATGCCGCCGGTTCGGCTCCGTCTTGCTGCCAAGTCTCTTGAACCAGCTCGCGAGTCTGCGCAGCCACTTTGGCTTGCCCGGCCCGCGCTCGTCCCCGTCTAGCGTCTCCTCAAACCAAAGGAGAATTGCAATGAAGCCGGTGGCAAGCATGACGGCGCTCACCAGGTTGGGCGCCAGGTAGGGGAACTTGGCCGGAGCCAGCCGGCCGACGAGAAAGCCGCCGACAGCGGGGCCCGTGATGCTGCCAAGCGAGTAGATGATGGGCAGGTAGGCAAACGCCTGGCTCTGGTTCGACCGGTCCGTAACCTCGCCGAGCACCGTAGGGACGCAGGCGGCATTGCCGTTGAGCAGGCCCATAAGAACCTGGACCAGCACAATCTGCCAGTACTGCCTGCACAGGCCAAAGACGGCGAAGCAGCACATGAGCGCAAAGGTGCCGGCGAGCAGGACGGGCTTGCGGCCGATGAGGTCCGACGAGTAGCCCCAGGCAAAGTTGGTCGATAGCTGGGCGAGGGCAAAGGAGCTAGCAATGACGCCAATGTAGAAGGCCGTCTTGCCCGGCTCTATACCGGGCATGGCGGTGACCATTTCCGGGAGATACGGCGCGAGCGAGTTGAGCGCCGTCTGCTCGCACAGCGACAGGTACGCCAGCAGCAGGAGCTGCCGCACGGGCAGCGGCGTCTCGGCGCCGGCGGCGTGTTCGTGCTCAGACGTGGTCGGCGACGAGGGCAATGAGGCAATGGAGCTCGCGCCCGACGACGCGGACCCGTTGCCGAGCACACCGCCCATGGGCGTGCTCGGCGGCTCTGTTGGAAACGTCTGGTACTTGTGCACGGAGGAGCGGCGGCCCAGTACGCCGGGGATCGGGGCGCCGGCATGAAACGAGCCGGAGGAGCTCGTGCGACGCTTGAGAGCGTCTGGTGGCGTAAGGACGGTCATGGTGCTACGCCGGGGCATTGGCCTTTGTCTCGCTATATACTGTGTGTTTGCGCACACGGCCGTGCAAACGGTAACTTCGTGGTTGCCTGAGGGGAAGAGAAACAGGGGTGTCGCGGCTCAGTCGTTTGTTTTTTGGGAAATGTCGGTCGGCCAAAGAGGCACGCGATGAGCCGAGGGCGAGTGGGCACAAAGCTCGTGACCGCAGCGGGCGCAGAAAAAATTATACAGCGCGCATGCTGGTGGATATACGGACCGGGGGGTAAAGAATTGAGGCTTGTGGTGATGGCAGAGGAAAAGATGGGATATGTATGTTCTTGTCGCTGGCCCCGGACTGGCGTGAGAATTGAGTGAGCCAAGAGCTTGAAGCTTGCGGGGAGCAAAAAGATGTGCACCACGGCACGCTCGGCTTCGGGGCTTCCCAATAAAGAGCGCTAACCCCAACCCGGTTGGTCCGAGTTTGCGGGAGATGCGATGAAGTACAGAACTTGTCAAGTTGTCTTGCATGGATTTCAAATTGGGACATATTTTCTTTCTTTTTGTCGAGGCCGGGGCTTCGTTCGAACCCCGTATGTTCGCGCACAGACTGGTACTTGGGAATTGCCCATGTTGATGACCCAGCATAGCCTACCCACACACAATGCAGCAAGAACTTTCGAATTGATGCAGCAAGTGCAAATTAACAGATGGAGTCATAGTTGTTTGTGCAGCATTGGTGTCAGTGTCATATTTACCAGAAACTACGAGAGCTGGAAGTGGCATTTTTAGGACGTCGAGCCACTATTGCCGGACAAGTTCCCCGGAGTTGCTAGATCTACTAGCAAAGAAGACTAAATCAGCGTCAAAAGGTCAAAAGGAGCTGAGAGAACTTGTTATCAACAATTCACAGATAATAATCCTAATAAGCTAATGATAGTTTGAACGTTGTCGCGTGCCAAGCAGCAACGGGCACATGTCCGCAGCCCAGACTACAGCCCAGACTACAGAGGGCGCATCACGGAACTTTATATAAGCCGACGCATGCCGCTTCGTCTACTGCCTGCTCTCTTCCATTTCATACATTTGAATTGCATTTTGGGGAAAAAAGAGACATAATCATGACTTCCATTACTCTGCCCGAGCCATTCGCTAGCATCCCCAAGCAAGACTTCTTGTTCGGACCGTCTCCCATTCAAGCATTGCCCCGCATCTCCGCCGCACTCGGTGGCCAGGTCAACGTGTATGCCAAACGAGAAGACTGCAATTCGGGCTTGGCCTATGGTGGCAATAAAACGCGAAAGCTAGAGTATGTGTGGAATTGTCACCTGCAAGAATCTCGTCTGTCCCTCCCGCTAAATAAAAACACAGATATCTTGCGGCCGAGGCGTTGGCGCAGGGTTGCGATACCCTCGTGTCCATCGGCGGCATCCAGTCCAACCATACCCGGCAGGTCTCCGCCGTGGCGGCCCAGCTCGGGCTCAAGGCCGCCACGGTCCAAGAGAACTGGGTGGACTGGCACGACCAGGGCTACGAAAAGGTCGGCAACATCCAGCTGTCGCGACTGATGGGGGCCGACGTGCGCCTCGACGCCGCCGCGTTTGGCATCGAGCACAAGACGACCCTGGCCGACCTGCGCCGCGAAATTGAGGCCGGCGGCGGCAAGCCGTACTACATCCCAGCGGGCGCATCGGACCACCCGCTGGGCGGACTCGGCTTTGCCCGGTGGGCGTTTGAAGTCGAGGCGCAGGAAAAAGCCCTGGGCGTCTTCTTCGACACCATCATTGTGTGCGCCGTCACGGGCTCGACCATGGCAGGCATGGTCGCGGGCTTCAAGCTGTGCCAGAAGAAGCGCGGGTCGCCGGCGCGCAAGATTATTGGCATCGACGCGTCGGGCAAGCCGAAGCAGACGTTTGACCAGGTGCTGCGTATCGCCAAGTTTACAGCGGCCAAGATTGGACTGAGCGAGGACGACATTACTGATGCCGATATTGTTCTTGATGAGAGGTACAATGCTGGCATCTATGGCATTCCGGACGAGACGACCATTGCGGCGATCAAGTTCGGCGCGCAGACCGAGGCCTTCATCACCGACCCCGTGTACGAAGGTAAAAGCTTGGCCGGTATGATGGACCTGATTAGAAACGGAGAGATCGCGGCTGGCAATGTTCTGTATGCCCATCTAGGAGGGCAGTTGGCGCTGAACGCGTACACTGAGATGAAATAACTTTTTAGAAAATATGCACTGGCAAATGAGTATGCTCTGTGTATCCGTACATTGACACAACAGAATGGCATGCAAAGCCGTTTCAAAAAGTAACGTTAGAGTTATTACCCCTTGTGATTTGGATATTGGTGGCGGTGCGGGAGGTAGATTGCTTTTGAGATTTCAGTGCTGCCGCATGCCCTAGGTAGTGGCGAAAAATTGCCATGGCGGCCACAGAAAATAGTGATGAAATAGGAGTGGGTAATAAATACCAAAAATAAAATAAAATTTGAAATAGAGAGAGATAGACAGGCGACCACAAGAAATGGAATACTGGTAAATAAATGTAGAGCTTCAAGTATCACATCACTGGCAGCGATTTATGTTGTCACCGGTGTCGCCCCCTCTCCACTGAAACCCCTCTGTCAGACTGTAACAAGTTACAAGTTACGACTAAAGAGATGAACCAAATCGGCCCCCGAGAGATTACAAAGCTGGCCCGTGCGACCTAGGGGGACGGGAAGTTGGCCAATTTACAGGAGATGAGCAAATGGCGGGGAGGGTGTCCTTGCCGGAGACATCTGCGGCCTGGAGCTGTTCCTGCAGATATGCGGACGAATGGGCGATCAGGGCCTGCTGAGCGGCTTGGCATATGTGCATGACTGCGTGCATGCGTGTACGCGTGTGTATGTGTGTGATGGTAACTAGAGTCGCATAGTCATGCTCGCTGTCCATCAGGGGAGCCCAACGACTGCCTGTACCTTTTGTGCTCGGTAGCCTGAGCACAGAGACTCGACGCCTTTCCGCTGCCAGGTTGCCTCTGTGTTTGCCTACCTGAAGGGTCGCACGAGCAAAATAGGTACCTTGGTAGACTTAGTACCAGTAGATGTGAGGTGTACCGACACGAGCGGTTACTGGAAAGAAACTCTTGCCTGTGCCTTCTTTGTTTGCCTGTTCGCACGTTGTGGCTAGCATGGTAGGACCCGCGATCCAGGTGCGCGGTTAACTAGTAGCATTGGCAATTCTCGGACGGTACAATAAAGTATAAAAATTACTGGCGCCAATAATGAACAAGCCAAGGTTCTGGTCTTGGATAGCACATGCATGTTGCACAGGCACAGGCACATGCTTAGACCACAGGCGAGGTGCAACTGCCATCTGGGTTTGTTTGATTCCGTCCTGCTGTCAAAGCGAGTGTACTATGAGTCGCACTGTGCACCCTGGCGCCGATGGCGAGTAGTTCCCTCTAACTAATCTGTACAGTAATCTGTACAGCTTAAGTAGGTACTGTTTGAAGGATGACAAGACGGCAAAGTGCTGCACCGTAGCCAGGTACAGCTGGTGACCCCACACAGGACCTGATCCGGCTAGACAGGGTGGGGCAGAATGGTCAAGGTCAGAAGGTGAGGGAAGTTGTCAGCGTGGGTTGAGGAGGTGGTAAGAAAACGCGAGGAGCCTATGTATGCTGTTCTGATCCTTTGGGATATTGGGTGTGTAGGACAGATCATGGCGGGAGAAGGGTGCAGGGCCTGGTGAAGGATTTTTCTAACGTAGAGTGCAACGGCTCCGTGCTTGGAGCAACCTCGGCCGTCAACTGACTACCTCGCACGCGGGTGACAAAAAAAAGGCCGCACACATACGTCTATACTCTATTATTAAGAAGGTTCAACTAGGAAGAGGAACAAGGGGAATTATATAAGTATAAGTAAATAAGTAAAATAAGGAAAATTGGAAAGAGAAGGAATAAATGGTAAAAAAATAGTAAGAATTAAGAATAAGGAAGAGGTTAGTATTCCTAACCGGCGGGTTATCTTGTCCCCCCTGTGCCTCCCTACCGACCTAGGTAGTTGACTAGATCGGTAACCACCTGAATAGGCAGCTCTTTGTCTTGAGCATTGGCCCGACGTGCGACAAGAAGCATCAACCGCAGCTGAAATAAGGTCGTGCAAGAAAGCGCACACAAGGTGATCGGACGATGCGCATGAGGACTGAGTCGTCTGTGCAACGGCGCAGGACGAGCATCAAGAGTCGGCCTGGAGGTTGATAGGTGCCTACAGGTAACGTTAGGTACCTACACACCTGGTAGGAGGTAGTACATACCTGGTGCAAGTAGAAGGAGGTGCAGGCAGCCTTCCGGGTTGGCGGGCTACAACGATGCAAGGCTTTCAGGCGCCTCTTCTTTAGTCATGCCGGGATTGCACTACAAATAACGCTTGATATCGTCAAATCTCGCCATGATCAAGTACCGACCGAACAAGGCAGCTTGTTGATTGGCATTTTTCCTTGCCAACCACTACGCCTTCTCGCCTCCTTGCCTCTTCCCCCCATTTACCACTGCTAACTATTGTTCTGGCCGTGTGGCTCTTTGATAATTAGTGGATGGTGAACTAAAACCTGCGCCTGTCTCGCCGCCCGGCGCCACTCTTCATTCATTGACTGACCCTAAATCTGGTCCTGGGCCACGTCCCCAGTTTATACCACCACTTGCACCAACCTGCTTCCACACTTTCAACCACTCCGACCTCTGCTTTTCGAGACCATCCCCCCCCATGCTGGACAAGGCGATTTTGACGACTCTCACCTCGACACCGTCCCGCCGTCTCGCCTCGCCATTTTGTCACACGGCCATTTGTTTTTTTTTCTGGCTGCAGCGCCCATCATTTCACTCGCTCAACGCTCAACGCTCGCCGTTCGACTCCGACACTCTGGCGCCGTCTTGTCTTGGACCCTCCGGGCGAACCCCCTTTTGACTGCCCGCCCGCGATACCCGTTCGTCCTCGACTCGACGCGCCCGTGAGCTCTCTCCTGTGCCTTACAGCCTGCCCATTACCAGCCGCTGGTTCCGGCGCGTCCCCGAATTCGATGACCCTGGCCGCTGTGTAGCCCTCGCCTTGTTCGCTATAGCCTACAGTTATCCCTTTCGTGGCCGAGTTTGGAGGCGGGACCTCTCGATCACCCTTTGGTCATCCTGCCCTCTGCTCTGCAATTGCCACCTCGACGCTATCCTGTACAGGAATACATTCGCCGCCCCCGACGCTACATGCTGATAAAAACTCGATAGCCCCCTGGCCGCTACACCATCACTCCATTGGTATCAAGCAACATATCTGCATCTCGCGGCCTTGGCCCGTTCCTTAGTCCAGCCCCGACGGCCTTCTCCTCGTAGCTGCTTACCACCCGCCGCTGCTACCTGCGAACGATCCGACCTGGGCCTGCATTCTTCATGGACACCAGGACATCGACGTCCGAACCCAAACAGTCTTATCCCGCACAGGTTTGGAATACCCCGGCCACGACACCATCAACCTCTGGCACCACAGATCGGCCTCAGGAAGCGTCGGCTGCGCAAACGGCCCCCTTTCAGACGCGCCTAGAGTACCTTCCGCTCTGGATCCCTCAGCAGTCAAACATCTACCACGCACAGCTTCTCCACTACAACAAGCTCATCTCCCCAGCGAGGGGTGGTGGCCTGCAGACGCCGCCACTCCCTCCCGTCGTCACCTCGCCTTCCGTGCAGGCCGCGCCGAGATCGCGTACTTCTAGTAGAGCATCGCTCAAAGATCCTACGCCTGCCAAGTCGACTGCGTCATCGGGAAATGGGAACCGACCAAGTCAGAATTCCGAAAATAACCGCTTGGTTATAACCTCTCAAGACGCGCCAGCCAAGATGCCTGCCAAGACACCCGCGGAGTCGTCCAAGAATTGGGCGCAGAGAGCTGCCACTCTCTCCACATCGCCTCATGGCCAGGCACATTCGAGCTCCGTCCCTTCCACGCCGCACCAGCATGCGAGACTATTTTCGTTCGAATCTCGCGATCCCTCCCCGAATGCCGGCACAAACCACTCACCCCGTTCCGCATATTCGGAAACGAATAGCACGCTGCCCTCTTTACGTCCGTTGCCCCCACGGCACGGCGGGTGCAAGTATGAGACTGCCCAGATCAATTCTAGACGGAGAATACCATACTCTGTCGGCAGCGATCGTCTCGAGAAGCTCGACTTGCGCACTGTCGCCCCCAAGCTGGGCGAAGATGAGGAACAAAAACTCACCAAGGACATGAATGAGATGTACGATAAGTTGCTTCCAACAGACAAGGTCGAAGGGAATCGAAAACGATTGGTGCAGCGGCTTGAGAAGATCTTCAATGATGAATGGCCAGGCCATGACATCAAAGTGCATCTGTTTGGCTCTTCTGGCAATCTCCTTTGTTCTGATTCCTCTGACGTGGACATTTGCATCACTACACCCTGGCACGAGATGGAAGGCGTCTGCATGATTGCCGATCTGCTTGCTCGACGAGGGATGGAAAAGGTCGTTTGCATCTCGGCTGCCAAAGTCCCAATTGTCAAAATCTGGGACCCTAAACTCGGCCTTGCGTGCGACATGAACGTCAACAACACAGTCGCACTCGAAAACACCCGAATGGTCCGTACATATGTTGAGGCAGACCCTCGCGTACGAAAGCTAGCCATGATCATCAAGTACTGGACGAGAAGACGAATAGTCAACGATGCGGCTTTCGGCGGTACTCTGAGTTCATATACGTGGATATGTCTAATTATCGCCTTTTTACAACTTCGCAATCCCGCCGTTCTCCCCGCTCTGCATCAATTACCTTACAGAGTGCAGAAACCTGACGGCTCCGTTGGCGACTTTGCCGATAACATGAAAAAGATCAAGGGGTACGGCAACAAGAATAAATCCTCCGAAGCCGAACTACTTTTCCAGTTTTTTCGATTTTATGCACACGAATTTGATTACGATAAGCACGTCCTTTCTGTGAGACTGGGTCGAATCTTGACGAAATCGGACAAGAAATGGAATTACTCAATGAACAACCAACTCTGTGTAGAGGAGCCATTCAACACGTTGAGAAATTTGGGCAATACAGTAGACGAATATTCTTTCCGTGGTCTCCATCTTGAGCTACGACGGGCCTTCGACCTTATTTCCCAGGGAAAGCTACCGGAGGCTTGCGAGCAGTTTGTCTTTCCCAAGGAGGAAGAGCGTGTCTGGTCTCGACCTGCGGCTCAGCCTCGCCCTGTACTGGTTCGAAGTTCGTCACAATCGCATTCCGGCCGAGGTGGACGTGGCAACAATAGGGGAAATCGCCACAACAACAACTTTCGCGGTGGCGGATCTAACAGACGCGCCTCATCTAGCGTACCGGCGCCGTACGACGGAACCATGTTCATTGCACCTGTCAACATGGCGCAGGACTTGTCATGGTATCAAAACCCCCAGTTTCCGTTCCAATATGCCCAGCAAGACTTAGTCACACAGATGGCATACCAACAGCAGTTTCTCTACGCCAACTCGTCCGCTTTCTTGCAGCATCAGAACATAGCGCAACAGCAACAGAGAATGTCTGGTAACGCAAGCGCCGGCCAGCCAGCGTCAGACCGCTCGAGAACGAATTCCTTCGACACAGCACCTACATCAGCCCCAATTTATGCTATGTACAATATGGGGCTAGGCCATGCATTCTACCAGCCGGTTGCCCAAGGTTATGGCACTTACCCTTCCTCCCCGGTGACGACGAGTCATTCTACGCATGACTTTCGGCGCTCTCTGCATAGATCAGCGACTGCGGAGGCTGGCAGTGCGTCCAGTAGCTCACTGAGATCTCAATCACAGCCCGCATCTCGGTCACAAGCCCAATCTACGCCTCAATTACCGGCATCACATAGTATGACAGGCCATCCAACTGCAAGTCCATCCTTGCATGCAAAGAGTGCGAATGGAGTAGCGATTCCGAGCTTTATTTCCGACGACACAGACTTTGACGAAACTCCCAAAGCTACGGCAGAGTCCCCAACATCCGACGATGCGCAATCCGGTGGCTTCTTCATGGCTAGAAGCCTTAGCCCGACTAAGCAGCGTGCAAACCAGCAGACAGTCGCATCAGGTATTGCCTTTGGCGACCTGGCGTCCGCGAGCACTGGTCAGCGCCGACTTTCTACCGAGCAACTGCCCCAGACTCTTCTGGACAGAAGGATGAGAAGGGTTTCACGTTCGCCTTCGCCTCTCGGCCATGTACGGGCGCATTCTGTTGGTACGTCGTCTGCGCCACTTCCTTCGGCGCCCTTCTCTGGAAACCGGGATAAAGACAACTCGCGGCCACTTGTCGTGAACGGGTCGAGTGGCAAGGCAGCAAATTATCATGCTGCCCCCTTTATTCCGAACCCAGACTTTACACCTCCTACTGGGCTAGGGCTTGAAAATGCGTTGCAGATCCAACCGCCTGCTATCAATATGCCGATAGCGCCTCACCCCGCGAGCGTAGGACTGATGGGCACCGTACATATGCAGCCGTTCCAGGACTATTCGCCGATTGTGGCCAATGGCTCGGGTAAGTCGTCAAAGCTACCTCCAGCGGATGACACCTCCTTCAGAGAGAGAATCGCGTCGATGCATCCGTACTACCCCGGATTTGCTGGTCCGCCGCAGGACGGTAATCTGCATGCCTTGGGAGCGAATGCGAATGTGACAGCCGGGTCCAAGGGATCGGGGTCCGGGCGACAGAGAGTGGCATCGAGAACCACTTCAAGCGGGCTTATCGCGCCCCTGGATCTGGCTACTGGAGATAATCGCCTGAACAAGGCTTCCATGATAGACATGGCACATTTGTCCCCGGTGTACGAAACTCGGACGCCGTCTCCAACAATGCACAGAAAAAATGACAGCGGCTCCACGAACGAGATACCATTGCGACCAAAATATGGGGGCGGGGTCGAGGCCAAGAAGTCTCCAGTATCGGAAAAACACCCTCCAGGCCAGGATAACCAGAAAGGGAAGAATCAGAAAGCGAATTTGCCCGCTCAGAGGTCCAACCCGCCGAGGGAAAATGGACATGTCCGAGCTGCAAAGAGCGAAAGCGACGGCGGCTGGCAAAAGGCCGGGCGGCGCAAAAAGGCGCCAAGTGGTCTGAACGTGTCAGGCCATAGTGAGCAACCGCCGAAGCACGAATCGGAACGCAAAGGTGGGTGATTGTGAGACGCACGAATTGTCGGAGAGAACCGACGGCGGTGCCTTGTCTGGCCATTGTTTAAGCCAGGTGAGGAGGACACCAGCAAGCATTTCTTTTTTCCCTTTTTTTTTCATTACGAGCTTGATGAGATGTATTCTCATGCGAAATTGGACATTGTTTTTACATGTATTTTTGTGGAACGGAGTTGCAAAGATATGCATTTGACAGGATTACCATGACATCTCATTTGCACATGCGAGAGTCGCAGGAAGGTCAAGGGACTTGGGAAGGAAGTTGGTAGATTCGGCAAAGGAACTGGCGCTCAGTTATATGGGGGGCAGGCGTTTGTTATTGGAACCGCTTTTTCTGAAGGAGACGAGCAAGTGAAGACGAAGGCAGATACACACATTGGCCGAGGCGACTCAAGAGACAAGAAGGTTTTACACGGGCCGAGTGCGAAGCGGCATAGAAGGATATTTGCAGAGGAAGGGTACACTTTCAGCAGAGATATGAAGCAGCAGAAACACGAAACATTGATCCAAATCGCGTGGGATGTGCTCTGACGAGTGAATGCGTGGATGCGTGGATGCGTAGATGCGAGGCTTTTACTGGAGCGAGGAGGAGGCCACCCGGTCTGGTGGGGAGGCGGGCGGATCGAGGTGCGGGATGCCGGGATGGCACGTCTGACATCGTATTGCAGGCTGCGACATCCCGATGCAGCCCTATCGGGATGCACACACGGTTCAAGGCATGTAGGGTCAAGGTTATAAATAGAGAGAAGCTGTTTAGGCAGCAGTGAAGAGACTTTCCGGCGTCGGCGAGGCAGTGAGGCTGAACAGGAGGAATGAGTATTTTCACTCTGCGGCAGGGTGTAGGTATCTGCCAGGTCGGCCTTGATTATCTTGTCCCTTTGTTCCGTATGTTGTAAATTGGCATGGAAAGATAGATGGTGGTCAGAAACGTTGATGAATCTGGTGGTGATTTGGAGGCCCAAGTACAGCCCCAGCTGATGGCGTCAAAGAAGCCCCGCAATTCCGGCGGTTGGTATAGAGGCTGAAAAGCCCCGGCAGTTGTCACACTGAACAGTTGGCAATTGTCTTATTGCTACCACAAACGAGAAGAAAAAAACTACTAGTAGCCGCCGTCTGTCTGCTACAACCGCCTATCCCAACTCGCTTCTCTATTAACTAGAGTCCCCTGGTCGCTCGTGTCCCTGGCTGCTTCCCCCACAATCTCGCGCCTCCCCCCCGGTTTTCTTCCTCCACACAACGTCCGACACCGACACCGACCTCGCCTAGCACCTTTGCCTTCTTCCTGAACCCATTTCCATCTGTCAAGTGTGCGTGTGCTGAAGTCATAAACACCAGTTCCAATTTCACTGCTGCCCAAGTCTCTTCCATCATTACCTATACACCGTCTGATCACAGCATTTGTGCGTTTCGTGTCGTTTGCACCTGTGGTGGAGCACACGTTGGTGTCGGACCACCTTTTTCAAGAGAGTCTGGACTAGCGAGCGGCGTCCTTGATCTTTTCTCGATCGACGCTGTAACCCTCTTGGTTCTCTTCTGAGCGTCTACCCAATGCGACATTGACACAGCTGTGTTGGACCCTTGGAAAAAAAAGAAGAAAGAAAACAAAGCACCAAAACCTGGAAGAGGAAAAAAAACGGCGCGCCTGGGCGAGCCACACCTCAGTGTAGTCTGCGGCTGTGGCGAGTCGCCCGCCGAGAGCAAGGGCTGACGCCAGCAAGCCCAATTTATCCATCCCAAGTTTCGGAGTCGCTGAGCGCAGCTCTCCTTTTCGTCTTGTTTCCATTTTGCCCTTACAACAATAAATATTGGGGCCAAGTCATGCTCCTGTGGAGCGTCGATGCAACAAACGTTGGCCTGAACCCTTGCGACAAGCTGAGACCGATTTCTAGAGACAGCGTTTGGCTTCCGAGGCGCGCTCGATGCCCACCATGATGAGGCCTAGGACAAACAGCGACAGCCCCGGACCCTCGGCGCCGCAACCTTCCAGGTCGTCGCGCCTGGGCTCCTTCTCGGCCCTCGTCAAGATACGACGCAAAGGCTCCGTCCAGGAAAACACCTACCCCTCACCAGTACGTCTTTCCCAAGTCACCCCACATGTGTCGAGGCGCATTCCGGCAGCGTACTGCCGACGCTTGTCTCGCCTCTGTCTAGGTTTTCGTCGCTAACGCGCTGTAGCACAACAAGTCGAACACGATACACAGTGAGACCGACCTGGCAGACACCTACACCCTGCGGCAGAGCGACTCTGCCGCCTCCTTCCCCGAACCCGAGAGCCATGGCCGCGAACTGCTGTCCCTAGTCCAGCGCATGCGCGCCGCCCCGTCCGGCCCGAGCCATGTCGACCACGCGTACAAGGAGTTCCTGAAGCTCAAGGACCGGTGCACCGCTCTGTGCCTCGCCATCATGCAAGAGGAGATCAAGTCCCTTCAAACCTCGTCTAGCGCCAACGAAACGCTCCTGCACCATGATTCATACACCGAGTCGCCACACAGCCCCGGCATGCTCGACAATCGAAGTTCCTTAAGCGCAAGGAGCCTCGCCGAGGTCGTTTCCTCCAGTGGCGCCAACCGCCTGGGCATACATGGCACTGAGCTGTGGATAGGCCCCATTCGGGACTGGAAAGCCTGTGTAGAGGCACTCAACGATGCCTTTCACGCTAGCCTGGCCGAGACGTACAAGACATATGAAAAGGACGCCACGCATGAGATGGTCGACGCTCTGTTTAACAACAAGAGGTTCCGACGGGAGGCAGTTACCCGCATGCGCAATGCATCTGTGACCAGACTATTAGCTCCCGACCCGCAATTCGTGAGTCGTATCACGACACCTGATCTCGATAATGATACTAATGTCCTCTAGTTTCCTCGATATGAAATCAGATTCAGAAATTATGAAAAGGCGAAGCAGGAGCTAACTGCCGTTCGGCAAATTGTCCAAGCCGCCGAATCGGGCATCTCACCCTCGCGAGAGGTCCGTGAAATACCAATCTCGGAGCGCGGAGACGCAGTTTTGGAATTTGCAAATAACCATGCCGGCTGTTCGCCCGACGACCCGGTTTTACGATTTCGCGTTTCATCCTACATGCTAGCTGAGACATCGCCCATTTTTGCGCGCATGTTCTCTGGTCACGCGAGCAGCCTTCACCTGCATGAGGCTGAGGACATAACCGCACAACTACCCCCGCCACGATCCAAACACTACTGCAAGGGCGAGACAGAGACCTGGCTCTACCGGATGCCGCAGAGAGAAACGAACACTCTCGATTCTCTCTCTATTCTTTTGCACGCAGCGCATATGCACAACGAGAATGTACCGCGGGACATCAGCTTTGACCAATTTGTGGCCATTGCAGAATGCTCAATACGTTACAAGAGCACCTCGCCGCTTGAGCTGATGGTTGAGCACAGGTGGTTACCACAGTGGATGCATCGGGGGGCCGACGACATGCCCGACGGGCTGCTCATCATTAGCTACGCATTCGGCTCTCGCGGCTTGTTTAGTCGCATGTCCAAGAGCGCCATTCTGCATCTAGTCGATGAAAAGGACCTGCAAAGCAAGCCGTGGCCCCAAAAGATCAAGGACAAAATTTGGGCCGTGCGCTCCGCCAAGATTTCGCAGCTTCACGACTGCTGTACAGCGGCTTTGCAAGAATACACAAGACCGCCAACTAGCGAACCCACGGTAGCCGCAGGGCCGGAAGAGCCGCCGCCGACAATCTGGGGAAGCCTGGGCAACGTTGTACCGCAGCACCCCACGCTGGCTCTCACAACGACACCCAGGTGTCCCAAAGGGAGCCACTGGTGCGACGCGACGAATCTCGGCTGGCTTATAATGGTCTTCAACAATATGAATATGCTTTCCACCGCCATACAGTCCAAGGCCCTGACGGGCGAGCCAGAAGTGCCCTTTGCGTCCAAGAGTCTGGCGCACGTCGTGGACCTGCTGCGCCTGCTGCCGAGCCCCCCCGCGCCGGTCCACCGTGGCGGTGTCTGCGACCCGATCCCGTCGTTCCGCACAGCCGTGGCCGACATTTACAACAGCGTCACCGGCCTGACCCTCTTTGACATTAGCGGCAAAAGCCACGGCTGGGCGCTGTCCAAGCACGCCATGCACGAGCCCCAGTCGCAGGTCGCCAAGGGCCTCGGCCGCATGGCGGCACCCAACGACAGCTACACGGTTGCGACTGAGTTTCCGGAGAGCGTACTGCTGCAGGTCCTCAGCGCCGTCACGGATATTGCGGATCTCCATGCCGCGGCTCGCGTGAATCGCGCCTTTTACGAGACGTACAAGACGTATGAGCTGCTCCTGATGCGCAACATCTTACGGGCAGGCACGCTTCGCGGCAGTACGGCGCACAGCGTACCGCTGACTGTCAACAATGCTGAAGAAAAGATGCGCAAGTCGGAGTCGGACCGTCTCAAGGACCGGATGCTGGATGACAGGACGGGCTCGGCGACAGCGGACAGCGACGACCACGACGAGCGCAGCACGGACTCGGACAGTGACCTCGAAAGCGACGAGATGCCCATGGCAGCCACCCCAGCCGAGCTGTATGACAACGACGACGTCCGAGGCGCACCACCGCCCCCCATGCAAGCCGCCGACGTGGTCAACTTGGTCTTGTCCAGCCTCCAGCTGAGCGGGCCTCCCAAAGACGGCGAGGACGACGGCGACTTGTACGAGGCGCCCATGACGGAAGAAGAGGCGCGGCGGATCCTGTGGCCCGACGACTACGACGAGGAGCCGGCGACGCCGAGAGCCGCCCCCTACCCCGTGCAGGACCAGAGCAATAACCCGGCGGCCCTGCGCGAAAAGTTCCTCCTGGGCGACGGGCTGGTGATGGAAGGTCTCGAGGACAAGACGCTGATTCTCATGAATGAGAAGCGGCTCTTGAAGGAGACGACCAAGTGAATCAAACATAACGTATTACATATATACACCTCGTGTACAATGAATGATGGGATGAGGCGTTGCGACGACTATGCATTGAAATTGGAGAAGAGGTCGACTGTTTTTGGATATTGCTCAATTGGCAGGGTGGGCCGTTGATTTCAAGCGGCTTGTATTAATTGCCATTCTTGTTTCGATAATCTGTTTGGGGCTGGCGCGCCTTTCTGCACATATATACCCTCTGCACGAAAACTGCTTATATAACTACATTTTGAACAAAGCACGCGAGATTTTGTCCCGACCTCACATGCCAATGTATAGGTGTTCATGTTGTGAACAAGGTGGTATTAAAAACTAGAATCTAAATCTATAGCTGAGCAGCGTCGTTGTCTACGCGTCTTCATGTATTGATGCTCGTAAAATATACCAAGAGACCTTTCCACGCTTTTTAATCCAAAAAAAGAAGCCTCGCGACCAAGGAAGAATGTCTGCTTTCGTAGACACTTTAGAGGGCCTCCTTGTTCCACAGCCTCTGCATGTTGGCCCTGGCACGCGTCATGAAGCCAGCGCCGCCCACGCCAGCCGCGACCGGGGCCGCCTCAGCCGGAGGGCGGCCGTGCTCGACCTCTTGTTGGGCGATGCGGGCAGCATTGATGGCGCGCAGCTTGGCGGTGCCGAATCCGGCAACGCCCGCCTCCTGGTTGGCGCCGAGCCAGGGCTTCTTGGAGTCGCCGAGGAGGCTGCCGGACAGAAAGTACGTGACGAGGCCGAGGATGATGCAGACAAAGGCAATGGGGTAGAGGTAGTGAATGGTGAGGCCAAAGACGCGGATGCCAATAATGACGCCCCAAAAGTTGGCCGTGAGGAGGGAAATGTCGAAAAAGGCGGCGGAGCCCATGCGCAGGATGAGGGGCGCGAGCGTGTAGAAGAGGAAGAGGCAGAGGGTGTAGCCGACGATCCAGCTGGCGACTTGGGAGTCCCAGTTGGCCTGCTGGAACGAGGTGCGGTCAAAGATGGCGGCCTGGACGCCGTTGATGATCATGCCGAAGAAGCCGATAAAGGCGAGGACGTGGTGCATCGGGGCCTTGGAGACGAGCCACTCCTCTAGGACGTTGCTGGTACCGTAGAGACTGGCGCCGAGCAGCGCAAAGAGGTCGCCCTTGAGGCGGTTCTCGGCCGGCCCGCTGTTGCCGCCGGTAATGTGGTCTGATGCGAGCAGGATGCCCATGCCGCCGCAGCACACGAGGATGCCAACCACCTGAAACGGCTTGTACCGGACCTTGAGGAAGGTGAAGGAAATGGCGACGACGCAGACGATGGACCAGAAATTGATCAACTGCGCCGAGAGAATGTTGGTGTAGCGGTAGGCGAGCACAGTAAAGTAGTTTCCCTCGACGTCGAGGAACGCCATGATGAGGTAGCGCCAGCCATCGGTGCGGGCGGCGCGCCACCATGCGCCAGGGCCGTCGCGGACGAGCATCACAGTCGTGTAGACGAGGAAGAGCAGGATGTAGTTGAAAACGGTCTGGAAGGCGGGAATGTTGGTCTTGGCGTTGGCGAGAAACGTGGTAAAGGTGTTGGTGGCGGTGATGCAGAGGGCGAGGACCTGCCCGATGGCGACGATGATCCAGAAATCGGACGTGGTCAAGTAAGACCACCAGTGGATGGACTGCGTCTCGAGGATGTGCAGGCCCTGCGTGACCGAGTCGTCGGTGGCGGCGCCGCTGTAGGCGAGGTGCAGGTTGCTGTCGCCTGGCGGGGAGAAGTCGGCCTCGTTGCTCTTGGGCGATGCATAGTAGCCCGAGGCGGTGGTGGTGGTCATGGGTGTGGCCTTGTCGTCGCCGCTGGAGGCGGCGTGGACGGTGGTGGTATGTTCGCCCATGGTGGAGGAGTCTGCCGCGACAGAGGAGAAAGATGCTGGTTCTGACTCGAGCGGCTGGTACAGGTAGTCGTCGCGGGCGGCGAGAGTGGTGATGCTGGCGAGGAAGACGGCTTTCAAACGGGGCAGGAGTGACGGGCCTGTCGCGGGCATTCGATGGAGCACTGCGGTCGGGTTAGCTCAGGTCTGTGGTCCGGCTGCGCAGCGGGGGAAAGCATCCATGATGCGCAGAGAGAAAACGATGGAAGTGTACTTACAGTGATTGCTGGGGGGAGGGGAGGTTTTGGGTGAAATTTCCAAGGAAAAAACACACACGAGTCTTTATCCGATTAGAAACGGATTAAATTGTACTGCAGCAGAGCGCAAAGACTTTCAAGTCGCCTGCTGGGATTCCTATTGTGGACAAGGGCACATGCGATGATGCGCCGGCGGTGGTATGTAGTGAGGAGGAGGGTTGCGGAGGAGGGATGCCGACATGGACGGGTTTCTGGGGAGGACAGTTGGGATAGAGGTGGCACACGTGGTGCAAAAGAGTAAGAGGTCGCGCGCTTGAAGTATTTGACGGCGAATGTCGAGGAGAGGGGAGGTGATCAAGTCAGGATGAGGCAGACGAGCCAGGATGAAGGAGAAAAAAAGAGGATATTTTGGGAGGAGAGAAGACATTGGAGATGGTGGGGGTGTGGATGACAGGCTTGAGTGCGTGGCGTCCAGCTGAACGCCTCACTGCCTGGGTTCATGTTGAATATTATTATTATTATTTTACAACAAGAAAAATGGGCTGTGATGGACTGTATCCAGATATTGCGTTGATTCTATTTCGTCATAAAAGTACAACATGCTGCCAAGAGAGACAGTCTCGTGATACCGGCCCGTCAGTCGTCAGTCACCTGCAAGTTTCCTCCCTCGGGCGCCACTGAAAAATCTGACCAGGGTCTGTTCCGATGTTAGACCCGCTGTCGAATTTGGCGGCCATTACTTCTACCTGTTAGTTCAACAGTGTCTGTATGATTCTTGACGCATCCCGCTTCTGATGCTCAAGAATGCCCGCCCGAGTATATACACGACCCTTGTTGAAAAACTCGCTAGGGTCGCCGCATCTCCGCCATGGCTGTGCGTATCGTCTTGACAATCATGACATTCGTCGCCGCCGTGCTCCCCGCCGTTGCCGCCTTCGAGTCTTTTTGGACCCGCGATGATTAGCTACCGACCTGCCTCGAGCCACGCTGCCGGAGGGGGAAAATAAGAGAAGAAAAAAGGACGAACCGCTCATGAAGGAATTGCTGGCAGACTCGCCTTCTGCAGTGGCTGGTGGCGCAAGCTCGCGGTCTGCCACTGACGATAGCTCCTTGTACAGCAAACGGAGCGAGCCGCCTGCCTGAACGGAGCCATCCGCCGCAGACGACGAGGAAGGTATCGAAAGGTTGCCAGTCGGTCTATTCGAGGTCATCATTTTTTTTTTTCTTTTTCTTTTCCTTCGTCCCGTCCCTGCTAGCCGAGCGCTTGTGTACGACGTTTTCTGCCGCCCGCCGGTCGGGAATGGCGCCGTATATAACTATATCCCGGGTTCGGATGGAGGGCTCCGAAAAAGGTTCGCGGCCGGTCAAACGAGTCGTGGTCTGCGCGAAGCTTGCTATGCTTTCAGCTCTCCTGTAAGCAACCAGAAGAAGATGTCGGGTTTTGAAATTGCTTTGCAATCTTTCCCCAAGACACAAAAAAAAAACCACAACGTCTTTTCAGCCGCATCTCCATGTTCCCCCAAGACTCCAGTTTTGAGCTTGGTGGACCACTAGAACCCCCCCCTCGTCCTCCAAGGATTAATTATTAACTGCACCAAAACGAGCGGTTTTGCTCCTTCGTTCGTATTTCGGACTGCACTGCATTGTGCTCCGCTTCAGCCTTTTAGCGTTCATGCCGCCGGCTTGTTGCCGGAGATGGTGGTCTCTGGCTTCCTTCGGGGTACAGCGAGCTTCACCTTCAGGCCGCTGATCTTTCCAGCTGGGAAGGACGCACGATTTAGCACATGCAGTCCTTTTTCAGCCCCGGCCCATGCTTGCCCCTACAATCTAAACGACCGATACGATGCAGCATCTATCATTATCTGTTCGGCTCAAGACATCCTGAAATCTTGGCTGTCCTCGTCCGGCTTGGTCGTTTATATTCCGGCTCCCATTTAAAGGCAGCTCCCAAGGTCAACGGCGCCATCATTACTTGTACTCGACCTGTACCTTTCACGGGCTCAAAACGGCATTCCCCGTCTTCAAGCTCTCAAAGAAGGTATGGTCTATATATTTCTAATCTATGAGACGACTAAGCCATGTTGACATAATCATGGCTGCCAACTGAGCTATACGAAGAATCTAGCTCTACTCTATTGTAACTTTTTTGGGGAGGGGGGGATATGCATCAAATCTCAATCTGGCTGTAAAAGCTTTGTCTGACAAATCGCTTCTTGTGCGATTTGTGCAGAACCGAAGTATCCAAAACTTCACCCGTGGCTGAGCGAATAAAGTTCACACGCAGATTCTGCGCGTCCTCGAACCGCAGATTCGCATACGCAAAGTCGTCATTGTACGCAAAGGCGTTGAAATGCGGCACCTTGTCAAACTCGTCCAAGCCTTCGATATTGCCCGTGCCGCCCGACACAATATGCATGGGCGCCTCGGGGTCGTCGAGGCCGGCGGGATCGGCGACCCCGTCGTAGACGGGCAGGTACCGCTGCGAGTTGTGGACATGGCCAAAGACGGCCACATCGACGCCGTATTTGTAAAAGACGTGCTCAAAGGCCGCCTTGCATGATGTGCATCCCGGGCCGTTGGCCGCGTACCAGGGGCGGTGGCCGGCCACAACGAGCCAGGGCGTGACGCCGCGATCCACAGAGGCCAGGTCGGCTTCCAGGAACTCGAGCTGCTGGTTCGGAGCGCCAAACGGGCCACTATCCAGCCCCTCGCTGCCGCCGACTGCATCCGGCGCATTCTCAAAGTCCGTCTCGGTGTCAATCATGACGATGTGCGCCATGCCATACTCAAAGGAGTACCAGAACGGAGGGTTCGCGAGCTTCTGGGCCCTGTTGGCATTGACCCTCGCTTCATGGCTCTCCGACTTGGATTCGAAAGCGGTCGGCATGTTGTCGCCGAAGCGGACTCGAAAGTCGGTAAAGTTCTTCTGTCCCTCGGGGCAGAACTGGGTCTTGTGATGGCCGAGCCCGCACGCTGCTTCATGGTTGCCGGGGCTCACCATGTAGGGCCGCTGCTGCGAGATGGGGGCTAGCTGGAGATAGAATCTCTCCAGAATGGACGCAAAGGCATTCTCGCCGTCGTCTTTGTTGGCTGGGTTCTCGGACCATGTATCCGCATAGCCCAGATCACCAGGATGAAGAACGAGCTCGTAGTCGTTGAGGGTGCTACTGAGTCGACCAATGGTGGTGTGGTTGGTGGACATGGGAATCTCAGCAATATTGTCGCGCCTGCCGTGATTTTGGCGAATCGTATATCCATCTTGACCGTACGCGCCGAGGTCAATGATGGTATTGATGCTAAACGGCGTCTCATCCCCCGCGGCGCGCGGGCTGAGGAAGTGCTCGATGGCGGACTGGCCGCCCACAATTTTGTAGTAATACGTCGTCGCCGGCTTCAAGTGGCCGAGGACGACGGAATGGAACCAGGTGCGCGAGCTCGGGTATGTGACTGACTTTTTGTCGGCACACACCGTGTTGCTGAGATTCGCCGCCGCTGTCCCCCACTGGATGCACGCTTGGTGCAACGGCTCATACGTGTTCCAGCTGATGGCCATGCCTGGTCCGTTCGTTTTTCAACATCAGTCGCGCATTACAAAGACGGCACAGCTGTTGAAGATTTTTGTGGGATTTTTAGACTGTGTGCAAACTCACTGTTGGGACCGTCAATGGCAATGCGCTGCTGGACCGGCGTCTCCAAGTCGGCCGGCTTCGGAGGCCAAGTCGCGGCAGCCGAGGCGCTCGCAGCCAGCACCGTGCATGCCAAAAGTTTCTGAATAGGCGCCATCATAGCAAGATCTATACAGCGTGATATCTCGGGGGGGCGGGGAGAGATAATGATGAGAAGCCCTTGCGAGGGACAAAGCAGTTACTAAATAGTTGGTTCTAATGGAGTAGACCCCGTCTCACAACCAACCGGAGCCTCCTACCAGCCTGCGGCTAATGTTGGTAACAAGTCATCATTTTTTTTCGCCCTATAATATTGCCTCAAAGAAGCGACAGAAAAAGAAAAACATCTTAAATCGCTCGCTGGCGTGCTCGTTGGGAACTAGAAACTAGGAACCCGCCAACCCGCACACTTGTGATTCAGACTTTGGAGCAAATCAAGATCCGTCGAGTAGAGATGGGCCAATAGCGTCAGATCCCTTGCAAGTTGGCAGTGGGCATGGGCTCCCTCCCGCAGGCCGGCGGCTCTTTGCTGGCAGCCCACGTTTCTGCTTCAGCCTCTTGATAGGCGAACACGATGTTTTGTTCTTGCTGCTTGGTTTCGCTTGGCGCAGGCGAGTAAGAATAGTTAGGCCGGAATATTTGGGTTATTCGTATGGAAGTGGCAACTCGGATATGCAAGAAATTTGTCAAGACGTCAACTATTTCATATTGTAGTACACGACCAGTATTGATAGAAAGTTGCTTACTAAATTAGTGAAGAAATTGGGAGCATTCTGTCTTGGTGTTTGAGCCGTTTTGCAATCCTCCTAGCGATCGTCCCGACTTTGCAAATTATGTTGATTAGAAACAAAGCTAACAAAGTCATCAGGTATCAATATAGTTAGGTACCCTATTTCAGAGCTGAAAAGTGGTTGCCCCATCCTGCGTCAGCAGTGTCTTATAGTTGGACCGATACTGGGGTCACAAGATCGGTTGTCACTGGAACCCTGAGGGTCAGCTCTGTTCTCGCCAGCAACCAGCCAGCTCCATCAACAGCTCAACAACCATCAACAACCATCTCATTGTCGCATAGTAGCCCGCATTCGTCTTTTTACACCTGTATCCATCCATAATGCACCAAAAGATTTTATTAGGGGCTGCGCTGGCGCTCACGACTCGCGCCGCGCAACCGGGAGCTCTGGAGCCGGTCGCGGCGCCCTTACGCGACCTCCATTGGGGCCAGCTCAACTTTCTCCACACGACAGATACACATGGCTGGCTCGGCGGCCATCTTTTAGAGTACGATTTGCATCCGTCGCATAGTATACACGACTCGGAATCTCAGTACCTATGCTAACCTGCGATTGTCGCCCACAGGGCACAATATTCGGCCGACTGGGGGGACTACATCTCATTTTCCAAGCACCTTCGCAAGCACGCCGACGACAAGGGCGTCGACCTGCTCCTCGTCGACACCGGCGACCGCATCGAAGGAAACGGCCTGTTCGACGCCTCGTCCCCCAAGGGCCTCTTCCAGTACGACATTTACCGTGAGCAGGACGTCGACCTCCTCTGCATCGGCAACCACGAGCTCTACCAAGCGTACTCGGCAGATCGCGAGCTGAACACGACGGTCCCGAATTTTAAAGACAGATATATCGCCTCCAACCTCGATGTCATCGATCCCCGGAGCGGGGAGCGGGTGCCCTTGGCCCAGCGCTACAAAAAGTTCACCACCAAGAACCAGGGCATCGAGCTTCTCGCGTTTGGCTTCCTCTTTGACTTTACTGGCAACGCGAACAATTCGTTTGTGCAAAAAGCCGAGGATACTGTGAAGGAGCAATGGTTCCAGGATGCTATTAAAGAAAAAGTAGACGCTTTTGTGGTGATTGGGCACATCGGGCTGCGCATGCCCGAATTCAAGACCATCTTTACGGCCATACGGAAAGAGAACTGGGACACGCCAATCCTCTTTTTCGGCGGTCATGCGCACGTCCGCGATGCTCGGCAGTTTGATTCCAAATCCATCGCCATGGCGTCGGGCCGGTACTTTGAGACCATTGGATGGATGTCTGCCGACGGGGTCAAAGCCAACGCCGCCGCGGCTGGCAAGGACGCGAGCACGGCGTCGTCCGGCCCCAGATTCACGCGCCGATACGTGGACACCAACCTGTACGGCATGCGCTACCACAGCGGCACAAACGCCTCGAGCTTCGACACGGAGCAGGGCAAGCGCGTGACCAACATGATTGCCCGCGCCCGCAAGGCGCTTGATCTCGACCACCAGTTTGGCTGCGCGCCCAAGACGCTGTGGATGTCGCGCGCCAGGTACCCCAGCGCGGACAGCATCTTCTCGTGGCTCGGCGACGAGGTGCTGCCCGCCGTCGTGCAGCACCCCACGCGCAAGGACAAGGCGCGCCTGGCCATCCTCAACACGGGCGGCATCCGCTTCGACATCTTCAAGGGCCCCTTTACCCGCGACAGCACGTACATTGTGAGCCCGTTTACCAGCGGCTTCAAGTACATCCCCGACGTCCCGTACAGCATCGCCAGAAACATCCTCGCCCTGCTCAACGGCGCGGATAAAATCTTTGTCGAGGCCGGCGGCCAGGAGACCAAGTTCCTGACCATTCCCCAGCAAATGTTTCCGGCGGGCCAGGAGCCGCCCGTGCATGGTCAAGAGGACGCGGCGGCACACGAGGACGAGCCGGCCGGCGACGATGCACGCCTTGAGCTTCGCAGCACCCGCCACGGCGGCGGCGGCGGCAACGATGAGCGTCCCTTGGTCGAAGGATACACGACCACGGACGATGTCGGCAAGGACGGCGACGACACCGTGCACAAGGCCGTCGAGTTTCACACCGTGCCCAACTGCATCCAGTCCGCGATTGGCTTTCCCAAAGACGGCAGCGAGCCCGAGACCGTGGACCTTGTGTTTCTCGACTTTATCCAGCCCTGGATCGTCATTGCTCTCAAGTTCTCGGGCGGTACGCAGGGCGCTGGCGACGTTGAAAAATACATTGATGGCACGTTTACGTATATACTATCCGAATGGATCAAGGAGAACTGGACGGGCGAGTGCTGAGTTTTATAGATTTGTTTGCATCTAGACGCATATTTAACTGGTCATGGCGGAACGTCCCATCCGAGCCAGCTCTTGGTTTAAAGATTTTAGAATATGCTGGACATTGCTGGAGTTTTCATATTTTAATACCGAGTTGATGCCTTTTTCGCGTATTCCGTGATTGCAGAGGATGAAGCAATTCTGAAAGTTATGCATTACATTCAACCGATTATCTTATGGCTCGTACTAAAATATTTAATGATACACAGCATGCCGTCTATATATATAGCCTTCCAAGACAACCCCATTTTATCTGTGTACCCAAATTTTTTATTCACTGTTCTAAATAAACGCCTCCCATCTGCGGTTGATCTGACTGCGGCGGACCTGAATAGACGTATTAGTATGGAATGTTGGGACAAAGGCGCAAGACATACCATGGGAGCCACAAACAAGACACCGCCGGTGAGCGCCAGCACGGTCGAGACAAGAGTCAGCTTGTTGAAGCCCTTGCCCAGAATGTCAAAGAGGCCGCTGGGCACGACGCGCGTGCCATAGACGTCGATGCCATAGGCAACGAGCAAGCTCGTGCTCTCCACCACGGCGGGCGACGTGGTGAAGCCCTCGACGCCGAGAATCTCCCAGTCATGGGAGAGGATGTTGCGCGAGTCAATCTCAATGGCGGGCATGTACCGAGGCAGGCCTTCTGCCTCAATCTCGTTGGCAGTGGGGTCGCGGCCGACGGGGCGGCGGGGATCGAGCAGCACGCGCGGCAGGGCGACGACGGCGTGCGACTCGGGGAGGTAGGCGACGAGGCTGCGGCTGGCGATGCCCTGGCGCGTCTGCGTGACGGCGAGCTTGGTGAGCGGTTGGGAGACGATCCAGCTCTGGGAGACGACAGCGGGCAGCGCGGCGGCGCCGGCGGCGAGCGGATTCTCGACTGGCGCGAGCGAGGAGAAGCGGGCGTCGTCACCGAGCGGACCACGGTCGTTGGGCGTCTCTGACTCGTACAGGTCCGACACGACGACCTGATAGCCCTGGATGGCGCGGCCGGACTCGTCGTCGAGCTGGTACTGCCCGAAAAATGAACAGGCGAACCAGTTCTCGGACATGGTGCACGAGACGGCCTTGCTGGCGTCGACACCGTCGTACGTCTCGGCGGCGAGGACCTGGCCGGAAATAGTGTCAATGAGCTTGACGGACAGGGTAGATGTCTTGTCGTTGATGGAGGCGAGGACGGCCGTGTTCGGGTTCAGGTATTTGTACTGAACCTGTCTGTCGCCTAGAACGCGGCCGATGGACGCAATAGGGTCCTGAGCGGGCAGTGTAGCCACATCCACAATGCGCTGGCCATCGGTAGCCTTGATCTCCCAGATATCTTGCTTCTTGGTCTTCTTTCCATCCGCTACGATCTTGATTCCCTTGACAGATTCGCCTTCGCCGCGGACAATGAACGTCTGGTCAGCAAGCTCACCGCCAAGAGTTTCGTCGGCTGGGTTGCCATCAGGACCGAGAGCGAGGATCCAAGCAGATGTCTCGGTGTCAAGAATGGCGGTGCTAGCAATTCTTGGCGTAGTAGAGTCAGCAGGCTTGTCCTCGTCAAGATGACCATCGGTGGCTCGGATGAGAACAGACTCGCCACGCGATCCACGCATAGCAACGACTCCGGTGTCGTCGGTCAAGGCGAATCCCTTGACGGAAAGGGACTCACCCGCGGCCTGTGGCAGGACATTCTTCGTCCACAAGACGGCACCCTTGTTGCCTGTGTCGAGGCCGTAAAAGCGGCCGCGGCGAGTGGCCAATACGATAATCTTGTGGAAGCCAAAAACGTCAGCGTAAAGAGTGCCGGCGCTAGAAGTGGGCTCATCACCCGCGATGCTCGCAATGACTCTGCCGGGGATAGAGGCTAGGTAGCCTGGGAGGTATTGGAGATCATCAATGTGGCGCAGAACACGGTTGACATAGGCACTAAAGGGGTTGGTATCGGCCTCTCCGGCAAGGACCTTGGCAAGGTTCTCCTCTTCGGGAATCTCAGCCCAGACAGCAGCGACGCTACCGCTAAGGCCTTCATGGCGAACCCAATCACGTTCGCCGTTGCGAATTTGGATCCAGTCATGGTCTTCGGTAAGAATGGCAGTCCGCACGGCATACTCGCCGCCAGACTTGTGGATGACTTCGGACACGGAGTGGAGTGGCTTCACGGCACCGTCAAGCTGAATTTTCCACCGCGCGACACCTTCGTGTGAGTCGGAGGGGAGGACTTGAATCTCGTCATCCGTGATTCGTGTAAAGTAGACGTTAGCGCCTTCGCAGCTGGTAGAGAAGGAGCCGCGACCTTGCAGCTGGGGCAGCTCGTGCGTCTTCTTGATCTGCGCGTTCTTGATGTCAATGCTGAATACCTCGGCCCGGTTTCCAGACTTGGAAGCGGTATGCACCAAAAAGCGAGCCTGCGACTCTTTGAGATAAGGGGCCTGGATATCCACAAACTCGACGTCGGGAGCCAGCGCAATATCGTGCTTTGTTTTGGTGCCGAGAATTTGGATGCTGAGCTTGTCACTATTTCTCCAGGCAATTATGGGAGCGGCAGAGTTGCCGCCGACAAACATGACGTCCTCGGGGGTCGCGACATCGCCTTTGCTGCCGGCCGTCCATTGATCTACGCGCTGACCAGTGCTGGGGTCTATCGAGGTGGTCTTGACGCTGTAGGACGAGGGGGACCCATGCAGGCTGACAATGTATATGCTCGCGATATCGGTCGAAACTTGGAGGGGGACGTCTTTGCTCGTTTCGCGGAACTCCCACATGACGGTGCCCAGGCCGCCATGGAGACGTCGCAGGACTGTGGTGCCATCCTCGTCAAAGAGGACAACCACATCCTTCCGTGACGTGTCGGTCACTTCAATCACCTCCACATCCCTCGCCTCGCCTTTGAATTCGGCCTCCCAGACGTTGCGGCCCGTCAGGCCGTTCCACGCTTGGACGCGGGGACCCTGGGCGGTCGCTACCCACTCCTCGTCGGCGGGAGCTCGAAGGTGCCCGGCGCTGCCGGCGAGGTCGTCGGCGAGCTGATGCCGCCATGCCGTCTCGCCGGTGGTGGGGTTGATGGCGCCCACGACACCCAGATCGCTCAGCGTGTACAAAAGGCTGGCCTTGGTGCCGACCTTTGGTCGGTGGTAAAAGGTCGCTTCGCGCTGGGGGAGGCCCACGAGGGAGTGGTGGAAATCAATGTGACCGACTTCATCTTTGAAGATGGCTGCCGTTAACGCCGAGAGGCCTAACAGCAACGCTGATTGGAATTGGCGTCGCATCGTCGACGAGAGCTTGATGTTTACGCGACGTGCAGCTCCAAGTTCCTGGACTCTACCTAGCAGAGAGCGCCAACTTGAGGGAGCTTAGTCATCGAAGACGCCACCAACGGAGGAAAAAGCGACGATGTTGGAAGTTTGACACATTCTTTTCCATAGATTTTATCGCTAATATATTTTATCTCGACTTCATAAGTCTCGTGCATATTTTTCGTTTTCGTTTTATTTGTACTCCCTACTCTGGGGCCGGACTACAAATCAACCTACACCGATTGCCGAGGCGGTGCAGCTTACAAGTCAAAGTCAACAGTACCTACTTTACACAAAAAGAGCAAGACTGTTGAGAACGATAGCAAGACAAGGTCGGGTAGGAGTTTTGTGACTTTTTTGTCTCGTTTTCAAGAGTTCAATACGACACAGATGTGAATCTGACAAGCCAGTTACCCGGCAACATTGCACAGTCGTGTGCAGCATGCAACACAGCCGGCCTCTGCCCGCTGTGTGCCATTACAAAAATACCGGCCCTCTATTTTCGTACATTTACAATGCCCATGAGTCATCTCACTTCCTGGTCGTACCCGCATGTGCATCTGGCCGTTGTGGCATCTCATCCTGTGAGTATGGTCAGGTGGGGGGAGTTTATCTAGTTACACTACACGGCCCAGCCGATGATGGCGCTCAGGATTTCGCTTCAAACAAGAAGAAATTGACCGGGCTCCGGCGCTGGCGCAAGTATGTTCTGCGTTGAATATGCAACTAATTCATCTTGCGGGATTACCAAATTGCCACGATGCAGCTGAAAGTCCTGCAGGACTGCGCCGCTCTCGCGCCATCGGCTTAGCGCGAATGCTTGCTCACTACGTCATAGTCAAGTAGGCGTAGGGCTGGTGTTGTCAGAGCAATCAAAATACATTTTGCAAGTTTGGCACGATTGGCTGCCTAGATTTCAGGCGCTGGGATCCTACTCACACATAAGCTGGGCGGCAACAGCGGCCTCGTGCGCGTTCGAGCGGCCGCTCATGCGACCCGGCCGAGAGACTGGGGCCGGTCAGTTGACCAGCCTTGTAAAGCAGTCAGTCAGTGGCCTCATGCTTCAAGGCAACCATACTTTGCAAATGGTCTTTCAACCCTGATTTATGTCGATCTATGCTACTTCCACTATGAATCGCATGCTATGAAATTGGTTGGAATGTGTGCTCGGGCGCAGCCTTGCAGTGTTGGGGTGAACCACCACAAGGCTTGGTTTTTTTCCACTTCACGCCATCTTACACAGCCCCCATACAGTTCTTGGTCTAGACATGACGTACAGACGTGAACAGGTCCGATGACCAATAACGATGCGAGGGGCCCTTGCATGCGCCCTCCCATCGCTCGACATGTGCCTCGGCCAGCCTACCGCGTCTCTGACTCTTCCTGAGGTGGCAAAATGTGTAAAAACGCTGTCCATAAGGCCGCTGTCTCGGACTGCACTTAGCGGCAGCAGTCACGATGCAAGAAATCCGGCTGCATATATCAGATCTCAGTGCGTATTATGTGCGTTGCTGTTCATGAGTCCCAACACCTCACCAGTGACGATGCCCTCTAACTCTAACCACTGTTCCTGCATACCATACTCGAGTGCAACTTCCAGTGATGGATCCCTACTTCAAAGATACTTTCATCATATCCAGCTCTTTTATCCACGTTCTCTTCGTCTACTCAGCTTCTTTACCCCAAATTGTCCATCTGGCAGCCCATGGTTGCGGGCCTCGATGGCCGCGGCCATCGAGGCCCATTAGGCAGTCACGGAGGCTGCCTTCATCTTCTCTCAGAGGAAAAACTACTTAAATACCAGATTGTTTCTGCATTATTTGAGAACTTATACCCTTTCCACCCATCTTGCTCATAATTTGTTCCTGGCCTTTCTGCCATACTCCCCTGCCCTGTCGTCTTCTCTGCCAAATAAGTCGACTTTGACGTGGTCACCTGCCCATCTCCATCTTCATCATCCACCTACGCAGTCCTGTGAGGCTTTCTTGCCGCGACTGCTGCCTTCTTCAGCCCACACTTTGTCTCGCGCCTGTTCTTGTGAAGGCGTTCCAGGAGGACGCGACGTCCTTGTCAGCAGCCTCGGCCGCAGTCAGACCACCCTCTCACGACCGGAAGGGTAGTCGCCTGTTCAATCTCATTCAGCCTTACTCTCATACAACGAAGGGGCTTTTAGTATATATTCCGTCCGTCTTCCTGTCCTTCCACCATGAGTTACCTCGATTCCTACCTCCCACCGAACCTGCAACGCTACGACGATCATCGCTACTCGACCAAAATCCACGTTAAAGCGCCCGGGTTGAGTCTCTCGAGCTCGTACCGTTCTTCATCACCACACCCAGCAAAGAAACGCTACGCCGGTTACAGCTCACGCGACGATCACTACTACAACTACCACAACGACTACTGCCACGGCGGTGCCGGTCCTTCGTATCCGGCATACTCGTCAAACTGGGAGCACAGCAGAGCAGCGTCGCCTCGGCCGTACAGCCAGCGGATAAAAATCCGAAGCGACGCATGGCTAGACGAATCACCATCGAGACGTCCGCGTCGGGACAGCAATATGTATCGATACAGCGGTCGCGATCAGGCAGCCGCCAGACCAATCACCACCACCACCACATCCCACCGAACCACCCACCGCACTACCATCACCATCACGACTATGTAAGAGTCTTGAGAGAGACTTGGAATCGCATGGTCGAAAGAGAAACAGCACTGGATAAAGCGAACAAGGGTCTCATATGTGAAGTCGGCAATTTGAAGAAAGGCTTGGAAGCTGCTCAAGCTGAAGCCCACCGCTTAGGCAACGTTGTCATACCCCAACTCGAGTGCCAGATTACCAATCTGAGTGCAGAGAATCACACCTTGAGATGCGAGTTACAAACCACGACTGGGAGCAGTGATCGGCATCATATTGAGATGGAGGCCCTGCGGATACGGATCTGTCACCAAGACAAAGAGATCAAGGACTTGAAATACGACAAGGCCAACCTAGAGCGGAGAGTGGAGGAGCTCTTGCGCCAAATCAATCAGCACAGGTGCGGAGGGTGCGGAGGAGACTGCAGCAGAAGAATACAGGACTTGGTGCGTGATGTGGCGCACTGGAAAGAGAAGTTCTTCGACATGCAGAATCGCCGAAACACTCTGTCCGATCTGGTGGACACGCAACAAAGGAAGATTTGCAAGTATGAAGACATTTTGCGACGGAATGGATTTATTTGCCCGTAATGTTTTGTGACTTTTTTTGTCTCTTTGGGAACTCAGCAAGAGTTGGTTCAACGTGTCAACGTGGATAGAGCGCTAGGATTACCCACCAGATCGCGATATGATATAGCAGGGTACATAGAAATCAGGCACTATAAATTAGATCAAATACTATTCGAATCACTTAATACGTCATTGCGAAATACTGTGGGGAATTCCTGTACGAATCAATACTGGGTGATTAGCAGCACGCTGTAGGGTAAACAAACCCCCGTACTTCCAACAACGAAGAAGGAGTCACATAATGCAGGCATCCGTGGAATGAGGAGGCGGTTTATGCCGGCGAGGTAATATTGTTTGCGGTGCAGAGTTGGTGTTCGTGGCCGAACGCACCTCGACGTCACTCGATTGCCTCGTATTATGCGCAGCAAACGCAGTGGCATTCACAAACTTGCATACCGGCCAAGTCGCTCGGGCACCTCGCCCGCCTATTACACGATAGAATGGAGGATACGACGCCTGCCGTGTAACAAGGCGTGCACACGGCGATATCAAGTGCTTCCCGAGGGCACCCAAATTTCCTTGTCATAGTTGGGAACTGGTTCCGTGGCAGGCATGTGCTGCCCGTCAATGCCAATAAAGTAGGTCGTCTAAAGTTCTCATACGACCAGATGAATGAGGCGATATCATTCTGTCTCTCTTGCCTCCGGTCTCGCCCGCAGGCTGTGGCGGTGATGCCCTCGCACGCCTGATGGAGATGACGTATCCCAGACGCACCCGTCCTCCCGTTGTCGATGTGAGGCCCGCTATCGAGACAAAGTTAGGCTGATCCTTGTGAGGAAGGCTTCCGCGGGAATCGCCGCCAATGTTCTCGAACATGTGTTGGATCTCAACTGCTCGGTCCCCTGCCTTGTCTATATACGCCATGCGAGTTGAGCATGGACAACCGCCCTCGCCGAATAAGAGTCCTTTCAGAGTAAGGACTCGTCGAGGACGTTCTATCAGTCTGCAAGGATCCTCTTGGTCTTTTCTGGTCTTTTTTTTCTTTGTACCCGATGTCGTCAGCCGGTTCCCGCTCCACCGCTCCTTGATGGGTTCAGCTTTGAGCGCATGGTCCGTGACCTCAAGGGCCAGTAATCTTAATTGTGTTTGCTTTTTTTTTTTCCTTCTTCACAACGGTTTCCTAAAAGGTTTCCGGGACGCCTCACGGGATAGCCTGTGTCACGATAATTCATTCAGGCTTGCCGCTCGTGCGGGGCAAACAGCCATCAGACGGCCTGACCCAGATTTTCGATGCCCGAAAAGGCGTTCACCATCCTCGACGGTGCGAACCAACTGCTGCGTCGTGGTGGTGTAGTTGTGTGCACGAGCAATGACAGATGTGGCGTATGGTGGAAGCCAACCATGGGTATCGAGGGGACTGAAGTATTTTGACATTCTCTTTAACAAAAGGTTTCTTGTTCGACTTCCCAGACTCAAGTCCCATCGATGAAGGGGGAGGGGCTACAAGGCAGAAATCTCGGGAACGAGGTGCGCCACAGGTGCAATCTTTGCCGTCTGCTGTGTAACAAGCCTCGACACAGTTGCCTGTTTATCGCACTCACTCCTTTTGTATGACGGAAAGAACAAATCACAAGGTGCAATTCAGGCCCGGTTGGGGACACCGGACGAGGCAGCGCCTACGAGGAGACTTGTTACACAGGCATACCTGGATTTGTACAAGACGGCCGTCACCTGCGACGGGAAAAAAATGTTGGACGAATTTTTGCTCACTTGTTATTGTGAAATCACTTCAATAGAAACACTTTGGTTCGTTTCTCCCTATACCGGCTGTCTCGTTACTACACTCACTTCAACCCTTCAATCCTAATCCTGTATGTCAAGCCCCCCACCAATACCCAACCGTCTACTTACTCTCTGTCCCAGACAACGACAAAACAACGCCAAACTCACCATGGCAGCTGACGGAGAGGAAGTTTTCCGACTGTTAGAGCGTCTTCATTCAGGACCTCGAATCGACACTTCCTGGGAGTGGAAGAAGCTGGGCAAGGAGGCGGAAGGCATGATTCAGACCCTACAGAAGGAAATGTGGAATCTGTCAAAAGCCCTGGCCGACGAGCGCAGCGTCACCAGGAATCTCAAGGCCGAGCTGCAGGCCCTTGGTGCCAGATCCCGGTCTCGAGAGGGCCGCAGCCGGACCCGTGCCTCGCCGGGCCGCAGCAGCCTCCGCAGCCCCAGCGGCGCCACCGCTCACCCAAGCCCTGCAACGGAGCGGCGCGGCAGCGACCCCAGCCGCCACGTACACTTTGCGGACACCACCCCGTCGCCAGAGCCCAGTCGGAGCCACGAGCGGACACGGCGGCAGTACCACCTGTCCTCAGAGGAGCTGCGCGGCCGCAACCGCAGCGAGGCCGAGGCGCGCGCCACCGCGCGCCAGAAGCGCGAGTACTGCGCCGAGCGCGACAGGCTCGCCGACCGCTTCAACAGGCACACCCGGGGCCCGCCCAACGTCGTCCGCATACCTGAAGCCGCGCCCAGGATGCATATCCCGGGGTGGCCCAGGCCGCCGTCGTCGTCGCCGCCCCATCCGCCCCATCCGCCCCCGCCGATGCATCCGGGTGTGCCGCCCCCGCCGCACATGTTTGACTTTCCGCCGCCCCCGCTGGATCCGCTCGCGTTTGGAGCCGCCGCGGAGATTCCTCGCCGCCCTGGCGGGATGACGAACATGATGGAGGACTTCCTCATGCACGGCGGCAACGATAGACCCTGGGCGCACTATAGGTGAGGGGGGAGGTACAGTCCGGAGCGGAGACGCCAGGGATAACCGAAGACCCCAATAATCTAATGTAATATATGTAATATCAGTATATACGGGAAAGGTCAACTTACGGGAATATATAACGTTGATTTGTCGTTTTCCTCTCGTCCTGAGTTGGCCTCGAGGTCGTGGGCGCAAGCTCTTGACGTCATTTTCCCCGGTGTTGTTGAGAGTGAAGCTTCGGATCGATGCGCCCTCCTGATTTTCGCGAGCTACATCTCCAAAGACCCAATTTGGTTCGTTTGCGACAGGCTGCAGATGTGCACCGGGGCTGTTGACGCGATTGCTCATAGTTGCCACCCCACCCGGCCGTGACTCGGAGCTCCGATGGAGCAAGACGCAGCTGCAAAGGTACCTGTTCTCGCCGTCATTTTCGTCGAATAAGAGCCAACTTTTATTTCCGAGGTTGACGGAAATTGCTCGATTTGCGCCCCCAAGTTCAGCCCGCCGGCAAGTGTGACTCTGCGACATTGCATTCCGGCGCCGACGGCCGTATTTCGGACCCGCAAGCCGACGACGCCCAAAAAAACCACCAGCCACCATAGCTAACACTATAGGGGGCAACAACCCATCCTCTTTCATCTCCTTTCATCTCCTCGCCGACTTTTCTTTCCCCTTGCATTCCACGCGACAATGAAGCTGTACGACGCCCTCTCCGACGACCTCGCCAGCTGGGTCCGCCAGCAGCCCGTCTTCTTCACGGGCTCGGCCTCGACGCACGGCCCGCACATCAACGTCTCGCCCAAGGGCCTCGCCGACTCGCACTTTGCCATTCTCTCGCCCACCCGCTGCGCCTACATTGACCGCATGGGCTCCGGCTGCGAGACCATTTCCCACAGCTACGAGAACGGCCGTCTGTGCCTCATGTTTATGAGCTTCGGTCCCACCCCGCGCATCCTCCGTCTCTTTGGCCGGTCGTCGGTCGTCGAGTGGGACAGCCCCCGCTTCCAGGACCTCGTGCGTGCCGTGTCCGGCCGGGATGGCTTTGACGCGGCCCGCGCCGTCATTATTTGCGATATTTGGCAGGTCCAGACGAGCTGCGGCTACGGCGTGCCGCGCGTCAAAAAGGGCATCTATGCCGCCGAGGATGAGGACGAGGCTGGCAGCGAGAGGGGGGGTGGCAAGGCCGCCGACGGCGGGCACAGGGTCGGCGACGCTACTGTCGACATGGAAAAGCTGCTGCGGGAGGGCCGGGACAGCGACCAGAAGCTCACAGAGCTGTGCGTCTTCGAGGAGCGCCCCCATCTCGACTCCTGGGCCGGCACCATGGTCAGCAAGAATACTGCCCTGAAGTATCAGGCTCAGCACAACGCGCGCAGCATGGATGGGCTGCCTGGTATGAAAACGGCCCGTCGCGACAACAAGGAAGTGCTCTGGTTGGGAGATGCCGCCGCCTACCTGCGGCGAACCTCAGCAGAGAAAGTGTCTGTAGCTATCGGCTTCCTGCTTGGAGCATTCTTTTACTTTATACTCACCGTGCTGAACCTGGTGGCACATTGATTTGGAATAGCCGCCAGTTGTTCCGTGATGCAAGATGACACAGTGTAATGATTACAAATTCATGTTTTCTATCTAGGGCTGACCAGTGCTATTTTTTTGCGGACGGCGCCCCGGTGCGACCCTCAGTGAGACCTCTTTCATCAAGTATTAGCAGAATCTTGAATGATGTTTTGTCTTTAAAGTCTCTCTCATTCTCCTCGCTAAGCCGAATAGTTACGTCAGCAATACCGTTCTCATGTAAGAGAAAATGTCGTTGTACTCGATGTTGAATATGTTTCTGCTCGACGTAATTCCTGTGCCCAACGGCAATGACACAAAGCCATGTTGGAAGCAGCACCACAATCATGTACGACAGTGCTTGATTTTGTCCGGATCAAGCTTGCGCCCCGCACGGGCGCTACGGTAGCCTGTCACAGGCTCGCAAGCACACGGATCGGAAGAGAACGAGTATGTTTCATCCAGCTCGGCGCTTGGATCATCCCGATGCTGCCAGTGAGGCGTTCTTTGGGGCGGCCTGAGCACCGGGCGCATTAGCCGCCTGTGAATTGGAGGCACCTCCACCGTTGTTCCCTCTGCCGCCTCGACCCCGACGGCCCCGTCTTGTCTCTCCTTTTTCTTTGGGATTTTCGCCGTCCTTCGCCTTGTCCTTGTCCGTTGTCGCAGAGGCAGTTGAGGTACCCGCAACGGTACTAGGAACACCCGTTGGTAGCTTCTTGTCCTTGCGTTCCAGAATTTGCACCGACCCCTGTGCGACAGCCAAAGGGCTTGCGGCCACAGCCTTGGCGAGTCCAGCGTGATCTAAAAAGTCAACATACGCAAATCCTTTGCGCTTGTCCATCTCTATGGCGGTGATGGTTCCGAACGCTTCCAAAGCTTGCCTCAGAGCGGTTTCGGTAACTCCTTGAGATTGAACCGCATGCTTTACAAATGCCCTCGTGGCACCTGCTGTGACTGATGGCGCTTTCTTTGAAGATTGCCCCGCCTTGCTGTTAGTCGCTGCAGGTTTCGAGTTTTTCTCCGCTGCCGATTTCGTCGCTGCATTCTGCTGGGTCGTTGATGTAGTAGAGGTGCTAGCTGGACTGTTCGGTGCGTTTGCTTGTCCTTCTGGTTTCTTCTTAAGGATCACGGGTGGGTAGCTTGCAGTAGGTTGGGATGAAGCTTCCACGGCAGCGGTGCCCTTGGCTCCGTTTCTAGCGTCCCGGCCTCTTCTACCAGCTTGAGACTTGCCAGTTGTACCATTGATCTTTCCTTTCCCTTCGTTACTCGTGGCGGGCTCTGCTGGTTGACTAGCATTTTGCGCTTCTTCAATCTGACCAACGTCCTTCGGTTTAGCATCTGCCTTGGCTGCATCTTGTCGCGCTCTACGATGCGCAGATCCCGGACTGAGACCCAAGTCGCGCTGGAGGATGCGAGCAGCCGTAGCAATTCCGGCACGCCTGCTTTTCGGCACGTCTTGGGCGAGGGTGGTGTTGATTGCCTTCGCGGCGATTTTCGCAGCGTCCACGGCTTGTTCAGTTGCAGCCTTTTTTGTAAGGATTTTGACCGTCGTTTTCGACCCCTTCTCTGCCCTTTCGGTTCTTTCGGCTCTTGATTCACGGCCCTTCTTCTTTGAAGGCTCGTCTTCCTTGGACTTGTTTCTTCCGTCGCCACGTTTCTTGCCAGAACTCGAATCTTTCGATTTATTGGCCTTCTTCTCTTTCAAGTACTCAACCAGTGGCGTAGTTGTGACTTTACTTTCACCCTTGTTGGCATCATCGCCATCCTCCAGATCAGCACTTTCGCGTAGCGGCGCTGGGTTAGCGAGTCCCTCGAGAAAGGCCATGAATTCGGGGTCTTGATCTATTGTTCCTTGGCGGGTATCGGTGCGCTTCTTACTGCTAGGCACCTTCTTATAAGCCGACAGTTCCAGACACGGTGGCCCAACAAGTGCTGGACTAGTAAAGCTATTCTTGGCGTCTTCCCATGTCGCAGCTCTGACAGTCTCACTCAATGCCAACGTGTCGTCCTTTCTTACGAGATGGATATATGCTCTTGCAGGGCGTGAGGGCTTGGATGGACTTAATCAAATTAGCGTATGTTGGTAAACAGGATGTATCAACACACTCAGTAGAGATCTTGCCCGGAATGAACGAAAACCAATCGACTTTGCCTTTTCCCAGTGTCCATGCGTCGCTTAAGATGGCTACGCATTCAGCTTCAGTCATTCCAGGAGGGAGCCGGCGGAGAATGAGCTTCACCCCCTCATTCTGTTGCCTTTGGCGTGGCGGTTTTTGTGCCTCAGTGTCCCGCCCCTGGAAGGTCTCGGTTAGGTTCTGACCGGTGACGTAAAAACAGAGGCCGTTTTACCTTGACATTATCATTCTTCTTCTCTCCTTGACCGCGGCGTTTCTTCAGCCTAGAATTGCCGCCTTCCCGGCCAACTTTGCCCTATACCGTGTCAGACATAAACCCCGAGTCGTGGTGAGGCTATGAATCGTCATACTTTTCCGGACTCGTTTCCTTGGCCGGCAGTGTTAGCCGCCCCATTTGTCCGACGGGACGACACTTGAGGTGCTTTTGTAGACATGGCGCATTTCGGATAAAATAACCAAGAGAGCAATATTGATGCAGTTGTTGCGCACGCTGAACACAAGGCTCCAACCGCACGCCCCGAGTGATAGCCAGGAGCGTCTTACTCTAACCGGAAGTATGCAACTAAAGGGTTCAAAGAGCAACGCGGTCACGTGCCTTCATGGCGACGGTGATGCATGATACGGCCACAACAGGCCCGTTGAAATTGAGGCAAATAATAATAAAACCCTGGAAACTTTATGGCAGTACACTGATTTGTTATCGCACTTGTTTTTTAAGAAAAATTGTGCTTCCAGTGACTGCTGCACCACACACAGCGTAAGGCTCCAACAGGCTGTACCTGACTGTTCCGAATGGGAGGCTGCGCTAGGCCCGCCTGCGCAACACCAAGCACCCACCTATAATCAAGGCGAGGTCCTCCCTTTGCTGTTGCAGTATCGCTACCGACTTCTGGCATTCCATCTTCGGAGGGCCAGACCTTCAATCATGACATCAAGCGTACCTCGACCAGGTCCGGCGAATCTGAGCTCCAATGCCGGGCTCGATGAGTGGCTCGAGGAGGCCAAACAGTGCCACTATCTGCCCGAGCGGGCCATGAAGGAGCTTTGCGAAAAGGTCAAGGAAATATTAATGGAGGGTGAGAAGCTTTCCTATATGGGATTATGCTGCGACGAGGATCTAAAAAAGGCCATCTGCTAACTTGGCGTGGCTTAGAGTCCAACATTCAGCCCGTCTGCACGCCGGTGACCGTTTGTGGCGACATCCACGGTCAGTTTTACGATTTGCTGGAGCTGTTCCGCGTTGCTGGCGGCATGCCAGGGGAAAGCCATGTTGAAGCACCGAAAACGGCAACCGCCGTCATCACATCCCAAGATATCGAACCCCCCGAGATCACGAATCCGAAGCTATTGAGGAAGCTGAAGCCTTCCAACGATGACGCCACAAACGATGACGCTGGCGATGATGCAGAGCGGGCAACAGCGACCGCGGCTGGCTCTGCGGATATCAATAGCCCCGTTACCTCCTCCCAGAGCGCGGAAACTCGATTCATATTTCTCGGTGACTTTGTCGACAGAGGCTACTTCAGCCTAGAGACCTTTACACTATTAATGTGCCTCAAAGCCAAGTCAGTGTCTCCTACATGCACTCCATCTCCTATCGGCTGCTCCTAGCTAACCCATTTTATTACGCAGATATCCTGAGCGGATAGTTCTCGTCCGCGGTAATCATGAGTCCCGTCAAATTACTCAGGTATACGGTTTCTACGAAGAATGCCAACAAAAATACGGAAATGCCTCGGTGTGGAAGGCATGCTGCCATGTGTTCGATTTCCTCGTCCTCGCTGCCATCGTTGATGGAGAGGTTCTCTGTGTCCACGGTGGCCTGAGCCCCGAGATTAGAACGATAGATCAAATTCGCGTCGTTGCGCGTGCGCAAGAGATTCCTCATGAAGGCGCATTCTGCGATTTGGTGTGGTCAGATCCAGAAGACGTCGAGACATGGGCCATCAGCCCACGAGGTGCCGGGTGGCTGTTTGGCGACAAGGTGGCGACAGAGTTCAATCACGTCAACGGACTGAAGCTGATTGCACGAGCCCATCAGCTGGTAAACGAAGGTTACAAGGTATGTCATGGAAGACGCTCTTTTCCGAGCCGCCATTTGCTAACATGTCCCTAGTACCACTTTGTAGAGAAGTCGGTGGTCACAGTCTGGTCGGCGCCAAACTACTGCTACCGGTGCGGAAATGTTGCTTCCATTATGACGGTTGACCAGGATCTAGATCCAAAGTTCAGCATCTTTTCGGCTGTGCCAGATGACCAGAGACACGTGCCTGCTGGGCGGCGGGGTCCAAGCGACTATTTCCTATAACGAGTATTACGCAGCATAGAGGATTGACGTGCCAAAGGCTATACATGTAAATTAGTATATTGATTTTGAGATATCCATCGTTTTGGAATGAACTGTCCCCGTTAATCATTCGCTGTCTCGCGATTGTTGGGACAGGTGTTGGCGGGTCCATCTCTGGATTTTAATGTGCCCCCCGCTACACCAAGAATTTTCAATGCCATACGATTCCGCACCTGCGCGATGAAATAATCGTTGACCACGAAGAGTTAACCGATTAATATGTGATCGCTACACGGCGTCATATTCAAAGGCCACAGTTCTCTTCAAAATGCCAAAACAGCTGCCTCGGAATCCAGTTCAGGCAGCTGTAAAGACATGGCTGAAAGACCAGCAGCCGCCGGCTGACGAAGAAGTCGAAGCTTGGGGAGAAAGCCTGCTGGCTTCCGCCCCAAAGCGATTTACAATCTACGAGCCGATGGCACTTTTGCCTTGCGGCAGCTTCAGCAAGCCAATATGGACCAACGCGTTGGAAGCATGCACGACAAAATCTCGCACAGCGCTCTGGATACTGTTGCTAAAGGAACTATCTGTTATCGCCAAGAGCCCGTTGACGAATCTATCAATCAACGACGGCATACCTCTGCACAAGGATGGTGAATCAGGCGAAGAAAATGTATTGCGCAGTCCTACAGGTCTACGAATGCTGCACGGCGATTTTGGCCCCTCTCACACTGCCGACGCTGCGCCAACCCAGGAGGAGTTCGACGAGGCTTTCTGGGTCTCGACAAAGCAGAACGGCATACGCCAGACATGGGCGCCCCGATGGACCATGTTTAGTCGCGGCAACGTCAAAGAAAAGGCGCGGCTCCTGGCCTGGCAGCCGCCCTCCACACCAGCCGCCGCCGGCGACGACGACGAGCCCTGGGCCGTGGACCTGTACGGCGGCATCGGCTACTTTGTCTTTTCGTACGCCGCGCTCGGCATGCGCGTCCTGTGCTGGGAGCTGAACCCCTGGAGCGTGGAGGGCCTGCGGCGCGGGGCGCTCGCCAACCGGTGGCGCGTCAGGGTGGTCTCGGACGCGGCCGACCTTGCCCGGCCGGTGGACGAGGTGCTGGCGAGCGGCGAGCAAATCGTCGTCTTCCAGGAGGACAACCGGCGCGCGCAGGACAGGATACGCCGGCTGCGGCAGACGGGCGTGGCCAGACGCGTCGTGCACGTCAACGGCGGCTTGCTGCCCACGAGCGAGCAGACGTGGGAGGCGTCCTGGAACCTGGCCAGGCAGAGCACGGCGGCGCAGACGTGGCTGCACTTGCATGAAAACGTGGGCGTGCACGACATTGCGGCCCGCAAGGCCGAGGTGGAGGAGCGGTTCAAGCAGTGGGATGCGGCGCAAGGTGCTTCGCGAGAAGTGACGGTCAGCCATGTGGAACAAGTAAAGACGTTTGCACCGGGAGTATGGCACTGCGTCTTTGATGTTTGCATTGCAACGCCGCAGATCTAGTCATTGAACCGTCTATCCCTCTATTTCCTGTCCCAATGGAAGCCTGCATAATTATACCAATATTCAGAAGCGTGGCACATGGCATATGTCGTCCTGCATCCAAATCGTGTCGTCGTGTACTTTCGAGTGCCACCAACCACGTCATTCATAGCATCAAATTCACCCCCGACTCCAGCCTTCTATATCCCAGTCGCCCTCAGCACCAGTAGCTAAGCAGTAATGTACAAACGCAGTCGAATCCAAACGTCTCTCCTAGCAGGCATCTTATTGCTGCACGCGCAAAAACTTGGCGGGGATGTTTGCTTCGATAATCGACAGCTTATCCATGGCCTTTTGCTTTTCCGCGGCATCCTCGAGCTCCTCGTGCTTCTTAAAGTGCTCAATGTCCTCCGGGTGCGTCAAGTCCTCGAGCGTCGTGTCCTCGTTGTGGTACTTGTTCCAGTGATGCACCTCGTACTCGTACTCGTCGTCGCCGTGATGGCCCGGGCCGAAGCCGAGGTCCGGCAGCGTCTGGCCGCCGATGATGAAGGCGGCGAACTCGTCGCGGGAGACGAGCCCGTCGGCGTTTGTGTCGAGCAGGTCGAGCAGCTCGCGGTACGCCGCCTCGCGACGTTCATAGCTGACGTCGCGGTTGCTGGGGTCCATGAGGCCGTACATGCGCTGCATCTCCTCCCGCTCCCACACGCCGTCGCTGTCGAAGTCGTGGAGGGTGAAGAAGGACAGCGAGTCGAACGTATCCATGCCGTGTTCCTCTGCGCGCGCAAAGAAGGTCAGTCATCTGTCCAGTAGTCTATACGGTACGCGCTGCTCGTGAATCGCTGCTTACCGGCCATGTGTCGCGTCATCCAGTTCGGGTAGTCGGTCCGCGCCTCCGCGCCGTAGGAGCCCCCGTGGGCATCACCGCCGTGGGAGCCGTGGGAGCCATGCGTGGACGCCACGGTCACGAAAACGGCAGCAATTAGAGTGTGTGCGCGCATACTGGTTCGATTGATCGGTCGGCAGGCACGGCGACGATGGTGGAGGGCCGGAGAAATCGTAAACAATGCTGGACGTGCTGTCCAACTAGGGGTACCTGGTAAGGGGCTGCGCTAAGGCTACCTAGAGGTACTTACCAGGTTATCCGTACTAGGTCGCTTTCGCGATGACGTGGGGGACCTGTTTCTACCAACGCCAGTAATTTCGTTGCATCATTTCTACTTTACTTTGGACTCGGGCTCCATGTAATTAGGAAAGGAATTTTTTTGTTTCCGATGTTGATGATATGTCGATCCGCATGCTCCCGCTGATGCGCTTCCCGTCATTTCGCACGCGCCCAATCCCTCGATTGGGCTTTGATGACGCTTGGCATACGCAGGCTAGCGATAAACTTACCTGGCGCAGGGGCATGTAAATGTAACGAGTCTGATGTTGTAACGAATGTAGATAAAATTAAAACTCGGGCATATCGTCTCCGTACAGCCAACCGCCGCGTTAGTGTGTGTTTAGCAAAACAATGCCAGCACAATGACGATGAGAATAGGCAGGATTGGTTGGAAAGGTCGATTGAGTCTTTGTGCCTGGCCTGGCCTGGCGTAATTGCCCTCGCTGATGTCATTCCCGTTGTTGTGGGATCGATTGCAGTATTGGCCATCGATCATGAAGATGGTTGGTGGCATCTTTGACAAGGCTTCCATTAAGGTTACAAGAAAGCATACACGTGCAGACACCTACCAACAGCACTACGCGACATGTAATCACCATTTTATATCCAAGGGTGATGAGCAGTATATAAGTGTGGCAAGCTGATAGAAAACAATCATGATTCATGGATACACGATACTCTGGCGTTGAATGTTGGCATCATCAACTTGAAATGTCGTGCTACCCTGTAGCTCTTACACGCTGCATGCTCCCACCATGTTCGAGTTGTCGTTTGTCTTTTCTCTGTGACCCTTACCCCTAAGATTTTTTCTGAGACAACGTTTTGGGTATCGGCCCATTGTGAGTCGTGTTCACCCTGCATTGCCTCGCTTACGATAAGACACGCACACTAGGCTACTTGTAGATTTTGTTAACCGGTATAATTAGCTCCCCATTGTCTTGGCGGAGGAACTGACGTACAGGATTGTGCTCAAGTCTCCACCATTGTGGAAGCTCCCGTCTCTTTCATTGGTTGGTTCTGTTTTGTCTGATTCCTTCCACTTCCCCATTGTGAGATCTCCAGGGCTACCCTTGCTCCTGTCAGGCCTTATGGGCAAGGATGGGGCCTTGGGAATCGGGGACAGGTTGACGTGAACGGATATGATGTGGGTGATTCGTAGCTGTGCTGCATTGACTATAGCTTCACTACCTGTCAGTACAGTGACTCTAGCAGTCTACATTGATTACTCAAAGCCTATTCTTCCCTTTACCGAACTACTACATGCCACAACTGCTTGTGCTGGCGAAAAAAAGCAAAGCTGGGTGGGTACCGGAGAAGCTCCGTACTGGTGAATCATGAGCAGCAGCCCACGGACGCAACCATCCAGTGACAGGCGGCTCTGCTCTGAATAATAGCTCATCCTGGAATTTGGCAGTCATGAGTTGTCCATTGGCTGCCGGGAACTCAACCATCCGGACATCACTGGAAGGCCTTTTTTCTTTTTCTTGGCTAGTTGGAGAAAACAGTCGGAAGAGCCAACAGCGTAGCCCGCGAAAACTCGGCGACGACGGGCGGCCGTTACTTCGCCCCGAACTGGCGGGGTCGGCGGATGACCATCTTGTCAGCTTTTCGCCGCAATGGGAAGAGGCCGCATACTTGCTGTCACGATCGTTCCATGGCGCATTTCACAAGGCGAGGCGCATGGGATGGCTGATGGGAGGCCAGGCCGTGCGCAGGGCGAAAGCTGGTAGGGGCCTTGAGAGAGCCGGCATACCCGGCCAGCGAGTTGAAGCCTGACATACTGAAACAATGAAATAGTGACATGTAATCCAATAAAGAACCCATACCGGGGGATCAGACAACAGTGTCATGACAGACAATAGGCTAATTATCTCCTCCTGGGCATGGTGGCTCAGCGGGCGAGGGGAGACCCGGGGCGCCGGAGTAGGCAACTTGCCTTACCAATACGGTATACGATATGCCCACATGTCAACATGTCACTCGGGACGTGCCCTGGTGGAGGCTCGTCCTCTCCCTCCCGTCGTCGTAGCTGTCAGACTGGGCTGCGGGCCGGAGCAGCCCCACAGCAAGCCAAGAGCGCGATATTGGTTTCCTCTAGTGGGAAAATCGGATGGAGGTGGTGAGATGGCTTATTTTAGACTCCATTCGCCTGTACACTTCAGCGTGGCGTTAGCCTTTTTGGCCTCGGTCGCCGCCGTCACCGTTCAGGAATTCCCATCTATGGCTGAGCTTTCATGATGCCCACGAGTCGTGGACGTGTCGGCAATGGCAGCAAGTAAAGGGGTTGTGGTTTTCTTCTATTCAGAAAGAGAGAAAAAAAAACGTAACATTAAGAAAAATTAAATAATAGAGCTAATAAATATTAGAAGGTAAAGAACAAAGTGGCGACAGCCAGCGCCAGTGGCACGCAGTAGACGCCTGCTGTTTGAGGGCGCGTTGCGCTGCCGCTGAGAGGGACTCCACCCGCGGCCGAGGCAGATGGGGAAGCCGAGCCGGCGCCGCCCGACTGTGACGATCCAGAGCCAGAGCCAGAGCCAGAGCCACTGCCGGAGCCACTACCACTGCTGGAGCCAGAGCCACTACCACTACCGGAGCCAGTGCCAGTGCCACTGCCAGAGCCATTGCCGCTGCCGCTGCCACTGCCACTGCCGCTGCCAGAGCTGGAGCCAGATCCAGAGCCGGAGCCAGTGCCAGATCCAGAGCCGTTGCCAGAACCAGATCCAGAACCAGAGCCGTTACCAGAACCAGATCCAGAACCAGAACCAGTAGCAGAAC